TGCTCAACTTACCATTTGATTTTAAGATACTGTTGATCTTCATATCTAGTCTGGATGAAGCAATAACCGAAGAAGGCTTTGTTTGGAATAGAATTGATTCAATTATNGATGAAGTCAGTTCAAGCTCATCATTGGATGAAGAGATCAAGCGAAAGTCTTCGAATACCAATAGATTCTTGTTGGCAATGTCTAATACACAAGCGCCCAACTTGTTTTCTTTGATATCAATTGACAAGATAGTGCTTGAAGTGAAAGAAATAAAGGAGTCGTCCTCTTCATTGTTGTTTTCATCAACTGCATCATGGTCTGAATTATCTTCTTGGTTGTATTTAACTGACTCTCCATTGAACTGAGCTTTAGCTGTGTTTGGGTGGTTTGTTTCTTCCATGGCTATTTTCTGCTGATGGTGAAGAAATGATTTATAACTGGAAATCGGAAATTGTCTTTATACACAGGAAAGCTGTAGGAGTGCTGTGCATGTGCATGCGTTGTGCGTTAGTTTTCTAACATGAATGGTTTCTTCTGGGTTTGAGAAATTTATGAAATTGGTTTTCAATATTTAACTATCTTATTTTTACTATTTTATTGAGTTTTTTCTTAGTTGTAAATATTTAAATAAAGATATTTTTCAAATTTGGAAACTTCTATCAAAAAAATAGTTTCAATGCAAAACACTTACTCACTTAAAAAATTTGAAATAATTAATTTTTATTACAAGAGTATGTGGTCTTTAATTTCCAAATCATTTCAATCGCTTACTTCTTTGTGTGTTTGATGTGTTAATTTATAGTTTCAAATACTAGATTGTTATTTTTTAATGGTTAGAAGTTATTTTTTTTTTATCAATACTCTTGTATCGGTAAAAAAATAAATCTATTCAAACCAAAATTGACTTTTTACAATTTCTTTATTCTAAACCTTTGCAATTGAACAAATAAAGCACAATTTTTTTTTAAGTATAATGAGAAGAGCTGAGATTTGGCAGTTTCAATTAAGATTCAATTGTTTTGAGTGTCGAGAGATAGTTATAACTTTGATAATTTTAACTTGTTTTTAATCATTAAACCTTTTTCATTTTCGATTGTTTTAATTCAAATTGTGCCTACAAAAATCAATCAGAAATATTTTATAGATAAAATATGAATATTAATAAATTTGAATTTAGTGTTTTTTAAATTAATTCTAAATAATACCGAGAATGAACTTTATTTGAAATAAAGTAACAAAGAAAAACGATTTTTTACAATATTTTTTATGAAATTTTTATGAAGTTCACCAACCAAATATAATTAATATAGTCATGAAATTGAGATATTGAAATAAAATCGTCTGAGAATATTTTCGGTAGATATTATCAAATTATTTTGAAAGTGATAATGGTTTTGTTTCAGCTGGAAAACCACCAGAATATTTGGTAGCTCTGGCTTCAGTCAAACCACGACGTGTAGCTTCAGCTTTCAAATCTTGCTTAAGAACTGAACGAAGAGTTTCAGCAGAAATAGCAAGATATTTGTTAAATCTAATATATTGATAGTTAGTAATTGCTTTGCAAAAAATTCAGCAAACAAATAATCCCCACATACGAGAAACCAGCTTTTTTCCAAGAAGACATTTTGATGTGTTTGAATGATTCTTTATGATACCTAAGATACTTTCAGTAATATGAGAATATTCTACAGGATCTGTTTAACTCCAACCCTCTGATATTTCTATCACTTGAAAGGAACTGGAGCAGACCAATCAAAAGCCATGGAATAAGATCATGTGATCATTTGTGGATTAGATACGGATGGTTTATCCGTTGTCATGTTTCCGTGAGCGGAAATAACTGAATTTTGAGACCTTTCTTCTGGGTCTACTTTCTCTTTTTTTTCAGTTCTGGGAAATTTTTTTATTGAGTTTGTTTTTGAGATTATTCAATTTGAATTCAATTGTAATTTCGTATTTTGTCATTGGTGCTTGCTGTCTGCTTTTATTGGTTAATAATGTCAAAATCAAGCTATAGAAGGAATTATTTGAAAAAGTACCAAACAGAAGTCAAACCTGGAGAGAAATTGGTTTCTAGAGATCATTATTTTCATCTTGCAAGCGACATTGAGACTGAAAGAATTAAAGCTGCGATAAACTTGATCAACGAGTTGAGAGAAATCAACGAAGAAGAGGAATGGAATTATGCTCAAAAACGATTAATTAAAGGTTTGAATTCCTCTCGACTTTCTGCAAGAATTGGATTTTCAACTGTTTTAACTGAGTTTTTAAATTTAAGATATAATGATAATAAAATTGACTGTGAAACGTTTTTAAATATATTGTTGCAAAGCACAAACCACGCAAATGCCAGAAAAGGGAAAGAGTTAAGACCACTTTTGTTTGGAAGATTATTTGGCTTGAAGTCTCTATGCAATTCGAAGTTATTTTTTGAGAAGAGTGACACTGACAATAAAACCGAAAATAAAAGTGAATCTGAAAAAACTAACGATTCCTTGAAAAGAGCATCCTTTTCAAGACTATTAAATATAACCTTTGAGCTATCCTTATTAAAGCCTTGGTTGAGGGAACCTTGTTTTTTTACTTTATTTGAATTCTTAAAGAAATTGAATGTTTCTACCAGTTTATCAAATGATTTATTGATTGAAGTTTTGAAAAAGATAAATGATTTAAAATTAACCTTTTCTTTAGAAGGTTTATCATTTTATTTATTGATTCCTGATAATCAAAAATCAAAAATTTTGCCAAGTTTAACATTTACAAATGGTTGGAAATCTAATGATCCTCTATTAAAATCAAACACATCTTTATTAGTTAGAACTTTGAAGGATAATGATGTCATATTTCCTGAAAATGAAAATGATGATGATGGTGATGAAGATGAACAGGATGAGAAACATTCTAATAAATCTAAAAATAACAACAATAACCAAACTAAAAAGCAAATAAAACCTCAAAACAAAGGTACCTGGTCTCCAAGGCTACATTATTCATGGCCCATTTTGTCTCAGAAAATCATTGAAAAAGAAATAGATAGTACTTCTTCAATTAGTGACGATAATAAGGACATTAAAAGCACTATTGAAATTACAACTGAAAACGTTACTAATAAAAAAAGGAAAAAATATTATAAAGAAGATTCCAAAAAGAAATTAAAAATTGCTGCTAGTAACAATAATAACTATATTCATATTAAAGAATTTTGGCAAGATATTGTGGACCCATCTTTTTTTTCAAATGACCCTTCATCTGAAAGAAAGTTTACGGGATTTAGGATTTTCAAGTTGTTTTTGCTTCAATTGTTTCAATTATCTAAAAACTCAAACAACCTGAAAGCTATAAATTCATTTTTCAATTATTTATTTACTCCTCATCTTTTAAGAACACTCATAAATCAGTCCAATAATACCAAGAGCCATCTTAATAAATTAGTTAGAAATGAAATTCTTCACGATCTTATTATAAAAGAAATTTCTTTTCAAAATCCAAAATTATCACTAGTTTTCATTCATAATTTAGCCTTCTCAAAACATGGAAGTTTTATTTTTGATAGATTGACCAAATCTACAACTATAGATAATTTAACAAATAACGTAATATCATTGGGAGATTCCAATGATATCAAAAAATTACTAGAGTTTTATCTCGATGTTTTAAATAACCCTCTAATTCATTTGAATTTACAAGAAGAAAAGTCAATTAACAATAAGATAAAACAAGATAAAATCCAGGATAAAAATAAAAATAAATTAAAAAAAGAAATTTTAGATTCAGATGAAGAAATGGAAGATGCTAAATCTGAATCAGATAATAAAATAACAACCAAAACACAAGAGGCTAAGATAATTAACCAAAAACAAAGATGGGCTATCGATAGAATTGTTAGTTTGATCAAATTATATAAGTCAATTCATTTGGATACATTTTCACATGATGCACATGGATGGATTGACTCAATTTTAAAAAATTTTCTTAGTCACTCTCAGTTAAAACCAACAAATGAAAATTTGCAAAAATTTTACACAGAGCCAAATTCAAAGCTTATTGCTGAAAAGTTAAATTCCATTTTATCTGAAGTGATGAGCAGTGAAAGAGTTGATAACATTACTTGGTCTTACAAAACTTTGAAATTGTTAATTGAACTTGAAGACAAAGAAATTAAAAATAAAAACAATAGTGAGTTTAAATTAAGAATAGCGTTAGACGATAAATTAAATAATGTGATCAATCTGAATTTAAAAACTTTGAAAAAAATCAATCAAAATAGGTTAAATTTAATATCTTCAAAATCCAAATCCAAATCCAAAAACCATCCTCAACTCAAACAACTTTATTCCTTTGAATTGCTTTATTCAATGGTTATACTTCAACTACGTTTAGGAATCGATGAAGATATTGCTGATTCTATTGCTGTTTTAGAGGAAATTACTACCATTTATAAGAACCTAAAAATAAATGGAAACGAAGACTTATATGATGATAATAGTAAGGAAAGTGATATTGAAACTAAAAATGATGAACAATCACACAATTTGGACACTTTGATTGAAATACTTTTATCTTTTATAAGCAAGAAAAGCTCTGTGTTAAAATCTATTACATTTGTAATTTGGACCAACTTTCTTAATGATATTAGTTATAAAAATTTGGAAAGTTTGACATCTATTTTACTAACTAAGGAAAATTTAGAAGGTCAAAAAAGTTTGTTTGATGAACAGTCTGATAACGAATCACCATCTGATAATGAAACCAACATTGAGGATGAAATAACTATAGAAGATGAAAAAGATACCATAAAAATTTCCACAAATAATAACAAAGACAATGAAGAAGATCAAGAAGGCATCGATGATGTTGAAGATGATGAAGAAGAAAATGATGAATATGAGGATTCCTCTGATGATGCTTTGATTGAAGAAGTTGAAAAAAAGACCACTATCGCTCTTGCTGAAGTTTTAGGTGTACCCCAAGAAGGTGGAGAGATTAAATTCGACGAAAACGATAGTTCTTACATTTCTAGTATGGAAGAAGAGGATTCAGATGATGGAATGGATGATGATCAAATGATGGCTATTGATGATCAGCTTTCTAAAATATTCAAGCAAAGAAAAGATGCTATCAATGAATTCAAAGGTAAAGGTGGAAATCAGAGGAAAAAGGATGCTTCAGAAGCAAGAGAAAACATGGTTCTTTTCAAACTGAGAATTTTGGAATTACTAAAGATATTTATTCAAAACAATAGTAAATCTAGAAATTCATACTTGGCTCTATCATTAATAATTCCATTAATTAAGTTGATTGGGCTAACAACAAACGAGTCAATCAGAATCAAATCCCATGCTTTAATTAAAAGCTTATGCAAGTTTCAATTTTCTCTTTCCAATAAGTTTTTGAAAGACCACAAAGAAATTTCTTTAGACTCTCAAAACAACTCCAACTTTATTGTTAATGAAGGCAAACTTCTTAAAATACTAGAAGAAATCCAAAATATTGCATTAACTTCAAAAAATAGTCTTCAAAGTAGCAGTTGCAATCAGACTTCTACGTTGATTTCAAAATTATTAATCAATTATGATGCAGAAAACAATTTGAAAAAGGTGGTTGTGGTTTATGAAAATACCTTATTAAACTGGTTCAGCAGCAAAAATAGTAAAGTTCAATCAAGAATGTTTATTGATTTTGTGAATTGGCTAGATAGCATGAGGCAAAAAGCTTAAGATCATATAATTGATTTAACCACTAAAAACTTACATGTTTTGCTACTTGTTATTTGTAGATTTTGCATACCCTGTTTATTTTCTTTCTCGTTCTTTCTATTTGAATTAATAAATATTTGAATCAATTTGTTTTAATTTTGAAATGCATTTATTGATTCTTGTCTTTTCTTGATTACTTTAGTCATTTGGGTCTATTATTGTAAATGGGAATGTTGGAAAAGCTGATATTCTTTTCTTTTGAGTAAAAATTATGTTTATAAATAATAGTAAAACAAAAGTAACCAAGCTCCCTAAAAACTGAGCATGTAAGATTGTTTTAATCATGCAAAAACATGAATATTATTAAAAATAATCAACACGCAATTAATTGTAAAAGTGGTTTTAATATCAATGCCTTTAAAAATAATAATTAGATAGATGCCAAAAAAAAGTACTAAAAAAACAACTAGTATTATGGTCCTAATCCATATTAAGAAAAAAGATAAAACACAATGAAAAAAATAGAAAACAAATTCAGAAATATAAATACAAAATTATAAATACAGCTTTCAAGAAAAAAAAAATTAAAAAATTAAAAAAATAAAAAATAGCAAAAAGAAAAATAAAGTACTGAAAAATAATATACGATTAAATATAAACAATAAAAAAAAATATTAAGCTAAAGAAGGGCAAATATATAAAAACAGTTAAAAAAAAACAACTTAAAAAAATAGAGGAGGAAAAAAAAATCAAAAAAAACAAACAAAAAAGGTTAACTTTCCCCAAAAAAAAGTAAAATAAAAAAAATCAAGCACACTAACTAAAGCCACAAGTTATAATTTTTTAAAAAAATAATCAATAGCAAAAGAAAGAAAAAATATTAAAAGCATTAATATTATTTGAAATATTTGAATTTCTAAAAAAAAACAGCAAAAAAAAGAAAAAAACATTCCTTATTAAGACTAACGTTTTCATCATTTAATTGAAAACATAAATTAGTAAGATGTTGAAAAATAAAGTAGAAATGTTATTGGAAAAAAAAACCTTTTTTTCCAACTTTTTCTTTTTTAATTTTGAAAAAATATAAACATGTTTAGGCAAAAAATAATTATACAGAAGATTATTCCAGTAAATATTTTTTGATATTGATATGAGTTTTAGTAAAACTAGGAAGCAGGTGCACCTTGGGTACTAATTGAACCTCGGTTACTATTGCCGTTACTTGAAACATGATTATTATTATGGGAGCTATTGGAGTTATTATTATTATTATTGTTATTGTTGTTGTTATTATGGTTTTGTCTTTTAGCAATTTCAATTCTATTGTTAATGTAATAAATAGCAGTTTGAATTGAAGGATAGTTACCAGTTAGAATAATCTTTCTCTCAGTAGGATTCTTTAAATCTGGATCGCTAATTTTAATTTGAGCACCAGATTTATCTCTAATTTCTCTAATATTTTTACCACCTTTACCAATGATTGAGCCGACATGATCATTTGGTATCAAAATTTCTTGTGTTTGAGCTATACCAATTGACATTGCATTTGCAGCGGCAGCGGCAGCAGGATTTGAGCCAAATGCACCAGGGTTAAAAGAGTTTGGGTTTGAGGAGTTGACAAAATTGATATTAGCAGGTTTGTTTGGGTTAAAAGAGGAGTAGGGTTTTATGTTTCTATTGTTTATATTAGAGCTATTTTGATTTTGAGTAGTGTTATTACCATTTGCTTGATTATGGTTGTGAGAGTTGTTATTGTGAGGTAATCTGATATTGCTTGAAGGATTCAAGTAGCCCATTGGGTTCATTGAATTCATCATGCCCATCGTGCCCATCATTGGGTTTAAATTTGATAGTAAATTGAAGTTGTTTGGGTTATTATTTGAATGATTTGAATTGTTTAAGGGGTTATTTTGAGATGGGTTATTTAAATTCAAGGGATTGTTTAATTGATTCAAAGGAATATTCAATTGATTCATAGGGTTGAAACCCACTGAGCCACCGCCTGGTTGATATTGCACAGTTCTTTGTTTGTGAAAAAGTTTTTTGTTTTCATAAATACATTGAGCAACAAAATAAGTGGCGATATGGATTGCATCAGCAACACCAATAACGCTTAAACAACGATCAGTTGAGAAAGGTAAAGGAGTTTCAGAGGCTTTTAACTTAGCAGCAGATTTGTCTTCGATTTCTCTAAATTTAGCACCACCTTTACCAATAACAAAACCGATAACTTGATGAGCGATTAAAAGTTTCAAGTTGAATTGCTTGGAGTCAGGAGAAGAAGGTATATCTTCTGGTTCATCAACAATGGCTCTTATTATTAAACCAAAGGCCTTTGCAACATTTTCGGCAGAACCTCTAACGTGAACAATTCTTTCTTGAACGCCTTTGAGATTTTCAGAGACATTGACTCTTGCGTTTGAATGTTCTTTGATGTGGTTTATTTTCTCACCACCTTTTCCAACTATAAGGGAGGCCTCTTTAACTAGACATAGCATTCTAAAGTGAACATAAGTTGGATCATCATCCATTTCCTTGTTGTGGTTATTATTATTAGAATGGTTTGTGTTATTGCCTTCAGTGGAGTTGTTGGAATTGTTGGTGGCATTATTAGTGGGTGTGATGGTCGAGGTAGCAGAAGTAGCAGCTGTTGTGATGGATGAGACATGGATGGTTGAATTGGAGTTGTCATTACTATCTTCGGAAGTATTTAGGTTAGTAATTTGAAGGGATTTTTTCTTATCTTTATCAGCATCGTCAGTTTTAATCATTTCAGTATCTAAAGCCATACGTTTAGTATTTGAATCAGCTTCACTTGGTGTGTCTTCACTCTTGCGCTTAAGCATTTTTGGGAATGAATTTCAATAAGATTTTTATTATATGTAGATATATTTAACAAAAAACAAAAAAGGTAAAATGAGACAATAAGGAACAGTAAATTGGGATTATAAAAAAATCAAGTGAATCTTAAATTATTATGTAAAGTAAACAATTTAATTAAAAAAGTTATAATAGTTTTGCAGTTAAATTAAATTGAATTGAGACAATTTAAAGTTTGATTCAAAGGGAATGTTTTTTTTTGTTTGACTTAAGATTTGATCTTTTCTTCTTTTTTCAATTATGGCTAGAGCAAAGATGGTGGATTATTTGTTGCCCTGGATTGGATAAAAGCAGTTACAGTCAGAAGTAAGGTCTTTGAGGAGCTGTGATTGTAATCACTGTTGGTGAATATCGCTGGAGGTGTTATGTTAGCAACACTGGAAAGGATAGGTTGGATTTGTGGTAGTGGAGGCCAGTGTGTGGTGTTGACCAGAAGGAACAGAGGATATGGAGACGAAGGCAGAGGTGTGTTTCTATGTCTTAAGAGACCTGAGGCGTTGTTTGGCTGGGAAGATCAAGATCAATAGACAGTAGATTTGTTGCCCAAACTCTTTGACTACTTTTTATTTATTTTATTGTTCTCAGCTCAGTTGGTGATGTGTGCTAAAAAGCAAAAGACACTAAGGCCCAGACCCCCGTCACATGACACGCAACAACACCGACCCCTGTTTGGAGGGGTCTGCGGCATGTTCGGGTGTTAGGGGCGCCGTTTGGACTCGGACTTTCGTTTTCGTACTCGCCTGCCGGAATCATGCAGGCTGATTGCAACCTTAACTCCGTTTCAAAGATTGCCTCACTTTCTGATCAACAAATGCTAGCTAAAATTGAAACAAAGAGCCTTTTGTTACTGAGTTATTTGCAGAGGTTTTGTAAACAGAAACAGTAGCACGAAATAGTAGCACAAAACAGATAGTGATGTGCTGTTTTTTTTTCTTTTTAAATGACTTTGGAATGATTTCAAATCTTTTTACAAAGGGGATGACGTTCTATCGGTAAATGACTTGGGTTTTTATTTGCTGATATATAAGGAAATACGGCAATTCGGCTTTTGATTTGAGACTTAAAAACCCTAAACGGGCTTGATTTGGTCATTGCACTGAAATTCATTTCAAGCCCCGAGCCTTAAGGTCTTCTCAAAAACTCTATATAAGGAGTGTTTTTCTTTTTTTTTTTTTTCAGATCAATTTCCTGAATCACTCAGTCTGCTGAACTTTTATTTTACTATTTCTATTGCACATCTAGCAATATCTGTTTAAATCTGAAATTTTGCTGCTTATAAATTATGACTGTTCAAGTTTTCAAAGATAATCTATCTTCACTATCAAATTCCGAATTAAAAAATGTGGTTCTGATTTGTATGAACATCTTAGAAGATCGTGCATCATCAAAAGACCAAACACAACATTCTTTCAAGAAAAACAGCCAAGGCCCTTCTGCTGAAACCAAAACCAAATCAAATGCAAACCAAGATGTGAATCAAAATGAAAAAGAAAATACTGAATCTATTGAACAGGAATTTGAATATTTGGACCATCCAGTGCAATCACCATCTGTTACTCCTCAAATTATTTCAGAAAAAAAGGATCAAGAATACTCATCATTATCCTCTACATCATCTTTGTCATCTTCATCATCACCTATTCCTGTTTTGCCATCAGATGAAAACCAGAAGCCAAATAAAAACTTGATACATAATAATCCCTCATCTGTTAATATAATCTCTATCGATTTTTCTTTGCTAAATTCTGTTCAAGAATCAGCTCTTGATTTAAAATTAAAATGTGATAAGCTAATAAATAACATAGAAAAAGAATCATTCGACACAAATGAAAATGAAAATGAAAATGAAAATGAAAATATAAAAAACATCAAAAGCATAGATGAAATCAAAACAAGCAAAGACGCTAATGTAATTTATTTTCATTCTGATTTTGATCCCCGTTCTCATCCTTGTACTCATTCTTATCCTTGTACTTATTCTTATCCTCATCATCACCGTTTTTCTCATCGTTTCTCTAATCTATCTCAGTTTCCACATCAATTTCCATCTCCACCCCCTCCAGCACCATTTCCACCACCACATGATGATAATCATCATCATCATGGTCATAAATCAAATCTATTTATTCCACCTCCACCACCTCCACCACCTCCACCCTTCTTTAATTGTCCATTTTCAAGAGATCTATTTTCTAATGGGGCTACTTTTAACAAAGATTTTTTGAATGATGAGAAACTGAACAATGATGATACAGAAGGCAATTACAAATGGTCTTTTCCATTTTCAGGCCCAGGCCCAAATCCAGATTCATATCGATATAGATCACCATGTGGTCATTGTCATAATCATCATCCTTCCAAGAAACATCAAAAAAGCCGTCATTGATTTATAATATTGTTAATAATTGGAAACAAAAGTGAAGTACAATTTGAGATTATAAAAAGCTTTATCTTTTTTTTTTAAATAATATTTTAACTCTGATTTTTTGGTCTATTTTTTCTGATTTATTTACAATATATTTATCAAATACCCTTTTAAACTATCCTCTAATTTTCAATTAATACTACGTCAATTTTTTTTTCCTTTTTGTCAAAGTAGACACTTCCGCTACCAGCTATTCAATTTTACTCAAACCATACCTATTTTTTTCTAATGTAATCGCCCTATAACATCAATCCTTTGATGTTTCAATAGAAAAACTGTTATCATCAGTAGAAGCCCAATTGTAGGTGAGTGTTAAAAATACCGAAAAAACATGAACACAGTCCATATAAACACCGCAGGATGCAGAAACAACACAATAGATCAAAACAAGCAAATGAAATGCCGTCGGGGAATTAACAGCGTCTAATTACGGCAGCTCCTAATGCTGAATCTGCAGCAAGGATTGGCTTGCAATATTAGCTTTGGTTTTGCATACAAAATAATACTCCGCTGCAGCTTCCAAAGATACAAAGATGCCGAAATTTAAAGTACCTGATTTTATTGTCGTTACCATCATAGGGACTCTTTGACCTGAGGCATTTGAAGGGTTGTGTTTTTGTGCAAATTCCTAATTTTTTTTTCTTCCGAATTTAGTTGTGGGTTTACTGTTTTAAAAATCATAGCACTACCGATGGTAATAGAAACAAAAAAAGTAAAAGCAAAATCACTATAAAATGGAATTTTGCATGCTCATAGGACTCAAATTGGTTTTAAAACAATCCTTTTGCTTGCTCATGTTCTTTAAAATATAAGTTTTGAAAAAAAGATAGAAAAAATTTAATTCAGAAAAATAATCCAATTAGCCAAAATAATTCGACTAATTTATCTAATTATTATTTTTTTATTTGTCCTGATTTAAATAATTGACACTCTCCTTAATCCTCTTTCTTTGCTAATCACCAGAATTACTCAATTTCACCAGACCACCCAGTACAACCACTCTAAACAGCTTAAATAGCACTAGGGCACACACTAGTAGTTCAGTTAATCAAATCACTATATAATAACACTAATAATATTTATAATAACTTGAATCCATTTTTTTCATCAGTAGTACTACTTCCAAACTGCATTTTTTACCTTAATTTTGAAGGCAATTGACTATAGGTGCTCTTTTCGAATCTTCACCTTCATACCCATATGATCTTTGTCGAAATTACCATGCTCCAACAAACATAAAAGCATAGGAAAATTAATAAAAAAATCAATCGGTAAGTTTTGGTGTTTATTAAAAACAAAATTTCAATTTGACATATTAATTTGTTCTGGGAATTATAATATTTTTTCTATATATATGTTTTTTTATGCTAAAACGGGCGTTGTTTTTCTATTTAGAAATATCTATAGCTGGAATTATTTAAAATTTGTTTACGTTTGTTACTAGTAGAGCAAAGAAATTGAGTAGGCTTTGTATAACCTTTTTTTTCAGTAAATTATAAGCTAAATTCTCTTTATCCATTTCTCTTATAGCAGCTATTTTCCATATTTTTTTTAATTCATAATTTTCAAGCCTTTCCAAAACAGTATACATGTATGTATATGCATATCACCACATAATACGGTTGTTGACTGCTAAATTATGCTATTATTTGCACCCGCAAAGCTGGACCTGAACGCTTTTCCACAAATGTCGTAAAATAAACAAACAGTGTTAAAAGGTAAAAATCTTGATATAAATAACCTATAACCATATAATTATAAATGCACCTAAGGATTAAATAACAAGATACAAGATAATTGCATACAATAGGTTTTAATATTTACAAGGAAATATCCAATAACAAGGATTTTTATTACCAATTAGTATTTAAAGATCATGTCCCTAATTCCATTAAATAATCAGAAAAGAAGAAAAATATCAAACGATAAAAAATTAGGCAGAAGAGTCAGTGGTGCTTTGATATTTAGACAGCAGTTAACTCAAGTTGATGACACCAGCAAAAACTCCAATGATCTAAGCAATATATTAACCACTACAATCATTAATACAACCACCAACCGAAACAATCAATTTTTAGATGATGATGACGATGATGATGACGATCAATTATTAATGGATCACGAAAATTTCGAAGAATGGATTCGAATGACAACAGATAACAAGATCAATATAATTAACTCTTGGAATGTTAAATTAATTGACTATTTTCATGATTTAAGAGTTCTAAAAGATGATAAAAATAATATAAACTTTCAAAAGGCCTCTACAACCTTAGATGGGTGTATGAAAGTTTACTCATCAAGAGTTGATTCAGTAGCAACAGAAACAGGAAAATTATTAACAGGTTTGGGAACTAAGAGCAAAAACAGTAAAGCTGATGGAAATGGTGATCAAAATGATGATGGAGATCCTAATAACAAATTGAGCAATGATCAAGATATTAATGAATTTTTTCCTGATGAAAACAATTCTAAAAAAAAAGAAAGAAAGAATAGAAATAGATTTCTTGAAACAACTTTAGTCAAAGATTTTGATGAATTAAAAATAAAAAAATTAGAACAAGAGTTTCAAATTGATCCACTCTTCAAAAAAGCCTTGTCTGAATTTGACGAGGGTGGTGCAAAATCCTTATTGTTAAACAATTTAGATATTAATAAAGAAGGAAGAGTGGTATTTGATACTGGAAGTCAGAATAATGAAATAATTATAAAAGATTATGATGATAATGGTGATCAAAGCATACACCCAACCGAAATTGGGCAACTACAATCAGAATTGGATGAGGAAAAAAATGACAAAATCTTGCCAGAAAAATCAGAGATCAATATTTTAAATTTTTCAACAATTGATTTTTCTTTTTTTAAAAAGATTTTGTACAGAAATAATAAAGAATTAGAAAATTTATCTGTTTGCAAAAAGATTTCTCAAATTGAAGAAATCTCTAATAATGTGGGAAAGTCAAAAAATTTAATTGACAATTTACTAACCATCGAAGAATCTTTTGTTTTTTATGGTGATCAGAGCGATGAAAATCCTTTTCCATTTGAAGATTCAAAATTTTTGGAAGCTAATGATATCACTGAAAACAATTTTAGTAATGGAAATAAAAACGTACTAAATTCTGATGAACAACATATTGATAATAACATAGATTTTTTTCCCAACGACGATATGGATATGCCTGCCTTTGAAGACATTAATAATAATTTTAATGACGAGGATGATGATAATGATGAGGATGACAATGACCACCAAGAACAAAATGATTCCTTAGATCAAATTGGAGCTCTCAGTAACAAAGCTGCCGCCGTTTTAAATACTTTAATTGATAATGAAATAAATGATGATGATAATTTTGATATAGAAGATCCAAATTCATCAAAAAGAATACTTGATGTAAATATAATGGCCTATTTTGACAATCAGGGAAATAAAAATTGGGCAGGTCCTTTATACACCAGAAACACACACTGGAAGATTAATGCATTCAAGAAAAATACTTTGGGAATTCCAAGTAATAGTAATGAAATTGAAACTAAAAATGATAGTAATGAAAGTTTTTCAAAAGGGATAAATAAAAAAAAAAACAAATTAGAATTTACGATTGATTTTTTTTCAGACGATATTGATGAAGAGATTTTATTCAAGTCGTCTAAAACATCGATTGATTTACCTGCAAAACAAAGAATAAGTAAAGACAATAATTTATTGCCAAAAGATCTTTATTTTTCGTCAAGTAGATTGATTCATTTTTTCTTAAAACCTGATGATAATTTAGCAATATATGTTCATAAGGGTATTAAAAAAGATACTCAGACTGATAATTACATAGAAGAGCCTAAAGCTGAACCAGATAATGGAATTGTTCATGATCATGCTGATGAAAAGTTTTTCGCAAATGCCTATGAAGATGCTGAAAATGAAAAAAATGAAAAAGACAACTTTTATCAAGATGATATTCCGATTGATGCAGGAGCAGATGTTTTTGATGATGATTTTGGTGATGCTTATGGTATGGATGTTAGCCAGGTAATTCAAAGAGACTCAATTAGTCCTAGTGAAAATTTTGGCTCTAATTCTTCTAGCAGAAGAAGAGGAGGCGATACTGTTAGTTATTCTAAAATTGCCAAAAGAGTTGATGTCAAAATGCTTAAAGACAACCTATGGAGTGCTTTTAATACAGTAAAAAAGGAAAAAGAAAAGATATCATCACATAGACACAGTGAAGAGAATCAAAAAGAGAATCAAAAAGAGAATCAAGAAGAAGATAAAACCGAAACTGAAGAGCAAGTCAATGGCTCAAAACTGCCACTCGAGGTTGATAATGATATCAAGTTTAGTGATATCGTTAAAAATACAAGCGATATGTACTCTTTGGAAGAAAGACGAGATTTGAGTACCAGTTATTTTTTTATTTGTGTTCTTCATTTAGCAAATGAAAATGGATTGACAATCGAAGGTGATGTTAACTATTCTGATTTTAGAATAAAAGGGATGACATGATTTTGTTTATTGAATGTTCTATTTAGAGTTTCTTGAGTTGTATTGTTTTTTATGATTAGTTTTTTTGGATCGTTTTTTGTACTTTTTAAAATACCCATTATTTTTTATTTTTAAATTTTTAATAAAAAGCAAAAATATAAATTATGTTTATGTACAGTGAAGGCAAACTATAAATATTTTGAAGAGAGAGTATATTGAATATGCACTAAAAAATTAAGTAAAAAGTAAAATTAAAAAAAAATAAGTTAATAATTAAACTGTTATGATAAATATCATAAAAAAATATTAATATTTGACATAGAATATATGGGTATGTAGTTTGAATCTTTTAATAGGCTTGTGTAATTTGATTTCAAGTTTTAATGCTAATTTCACAACTTTTCTTCAAAAAATAACTGGAATATGAAAAAATAAGATAAAATAAAATAAAAAAACACAAGCAAAATTCAATAAAAAATAGAGATTTAAAATTGACTCTTTTGTTTTTTTGTGGAATATAAAAATAGAAATAAAACACAAACAAAACCATAAATATAAAAGTAACAAATCAATTTGTAAAAAAATAGTACATGAAAAAAAAAAAAAATTTTAAAAATTGCATTGTAATTTCCTTCTATTTTTTTTTGTTTGATTTTTAATTTTTTCCAATTTTAATTTCTTTTTAATTTTTTTTACTTTTGTTATTTATTTATTTAAATAATAATAAAGAAAATCAAGCCTGCGGTTCCATTACTGGAAAGGGAGGTTTATTTGAAGTTTCTTTATATTTTTTATCGCGTTCATCGCTTCCTTTAATAACAGTATTTGATACCAATTTGTCCTTCTCAATTATTTCACCTTTAACGACTTTTTCGATTTCATCTTTTGTCAAAGTTTCATATTCCATTAAACCATTTGCTAATCTAGTTAATTCTAGTTTTCTATCATTCAATAATTTTCTTGTTCTTTCTTCACTCTCTTTTAATAATCTAACAACTTCTTGATCGGCATTATCTCTAATTTTTGAAGACCAAGAATCCCATTCATCAGATAATTTGACAGGACCTACTTTATCAGACATACCGTATTGGGTTACCATTGCTCTTGCAACGCCGGTTGCGTTACTTAAATCTGAACTACAACCAGTGCTGACGTTTTCTGGAGTATAAATAATTTCTTCAGCGATTTTGCCACCCATTGCAACATCTAATCTTGCGAGACATTCTTTGAAAGTCAAGTCGTGCTTATCCATTTCAGGTAGTTGAAAGGTTACACCTAGGGCTCTACCTCTTGGTAAAACGGTTGCTTTGTATAGGGAGGTTGCACCTGGGGTATATAATGCCATAATTGCATGACCAGCTTCATGAAAGGCAGTTGATCTTCTTGATGCTTCAGTTATGACCATTGTTTTCTTTGCAGCGCCCATTAAAATCTTATCTTTTGCCCATTCGAAATGGTTCATATCAACAGATAGAGCATTTTGTTGGGAAGCGTAAACAGCAGCTTGGTTGACTAGATTCATCAATTCAGCACCAGATAAGCCTGGAGTACCTCTTGCAATAATGGTTGGATCAACGTCGGAGCCAATTTCTATATTTTTCATGTGGTGAGTTAAGATTTGAGTTCTACCTCTAACATCGGGTAAATCAACGTTGACGATTTTATCAAATCTACCAGGTCTTGTTAAAGCTTTATCCAAGGATTCAGGAAAGTTTGTAGCACCGATTATAATGATACCAGAGGTTTGAGAAAAGCCATCTAATTCGACTAGTAATTGGTTCAAAGTTTGTTTTACATAGGCTTGATCCCTTGGATTTCTTTTACCACCAATTGCATCTAATTCATCAATAAAGACAATTGCAGGAGCTCTTGATCTGGCTTGAGAGAACAATTCACGAACTCTTTTAGCACCAACACCCACATATAGTTCGTCGAATTCGGAACCAGACATGAAAAAAAAGGGAACCCCAGCTTCACCAGCGGTTGCTCTAGCCAATAATGTTTTACCGGTACCAGGAGGACCAGTTAATAGAACACCCTTTGGTAATTTACCACCGAGGCCAGTGAATTTGGAGGGATCTTTTAGAAACTCTACAATTTCTTCCAATTCAGCTCTTGCTTCATCGACACCACAAACATCATCAAATTTAACGGTTGAAGTTGAGCCATCGATTGATTTATCAGTAATTTCTGAGTTTTTGAAAATGGTGCCATTCTCGACTAGCCATGAAAAGCCCTCAGTACCAGCCCAAGTTAAGAAACCGATTGGGATGATTAGTTTTAGTAGTTTTGTTAAGATGGTCCAGCCCGATTCTGTTATCACGACGTGAACAGGAAGATGTTTTGAACCAAAAGAAGAATTTAAAGGGATATTAGTATTGTTATCCAAGATGTTATTTTGAGAGCTGTTATTGTTGAGAGGGTTGTTGTTGTTGATTTGGTTTGAGGAGTTTTGTTGTAAATTATAAGAAGTGGCCAAATTATGAGCTTTAATGAAGTTACCAGTTTTCTTCAAGGCTTCTATGTATAGATTAATACACTCATTGTTTTTAGCGATTCCAGGAGTTTCGAATCTTGATATTATGACTTGGGGGTAATTTGAAGATAGTAACAATCTATAAAAATCAGCTTGGATGATTGGATTTGATAGATTTGAGTTTGCATATTGTTCTTTTGAAGCTAGTAAAGACTTTAGATTGTTGTTTAGATTATTGTTCAAGTTGTTTAAATTGTTCGAGTTTTGGTGGTTGTTGTTCAAGTTACTATTGTTGAAATTATCATTAATGTTTCTGAGTAAAGAAGTGGAAACGAAATTTCTTTTTGTTATTAAAAATTTTTGGTTTTTTCTCAATAGGATTGATGCAGTCGCAGTTGAAGCTATTGGGATGGAGGCATTTAAGAGCCAGGAAGATGTGAGAGGATTAGTGATGAATCGTTGCATGCTGAGTGGTAGAAGATGGTGGATAGTGCACAGTGAACAGTGAACAGTGTCTGGGATAGCAGAGTGAAGAGGTTAGCAGATGTATTTGGTGAAAAGAAAATAACTGGTGGTAAATAGAGGTGGAAGTGGACGAGCTGAAGAGAGTAAAGGCAATAGCCAGCTCAGGCAGTGGGCAAAAGAGGACGTAGACTCGAAGACTAGATAGTTGTAGGTGGAACAGTGCTGCTTCTGCTGTTTTTGCTTCTTCTTTTTCTGCTTCTTCTTCTTCTCCCTCCTCTGCCTCCCTTCCACGGCGGCAAAAGCACCAAAAACAGCAGCCCGGCCCGGCCAAAACCCGCCGCTGCGGAAAGACCCCGTTTTTTGTTCCACGGGACCGGTCCTGTTTATATGCGCGTGCATGCGTTTGAATGTGTGTATATGCGATACATATCGGTGGTTTTTCTCTGGAGGTCCATGGCTGTGGGTGTGGTTTTGGCAGAGCAAAAGTTTTGCTTTTTTTACCCCAGAATTTACAGCTTTATTCCTCCAGCAGCAATGAATGGACCTACAACAGTATAAATACACGAGAAAAGGAGACAAAGTTGTTCCTGTCTGCTCAAAGACCTGCTGTGCTCTTGGTTGTATCTTGAAATGAACTCCCAAATGGCTCCCAAGCTTTGCAATAGCGACATCAATAGCGACATCAATAGCGACAACCATAATCACAATCTTCAAATCAAGAAAAACCTAATAAACAATCTAGTCAGCTCCATAATTTCCATTCCTTATAGCAATGAAAACAAAATATCAAAGGAATCCATTTGGAACTGCTTGTTTCTTCTAATAGACGACGTTGATAAAAAGCATTATAAAAACTATTTGCATATCGACTTATTTGACTATTTGATTGATTTCACTCAAAATGATACCCATTCAATTGATACAAAGATCACTGAATTAAGATTCCTAAAGAACAATCTACTAATTTATAATAAAAACTTTAATAGATTTCTATTGTTTTATTTATCCAACTTGCTAAAATATAATACACTATCTTTATTAAATGAAAAGATTACAATAGATGATCAAGCCAAAAAAATTATATTGAACTGTCAATTTAATATCAGAAACCTAAATACATTAAAAAGAATAATAAATAACAATACCAGCATTGATGACATTAATAACAATAATAACTGTCCAATTTGTTTATTAAATAATAAACAGTTTTACTATTTTACTGAATGTGGCCATTCAATATGTAAAGACTGTTCAATTAGTCTTATCCACTTCAATCATAACGATGATAATGATAATGATAATCAAATTCAGAATAACGCTCATTTTAATACTCACAATACTGAGGATAAGAAAATAAAATTCATTAATGATAATCTTAATTTTAAATTCAAATGTTGTTTTTGTAGAACAAAAATTTACAATATTATTGGTCAATCTCAATTATTAAATGAAATAAATCTATATCATTTATTATTTAATAATAATAATAAAAATAAAAATGACAACAAATTATCAATAAAAATATGGTACAACTTATCAAAAATTTATTCCATCGAAAAATTAGACTTTTTATTTACTTAATCAAACCCATCTCATTTCTTTAAATCAATCTTTCTTCATCTACAATTACTCTTCATATTAAAATATAGCAGACTTCATATTCTTAAAAACGTATATAAATATAAAAGCATTAAATAAATCTTTTTTTGAATAAATAACAAGAAAATAAATTTGGTGTTTTTCTTTAATTAGAATTTATTGTTCATAAAAATACTTGAATCTTAAATTTAATTTAGTAATATTAAAAAATGTTTTTGTTAAGCAACTGTTTAAAACATTTTTAATTAATAATTACTTTAATTGACTCAAGTTAATAAATATAAAAAAATTTATCCCATCAAACTTAATTTGATTTCCATTTTAATAACTTTTTTAATATATTTGACACAATTCAAAATAAAAATCAATTATTATTATTATTATTTATTTCAACTTTATTACTATTAATATCAATTAAATCTTCAATCCAATTCTTTTTCTTCTCAACAATTATAATTCGTCTGCTTATTTGGATCTAGCTCTGACCTTCCGTCTCTTTCTCTTAAGTCTTCTAACTCTCTTCTTTCTCCATTTAGCTCTCATTTCTAATACTTGTTAGTATAAATGAATTAATTAATATTCAAATGCCAATTAACTGCTCAATTGATTGCTTCTTGGATTTGGTACATACTGAAAAATGATAATCAAGTTATCGATATTCTAGGAAAAGAGAGGAAACGAAGGAAGAGAGAAAGAAGAAGCGTTTTAAGGAGTTCTCTCTCTTCCGCAATTGCTCTCAAAGCGGCTTCTGTTACCCGTCTGCTGAAACCACGCAACAGCCTTCTGTTTTGGGATAGACATATATATCATGTGTTTTAATGTAGGTCATTTCACTCAGAAATAGGGCTCCACAAATATCAAAAGAACCACTAGAAGGAAAAGAAGCACAAGAAGTACAAGAAGCAAAAGCAAAAGAAGTAAATTTTAATTCAGTTTAATAATACAGTTTTTATTTGCATGATCTAAATAGCTATATATATATACAATCGCCTCCTGCTTATTGACCCAACTTCTTACTCTCCTGTTTGTACGCAATCTCAAGAGGTGTTTTCAAATCTTGTAACCCAGTAAATTGGACAATATCTGCAATCATCTCTTTATTAATCACCATTTTCTCTTTTTTATCGTTGAGACTGCTATTGAATTCAATTCTATTCCCACTATATTTTGAATAAATATCATTGAACTCTTTCAAATCTTCATAAATCAAATTTCCTGTTATGTAATTCTCGTCCAAGAAACTGTTTCTTTTGCCATTTTTCAAGTTGCTAGAATCTATACTTCCATTGTTTAGCAAATATTTTAAATGTTTCAACCCAACGAGTGCTTTTACATGACAATATGCTCGATAACATAAATAAAACCCAGGAAAATTTGGTATAAGGGGAACAACTGCAATTGGTAGGGTTAATGGAATACCAACTAAACAATAAATTAATTGTTTGGTGTGATAATTGGTCGAATTAATCGAAATTTTTTCAAGTTTTTTAGATACTTCAAAATTTGAAATAAATTCCTTTGGAAAATATAATGGAATTGGCTTGATTAAATTCAAACTAATCTTATTATTAATCATTTCATCGTGGGTAATTGTAATCTTGTTATCACCATCATTATAATTATTATTATTATTATTATCTAATATAAAATTAACCCTCTTTTCATGATTCAATTTCAATTCTTTTAACAACATTTCATTAACATCGTGCTTTTTCAAATATCCCTTGCCATCATCTCTATTCCCATTATAATTCATATCATTATGAAAATTATCAATATTTTTTTGCTTATCGGTATCACTCACCACTTGGATTTCTCTCAATATAACCTCTCTTGATGGAATTGATCTTAAACATATTTCATTCCAGTTGATATTATCAATTAGCTTTTGAATCAAGTTGCAACAATACTTGATTGATCTTTTATCGGATTTTAATAAACCTAACCAAACACTGTTGAATTTTACTATAAACTTATTCGAATAAATCGAAGCTTTTAATTTGGTTTCTTTGAATTTCTCTGAAACTAAATTGAAAGTTGAATTAGAATTAGGATTAAAAGTAGAAGTTGTAACTGGCTTTAGTGTCTTTAACGACAGATATGTATGGACGTTATACTGCTGATTGAAGTTGTAATATAGAAAAATCTTTTTATTAGTAACCGGTAATACCATGATATTTAATGGAGCCAATTTTGGATTGGGTTTGATTTCTGGTTTAATATCATCACCATTGCCATTATTCTTCTCATAAGTATTTCCAGTTGAATACTCTCTTTGTGGATATGATAATTGATTCAAGCCCACACAAGCTGATCTTCCAATCAACAAGTTTCTCCTACGAATCATAAATGCCATTCTTATCGCCTCCACGTTTCGTCAAAATATAATTAATAATGCAACCTAGTATATCTCATTAACAAACAACAACTGAGCTCAACTGAAAGTACTTCAATATCCCTTAAGGTTTCTCTTTTTTGCTTTTTCTTTTTTTTCTGGATCCACCTTGTTACAACACTATCGTCTTGTTATATAAGGAATATATCAATCAAGAAACAATACTGTGATGCCTCCACTCAGCCAACTTTCCAGTCTGCGTACAAAGTCTCAATTAAAATTGTTGGACTTGTCTACGCATTCGCAATTTGAAATAACCACCTATTCTCTTACAGCTAATACTGTTGAGGGCTAGCAATGTTCAAATGGGTAAAATTTCATACTCAGCTTACCAACATTTCCGAATCCGATCTGCAGATCGATTTCTTATCAAGTCAAGCTTTATAATGCATAATGAGATGAGATGATGAACCAACAAAATGCTGCTGAACAGCTGCTGAACAGCTACTGAATAATCTCTTTAACAGTGAGCCCTCATGCCCCCAGAGGTTTCTGATGTTTTTGCTTCCTCTGCTTCTTCTGGTTCCTCTGCTTCTTTTGCCACCCGATCGGAACAGCTCCTACAGAATGGGGTTTCTGCTGCTTCTGCTGCTTTTGATTTCCATCTTGAGATTCCCATTACTGCTTATCGTGAATTAAATCAGGAAATGCATTCATCTAGTCGAAACATTGCCTCAATACCAACACGTTTCTATTTGGGTGTGACTTTCATAGTAATTAATTTCATTTGCCTTCTGATTATCAACGCTGAACTAATTTCGGCAAATAATTATAATAATGATAATAATAATAAAATATCTCAACCTTTGTTTCAAAAGATAACTGAAGCTGCCAATTTTTCTTCAATCACTTATTGCATCAATAAAAAAGACTCGCTAAAAATTGATTATGATACCGACGAAAGAAAATTTAAATGCCCTCTAGACTTTTGTAAAAATTCACTTGAAAATGATAGAAATTATGAATTGGTTAAAGTGTTTAAAATTGATACTATTGAGGAAGTTAGCAATAATGAAAATGAGTATCAAATAAACTACATTAAAACTAAAAAAATTAACTTACTTGATCATTTGAAACCAAATGGTTATATTGCCTTGAATCATAAATCCAAAAAAATTATAATAGCATTTAGAGGCTCAAGATATTACAATGACTGGTTAATTAATTTATCTATTTTTCCTGTTAATTTTATCCCATATTTGCAGTACCATATTGACAATTCTTTTAATAGCTACAATTGTTCATGTTGTTTGGTTCATTTTGGGTTTTTTCAAGCTTACGGGTCAATTGTCGAAGATATTTATTCAACAACAATCGAATTGGTCAAAACTTATCCAGATTACTTTATTGAAATCACCGGTCATTCATTAGGTTCTTCTCTAGCTATATTAACTGGCTTGGAATTTAAATTATTAGGTTTAAACCCATTAATTATAACTTTTGGTGGTCCAAAGAGCACTAATCACAAATTAAGTGAATTTATTAATCAAGTTTTCAATACAGATGCTTTATTAAATAATCTATTTGAAAATGGTTTTATTTATTCCAGCGATGGTGAAATAAATAATAATCGAGAGTCAGAAAAGTTGGAAGAAATACTATTTGAAAATGGTGGAATAATTCGAATAATTCATAAAGGCGATTATGTTCCTGACTTACCACCAACAATTGCAATGAATTCTTTAGATATTTTTGAGAAGGAATTTAGGGATAAATATAATGAAAATGAAAATGAAAATGAAAGTGAAAGTGAAAGTGAAAATAATTTAGTGGATTTATTAAATTTTATCACAAATTCCAAATTTAAAAGAATTAAAAATAAATTTTTAAAAAGTATTATTAGATTTAAAGAATTATTTACTTTTAATCATGTAGGTATAGAAATTGTTATAAATAAAGGAGAACTACCTCATTTAATAGATGATTTGATTATTTTCAATAACAATGATGATAGCGAGGATGGTAATAAAAACAATTATGAAATTAATAATGGAAAAAGCAACCATGACAAAATCAACGAGGAAAACTCGAATTTAAATGAGGTTTATAAAGAATTTTTCAATTATTTTTTTAATGAAACTAAAATTACTTTATTGAAAGAAATTAATAAAAATGAGTTAATACCCGATATAAGATTTATGAGTAGCTATTATATGGATCGAGATGAAAACATAAGCGATCATACAGCTACTGAAAGTCATAATATTAATAATATAAAAGAAAATAAGAAAAGAGTGGAAAAATTATTACATTCATATGAACATACGAGATACTTTATTTTTACAAGTGAGTGTAATAAATTGGAATAATTTAAAAAGATTATTTTCTTACTTTCTTAATTTTTTAATTTTTTTAGATTATCTTTCTATTAATTTTTATACGGTTTATATAGATTGTTGAATATTAAAATAAATATATTAATGCTCAAAAAAAAAAGGAATTTTGAGGAATATAAAAGGGCAGAATAATAATAAAAGTATATTGTTAAAAATAATACTAAATTAATTGATGAAAAAGAAAACAGCCAAAAATAAAAATAAATCAATTTAGTATTTAAGTGTGATAAAAAAAAATGATTTCATAAAGTTATATTATTGTAATGTTAATTTATCATTTCTGGTAATAATAAAAAGAAAAAAGCAGTTTATTTTTCTTTTCATTATCTAAATTAGCTTATTTGTCTTTTGCGTCAAAGATTTTTTCTTCTAATTCGTCTTTTTCTTTATGAAGTTTTTTTAATTCATTTCTTAAAGCAGCCAATTTTTCAATTTCATGTTGTTTAACATAGTAATCTTCTTTTGCTTTTTCACGTTTCTACAATGGAATTGAGAGTACAAAACGTTAGTATGAATTCAATCGATAATGGGGTGAACAACGTTAGTTCAATTAGCAATATCAACCTAATATGAAAGGCAAAAGTAGACAATCAATACTAGATGTAATAACAATAACTTACAGTAAATGAGTCAGAAGCACCTTCGCCTCTGAAAGAACCAGTGGAGCCTTCAGAGTAGAATCTAACAGCGCTAATGCTTTTTGGAGAAGAGACCATAGCACGACGAGTAAACAAAGTTAAAACCATTTCGAGTGTAAAAGAACAGGAAACAGAAGAGCGTACAAAGAATGGTTAATTGAAAGAGAGTTGAGAAGTAGATATAATAGAACAGGACAGTTCAGCAAAGAACAAAATGAGGTGTATATTGGTTGATTGTGCGATAATAATCATCAAATCACCCACCTCAGAAGAGCAAGGCCACTCCAGCCAATCACAGCCCACGGATCCCGCCCTCAGCATTTTCTGGGGAGGTGCACAGCCGGCACACGTGAAAGGTACGGTTTCTGCAGCTTTCATCCAGAGAACATATCCATGCAGCACCGGATAATCCACAATACATTTCCGGAACAGAGCTCCGCGGCCGTGCTTCTGCGGATCGGATGTGTCCGGTTTTGAAGGTGGTTTTGGGTCGAGGTTTTGGTGGTGAAGAAGAAGAAAGTGCTGCTTTTGGTGCTGATGTTGGCTGCGAAACACTATGTCGTCTTCTTTGGTGAAGAGGAGGAACCCTGAGTTGACAGAGGATGTGTATACCACAAAACGTGTAAGTGTTTACTACTTGTCGCCTGTTCTCTGCGAATTGACAATCTTACTAACTGAATCCATCACAGACAAGAATAGACCCAGTGTCTTCAATTGACAATGTCCCTGACTTGATATTACAAGGACATGAGGGGCCCATATTGACCTCGAGATTCAATGGCGATGGAACATTGATTGCAAGTGGAGGAATGGACAGAAATTTGTTTATTTGGAAGTTTCCTCACAATTCAACAGATCTTTCGGTTGTTAATCTTTGCAAATTATCTGGTCATAAAAATGCCATAACCTCATTAAAGTGGTTCAGAAATGATAACGAGAGGATTATAACATCTTCTGCTGATAATACGTTAGCCCTTTGGGATCTTAAATCTTGCAAAAAAATCAAAAAATTTACTTATAAATTTGACTCGACAAACAAAATAAACCCTCAAACTAATTTTAATCACCATCATTTAACAGTAAACGATTTCGATATAATCAACAATGATTACTTGAATTATAACAACAATTTCATATCATGTAACGATAATGGTGATTTGATACTATGGGATCAACGATTTAAACAAAACTTGATTAAAAAGATTAACATCAATAATTATTCTTTATTTTCTTTAGTATCCTCAATCAAAAACAATTTAATTTTCACTTCTGGTTTGAATCCAATAATATATTCCTTTGATTTAAGATATTTTGATGAAAAAAATCCTTATTTCAAAATCAGATCTCCTCACCTCGATTCAATAACTTCTCTATCTTTATCTAATGATAACAATTCCTTAATCTCACGATCAAATGATGATACAATAAGAATTTATGATTCCTCATTTAATACCAATACTAATGCCAATAACAATGCCAATAACAATGACAAATACGATAATAAAAGAATTAAACCTGTTGTTTATGACGGAACTTACAATAATAATGAAAATTATTTAATCAGATCAAAAATTGTTGATAACATTAATAATAGCAATAGATTACCTGTTATAATATCCGGTAACTCAAATAAAAATGTAACAGTTTGGGACTTGAATTCAAGAAAGATTATCAATCAGTTGGATGGCCATAATGGCACCGTAATCGATGTGGATTTTCATCCTTTTGAGAATACGATTCTATCTTCTTCTACTGATGGTAATTTGGTATTAAAAGAATTAAAAAACAATTTACTAATTGAATAATATTTTATCTTTGTTTAAATTCATTACATATTATACATTTTCCTATATTCAACAAAATTAAGGTATATATATTATTTAGATATTTATTTAGATATTTATTTACAAATCATTATTTTTTTTTTAAAAAAAACATTCAGTTTACTGGCAACACCAGAAAACTATTCTAATTAAAAGTCGTCGTATCTGTTCGATCTTCTTCCATAATCTTTAAATGATGATCTTGAATCTCTTTTGTTATCCAGGTAATTTGGTCTTCTACCTCCAAACCCTTTTTTGTCACCATATTTATCATTAGAGAATCCTCTATCTTTAGAAAATCCTCTGTCTTTGGAAAATCCTCTATCTTTAGAGAACCCTTTATCAGCGAGGAATCCTCCATCATTATTGTCATTGCTGAAATATCCTTTTTTATCTGAATTCCTACCGAAACTCTGTCTATCACCAAATTCTCTGTTTGAAAACGATCTTCCTGTGTCAAAATAATCATCTAATATTGGATGTCTTCTTTCTCCAAACAAATGAGTTAATAAATTTCTTGGTAAACGAATTCTTTTACTTGCATCATCCATCATCAACTTATAAGACAGAGCAACAGTTTCAACCAAGTCTATTTTATCAACACGAAGCATTGATGAAAATTGAGTAACATAGCCTAATAATGAAATACTAGTTTCTTGAGCAAGATCATCGCCATTTTCTGCAGCTTGAGTAGACCAGTTAACAAAATGCTTTTCAACACTTTCAGCTTTCTTAATATCAAACTTCTCTTTTTTGGAAAAAGTTATTTTACGTGCTTCTAGGATAGTCGTAAAACCAGATTCAATTTCAGTTGAAAACAATACGGACTTACCATAATTTCCAGCTCTAGCAGTTCTACCAATTCTGTGGACATATGTAGATGACTCAGTTGGGATACCAATCTGGATAACATGAGAAACATGAGGGAAATCCATACCACGAGCACCAACATCACTTGTAACTAGAATTGCATTATTTTTAGTGTGCTTAAAGTTGTGTACAGTTCTATCTCTAGCATTTTGAGTTAATTTTCCATGAAATTCATAAACATCTATAATATTTCTATTTCTATCAGGTCTGGGGAGATGTACTGAGTTAACATTTTGAAATTTATCATCCAAGTAATGAGAAAGTGCATTTGAGTAAAAAGTTACACTTTTGACAGTTGGTAAGAAAATAATTGCTTTGAAGTTTTTTTCATTTGTATCAACAGCTGTGGTTAGAGCATCATCAATATATTTTGTTGCACCGATGAAATTTTCAAAATAGTTTTTAGTTTGAACATAAGTTTGTTCAATTCTTGTATGAGCTTCAGGTTCATTTGGATTAACGTTATCAAGATATTTAACATCACCACCAAGAACAGCTTTGGTAAAACTTAATACACTTTTATCGATTGTTGCAGAGAATAGTAATGTTCTAAATGGTTGTTTTACGGCTGGTAAACCTTGTTGTTCAAGACTCATATTGTGTAATTTAATCAAACCGGAATTTATTTTAATTAAATCATCTTTAAAACCAATATCTAGTAATCTGTCAGCCTCATCAAGAACTAAAGTTTTGATATCAGTAAAAGCGTTTAAGACACAGTCCACTTCAATGATATCTAAAAATCTACCGGGAGTAGCTATAACAATTTGAGGAACAATTTTTTTTTCAAAATTGCTGATTTGATAACCTCTGCTTTCACCACCAACAACGTTCAAGGTTTTTATTAAAGAGAAAGGGTTTCTAGAACTTCCACGATCATTACCATAATCATAAGAATTTCTAGAGTTTCCACGACTGTAACCACTGTTGCCGTAAGAAGTTTTTCTATTTCTGTTTCGATTTGAACCATATTTTGAATCATTATTCAAGACAGATTCCACACCTAAAACACTATCCAAGGCAATTTTGATTTGATTTGCTAAATCTCTTGTGGGAGCAATAATCAAAGCAGATACTTTTGAAAGATCTTTATTTGGATCAGATTTGATTTTTTCAACCACTTCTTGCAAAATGGGTATACCAAAAGCCAAAGTTTTACCTGTACCTGTTTTAGCTCTTGAAATCAAACCAAATTTATTTTTTAAAAGATAAGGAATAGATTTTTGCTGAACCGGGGTCATTTCTTTCATACCTAGCTTGTGGATACCATCAATAATAGTCTTGTCAACCAAATTTTGGTATTGTAAAGAGGCAAAGTCTGCAAGGGATTCTTCATTCTTGGATTCAGATTGTTCAGCTTTCTCGCTATTTTTTTTTTTGGATAAATCGAATCCATTATGTTCAAGCTTACTTGTAATCTCATCAACTTGAGCCTGGAATCTTGGGATTATGGTTGAAAAATGTCTTGGTAAAGATAAGTAATTGAATTTGTTTTTTGGTTGCAAATTGATAATTGTTCTGGTATTAAAGGTGGATGCTATATTATTTCTAATAAAATTCAACGATATGGAGGAATCCAACACAAGTTTATTTGAGACTATCGAAATAGCTCTTTTGGAGAGGAAAGATTGAGACATAAAGAATCTTGTACTAAGCTACAGACTTAAGAAAATACTATAATACACAGGAATGAAATGAACAAGCAAGAATCGATTAAGGAAATCGAGCTATATACGTCTGAGAAAGGATTATCGGTTTGATGTATTTGATTTATTTACAACGATACTATCGAAATTCCTAAAATAATCAGAAAAAAATCCAAAAATAAAAGTTGTTTAAAATCTTTTTCTTGAAAATTTTCTTTAATCACGTGTCCAACGGAAACCGTGTTCGGTGTTTGAAACGCGTCCGTCGGCAGCGGTGTGCATAGTCCGTTGGGCTGGGCTTTGCTGTTTCTGCTGTTTCTGCTGCTAGCAAATCGCTATTTTGTGCTGCATTTCTTGCAAGCAGCTCACCAAAACGGAGAAAGTGCCGTATTTCTCCAGCAACTCGCTGGAAACTGTGGATCCACTTACAACAGCATCTTTCTTCTTGAATCTTACTGCAGCAGAAATGGCACTGATCAAATCCTCGTTGAGCTCTGCTTTACCATTTAGTAAATATTCCAATATCTTGATGTGCACACTGAAATCTAGTTTTAACCGTAGTTTTTGGCCTCGAAGGTTCTTCAAGCTGATTTTCAAAACCTTGCCTGGAGCATTATAGGAAACTGCAATTGGTGATTTCAAACTTAGTAGAAACAATTCCTTGTCCAAGGCAATCAACTGCTTGCTGATCTCAATGAAGTTGTTAAGATATTCAATGCAGTTCCCACTGCTTTTCAAAACATCAAGACTCTTATAGTTATGCTTGAAAAATTCTAGTAGTGGCTCATTGTCTTCTAAACCATGTTTAAATTCACTTTCGTATTTCAACTTGAAATTTTGAAAATTGATTTTGAGTTTACTAATATCTTGCTTGTTTTCAAAATTAAATGTAATCCGAATGTTCTTATCACTTTTTAAATCGTTTTCGTTAACTCCAATTGCATTCTCTTCTCTCAATATCTCTGATAATATGGAAATACTAATTTCTTTATTTCTCTCATCGATTTTATCTATCTTAAACCCATGTTTCTCTACCAACTCTCCAATCCGTTTCTTTTTCAGAAAAATTTCCTCGGTTTCAACACTTTTTTGTTTCAACAAAATCTCTTCCTTCTCTCTAATTTCTTCTTCCAAATCCTGAATTACAATCCTTTTTTCATCTATTTCGTTTCTAATCGCCCGAATTTTATTCTCACCACTCTCAATGTTTTTTTGATTACTTAAAATTTTATCTGTAATTTCAATTAATTCATTTCTTAATAAAAAGTTTTCATCTTTATCATTATCTTCAATTATCTTATTTTTGAATAACAAAAGGTTCAATTCTTTATTTAGCTCTTTAGCTCTATCGGATAAATCTAAATTTATCTTTTTCACTTGTTGCAATCTTTCAATCAAAAAGCTTTCATCCTCAACCAATACCTCTAAATGTTCCTCCAACAATTTTAATAATCCCTCAATTAATTGACTTTTCCATTCATACCAAACCCCTTTGGCTTGTGTATTAGAATAATTCTTTGCAAGTTGAAATTGTTCTTGAAGCTTTTCTTTGATGCTTGAGTTTGACATGAAAAACTCTTTGATTACCTGCGGATTATCTTCAAGAACCTCCTCAGAAAGATTTTTATAATCAATGCAACCTTCTCTGATATATTTTTTTAATTCTTTGCAACCAAACTGATAAAGTTCTATCATAGGTAGTTTTTCTAATGCTTCAGAATAATCCAACAACGATGGCTCTTTATTTTTAAAATCTCCCTCTAAAATAATGTTCTTCGATGTTATACTCAAATTGTCAAAAAACTTAATACCGATTGTATCAAGAAACGTATCAATTGATACAGGCTTATAACTTTCTTCTATAAAATTGCTTGTGATTGCAGTAACTGGTTCTGTATCTTCATGAATGGGATCTAAAAAATTAGATTCAACTTCATTAAAATTTTGACTAAATCCCTGATTTCTCAGATTATCTTTAATTAAATCATTTTCATTTTCATTTTCATTTTCATTTTCATTTTCATTTTCATTTTCAATTTCATTTTCAATTTCAATTTGTTTAGTTCTTTCATTAATGGAAAAATTTATATTTTCATCGATTTTTTCATTGACTTCCCCCTCGACTTTTTCATTATTTTGAAATCCCTCATTTTCATTCATAAAAGAAGAAGATTTGTTAAAATAAATTTCACCCTGTTCTATGGCTTCAATGCTTTTTTCTAACTCTTTCTGATACTGATTTGATTCTTCTAGAAAACCAGAAGATCTTCTTTTGCGTGTCTGACCTATATATGGTGATGTATTTGATATCGTGCTTGGTGGTAAAATTGGCAGTCTATGTGGTGATCTGACTGGTGAACTTCGAGAAATTTCATGATATATTGTTTCAATAGAGATTTTTCGAGGCCTTTTCAATGGTGTTTGTAGTAACTCGTTAATTTCTGGAGGGATTTCTGATGCTCCAACACCTAAATTGGCTTCTGGCAATAAAAGATGAGATTCTTTTATTTTATTAATAATTTGTTGATTTGTCTGTTCATTAGTGGGGTTTATTTTATCAGGAATTACTGTTGATAACTTTCTTCTTTTTTGTGTAGGAGAAAACACTTTAGAAAAACTCTGTTCTATAATATTTTTTGACAACTTGATATTCAGAATTGGTTCATTTCCCGTTTTCTGAGAAATATCTATCTTCATTTCTTCTGGAGAGCGCAACCTTATATCTTCTATTTCTGAATCACTTATATTTTTCTCATTTCTTACATTATCTTCTTTATTTTGAATTTCCATTTCATGTTGAGAAAAATTAGTTATTTCTTGTTCTATTTCTATTTCATCGACATTTATATTATCAAGATAATTTTGGCTAGCTCTTCGACTATATATTATTGAATTTTCTAAATCCTTGGTTGATATTATATTGTTATCTTTTACATTCTCAATTTTGGTAAAAATCTTCGTTATTTCCATGGTTTTTTCTTCGAGATTTTCATGAGCATCCTCATAAAGATCAACGCTAATATCAGGGTCATTAGCACTGAAATTTTCTTCGTTTTCATTATTGCGTAACTCTATATCACTTTTTCTATTTTGAGAATTATTAAACGTTATTTTTGCTTGATTTTGTGTTATCTCCATTGTTTTTTCTCCAAAATTTTCTGTTTCTTCAAAAACAGATTTAGATTGATTTATAGGATTGACTAGTTTAATATTTGAAACGTCTTTGGTGATGTCCATTGTTTTTTCATCAAAATCATCTAAATCTTCAACTTGATCAAAAGTATTGATAGCTTTGATATTGGAAATATTTTTCGTTATATCCATTGTAATTTCCTGGTTATCATTATCGAGATCTACTTGGTTTTCTTTTTCAGTAATATCTGTTGTTGGCTCATTGTTTTTGTCTATCAATTGTTGTTTGGAGCTGATTTTATTGCTTTCATTTTGAGTTATTTTTGTAAATTCCATTGTTTGTTCTTGATTAAACGAATCATTAAAGTCGGAATCTATTTCTTTTATTTTGGATAATGCCGCTGTTATATCCATACTCATTTGATCATTTTCATTGATTAAATCGTAAACTGATTGATCAAATATTCTGTTTGAGTTATGATTTGTTATTTCCATTGTTAATTGATCATTATCTTCTTGATCTTTATTGTCTTGATCTTTGATGCTTGAATTTTTTGTTTTAAAATTATTAGATTTATTAAGAGGTTGATATTCTGTGAAATTTTTAGTATTAATGACATAGTTTGTTAAATCCATAGTAACAATACCAGTTTCGTTTTCATCTTCTTGATGAGTATTGTTGGTAATTTGATCATCTTTTTTGTTTTCATTAAAATTATTAAGAGTGCTGTCGGTAGTAATATTATTATAGTCTGTTTTAGTATTTGTGTATTCCATTGAAATCTCATTTTCAAAGTTATTATTATTAATAAATTCAATTGAGTTATCATCGTCAATGTTTGATAAACTTTTTCTCAACTCTTGAGATTTAATTTTATTAACTAAATCAATAATTTCCATTGTTAAATTTTTTCTAGTCAAGTGTTCATCAATGTCATTTGTTTTATTTTTATTGTCTTTATTGTTAGCATATTTGGTACTTTTATCGTTATTTTCATTTTCTTGACTATTTTTAAGAATTGAGGAAACCAAATCAGTTACTTCAGCGTCTGTAATGCTATAATTATCTGTTTGATCATCTGTTTTATTTGATGAATGATTATCATTTTTGGGTAAATTGAGCTGCGGTAGTTTATTGGAAACTGAAGTTTGTGTTTCTATTGGTTTTTCTACTTGTTTTTGAGACGAAACACCCTTAGAATTCATTTTATTTGTAAGATTAGTGAAAATATTTTGAATGGTAGTTGAGGTATCAAGAACTTCATTACTATTGTAAGCATTGTTATTATTGTCGGTGTTTTGGCTGTTACTAGTAACTAGCTGGTTTTCTTTTCTAGCAATGGTATCATCATTATTGTTGCTACTTGAAGTTAGGTCTGATTTCAAAGGAATAAAATCAAACTTATGAAGAGTCACCTCTGGTGCAAAACTAACCCTTCTTTTTATTCTTTCTTTTAAATCGTCATCTTGACTATTTTGATTGTCATCAGCCTCCTGGTCTGGATTAAGAATATTTTGTGCCCGATCATTTAAGGGAATCTGCATCACAGCTATCGTGTGGTTTTCTCTATCCTCAAGCTGGTTGTTTGTTTTGGCATTATCTATAGCTATTCTTTTAAAACTAGTTGTGTTGTTGGAAATGATGCTGTTTTGCTTTAGAATTCCTCTTGGAGCTGGAGCCAACGTGTGTCTTCTTCTAACTGAGGCCTTTCTTTTGGCTGGGACAATCGAAGAGTGTCTTCGATTAACAGGCTTGCTGTTTTCTTCTTCGTTGGGACTCATTTGGAATAGCAATCTGGTGTGGTGAATTAAGCAGCTCAAACACTTTCAATAACTTTATTTTTCTCACAGTTTTGATCAAATTGTTTTGTTTACCTCAGTTTTGAGTTGTAAACAAAAGCAAGGATGCATTTTCATGCATATAAATATGTCTAAGTGCGTTTACATGCATTGCCCGTTTTTGTGATCTTTGAAAAATTCCTGAATTGAAACTGGAACAAAATTATATTTTATAGAATATATCAAAGAAAATACAAATTAAAAAACAAACTACACAGTTTCAGCTACTCTAAGAATGATTTTTCCTTTGGCGACACTTTTGGAAAGCCTATCAAATGCTTCCTGGAACTCCTCAAACTTATAAACACTGTCAACTGGAACTTTTAATTTGCCTGTCTCAATCAATTCAATCACATCCTTCAACCACATGGAGTCACTGGGCTTACCAACTTGAATCCAGTAGTTAAAGTTCACTGAATGATGGCCCAATTGACTTCCAATAAGTCTTACTCCTGGGGAAATTAACGCCCTGAGCTTGAAACCCTCTTCATAATTACTCTTGCTATCACCAACAATTGTCACATATTTCGATCCAGTCTCTTTGGGTTTCATAATTTCATTAATATATTTAAAAAGATCTTTATTTCCAACGCAGTCAAATATGAGGTCATACTTTATATCACTCGATATTCTAATTAGTTCTTGTCTCAATTCTTGTTTGTTATGGTATTCAACACAATGATCTGCCCCTAGAGATTCAGCTAATCCAAACCCTTCTTTGGAACACATAGTGACAACTTTATTAAACTTTCCTATGTTTTTGGCTAATTGAATCGCAATCATACCAACAGATGTTGAGCCTCCAATAACTAAAATGTTTCTATCTTCATCTATTGATTTTGCTTCTTTTCCCAGGGTCTCTCTTTTTTCACCATCTTCTTTTTTGTTTTCTTCCTTTTCACGTTTTCTTTGAAATCCATTTATGACCACATAAGCAATTGAAGACACAGTTGGCCATCCTGCAGCTACATTGTAATCAACAACATTTGGATCAAAATTAACGATATTAGGCTCTTTATCTGGATCTATACAGAGATATTCAACTGCTGTACCCTTTGAAATAGAATTAAGCAAGTTTCCACAAACTGATTGTCCAATTTTCCAACCTTTTTCTTCTTGAACTTTACCAACATCAACAATTATACCTGCATAATCAGAACAAATTGGTCTCTCAAAACTTGAAAACCTTGGTATACTATTTTTGATCAATAAATCAATTGGATTGAGGGAGATTGAAACAACTTTAATGAGAATTTTATTTTCTTTCATTATCGAATAATTGATTTCCTCATTTTTCAAATAAATTTTGGTTTTTTTATTGAAGTAAACTAATTTTCTATTGTGATATTGCTCAAAACTATCTTCAACACTGATATTTATTTTAGATGTTTTAGATGAAAGCATCTTCGGTTTTTGAACTAAATCTTTTTTTTTGTATAATTAAATAAGCGTTTCTAATCAAAGAATTCGATGATTAAAAGAATTAGTAATAAGTGAATAAATATGATTAAGAAAGAAAAAGGAAATAAGAATAATTAAAAACCTGAAATATCAAAATTGTGAGATATCAAGATATCAAGATAAATATTAAAAAGAAACAGAAACTAAAATATATCAAAAATTCGACTTTTGTGGTCTTTGTAAATTTTTTTTTTTTACTTTTGTGCAATGATCTTTCAAAATCTGTATATCAATAGGTTCATTCTATTCTCATTAAAAACTCAAAATAAATTAGAAATATTCATTAATTTTAGAGTATTAATGTTTATATACGATTTTTTTTTCTGCTTTTATTTATATATAATTAACTCAAACAGTTCATCTATCATCAAATGCCAAAAAATGCATTTTCAACTATAAAATTTCATTGAAATTAATATGACAGTTGATTTTTAATCGATTTTCTGCTCAATATTAAAATGATTACTCACAAAATCTTAATTTTTTTTTTTTCTTTGGAGGCTTTTTACTCAAAACTTTATCACCATCTTTTTTTAATCTCTTTTCAATTCCTAATTTATTAAGCTCTTCACTCAGTGTTATTTTAATGAGTAGTCTTTTTTTTGGATTCTTAAGAATTGCTTTATGGTCACTTGGTTTTGTAGATAATTTTGAAACATTGTCGAGTTTATCAATAAATTTCTTCCCATAATTTCCAGTGTTTTTAGCGCTTATCCTTTTAAAACTCTTATTAAATCTATTAACTTTTCTTAATGCCATTTCTGTAAATAGTGAAATGTACCATTTTCTGATTCCAGTTTCTTTGTCAACTATCCCAAGATGTTTGTCTAATCCAAATTTATCCTCTTTCAAATATTTTAATATTTGGTTTTTATCAAATCGTTTTTCACTAAAAAACTTATAGTCATCAACCAATAACATTTTTTTAGATGTGGATAATGCTAAAAATGATGAATATTCAAGTTCGTTTTCGTTTATTTCAACAAATTCATGCTTTGAAAAATAATCTCGCATGTAATTATCTTCAAAAACTTCTTTATTTGTATCCATCTGTTCAATCTGGTTCAAATTTTCTTCATCTGTTTTATTTTCAGTAAATTCATTTTTATTATTCATTGTGTGTCTTCTTTTATACATTTCTTCTTCTAATGTACCCTTTAAGATTAAAGTTTCAACATAAACAGGTTTGTTTTGTCCAATTCTATGACATCTTTTAATTGCTTGAGCTTCAGTGGCTTTCTTCCATACAGGATTAATGAAATAAACTCTGGTTGCTGATACAATGGTTAACCCATGTGCAGCTAGCTTCAAATCCATTATTAAACACACTCCTCCATCATCAAATTTACTAAACTCATCTAGTTTTTTATTTCTTTCCGCAATAGAAATAAACGACGAATAAAGAAAATAATTAACTCCCAATAAATCTAATATCTCAATCAAATAATAAGCAGAGTCTTCAAATTGATAAAATACAAGCGATTTGATCGATGTTAATTGATGTTCCAATAGTCTAGAAGCCAAATAAGATAATTTTGCTGATAAAGTGCCAATTATTTTTGCGTTTTTAGTTTCAGATATCAGTATTTTGTTTTTGCTTTTCAATAAAATTGGAGACTTATTTCTAATATGATTATAACCATAATCATGATGATAATCAGAATCACCCATTCTATTTTTGCTTTTTGGATTTGAGCTGGTTAGTCTTATGGTTAACTCGCTTTTACGTTTTGGCGATGGAGTAGAAGTTCCCTTAGAATTTTCTTCTTGTTTTTCCAGGTTTTGTTCCACAATTTCAATTGTTTGAACATCAGTAACTTTACTATTTTTGTGGGTTTTATCTTTATTTTTCCAAGATTCATCCCAGCCTATCCATGAACTATTAAAAAGGTTTTTCTCTAATTTCTTTTCATCCTCATCTTTCAAAAACCTATTTTTAAAAAAAAAATTTTGAATAGCACTCAATTGAAGAAAAGAATATAGACCAATTGTATGCTTTTGATATGAAATAATACTATTAGCGAAACTTTCAACATAAAGAGAAGGTAAACCAGACACAAAATAACTCATTTCATGGAGTACTGAATTTGTTTCCCAAATATCATTTGATAGAGCTTGTTTAGCTACTTTAATACTTTTTTCTAATAATTTTCTATCTTCAGGATTATAGTATGGCTCCCCATTAGATCTAATCATTTTTAAAGATTTTTCTGAAATAGCTAAAGAATTTTCTACATCATATCTTGAAAACCCAGTCCAATAAAAGGTGGCTCTTTGTAAATTGGTAATTAATGTTTTAAGGTCCTTACCATTTTTAGGATGAAACATATAATCTTGATCGACTCTTTCAGATGTTACTGCATTAATAGCTAGAACAGAAGTAAACAAATTAAGCGCCAATTTATTGTGAAAAGAGGGATTTAAAAATATTGCTTTATGATGAAGAGGAGGCAAATCTGATTCAATTTGGATGTCAACTAGGTTATGTCTGATAATAGTAGAGTTTAATAGGTCTTTTAACTTCTGAACAGAACCATAACTGTTGTTAAAAAAGGGTTTTACTATTAATTTGTGCCAGCATGAAAAATCTCTTGACCATGGTTCAATTCTTAAAAACCCAGAAATAATTAATCCTAATTTTTGCAAATCATCTTTTGATGAAAATTTTCCTTTAATTATATACTCATTAGAATTTTCTGAACTATCGAGACTTTTAGGATTTTCGTCATTTTTTTCAGTTTTATTTGTGTCACCTTCATAAGATAAGTCCTCATTTAAATGTAGATCAGTCAAACCAGCTGTTGGAGTACCTGTTATTGCCCACCTTCTTTCTGCAAATATCTTCTTTGAAAGCTCTACTTTTTTTGAACTTTTGCTGCTCATACCATGACCTTCATCTACTATTATCCTTTTCCAATAAATATCGAGAAGAGGTGAGTGATTGTTCAGTAATTCTCTGCTAAATGTTGAAAAACTTATCATAACAATGTCATAATCTAACAAATCTGATGGGTCAGGAAAAGTGAGATATATTGGAGCAAGAAAAACATTTAAAAATTGAGATTCAATATGTTTATCAATTTCATTTTCCCATTGTTTGACTAAATTATCAGGGCAAATAATAAGAGTTGAAGATGAAATTAAAATCTTTCTTGAATTATTATTATTATCTTTATTTTTATTTTGTTCAAAAATTCTTTGGGATCTTCTAATCTGAAGATTAGTATCAGCAAAATATTCGGTAGCAATGTTGACAAATGGTGGATTTTTATATAAATCGCAAATATAAATTTCTGGAATAAAATTTCGATATTGCCTCCAAGGAACTAATTTTTCATTCATCTGGTCAATACAAAGCTCGGTAAGTTTTTTAACTTTTTTAGCTTCTATAAGGTTTTCTTGTTTAAAAAATAAGAATTTACTAAAAGTGTCGTGTGAAACAGTGGGCAATTGATATTTTGTTAGACAAATTAAAGCTAAGCACATACAAGTTTTACCCAAACCCATATTTTCTGCCAATATACCCCCTTTGGGAATCTTATAGTAATCTCCATTTTTTAAAAAGCTGAAATTTTGAATATCGAAATAAAAGTTTTGATTATTAATAGGATTTTTTTCTTTTGTCGTAAAGGCAAATAAATTAGGTAATAAATTTGAATTTGAGTTAAACTCTTGACATAACATTTTAATGATTGATTCTCTTTGGAAAACATATAAGGAACTTTTAAATCCTTGAATATTATCATTGGTTACATTTGATATGAGTTCTTCTAGTTCAAAGTAGGAAACAGAGAAATCAGATTTCAGATTATTTTTAGAAGTTAATAAAGAGTTTTGAGTTTTATTCAAGTCTAGTTTATTAAAATGAATAGAGTTGTATAAATCTATTAAAATTTTATCACAAGAATCAATTTTAAAATTCGATGAAATAAATTGGGTAACAGATTTTTGATTTATCAATCGATTTAAATGAAAATTTAAATAGAATTGATTTTCTGAAGCGACTTTATCATAGTTTGGAAATGGGAGGTGCATATTAACACCAAATTGATGTGCACTAAAGGTTTCAAAATGGTCCTTTAAACAAGGAAAGACAAGAATCTTTTTATCATATTTTTGAGATTTAGTATAAATTGATTTATGAAGATTCCATGAATCTCGATCAAAATCCAATATTTCAATAAGATTTGATAATATTTTTCTGTATTTATCCTGATGCCAATGTATTGATTTGCCTCTGGAAAAGTAGTTATTCAAAGTAGAAATGAATTCATGATTTTCAATATCTCTGGGAACAACGTAGATTCTGAGCACTAGTAGCTGGAAACCAAATATCTTATAAGTGATTCTGATCTGGGATCTTTCAAAGAGATATCTCAAGTCGAGGACCAAATTTGATAACGAGTGGTTGGTTCCATTAACAGTAAAGTTTGGGGAAAGAGCAAATGGAAGACTAAGCCAATGCCAACCATCAGGAGCTATTGCTTCTTGACAAGCGAGCCTAGGAAAGCCATAAAAATATAAAACACCCAAGGGAATCAAATTGTGCAAGTTATTTGCAGTCTTAGCTATGGATTGTAGAAGATTATAGTTCTATTTGCAGAGCATCCAGTTAGTGTTTGCCAAAAACAGCAGATCCGAGCATCATTGGGTCTTTAGGGAAAGATGCAAAGCTGTGAGAAGCATTTGAAAGAAAAGACAACATACCTTGATATTCTTTGTTTTTAGCATTGCAATTGTAAAAGAAAAGAGTTTTGGACCATTTTCAAGGAGAGATAGCAGTTGATAACCAAGGTGCTTTTTTCCGCCCTATAAAAAAGAAGGAGGATAAGGAAACTACAAAAAATAAAAACGAAGAGCCAAATACAATTGAAAAACAAAACATAAATCATCTATATATTAATAAAGTGTAAAAGTGAAATGAATATATAAGAGTGAAAAAACATCTTTACAAAAATACAGTGTAAAGAGTAAAGAAAAAAGAAAAAAGAAAAAAGAAAAAAGAAAAAAGAAGAAAAAAAGTGATTATATTCTAAATTCAATAACATTGATAAGCCCAAAAAGTAAAAGAAGTTCAATAAATCCGGAAAGTAAAAGAAGTTTAATAAAACCCAAAAAATAGAGTAAGTTTGATAATTAAAATTGATATTTTTGTGTTTTCTTTATAATTCAATGTCTTGATCATCAGGTTTTTTGACATTATCTTTTGGTTTTAATAATAAAACAGCTAAAGCAGAACCTAAGATAACTGTGAAACCAATAAAACTTAAAACACTTGGAAGATGATTAAAGATTACAATGTCCCATACAAGAGCCCACATCATTTGGGTATAGTTCATTAACGCAGCTCTACCAGCTTTTTTCTCTTTTTGAACACCCAAAGTTAAAAAAAATTGGTTGCAAAACCCACAAACGCTAACTAGTAGTAGTAACAACCATTGTTTCAAAGTATGGGGCCAAACCGACGATAAGCTTGGAATGAAAATAAGACCCAAGGCAGAGACAATTAGACAGTATAAAGAAAAATACTGGACAGTGATTAAAGTGTGAACTTTATTGCCCATATGCCTGAGAATTATAACAACAGAGGCAGCACAAAAGACACCCCAAAGTGCTACAACAACAGCCGAAGCTCTCAAGCTATTATCAGGAGATTCTATATTATCATCAAAGTCTTGACTTTGGCCAAAGATCGAGGCAGGTCTTGCAATCAATATAACACCGCCAAATGAGAGAGTAGCAGCTATGCCTTCAAATAGGGAGTAATTTTCACGTAAAATGATAAATGCTTCTAGGGCAACAATTGAGGGATTCAAAAAGGTTATAACAACAGCATCAGAGACAGACAAGTAAAGCACAGAATAATACAAGCCAAAGACACCAAAGAAGCCTATCACACCTCTTAGGCATAGTAGAAATCTAAATTTCTTAGGACCCCAGGGAGCATCAGGAATGGGTACAAAGTACATATAAGTCCAGCATATTATAACAGTAAAGATCATTCTGACAAATAAAATCTGCAAAGGATGCATTGCTTTCTGGTAGTCATCGTCGAATTCTAGCAATTTTGTTCCAACCAACATCAAAGAAGATGCAAACATTGCAATCATCACATAGCCCAAACCAATATTTCTGTCATAAAAGTCTAGTATGCGATGTTTTATATTGTTAAAGGTATTTAGTGTGCTTATTGACAGTGTGGAAAAAAGGGATCTGTTGTCATTCTGGTAGGTTTCTTCATCTGAAGAGATATCGTAGAAAGTAGTGTCCAATAAAGGAGTTGAAACAGACATTTGGGATCAGAGGTCTACTAGAATAAACCAGAATATGAGTAAAATGGAGGAGTGTGAGTGGAGGAGTGTGAGCTAGTGCAAGCTATTATTGCAGAGTGTTGTATTAGTTGCTGAAATCCAAAGAGTAAAAGAAGAGAGAGCAGTGGTTTTTATTGATGGAAGTCGAATCAACTTCTGTTGCTTTTTTGCTTTTTGCTTTTTTTTTCGTTCATTTGATATCGATCAGTGATAAACTGCACAGGACAGGAGTTAGCTAAGGAAGAGGCTATCTCTGAGCCATTTCCACGCAGACTGTTCCCAAAAAACAGCTTTCCATTGCTGCTTCTGTTGCTCCTCTAGCTGTTCTCACTGAAATCAAAGTGCTAGAGTGAAATTACCCAGTTCACTCTTCAAACCAACTCAGTTTCTTCTGCAAATCGCTCCAAAAAAGTGGTGAAGAGCTGAGATCCACAGCTGTGGGAAGAACAGCATGATAACGCACCTGCCATTACTGTGGATCCAACCCGTTTCTGTGGATACGTTTTTGTTTTTCGACTGGGTCTAGACCTTTGTTCTGTTCCAGCCAATGAGAGGCGAGGAGCAGGGAAAGTACAGGAAGGAAAATACCCAAAAGCAACAGCTTATTTTATTGCTTTGCAGTTTCAGTATATATCTATACAAATATGAATATAGACGGTAAAAGATTATTTTCTAATAAACAAAAAACCAAGAAGTGAAGTGACTAATATAAGGAAATAAACAAAATGTTTCTCGACATTGACCATTAAATTTTTTTGCTAACCCATTTTTCTATTTTTTCTATTTTTTCTATTTAATTCTCTATTTTTTTTTAATTTGATTGTTTTCTCATTAAATTGATTTGTTTAATGGCCATTCACTTTAGCTCTTTTTGGAGCTGGACCATCAGCGATAGATATATCTTCATCGATAATATCAGCAGTACCATTAGCAGCAGATTTTGGAAATATCTGGGGAGTATTTATGTCGGCGTGGTAGTCTTTGATAATAGAGTCGACATCATCGATATTCAATGGTCTGATATCAGCCAAACTTTTGACTTTGCTTGTAATTATTTTGCACTGTTGATCGGTTAATTTCAAGTTCAATTGTTCAACTCTAGTTTTAATAGCATTCCATCCAGTTAATCTGTGAGCAAAATGGATATATCTAGTCAAACCAAAATCGCTTGGATTTAAAATCTCGTAGGTGGAAGGATTGGCCAATATGGCTTTGGAATGAATACCAGCTTTGTGAGTAAAAGCGCAAAAACCTGTGATTGGGTTGTTAAATGGAATATTGACCTGGACTGCTTCACTGACCAAGTTTTCGATATCTCTTAGTTTGTGTAGTTTGTATTTGGATAAAACGTATTCTCTGTCAGCAGCAATCATTCTTGCCATCAACCCACCTAATGGAGTGATACCATTTCTTTCACCAATGCCCAAAACTGAAACGTCGATTAATCTTGCACCAGCTTCCAATGCAGTGTAAGCATTAGCTATAGCACATCCAGTATCGTTGTGGAAATGGCATTCGATATCACAGTGCACAACGGATTTAAGAGTACGAACCAAATCGTAAACCTGTCTTGGATTAGCACATCCAACAGTGTCAGCAATACCAACTCTATTCACACCGATTTTATCAACGGTTTTGTAAATATTTAGTAAATCAACAATATCAGATCTGAATGAGTCCTCAGATGAAAATCTTATTTCTATGCCTTTGGATTTGACGTATTGAATCACTTCAATTGCAGAGTTGGTGATGTACTGCATGTCTTTACCATGGGAGTACTGTCTTAAAAACTGGGAAGTACCAATAACGACATCTACACCATCGACACCAGTTTCAACAGCTACTCTTGCATCGTCCATGTGGCATCTGATGTGAGTTAATATTTTTGCTTTCAAGCCCAATTTGCAAATGCTCTCGCAATCTTTTCTTGATTGTTCAGAGGCAACAGGACTTGTTAGTTCGATATAGTCAACACCAAAATCATCCAAGGCTTTAGCAATTTCGATTTTTTTTTCAGTTGTGAAGAACGCATTAGCAAATTGTTCACCCTCTCTAAGAGTTGATTCAATTAGTTGGAAATTCGAGACGTTTGATAAATAATCAGCGGGATTTGGCCCATAAGGATTCACTTGTCTTGGTTGTGGAATTGATTCTCCAACTTTTTTGTAAGTAGTATTTTCGGCAGTCATTTTGAGAAATCAGTGATTATTTATAGGAAATGAGAATATAGAATTAAAAAATCAGTAAAATAAATAGTGCAATTCAATTTGATGCGATTGTGATATGGTATGATATAGAGAAATAAAAAGCTGAAATTAATTAAATTAAATTAAATTAAATTAAATTAAATTAAATTAAATTAAATTAAATTAAAACAAAATGTTTATAAAAACGTTGGTAGAATTCGTCGCTTTTCTTTGTTGTAGGATAGATAAAAAAGATAAAATCTCTAAAAAAATTTCAAGTAAAAAATGTCAAGTGAAAGAAGATATTTATATATAACTTGAATCAACTTTTTTCTTTGAAATAGAAAAAAACAAAAAAATTTTCGATAATTAAACTATAAATTGAAAAATAAAAGAAATTTAGTGAAAAAAATAAGGTGTGTGACTTATTTCAGTGTGACTAATAATTTCGTCCAATAATTTTGGCTTTCCATCTGGAAAAGCATCTATTATTGCTCGTTTTTTTTTACGGTTTTTTTAATGGGAGAAAAACAAAATTGACGGAATCAAACGAAAAGGTTTGGATGCTAGGAAGTAAAACCCACTAGAACAATTTAAATTATTACAACATTTTATCTTTGAAATATGGAGTAAATTATTGGGGGTTTAACCGTTTAAGAATAAAACTCTTGAACCCTCAAGCAAAGTTTGTTTCTTGAGACAAGTTTGACTTTGTTTAAAAACGCAAATTAGTCATTTTCCAGGAAATCAAAGCTTTCACCGTAAATTTACAGTTAACCACACCAGAATATATTCATCTGTTGATTATTCGGTGTAAATGGAAGTCGTTTTGTCTGCCTGAAAAAACTTGTATCTTCAATGGCTTCTCCAATGGCGAGACATCCATAAATGAATAAATGCTCTCACGCCTCTCACTCGAAATATGCTTATCGGGTCTGTTCTCGATGAGATGAAATGAGGGAGGTTGATAGCACTTGTTGAACCGCCATCTCGCCATCTTGTCATCTCTATAGTATCGCCTCCAGAGAGTCCCTTGAATAGCCTTTGAATGGCTGTTCCATTGCTTTTAACTGTGACTCGAACACCACCTTCCATTTGCTATCCATCAGCAGCAGCAGCCCAACACGTGTGTTTCGACCCTCTTGCACACAAAACCCACGCGTTAGTCACGCGTTAGTGTCACGCGACACGGGTTTGCTGAAATCCAACCCAGATGTTGTACGCAGGCCAGACGCATAAACATGCTTATTAATGTGTACAGACGCTGTCTCACGCGGCTACTCCATTCCCGGTTTCAAAGGCTGTTGGTCACAAAAGACACCTGTATTTTCGGGAACCGGACTTTTTTACCATCGCTTCCAGAGCAAATGAAATTTGGACATTTACAGCAAGAACAATCATGTCAAGATATAAAAGACTAAAGTAAAAGAAAAGGGTTACAATAGTGCTGCATCCTCCCCTAGGCAAGGTATTCGTAGACGTCATTGTTGCCATCTTGTCTCTTGAGGTATGCACGCTCAATTAGGTCGTCAATGCACTTTTTGATGTCGTTTGGTTGAGCATTAAATCGAGAGTGGGACTGGTTGATCACTTCAGTCAATAATGTGACATGTTTCAATGTCTTTCTAGCCTTCATGATTCTAACAATGCAGGCCTTCAAGAAGAGTCGTCTGTCGTCGGATATCTCCTTTGCAGTGTCTTCCTCTTCTTGCTTTTGTTCAATTCGAATGTTGGCAGCAAAATTGACTCTCATTCTTTTTGATCGATACTCCTTGACCACTGTGAATTTGGTGTCTGGGTTGATTGCATTTGGTGGGCTTTGATTCAATAATCTCAATGTGACAAATGGCGTAATGTTTCCTGCTAATTGCTCAGAGGGCAATTCGGTAATATCCAAGAGCTCCTTGAATGTATATGTTGGTTTCTTATTAAACGGCAATATTATAGACATTTGAAATAGCGACATTGTTAGCATAAATGGCGGTTTGCCCGATCTTGATAGATTGGCCTTAACTTCTCCCCTACATAAATTCCAGATCCATTTGACAAATCTTCCCGAGTGTTTCATCGTATATAACGATTCCAACAAATCATGTGTGGGCTCCAATTCTTCAGGAAGCTTGAAATTGTACTTGTATGGTTTAAATGGCCACATCGTCTCTGATAAAATGTATGGATTGAAATCCTTTATAATCTCATCCTTATTTGGTATTTTTGTCACTTTATCAAAAAATTCGTTTTTGAGGTTTTCTGACGCCTTCATATCTTGGAACATTTTGGTCATTTTTGATGTATATTCAATCGAGTTTTCTCTTTGCAATCTTGTAATTAAGCTTTCCTCTGCTTCTAAATTTGAAGATGTTCCGTATATTAATCTTTTAGCCAACAATTTTCTATAATGGATCTCAAATGCATCTTTATCATTTAAAAACGTGAAAATAATCATAATATCGTCCTCGCTCATATTATTAGTGATATCACTTTCTTTGTTTTTCTTTTTCAATAACATGTCTGCATATTTAGCTAAATATTCAGGAGTCTTGGAGTTACCTAAATTTCCTAGGTTTCCTGTATTATTGAAATTCACTCTTGGTGATGCGATTGAGTTGAAATTGATATAATCTCTGCAGGACTCATCCAATGCTTTAGTAAAAGTGTGATAGTCTTCAAAGGCTTCCCTAACAATGCTTTTATATTTCAAATAGACTTTGATTAAAACTTTGACGTATAACTTGGCATTGACTGGACCATTACCAGTAGTGGCGCTATTGTTTTTGATATTTAAAACTTCTTTAAGGCCCTCTCTTTTAACATAATTTTGGAATAAATTTGCCAATACAGTCAAAGTATCAGGAACTCTTTTTAGCAAAGTGTACATTCTATGGACATTTTCGTTATCGTTCGTGGCTAATAAATTATCAAATTCAATATATAATTCTTCAGCGTGTTTTTTAATCAAACTTTTATCGAGAGTTTCAATTAATAAAGGCTTTGTATGATCATCTAAATAGAATAATCTTGAGATTTCTTCATTGATTCTGCTTTCGGCTTTTTTCATATAGTCAATTACATTGTGGTGTTTTAAGTAGTCATTTGATTCGTTGTCGTAAAATTTAGCAGTTCTTTCTAAAAACACACTTTCAAAGCAGTCAATATAAAGAGATAATGTGGCTTTTTTAAATTCAAATGGAACAGAATTGTAATTGTTATTATTAGCAGTATTGTTATTATTATTATTATTATTATTATTATTATTATTATTATTATTATTATTATTATTATTATTATTATTATTATTATTATTATTATTATTATTATTGTTATTGTTATTGTTATTGTTATTGATGTTGCTACTATTATTATTTATCCCTAATAAAACCATTGAACTGATAGCCTTTGATAAGATAGAAGTATCGATATAATGATTATTTCTTTGCAATTCAATTTGGTTTAAAATTTCGTCGATTAAAACCCGGGAATTTGGATTGAACATATAATCTCTCCATTGAACTAAACATAAAGTATTTATATCAGAGATATCGTTAGCGTAATCGGTTTTTTGCTTGGTTAACCAGTATCGATTAAGATAATCGAAAATGTGGTTTAGATAAGCAGAACCGATATTGAATCTTGACCAGGTTCTGACATAAAATTGTAAAAAGTTCTCGTCTGGTTGGATTTGTAAATTATTGACGTACTCAGCAAGATAGTCCCTGACATTTGTGTATAATTGGAATATGACTTGGTCGTAACCAAGAATCAAAGAGTTAAATGAGCTTGGTGATTGGTTTGTAGTTAGAGACATTCTCAAACAGAAATTATAAACAGCAGTGTAGGTCTCCATATGTAATTTTGGAGATTGAGCATTGTTGAAGTTGGAGCCCAAGATTGTTTGCAAGTTTGGCTCGATATTGCTCCATGTCAAATCAAGCTGTCTTTTCATACCATCTACATCCATATCCAAGTTCATTTTGAGAAGAAGAGTTGAAAATCGAGTGGTTGATTGATAGTTATCAGATAGAAACAGTGGGTATCTCAGCTGGTGGCGGCAGTGATGAGCAACTCAGGGCTGAAAAGAGTTCTATTGCAAGCAGGTAAAGAGGATCAGTAATACAATAAACAGCTCTCCCAGCAACGGTAGGTCTGTGTGGTGTTGGTGTTGGTGTTGGTGTTTCTTCAGAAAAAGGGAAAGAGGCGAAAGAGCAAATATAAAAGGAGAAGGTGCAGAAAACCAAAATGTGGAACAACACAATCACACCTCAGAGGAGTCTCTTTCGCTGCTCTCGTTCCTCCAACCTCAACACTACTCTCTATTAAACGCACAGCGCACCAGAAAGATGCTCGTTGATGGCAGCAGTTGCTTTGAATTGAACTGTTGTGTTTGAGCCAGTTCTAGCTTCGGATGCAGTTGCAACAGCAGGGCTCTCGTGGTGTGTTCTTCAGAGTTGTGTATTTCAAAGGCTATATAAATGCTGCTCGACACTACAAACTATATAAAGAGCACATTCAGCAAAACTGGTCTGAATCTGCTGCCTACTCAGGAAATGGTGATACGACGAGTGTTTTCATTAACTTTGGGCCCTAATTTTGGAATATTAAGAACCAAAACACCATCCTTATAATTTGCTTTGATGTTTTCATCATCTAATGTTTCATCCTTTGGCAAAGCAACTGATCTTGAGAACTTTCCGGTGNATCTTTCTTGATACTTGTAATTGTCCTTTTCTTCTTCTTTATGTGAAGTAACTTCTCCAGAAACAGTGATTTGATTGGTCTCTTTGTTGAATTCTACATTGATTTTATCCTTTTCAGCACCTGGAATTGAAACATGCAACTCATAATCCTTTTCATGATTCAATAAATCAACAGGAGGAATAAAACTAAATGAATTGAATAAATCATCATTAAACAATCCAGTTGTTAACGAATTAGGTGTTTCCTTGGATTTGTTAGTTAATTGGTTATTTTGTTTGGCATTTTTTTTAGCCACTTGTTTATTTGATTGACGACCATAACCAGCATTTTCTAAAGCACGATTGAATTGGTTTAAATTATCATCAATTGAATCNACGAAATCCCAAAATGGCGAGTAAAAATATCCAGACATGATTAAAAGAGTATTAAAATAATATAAAATTAGTCGATTGTAAGTTAATTGTTATTGATAGTTGAGTTGATTGAGTTGATTGAGTTAATTGTGTTAATAAATAATTAAAAATTGGAGAGCTAAACATCTCAATTACCTCAAAATTATCTGTCTTTATATATCAGTCAACTTATCCTTTCAATATACTTCATATTCAAATTAAATTAACAATTTTCTCTTATTCAATGCTATTTTCTATGATTGTGAAGAAAATACTAGAATTTTAGTCATCAAAAACCATATTTTCGTAAATAAGCTTGTTTTTTCGCAATATTGTAAATAGCTTTGTACTCAGCTCAGTGCTTTTTGCGCCATTTTTTCTCCGGAAACTCATGCTTTTGTCCAGAACTTTCTGGAACGTTCCCAAAACAGATCCACTTTCTCTCATCTTCACCTATATTTTATTGAACTCTTATATTATGATTCATTTTTTGCAAAAAAGTTCATTGATAATAGAAAATATTGCTATTATAACACAATACCAATTGTTCTTCGAATTTCTTTAAATGAGAAATCATGAACGTATGCTGAATTCAATTAAAATGAAATATCAGAGCTCGCTTCACTATTTTCTTTAAATTAAGAATTTATTTTCTATGTTTTGTGTTCAAGTAAAAGTTACAACTTTTATCTAGCTGGTAATCAAAATATAAATATTAGCATAATTATTCAAATTATATAAATTTCACTTCTGCTAAATATTTTTATGATGTTGCACCTTAGGAAAATATGCAATTTTCAATGTATTCATTGAGTTTTTATTCAATTAATAATATAATCACTTTTGTATATAATTTTCAATACAAAATATTTACAATTTTCTTTTTTGTATAGCTTCTTTGCATTCAAAACAAAATTCCTTGAAATTAAAAATTGAATAAAATACTTTCTCAAAAAAAATTCATTACTATAGTTTAACACATTAATTTGAGTGACCCTTGACAATTCAATTAAATAGTTGCAAAAAATTTTTACGACTATCAGAACTTTATGATATTTGGACTCTTTAATTTAATTTCATGTTTTAGTGCAATTCTATATTAGACAGTAAATAAGTTAAAATAACAAATAAAAAGTTGTTTTTTTAGTTATTTAACTATTATTGATTGTAAAAATCCTAGATTTATCTACCAAACATATCAATATTTTTTCTTTTAGTGATTTTGAAACCATCCTTCAAGCAGTATGTATCCATGAAACCCTCATGATTTTTACAATAACTGATTTTCAATATATTCAATTACAGGTTCAATTTAATTTGTTAACCTCTTCAGACAAATGACTCCAAAGTTTATTTACTAGTATCTCACTATCTTCATCAAATGTTTCCATTAATTCATTAATTAATCCAGTTTTATTAGTCCCTTTGTTGTTTTTAATATAACCTGTAATAAAATCTGCCATTTCTTCTTCAACAAATCCAAGATATTCTTCCAATAGCAAATTAACAAATGGTGTTACTTTGGTAACTAAAATGCTTAATTTTTCTACTGAATATTCAGATAATTTCTTAATCAATTCTCTTTCTTCTTCTTCTCCAATAATATGAATAACTATTTCTTCTTCATCACTTTTGTTTATCTCTTCATCACTTTCGCTAATATTATCTTCATCCATCTTTTCATCATTGTTAGATGAAACAGAATCTCTATCTTCATCCTCAGATTCTATATTTTTATCTTGCAGTTGATAATCTATAGCAGAATCAGAATCAGAATCTAATTCTGATTGAGACTGGAAATCGGATTCGGATTTGGATTCGGATTCCGAATTTATATCGATATTTTGCAAACTTGTGTCTGGTTTGGTATTTTTTTCAGTGTCATTATTACCAATAATTTTATTATTTTTAAATTTATTTTGAGATTTAATGACAAGTTTAATTGGTTTATCAAACGTGGGTTTAGTATTAGAATCAAGTAAAGATGATAAAAAGTCTTTACTTTTCTTGCTAATTTCAAGGTCTCTCAATTCCTCTTTTCTATCCTTTTCATCGTTTTGAACCTCAATATCATACTTTGATTTTCTATTCTTCAAATATAAAGGTTTATTCTTATAATATAGTAGCTCTTTTAGTTTTGATTCTTTATCATCATCGAATTTTTCATAATTCTTTAACAAAAAATCTCTTCTTTTCAAGACAAATTCCGATTCATAATTTTTAACGTAGTTAAACTTATTTATTAGATTTTTTTTATAAGAATTTTCAAATTTGATTAAATTTTGTTCTTTTCCTAAATATTCTTGATTAGCCGATTTCATTTCTAAATTCGTTCTAACAACTTCGTATTCTAAATCATTCATTTCGTCATCATTATCATCATCATATTCGTCGTCATCATAATCTTCTTCATGAATATCCTGACCGTTTTCACCGTTGGAATTTATCTTAGTTTTATTTTTAGATGATTGTTTAATTGAGTCATATAGTTTTCTAATTTGCAATTTTGAACGTCTTTTTTCTTCCAATTGTTCTTTTATTTGTTTTTGTTTCAAGTTTTGATAAACTTTTGTTCTAAAATCTTTGATATCTGAAATGACTTGAGGCAACATTTCTTTAGGTATATCGGTTAATTCATTAAAGTTTATTTTGTAATTTTGAATATCATCATTATTATTTTTTTCATCTTCAGTATTAGAACGGTCATTTATTTTTTTATTTTGGGATGAATTAAGTTCAAATTGATATTTTTTGATCAATGATAAAATTTGAGATCTTTGTTCAGCAATAAAATCCGAATATTTAGTATTGATTGAATCGAAGGATAAATTTGATATTTTTAAAACAAAATCAATTAAGTTTTCGGTTTTTTTTTCATATTTAATTGATAGATTGTGTAAAATGTCAATATTACTCGATTTGAATGGTATTTTAAATTTATCAAATATCACTATAAATAATACAAAAAAGTCGACAACAAAAGTCTTTGGAGTTTGATTTTGATTTTGATTTTGATTTTGATTTTGATTTTCATTGTTAACATTGTTTTGATATTCATTTAGTTGGGAATTCAAAGAGACTAAAAAATTTGGGTAAGTAAATTTTATGTAAGCAATTTTATCATGATCTAAATTTTCATAGTTTGAAATGGACCAATTAAATGAAAATTTTGTCTTTGAAGTTTCAGCGGATAGATTGGTTAATAAATTATTAAAAGTTTTGGAAATAATTAACTCAATTAAATTATTTGAAAAAACTGAAGGAATATTTAATAAGGAAAAAATTAGCAATTGCTGCTCAATTGTCAATGGAAAAAACCGATTTAAATCAATGAAATAAGTTAATTTTTTATTTAGAAATAAAAAATTAGTATCAGAACTATTTTTGGCATCTTCACTAAGATTGTTACCTCGATCGATTTTATTATTATTTGAATTGGTATCATTTGTGCTTTCATTAGTATTTTCAGCATCAAAAGCGTTTAACTTTTGTTTGTTACTGGCTATAATCAAATTTCTTTTTTTTCTGATATCGTTTAATAGGTATAAGATATTTGAATTATAAATTAGAGGGACTGAACCATCAACGATTTTAGTATGAATAGTTTGATTAGATGGGGTTTCTTCAGTTTGGTTAGCTTGGAGAGCATCCACCTTGGGCTTGTAGCTGGGTAGCAAATTCTTGATATCAAACCTTTTCACATTTAGTTGATTATAATTGATAATTTCATTTTTGTCATCTTTATTTGTGTTAAAAGGATTTATAAACAACGATGAAGGAGAAACAGTAATCAAATTGAGATTGGTGACCTCGAGAGGGTTCTTTATCTGTGGATCCACTCTAACGTTGACAGTCGTAACCATTCTAGCTATCTAGTGGTGTTTACTGGTTGATTCTTTCTTTGGCCTGAGCTTTTTTCCACCAACTCTGGTTTTGGTTTTGATGTGGTTTTGATGAGACTTTTCATTACAGGGTAATTTCTCTTCTCATTACAAAACTGAAAAAACCGTGTTTGAGAAAGAGGTATTTACAGAGATGGCGTTATATTTTACAAAACAGGTTTTTTATTAGATTTATTGGTTGAGGGTTTTGAAAAAAATATATAGAAGATAAAATGGTAGAATATTGATTCTGAGCGAAAGGAATATGGAAAAAAACCAATTCAGCAGTGGTCTGTAGATGCGATCAAGGGCTGTTGATTCTGTTTAATCCAAAGACAAACCCAAGGCTTCTCTCTGCGATTTGGATTCTGCATCAAAGAATGGAACTTCTGCCAAAGAAGTAACTCTAGTTCCATGTCTTGGTTCCAAACCTTCGTAATCCCAAACAGTGCTATGGACAGACACTCTGTTGTCCCAAATGGCAGAAGTGCCATAACCTGGCTTGGTGGGTTTCCAGTTGAATCGGACCTGGATATCAGCGTTTTTCTCCAAAACATCCAATAGATAATTCAAAATAACACTAGATTCTGGTGGTTCTAAACCAACAATACTTTTGGTCATGCTTCTGTTGACAAACAATGCCTTCCAGCCAGTAGAAGGATGAGTTCTAATGATGGGATGTCTTCTTTCAATCTTTTTTGGTCCGCTAAATGGGTCGTCTCTATCGATATAACCATGAGCAGAAAAATAAATAGCTTCTTTTCCATCCAAAAACTTCTGTAACGCAGGAGATAGCTTATCGTAAGCAGCATAGCCCGAAGACCAAATAGTGTCACCACCAAGCTCTGGAATAGCATCGTTATGTAAATGGGTGATACCAGCTGGTTGAAATTCATGAACCAAATCAGTATGCCATGTTTGAGAACCATAAACAGCATCCCTGATGCCAAAATTGCCAAAAGTATTGTTTTTAAAACTTAAATGACCGAGTGAATAATTTTGCCAAATCACACCCACACCAGGTAAGCCTGGAACTCTTGGTGATTGTGGATGCAATTCAACTTGACCCCAATACTGACCCAATTCCAATTGTTTTTGAGGAGATAGTTTTTGGTCTCTGAAAAAGACAACAACTCTTTCAGCCACAAGTAATGCCAATTCATCCTTTTGTTGGTCAGTCAAATCAGATAGTTGCAATCCAACAATTTCTGTGCCAACTTTTGTTGTAAGATTAATAACTTGTTTGGCAGCTCCAAAAAATGCTTTTTTTTCTGGATCAGCGTTTACTCCTCTTTCAACAAATGGAAATCCATCGTTTCTAATTTTAGTTGCTTCATCAAGAAAAATTGGAATATCATTTTTATTTGGAACATATGGATATCCCTTGGAAAGATCAATTCCAGCTTCTTCAAATCTCTTACGAGTTGTTTCTGGTAATATTTTTAAACCTCGAGGATCACCACCTGTTGGAACACCTTTTGAAAGAGTGGATTGACTATGGACATAAGCAGATTTGGTATCCTTTTTAATTATCGCTTCAATTTGCTGATCGACTGATAAGGGTTTCAACTGAGCAGCTTCTGGTCCGGTCTTTTCTAAAGTAATTGTTTGAGACATTTATATAGCAACACTGATGGATTTAAAGAGCAATTGGTTCGATACAGTAAACTTTGATTTATTGAATACAATTATTAGATTTTTTTGATCAAGTTCTGGTTAACTTACTGATATAAATGTTTTTTGATTACTTATATAACAATTCCCAAGAATACTATCGGAATTGAATTAATCAAAAATTTCTTTATTTATCCATCATTAAACAACCATCCAATAGCACTATTGGCATTTCTAAAAACACTGGTACATTTCAAAACAAATTAAGCAGTATCAAAATCTCAAATAAACCTACACAGTCCACAGTGTTTCAAAATCTGAGGAAAAGTCTCGAGATACTATGTTTTTTGTTTCTATCACACCAATATCTCATCAGCTTTCCTATTGACAATAAGTGATTAGTAATGAGCAATTGAAAGCAATTCATCATCTGTAAATCTCTAAAAAGCAGTTCAGCCAATATTAAAACCACTGACTGATCATAATAAGCACCCAAAAAGTTTCCACACTACTGCTGCTTTGCTCCTATTGGCCAACCACACCGATGGTGCGAAAACCCAAACCATAGATAAGATATCCAGCATAGTTGTTCGGTAATATCAGAGCGGATTGTGTTATTCCTCTCGCTTGAAGGAAAATAGGCAATTTTGCTTTTCAGCGCCAAAATGTGGCACAACAAAAGGGGAACCAGCTTGAAAAGTCGAGTTCTCGGTTGATGATTTGAAGCCTTTCCACAAGTATGGCGTATCAAACAATTTGGATTATCATTGGAATTCCTGCAGCAGATTATTAATTGGAATTATACAATGTGAATCAAGAAAATGATAAAGAGTTTTGTTATTTTTAGGATCTTTTTACAAACATAAACCACAGATGTGACCAAACAGTTACCATCAACATCAAAATCCTCTCAGGAAAATAACCGTCCTTAATTAAAAGTAAACATTTCCAATAATTAAGACTTTTATTGAAAGATAAGAAACAAAATGGAAAACAAAACTATCATTCACAATGTGTATATTAGAATTAATTTGTTTGAATCAGCTAGCCAGCATCCCTCTATGTATTTAAATAAACTTATATTTTGATTTGAAACCACGAAAAAAAACAACTGATTATCAACTATATGATTTTTTAATTACTTTTTTAATTGTTCTCTTATTATAAATTTTTTTAGTGATTTTCATATTTTTTTCAACTTCTAAAGAAGACAAAGGCAATAATTGGGTGGGCATAAAATTATTTTTCTTATTATTATGATAATGAACGACAGGTTGAGATGATTCAAATATTGAAAATGATACCTCTTCTTGCTGGTTATTTTTATTATTAATAGAAAGGCCGGGGATTTGAGAGGAAAGAACGGGATCGGAAATTAATTCTTGCCCTCTAATTGGTGATGATGATAGTTGATTATATTCATTTAGACGTTGGGTATTTCCAAAAGATTTGATATTAGATAAATCTTGTTGAATCATTGAATTGAAATAATTGTTAATTTTTTTTGTATTATTTATTTTTTTAATACCACTATTATTATTGATATCAACGGTAGTATTATTAGCATTAATATTGATATTATTTGGTTTGATTATCTGATTATTTTTTATTTTTTCATTTTTTATTTTTTCACTTTGCACTTTTTCATTTTGTTTTTCAATAAATATAAAATTATTATTATAATATTCTTCATCAATGATTTTATTAATATGATCTTTTAATAAAGCGTTTCTACTTCTAGAAACTAGAGTTAGGTAATATTTTTCATTGTAATTTATTTGATCAATGGAGTTTAAAGATAAGTTTGGGTTAAAAAAATTGTTTAAAATATAATTTGAATAAGAATTTAATTTTTTAATGGTATCATTAACTTTTTCAATTAGAATTAATTTATCGTTAAATAATTTAATAACTATTTTTTTGAAAATATTGATGTGATTATTATTAGATGAATTGAAACCTAAATCAATAAAAATTTCCGAAAAAGTTGAAGGAAATTTAAAATTTTTCCTTTGGATTAATTTGTAAAATTTTCTTAGATTTAAATATATTGGCAATAAGCTATTATTTACTTCTATTGAAGTGGACTTGTTTTTATTGGTTTCATTTGAAATTGAGGCTGAACAATTTAAACAATTAAAATTATTATAAAAATTATTATTAATCATGTGTGAATTAGTTTTTTTAAAATAGCAATAGGGATGGAAATTTTTCTTGCAGGAATTACATTGAATTATATTAAGATTGGTGTTATTTTTAGTTGAAAAAATAGGCAAGTTTTTTTTAATCCCACATTCACAATCGAATATATTTATTTCATTAATTTCATTAAGGTTATTAGTGTTATCTTTATTATCTTTGGCATCATCATTAATTGATTTGATTATTTTTAGGATTGGCTTTTTAAAATAATTTGAGACAAATAAGTTATTATAAACTAATTGAAAAGGATCATTTAAAATTGAACTAAAGGGAATTGAGTTTGGAGTATTATTATCATTATCATTATTATTATTGGAAATTTCATTATTTAAAGTTAAAATTTGCATTGATAAAATATGATGATTTGTGTTTAGTATGCCAGGATTATGGTTATCGAATTCGTATTTCTCAAAATTATCATTATCAGTATCATTATAATAGCTATTGTTATTGCTATTATTATTATTATTATTATTATTATTATTATTTAAAAGATTTATAAAACTAATGTTGCTGCTGACAAATTTATAGTTCAATGGGCAATTATCGTTTAATAGTAGGTTAATTTTCAAGTAATTTTGATAGGACAAGGGATTTAGAGATTGAGTTATTATTATTAGTCTTCTAATTAATTGTTGGATGGCCTTTTTCGAATCCAATAAATTGATATTTATACTATCGTCATCATTTTTATTACTTTTTTTATTATTTTTTGATACGGATAAATTAAAATTATCATAATCAAAATTGAAAAAATATGATTCAAAATATTTGTCTTTATTGTTATTATTATCATTATTGTAAATTATTAAACTCAAAGATTTTATGTAATTGAGACTGATGAGTTTGAAAATGTCAATTTGAATTAAATCCAATAAATCATCAATTTGATTTGACACATTGTTCTTCAAAATTTTTATCTTGACAGAATTTCGTTTGTCGTTACTGTTATTAATATCGTTATTGAGCCCATCGAGAATAAAAGTTTGCGAATCATAAGAATATCTTCGGTCAATAAAGCAGTCGTCGGGAAATAAGTTTCTTAGGAAGGATATGCAGCCAATTGAGATCAATAGCAAAGTCTGAATCAAGTCCTGGGACTGCTTCTTGGTAATTGAGCCAGAATTCTTGTCAATAGCAGCGTCAAAACCATTTTTTCCGCTATTGTCGTCCCCAGTATCATCTCGAGCAGCAATTTCCATAGCGCTCATCGCCCACAGAGAAAAGAACACATCGCAGCTCCAACACCTCTGGGAAAACAGTAGCTTTTTATAACACAGCAGCACCAGATTCTTCTTGCCCACCGCCACGGGTCGTCACCAACATCGTCTCTTTCGGACGCAACACCGCGAATGTTGCGTCCGAAAAGGGCAGCCCTGCATCTTCGGGACAACAGCAGCGGTGTTGTGCGCAACACGTGGAGCAACGCTTGCCTCCCACACGCGCGGGGACGGGAGCCAAACAAGGCAACTGCTAATTGGCGAAATTATAAAGGAAGAAAGCCCCAGCACTTTCTTCTAGAAACGAAGCCAGATATCACCCAACAATGTCAGAGAAAGCTGAACTTGGCCTCGCCATGGCAAAAGGCGCTCGAACGAGAGAGAACAATAGCAGCAGACGCAGCAGCAGCTCTCACAATGACAGCGACATGGACAGCTGCAGCGACATGGACAATGCCGACAACAATTGCAATGACACCAATAGCAACAACAACGACAACGAGCTCGAGATAGAGGTTGGCCCACGCTTGCACCATCCTCAGCCCTCCCATCTCTTGCAGCCCTCCATGTTGAGCAGCCTCATCAACGACGTCAACTTCGACAACATTTCCACTGCCTCAACTGTCTCCTTCTCGAACGCCGCCAATCCTGGCAGCGACTTGACCAACAAAAATCTTTCGCACCTTACTACCTCTAACTTAAATCTCAACAGCAAAAAGTATTTTTCCTCCACTGCTGCTTCTATTGCTTCCACTGATGCAATTGACTTGTTGAACCAACAGAATTCCAACACAACTTTGAATTCCATGAATAATATCGATACCGTTAACGGTAACAGTGACAATATCAACAATATCAATAATATTACCGAAATAAACAATATGAATAACAACTTGAGCTTGTCCAACAACCATTTGTCCACGACTGTTAACAATGATTGGTCCAACATCTCCTTACCCACTTCAAGACCCTTATCAAGAGCTTCGAATACTTCTGGCATCTCAGTGACTGCAGCCAAAGATGGTATTGAAGGAAAGAGAATTCACAGGTATAATAATCTAGGACACCATAACAACCCCCATTTTCCTTTTTTGCACACAAATATTCAAAACCAAAACATCAACCAAAATATATCTCCACTTTTAAACTCGGCAAATAACAAAAATCCTTCTCATAAAAAGTCAAGCTCTTTATCAACTAATTTGTCAAGCCAAAATCAAAACTCAAATTTAAATCAAATTCCAAACCAAACTTCAAACCAAAATCAGAACCAGAATCAAAATAATTACCAAGAATATCTTTCTGATATCGAAATGGATATTGATAATAATTCAATTACTTCTTCGATTCCAACAAACTCCAACATTCAAATTCCTAATATTAATTTGATTGATAATCAAAATAATCAAAATAATCAAAACAATCAAATATCACAAAATAATCAAAATCGAAACGCTTTTTATTTATCAAGTCATTCAAAAGATTTACCTGTTTCCTTGAATGAAAAAATCAACTTATTTAAATCAACAAATTCTTTAAATTCTCAACAAATCCATTCTTCAAGTACAAACATGAATCTTATTAATAATAATCAAAATAATCAAAATATCAATACTATCAATAAGGCGTCCTTTTTTTCACCAAACAATCAACAATTCCATCAACAATTTTTGATTAGAAGATCGGGATCAAACTTGACTTTAGGTGGCATAAGTGATGATGTTTCAATTGATGATTATCCAAGATATTAAGCATTTTAGCAATTAAGTTTGTTTTATTATTTTTTTTATTTTTTTTCATTTATTTTGTGTTTATTAATTTAATTATTGATTTTTGTTTGATTTGTGATTTTTATGGGTAAACTATTGTTCTTTCGTTATTATGTGCCACTTCAGTTCTTTATTATATTTTTAAAATAAATCTTTTTTAATTTTTGTTATCGTTATAATGATTATTTTCTTTTATAATATTTTATAGTATTTTATTTTATTTTATTTTATTGGTTGATTTTATTTTATTTTATTTTATTGTTTCATTTTATTTTACTATAAAGCTATAAACGTCTCATATCATAAAAACGCAATACAATTGAATCATATCGATACAGTTATAACAAGTAATAAAACTTAGGATAAAAAAACAAATAGCAAAATGAGTAAATGCAAAAAAAAAAGGAAAAAAAAAGTAGAAAAATACCATATATAATAAAAAAAGAAATTGCAAAATTAACAAACAAAAAAGAAAAAGAAAAAGAAAGAAAGAAAGAAAGAAAGAAAAAATAAATAAATAAACAATAATTAAGGAGAGAAAAAAGAGTTTGAATTAAACGAAGAAATAAACAAAAGAAATCATTGACAGATAAGTTGAAGTTAATTTGAAACAAATGGATATTTATCAAAACCAGAACCAAGAGTAAGTGATTGATTTTGTTTAATTGACGAATGATAAATAACGAATATTCTTATTATAGATGATAACCCAAATGGAATAGTGTTGATATACAAGTTACTATAATTGTAAGTTTTAATTTATTGTGCGGTCCAGTTAAAAATAAATTGTGATTTAATTAAGATTTAATTGGGATTAAATTGGGATTAAATTAAACATTAATTAGGGTTAAAACTGGATTAGATTGGATCAAGATTTTGGAGAACTTACTCTTTCGACGATTCTGAAAATGGAAATGCTGAAAGTTAATACCCACATGAACAAGATTAAAAATAGAAAACTCGCTAAAGCTCTTTGTTTATCACAGATTTCATCTATTTTTAAAGGCAATGAGTTGATTGTATCTCTTATTAGATTTCTAGTTAGAGATCTTTTTTGGGTTGTTTGTAATTGAGAGGTGGCAACACAAACCCATTGACTATCATATAAAGTATTAAAAGCTAGAGATAAATTTGCGGAACTGAAGATGATGAATAACAAGTCTAGGGAGATTAGTTTGATTTTGTCCATGGGGTTTCTTAGACCAATTGGCTGGCCACTATATTCGTCCCAAGTGATGTATAGGATGTAGAGAGATGCGATACTTTGAACACAAATTGCCATGATGGTAGAAGGCTGCTGGCTGATTTCTCTTTGAGAAGAGTTCTGAGAGTGGTTTTGGGACTGTGTTGAGGTGAATAAAGAGCAGGCTAAGCCTAGTGCTACCAAGGTTAGTATGAGCATGAAAGTTCTTAGGAAAACTAGTAGGTAGGGACTGTTGAGACAGAATCTTTTTATTGTGGGAGCCCATCTTTCTCTTGATTCGGAAGCCATCCAGTATTTGGCGGAAGATCTAACTTTGGGAGAATTGGAGCTTCTTCTCCTTTTTAAGTTGTACTTGTTGATATTTTTGTCAGCACTTTTGTTGGGAGAGTTTGAGAATAGATTGAGACAGAGTAGGTGACTGAGAAAGGAGTTTGATTGAGAGTCACCAATCAAGGAATCATCATTTAATTCTTTTCTTAATCTTTCATCGCCTTGCCAATCGCCAGATAAATCAGCTAGTTTATAATTTTCTTCTAGATTTGAGTCAGTGTTATATATAGTGTTACTGGAAGAGTTTGTGAGATTATTGTTTATTGTATTTGAAGATTCATCTATTATTGGCAGATATCTGTTTGAATATCGTAATGAGCTATGAGGACGATGATTGTTGTAATTGATAGAGTTATGATTATAGAGATTTTGATTTTGATTATTGTTATTGTTATTGAAATTTGATTTTAAAATTGCAGGGGTGTTTTTCACAGTTGATAGAAAGTTATTCCAGTTGTTATTCAAGGAAGAAGTAAAGAGATCAGTATTTAGGGAATCGTGGTGACTTATTGTGGATACATTGCCATTGAAATTGTCCAGGTCTTTGTGATGAGCCTTTGATACACTGTCTAGTACATAAGGGGGCACTGTTGTAGCCTGGTGGTTATAGGAGTTTATGTTATCGATCATTTGATTGTTGGAGACATTTTGGGGAGATGGAGAGGATATACCGGTTGAGTGTTGTTGAGCGAATTGGGGTTGTTGAGAAAAAGACTGTCTGTGAAGATGAGGTTGAAGAGGTTGCTGAGAAGCCATTGAATTGTTGGAGGATGAGGAAACCAACTTGGGAGATTGGAGCATTTCGCTGTGTGTGGTGGGCTGTATTGGATTGCAGCAGATTGTGAGTGAAAAAAGTAGATGATTTCAATAGAAGCAAAGTGCTTTTGTGATATACAGTAGATGAAGGGGAAAGAGAGGAAAGAAACAGAGGAAATAGAAGAAATAGAAGAACTGGAAGAACTGGAAGAAGCTGACGAAAGAGAAAAGAGAAGAAAAACGAGCAGGAATGAATGGTGTAGGAAACCAGAGAAATACCGGCTATGAGAGAGTCTTTTAATATCAGAGCATTGCCTTTAAACAGAAGCGACGATATAAACAATTGAGTGGAATATAATGAAATGGCCCAAGAAAGCAACTTCCAGTTCCACTCGCAAACGAGCTGGTCGCTGCGTGTAGCCCCTGCCTTGCGCTGCGGTCTGGCGCGCGCCATCTGCGTCCGCTGCACCTGCCCCTCAACGAGCGGGTGTGCGGGCGCAGAGTAGCATTTGCACGTGGCTTTTTGCTAGGCAATACGTCAATACACCCCGCAGCACCGGGACAGGTCTGCGAGACTGCAGGCTGCGTCTGGAAGACACAAAGAACTGTCGCTTTGGGACCGCTGCTTTGGTCACTTCCCGATCAGGCAGACCCCGGCTTAGCAATATGTGTATTGCCCAATGGGGGCATTAGGTCCCAGTGCCACCAAAATGGTCGAAGAAGAGGAAGCAGTGCACGAGTGGTTCTGTCACTCTTCAGCGAGGTTCTTCAGCGAGGTTCTGCTCATGCCAGAGCCAAACGGCGCTTGTATCTCGCTGGGGTGCTGTCTGTGTTCTTCGGTACCAGGGACTTAGTGTTTGGGATGTTCTGATTGTCGTCAACTGCTAAAGTTTCCAATGCCATCTGTAGATCTTTTTTCGTCAAGGCAGGTATTGAGACTGGCATTGGACGCAAGGCGATTCCCGTTCTGGACAGAGGTGCTTTGGTGCACGTGTAAGTCATGCGCATCAACGCTTTTTGCTTTTGAAATTTTGACCTTTTGCGCTGATGGAACGGACTCTTAATGTGTGAAAATGAGGTGGAAAGCGTTGGAAAGTAGCGTATTGTACTATAGAATTGATTGCTAAGTATGATTGATTTATATAGTTCACTCTTGTTTCTCTTTATCAAATACCAACCGACCATTCGTCCACACCTTCGCATTATTTCTATCGTCACCATTGAATAGCCATTTAGCAATCAAGTTTTCAAATTTCAAATTATCTTCCAAATCTAGCTCTCCATTTTTTTGTAATAAAGCCTCCTCTTTTAACAAACCCTGCTCATTTTGATTGGCCATAAATCTCAAATTATCGCTCAAATCAATTTTATCCTTTGCTTTCTCATCTTGGTTAATTTCTTTTGCCAACTTGTTATGAAAATATTCAGGCAATTGCCAGCTAAAGATATCAACCTGAGAATCCCTTTCCCGGAGATTAACCAATTGACAGTCCCATTTCTTACCAACTTGGAAATCTCCTATCAATTCTTCTAAACTTAATACCTTAGCTCCACCTAGTGTTGCCAAATATAACACATCGCTAACTGTTAGTTTATCATTTTCCTTAAATGTCTTCATGGCTAAGTGTCTTGAAACCAACAAAGCATGACGAGCTGTTGAAAGAATTGAAGGAGCAAATCCACCCGAAACATCTGTCCCCAATCCAACATTGATCGAATCATCCAACAACCAACGAACTCTCGCTTCACCTGAAGTGATTGACGAATTTGAAATTGGACAATGTGATACCCCAGATTTTTTCAATTTAATCAACTTCTTTTCATCTTCATTCAAATGAATGGCATGAGCTAAAACCGTTTTCGACGTCAACAATTTATGATCATCGTAAACCGCTGCATAATTCTTACTTTCAGGAAACAATTTTTTCACCCATTCAATCTCTTCAACATTTTCGGAAATATGAGTCTGAATATGCAAATCTTTCTCTTCTGATAAATCCCCTAGCCAACTTAATAAATCAGACGTACAACTTGGCGCAAACCTTGGTGTAATTATCGGCAATATAAGATTCTCCTCACTCTTATCAATCCTCGAAACTGATTCTTGGATCTCGTTTAAATTTTTAATATGCTTCAACACTTTTTCGGTCGATTTCTTTGATTGCTCAAAATCTTCAACATAATAATCTGGCGAATTGTCATTCATACAAACTCTACCAATCAACCCTCTCTGCCCATTTTTAAAACACAAATTCGCCAATACATTTGTAGCATTGGCATCAATTGTAGCAAAATACGATGCTGTTGTTGTCCCATTTCTTAATGTTTTTTTAACCACTTTTGAATAAATATCTTTAGCAATCTGCAAGTTTTTAAAAGACGCCTCCAACGGAAACGTGTATCTGGTCAACCAGTCCAACAATGTTGAATTTCCAAATATCCCACAGTTTGGATATTGTGGAGCATGAATATGTGTATCAACAAAACCAGGAAAAAAAAATGAATATGGATTTGATCTGATATCAACCAATTTTATATTTGAAACATTCAATCTTGAATCAAATTTTAAAGCGTCATCCATTGCATCAACTGAATTCTTATTAATGAAAACTATTGTGCCTTCAGTATTTACACCAACTGAACAATTTGGAAGTATTTCTATTTCTCCTAGTTGAGGCGTATGAACTAATGTGCCATGATAAACTGAAAACGCTAATGGAGATAAAGCTAATGATTCAATATTTTCCAATTCTTTATAAGGAGAGTATTTTGTTCGAGACAATTCAATAAGAGACTCTTTTGAGTCTTTTTCAACATAAACCATAATTTTATTAAAAAAAAACGAGATTGAATATCAAAATGAGATGGAATATGAAAATAAAATTGAATATTTACAGTAAAAATCGAGTTTTTGAGCTTTAAAATAACAGTGTGTGTAGTAGGGCAAAATAGCCTCCACTTATCTGTGGAAATACCAAAAAAGTACAATGCTGAAATCCAGATCAACTGATAATGCAAGCCTTCCGTGGAACATGGAACAGCTTTGATTTCGGCCAATCAAAACGTTGAAATAGCCAGGAAAGTTTAAGAATAGCATTGAATTTAAAGCAATTCTAAAGTGTTATCTGATCCGGAATCAATAAAAAAGAAAATCAAAAATAATATTTGTATAAAATTCAGAAAATAAGAAGAATATGAAGGATTCCAAAAAAATCTATAAGAAAAAATCTATAGAAAAAAATAATAGAGAAATATAATAAAACACACCAAAACTTTCAAAATTCCAAGGAAATGAAAATGAAAATGAAAATGCCAAAATGAAAATGCCAAAATGAAAATGCCAAAATCTAAATTTAAATACTAGATAAATAATAATTGCAAACCAGACCAAAAAACCAATATTATTGCTTAAAGAAAAGAAGGAAGAAAATAGAAAATAGAAAATATAGAAAAATAGAAGGTATAGGATATTAAGATAGAGTATAGTTTCTTCTAAATTAATTCTTCAGCTTGATTAAATTAGTTAATTGGACAATAAATTTGGGTCAAAAAAATCATTATTTTCATTTAAAGTTAGAACTTTGAGAACGATTCCATTATAATTATGCTTAGTATCAATTAAAGGGCCACGATTTAATATTAAATCTTTTAGGAAATAATAGACAAATTTATAAAGATTAAAGTATTTAACTTTTTCAAACTCAGCGGTTATATCAAATCTTAAACCAAGAACACTAGTGTCGACTAAATAATTTAAAGAGACGTTTAAAATACTTAGACTTTCAATGAGGTAATGTCTTCTATCAAAGATAACCGAAGCACCAATTTTACCATTTTCATTTAAAAAGTAAAAAGCCATTGGAATAGAAAAATCGCCATAAGCCTTTTTGAAAAAAGTGCTTGCTTTTTTAATTTGATAATTAATTTTCAAATCAAAGGTAAGATAAGAAATTTTTTGAGCGATTAATAATGATTCATCGACATTTTTATTGTTATTGTTATTATTAGGGGCAGCAGCATCAAGGTTAAAAGCATTTAATAAATCATCAGCAGTATCAAGTGCTGGTTCAATTAATTGGTTGTGATCATTAAAAGGTTGAATATTGATTAAATTTGTTAAATGATTTGGAAGTAAAAAGATTTTGATAGATTGCAATAGGCTGTATTCAACTAAAGAACTTTGTGAAGGTTGAATAGTGTTTGAGACCAATCCATCGTTATAGTTGTCATAAGTAGCAATACCAATTGATAATAATGAAGCGACACCAGTCAAACCAGTAGCTAAAATTGAAACAGCGCAGGAAAATGGAGCAGTATCAACCAAACAAGAAGAAGATAAAAATGAAACAGAATCAATAAAAGTGGTGTCGGCGGTTAAAAATCTGCCAAGCGCAATGACATATTGATAACGATTTCTTAAGTAAAATCCTGTAATTGAGCCATCAACAATAGCATCATTGTTATTAGTGGTGGAATCAGCTTCTTGAATAACAAACTGGTTAACTATCTCATCAACAACTTTATCATTATCAGAGTAAAACTCCAAATATTCTCTTTTTATAACGTCGGATAGATCAGTCAAGTCATCAGCAGTTTCATCGAGTTTGTCATTTAAAGTTGTAAAGTTTGTGCAATTAATCGGGTGAGTTAAGTTCAAAGGATTAGAAGTATTACAAATCAAGCCATAATTTGGTGGTTTATAATCAGGAACAGGAATAGCGTTGGTGAGAGCTGAGAAGGCTGTGAAAAAAACTATGGATTCAGCAATTGATATTCTCATTTTGGAAAAAGCTCAATGTTGATAAAAAAGATTAGTTTTGTTTATTGAAAACGAATGTTTTAATGAATTAAATGAAAATTGGTAACCAAAGTTGAGTGAAAGAAAAAACAAGAAAAAAGAAGAAAAGAAAAGCAAAAAGATAAAAAGAAAAAGAATAGGCAGGATACGACCCTGGGTATTTATATTAATGGAAAACAGCTAAAGGAAGGCTCTGGAAAAGCGTTGATAGTACGAATGGCCAATCAGCGCCAGGTCCAGCAGAGGAGGGATACGATGCCTGTTACTTTGGAGATGTTGTAGGGTTTGTGATGCAATCTCTTTCTGGTGTTGTTTTGACAGTACCATGCTGATGGTTCCCTCTTCTATTGAACCATCCTTGTGTTTCTCCTGTACAGATGCAGAACCCATATTTCTGGAATAGATGATATGAGATATAGAAGTGATGAGATAAACGAATGCAAAAACGAACTGGTATGATATATAAAACAGTTAATATAGTATTGAGATTTTTTTGAGCTGATTTGATTTTTCAAAGCTGCGAGATTTATTAGAATGATAAAGTCTATTGAGTCGATTGAATTTTAGATTTATTTCTTTTAAATTTTTGAAATCTTTGAAATCACTCATATCTAATTGCGATATGTAATTTCCTTTTAGATTCAATTTTTGTAAACATTTTAAATTGTCTAGATTTTGAACAAAATTGATTTTGTTATCAGATAAATCTAGTTCGATTAACTTTTGAAAATTGTTAATGTTTTCAATTTTATAAATTAGATTATTTGAAATATTGAAAATTTTCAAATTAGTCAAGTTGAGCAAATTTTGATTTAATTCAGGAATCCTATTAAGAGATAAATTTAGAATTTGTAAGTTTTTCAAGTTTTGTAAATTGCCGATATTGATAATTCTATTTCCCTTTAGATTTAGAATTTTTAAATTGTGTAAATTTTCAATGTTTTCAATTCTTAATATATTGTTGAATTTCAAGATTAGTACTCTTAAATTGACCAAGTTATTTAAGTTTTCAATTTTATCAATTTTATAGTTATTACTAATATTGAGATAATTTAAATTAGTTAATTGGTTTATATTTTGAAAAACATTTCGGTAATTGTTGTTATTATAATAGTGATTATAATCATTTAATTCATGAAATTCATTAAAATTACAGCGATCACTGTAACTATAATAATTATTAAAGAATTTTGAATGAGAAGAAATTGTTAGAGTGTTCAAGTTTTTAATTTCATTGGGGTTTAGGTTTAAATTGTCGAATTTAAAAGAGCCATAAATAATCTGTTTTGAGAAAATGAAAGAATCATTTGGATAAAGTTTTTTCAAATAATGAAAAAAAAAATTAATGTATTCGTCAATATTAAAATACAATAATCTGTTCTCTAAATAATTAATCTTGATTGCTTTTAAATTATTGAATTTTAGTAAACAGTTATTGTCTTGGAAATTTTTGTTATAGAAATTAAAAAAATCAGTCATTTTATAATCAATGAAATCGTCATTTTTAAATAAAAAATTCACAAATTTAGCAAAATTTAATATTTTCTCATTCAAGTAAGAGTTTTTAAACAAATCGTTAAATCTAATTTTAAATAAACTTTGATTAATAATATTCTTATTCTGATTGTTTTGATTAATTATATAATTATTATTCAACTTTGAATTGGAATTTAAATTTTCATAAGGGATATAATTATTGATCGTGATCTTATTAGGAAGATAACCAGGCAATATAATCACATTTTTAAATAATAAAGAATCAACTAGTGTTGATATAAAACCATGATGACTCTCAACCAAAGATAACAACAATAGTTTATCATTTGATAGTAATTTAAAAATTGCTAGTAATATTTGATAAGGGATGACATCAAATAAAGTTGAAAAAACCATTTTTCTGACAATCTAACCCCTCAATACATGGAATAACAGCTTATCAGGCGAGGGTACTAGCAGATGTAGAAAATCCACTATAGGGTAAATAGATGATCTTCAGAATTTAATGAAAATAAGAATGAAAACAATAGTAAAAAATTCAAAGCGAAATGAAAATGGACAAAAAAAGAAAAAACCCTTGCTTTTATAGATATAAAATTTTTCTTTCATGGTCAGCAACTGCTATCTGAGAAGTTTTCTTGCATCAGTGATAAGAAATGGAGCAAAATTGGGTAAAATCCCACACGAGTGGATCTCAGAGATAGGGAAAACAAGAAGCCGAGAACATTCCACAAAAACAGCAGCCATCGCAGTGGAGCAGGCATCTTCGACTGGAATCTGGCTCTTGACGAAGCAGAAGCTCAAAGGCCTGGAGCCTGCTCCTTCCCTTGTCTTCCGTCACCTGTTCGATACGTACTCCCCCTCAGAGCTGGTCTCGCTGGCACACGTGCTATATGCTGCGTGTGCTGCGTGTGCTGCCGCTTCAGCCCCAGCTATTTTCACCCGTATGTTGCCACAGCTCTTGGCACCTGCCGATTGGTCAATATGCCTTGACTTGTCGTCATTGGAGTTTTTGTCGCTGCGACCTGCAATCGCATAACTTACAGTTATCTCTCGGATTTGTCAGCACTGTATCTTGGAACAGCTCTGATATCTACAAAATGGCTTTCATTTCCATGATATTTTTATTTGTAGATTGTAGTTGTGATTTACTTGTAGGGTAGAATTCTGCACAATTGTCCCATTGGTGGTTTTAATATCCAAAAAGAAAATAATTGGCTCTAGCAATGCTGTCTTTAATATCAACTAATCTATTCAAACCAGTTGCAATTTCTGAAAATATTGAATTATCTCACCGTTTAGTTCACGCTCCATTAACAAGGTATAGAGCTTCAAAAAAGCATGTCCCAACAGATTTAATGCTTCAGTACTATGACGATAGATCAAAGACCCCAGGTTCTTTGGTTATCATGGAAGCGACCTTTATCTCTCCAAAGGCTGGAGGCTACGATAACGTTCCAGGCATTTGGTCTAAAAATCAAATTGACGCTTGGAAATTGATCACTAACAAAGTTCACCAAAACGGTTCGTTTGCTTCTCTACAATTATGGGCACTTGGTAGACAAGCAAAACCCGATGTTTTAGCAAATGAAAACCAAAAGTTTGTTTCTTCATCAAGTGATATCTATATCAATGACCTCGATAGAGAATTAGCTGAAAAGCTCGACAATCCGTTAACAGGTTTAACTCTTTCAGAAATTGATCAATGGATACAAGACTATGCTCAAGCCGCTCAAAATGCTATCGATGCTGGTTTCGATGTCGTTGAAATCCATGCTGCTCATGGTTACTTAATTGATCAATTTGTTCAAAAGACTGCAAACCAAAGAACCGATGAATATGGCGGTTCAATTGAAAATAGATCAAAGTTTTTATTGAATATAGTCGATGCTATCATTGATAAAATTAGCGATGCAAAAAAAGTTGCAATTAGATTATCTCCATGGGCTCAACATGGTGGTATGAAAGGAACATTTTCAGACCTTCATCCAATTGCAACTTTCGGCTATGTTATTTCAGAATTACAAAAGAGAGCTGATAATGGTAACCAACTCGCTTATATCTCAATTGTCGAACCAAGAGCCAGTGGTAATCAAACTGTTTCAGATGAAATCGCCTCTTTGGGCGATAACCAATGGATTTATCATATTTGGAAAGGAATTATCATTAGAGCTGGAACTTATACCAGTGACTCCCCAAAATATTCAAACATTATAAAAGATGTTCAAAACAATAATAGAACCTTAATTGCTATTGGGAGACATTTTGTTTCAAATCCAGATTTAGTTCAAAGATTAAAAAATGGTTGGCCTTTAACTGATTATGATAGATCCACTTTTTACATTATTGAATCGAATTTTGGATATAACGATTGGCCAATATATGGTGATACCCCCACGCATAGAGATAATCAGTTCTCCAATAAAACAGCTGTTCCTTTAGCATAGATTTTGGATTTTATAGATATTTAAATAAATTTGTGTTTTCATGTTTTTACACCATTTCTACTTTCTCTCATACTGGAACAAAGAAATAAAAAATTCAAAAAATAAGCTTCCCCACCAGGACTCGAACCTGGAATCTCTCGGTTTCCTAAGAATGTAGTCTTTCGCTCGTAGCCGAACGCCGTAACCATTGGGCCATGAGGAATGAAGCCTGTCATATTGAAGCATCAAATTTAATAAATATAATAAATGTTTGTTTTTTTTTGCCTTTAAAAATGCGTTAAACTTATTTTTTTAATAGATAATTTGAAATTTTTAATTAAATATTTGTTTTTTATTTTTATTTTACACAATTTTTAGTATAATGTGATAGAAGTTTTTCTTTTCCTTGAATTTGTGATGAAAGAATTTCTTTAAAAATAAGCTTATTGATTATTCAATTGGTTTAATCAATACTTATCAATAATTTAATTTAATGATTTAATTTAATGATTCAAATCAACATAACTACATATTTATATGACGACATTGATGATTAATATGATGATATTTCATTTTCAATTCACACTTTTGTTGATCTGAAAGTTCTGCAATTTCCAATAATTATCCGCATTACTTCACTGTCGGAAGTAGTATTCACTATTGTTGGAAGAACCAATAATTAAATTGAATCTTCTGCTGTATTGCATTTTTAGTATAAAAAAAAAGATACAATTATTTTTATAATATCTAATATTTGGGCTTTTTTTATTCTTATTTTTAAAACTATAAACTACTTCAAATGGTTGATTTAATAGACACTAATCTTTTTCAACCAATTACTGTCGGAAATGACCTTAAATTAAACCACAGAATTGTTTTTGCTCCTTTAACAAGGAGAAGAGCCACTAAAGACCACTTGACAAATACCAAATTGATGGAAAAATACTATGATGATAGATCAAAGACTCCTGGCTCTTTAATTATCACAGAAGGAACTCTTGTTTCTCCCTTTATTGGTGGCTCAAGACATGCTCCGGGAATTTGGAATGAAGCTCAAGTTAATTCTTGGAAACAAATCATTGATAGAGTTCATGAAAATGGATCATATGTTTCAATGCAACTATGGGGTTTGGGAAGTAGAGCTGATCCTGAGTGTTTAGCCGAAGAAGGTCAACCATTTTTATCAGTTGTTGATGACACTTATCCTGATGAATTAATCAAAGAAAAGGCCTTAAAGGTTAATAATCCATTGAAAGCCATGGAAATTTCAGAAATTAAAAAAATTGTCAATCTTTATGCAAATGCTGCTAAAAATGCCATTAAAGCCGGCGCAGACATTGTTGAAATTCATGCTTCTCATAATTATATTATTGATCAGTTTACCTCTCCAGACTTAAACAAAAGAACTGATGAATACGGCGGTTCAATAGAAAATAGATCGAGATTTTTGTTTGAAATTATTGATGCTGTGAAATTTGCAGTTGGTGATTCTAAAAAAGTTGCAATAAGACTCTCTCCATGGTATGATTTTGATGGTAAATCCGGTTATCGTTCTGATCCACATCCCATTGTCACATATGGTTATATTATATCCAAACTACAAAAAAAAACAGAAAACGGCAATGATTTGGCGTATCTCTCCATTGTCGAACCAAGAGTCAATGGGAACAGAGATGCTGATATCGACTCTTCAAAAAACGGAAATAATGATTGGATCCTTAAAATTTGGAAAGGGACTATTCTCAGATCTGGTGGTTATCTTATGGACAAAAAAGAATACAAAACCCTTGTCGAAGATGTAAATGCAAATAATCGAACTTTAATTGGAATTGGAAGATATTTTACTTCAAACCCGGACTTGGTGCAAAGATTGCTGAAAAATTATGGATTAACTGAATATGATAGATCAACATTTTATACTTTTGAAAGTTATGAAGGATATAACTCCTGGAAAAGTTACAAAAGAGTTTAGATTCGTTTATAGGTTTTTCTAGCTTAATTATATATTTATAATTTTAATTGATTTTCCTAGGGCATTTTTTTTTTTTGAGTACAATCATTTTTAAAATTTTGAAATTTATGTGACCATGTTAATTTTTTTAATCAATCGGATTTTTTCTATTGAAACGGTGAATACAAAGCAATAATTTCACTAAACGAAGAGATTGGAAACGGAAAAATATATTGTTTTTTTGAATGTTGAAATTCTTAGCAAATATAAATCATATCTGCAAAATGAGAAATTACCGTTGCCTATTTTACCCTTAGTTTCCCTATAAATCTAATTAGATTTCTTCAAACATATTAAATTATACACATAATATTTATTCCTGAGCAACTTAAACATACTCAAAATTGGGGACAAACTTGGGGAACACGGAAAAATTTGAGGAGCACGGAATAACTTGAAACATGCCGGAACAACTAGAGCTTGTATGGAAAAAAGCACTAGATAGCAGAACCTTAATGCAGTTTAAATGCCAGTGGCTACACATTGGACCATTTTGGACAAATCATGATCAAGAAACCAAGTTCAGTAATCACTTAGAGTATGATATGATTAAAACAAGACCAAGAAAAAAAACAAGGTGCAAATTCAATGCAATATACTTCACTTTTAATCATATTGAGTTTTATTAAAAACTGGGCATTTCAAAAAAAAATAGTAAATGGTAAACAACCATAAATTTTATAGTAAAAATAACAAAAAAAACTCTTAAAATTCGGAAAATTATAATTTCTTGGCAACTAAATTTTCTGATTGCTTTACAATAATTAAATAATCAGCCTTTTATATCATGTTAAATTGTCGATTGGTTGGGATTAATAGTCTATTTAGTAAATAATTAACTTTTACTTTTTATGGTTCATGGGGAAAATTTTATAAAAGAAAGTTATTATTTCAAACAAATATTTAAGAATAAAAAAATAAAAACTGCAATATAGGATAATTTCTAAGAGGGTACAAAATACTAAAAAAAAAATTATGCACTAGAGTCAGAATAGCAACTCAGAAATTAATCCGGGTTGCCTGTAAATTATGAAATTTAATCAATTTCTTTATAAAAATCTAAGGAAAAACTAAAACATAATTTTAAGATTTAAAAAAAATGGATTAATTTTCTTAGTTCAAAGCACAAATTCAGAAACAAAAGTCATTTGAAAATTAAAACTTTATGCATTTCAGTGGTTGGGGCAAGTATATTTTTCCGATATACTATTACTTTTAAGAGTTTTTCCTTAAAATTAAAAAGGAAAAATTTATATTACAGTTATTCTTTACTTGAAAATTTTAAGGATCTTAAAAGCAGATTTGAAAATAAATTAATCCATGATTTAATCCATTACCAAAAAAATAATATAAATACTATTTGAAATTTCCTTGAAATTGCTTTTAATTTTTCTTTTTATTTATACTATTAACATTACAATTTAACTTATTCCATTTAATTTCACTATTATTATCAGTAGTAGTACTATTATTATTATTAGTATCATTATTATAAGCATCATACTTTTATATTTCTTTATTCTATTACTATAAACATTATGGGTAATTTCATTAAAGTGATATTTAATAAATATTGGTCGGTATTCTATAAGCCTGATCCCAAAAAAACAGAAGAAAATGTATGGCCTGCTATTATTGTTGGTTTATTTGCTGCATTTGGTGGTATATTATTTGGATATGATACTGGTTCTATTTCAGGCGTGATGGAAATGAATTATGTTTTAGAAAGATTTCCAGAGGATAAACCAATGGAATTTTCATCATCAGAGCATTCATTGATTGTTTCGATTTTGTCTGCTGGTACATTCTTCGGTGCTCTCTCTGCTCCTTTTATTGCTGATACTTTGGGTCGTAAATGGGTTATTGTTATCTCGTCATTATTTACATTTAATCTCGGCATTGCGTTGCAAACCGCAGCAACAACCATAGGATTATTAGCTGCTGGTAGAGTTATTGCTGGTTTTGGATTGGGTTTTATCTCAGCAACTATTCCTTTATATCAATCAGAGACTGTTCCCAAGTCAGTTCGTGGAGCTATTGTTTCTGTTTATCAATTGGCTATTACAATTGGTATTTTTTTAGCATCTTGTGTTGAAAAAGGTACACATAACCGTAATGATTCAGGTAGTTATAGAATTCCTATTGCTCTTCAATTTGCTTGGGCATTGATTTTAGGTATCGGTATGATTTTTTTACCAGAAACGCCGAGGTTTTATATTTCCAAAAACAAAGAAATGGAAGGTAAAGAATCATTATCAAAATTAAGAAAATTGCCAATTGACCACCCTGAACTACTTGAAGAATACGATGAGATCAAAGCTAATTATGATTTTGAAAATTCATTTGGATCATCTAGTTGGCCAGATGTATTCAAGACTGGTAATTCACAATTAAAGAGAATTTTCACAGGTACATCGTTGCAAGCATTCCAACAATTAACTGGTATTAATTTCATTTTCTATTATGGTACAACCTTCTTCGGTAATGCTGGTATTAAAGATGCATTCACAGTTCAAGTCATCACCAATCTTGTTAATGTGTTTATGACATTTCCGGGTATTTACTTAGTGGAAGTTGTTGGTAGAAGAGCATTGTTGATTTGGGGGGCAGCTGGAATGTGTCTTTCAGGGTTTGTTGTTGCTATTGTAGGCGAGATATCTGATTCTGATGCATCTAATAAAGCTTTGGTAGCCTTTGCTTGTATCTTCATTGCATTCTTCGCATCTAGCTGGGGCCCAGTTTGTTGGGTTGTCACTGGTGAGATTTATCCATTGAGAGTCAGAGGCAAATCTGTTGCCTTAACCACAGCTTCAAACTGGCTATGGAACTTTGCTATTGCTTATGCTACTCCATATATGATTGATTCTGGCCCAGGCAATGCTAATTTAGGAACTAGGGTGTACTTCATTTGGGGTGGTTGCAACGTTCTTGCTGGTATTTTTGCTTATTGTTTCATTTACGAGACCAAAAACTTATCCTTGGAGGAAATTGACGAGACCTATCAAGAAAACAAATATGCCTGGCGATCAACCAACTTCAAACCAAAATCTTTTCACGAAAACATTCAAAACAACATGATTGAAAAGGAAGAATCCTTCATTTCTAAAGAAAAGTCCTCCCATAGTTTTGCTTAACGATATTATAACATTCATTTTTGTTGTGAATGAGTTTTCCATTTTTTTGTCTATGAATTACGAATGTTTCATTTTTGTTCTGAGTATCTTTTTGTCTTTCCTTTCCTCTTTGTCTTTCATTCAGTCTCTGCACTGTTAATCTATATCCTGGTGTCTACTCCATCACTCCATTACTCCATCATGTAGTTCTCCCACAGATATGAAAATGTAGGACGATAAGAACAGAAAAAACGCCAGGGCTGTTCGCCCAGCTGTGGATGCCTTCCGATAAGTCATTTCTCCACGCTTTTCACCGCTTAAACAGCGCGTTTCGTTCTCCGCGAAGTGCCGCGGAGTTTGGGCGGACACGGCTCCTCCAGTGTGATTCATACTTTACAGAGGATAAAAATTTTTCAGATAGTTTGTGGTTTGCCAACAGAAGCTTATAAACTGCCTCTCTTCTCTTGTTTCTGTTCTGATCAAAGCTCCCTCTTCTCAGCAGCTGGATCTAGATCAACATGTCTCTCACTCTATCTCTCTCCACCGGAAAGTCTGAAATTGATTTTGTCAGCAACTTGAAAGTTTCAGTTGCATCTGCTGTCTATAAGCTTCCTATCAAGGTCGTTGAGGTTGATTCCAACAATGTTGTTCTTAAAAAAGACAGTAGCTCGTTGAATTTGGTTGAACCTAATTCAATTGTCAAATATTTTTATGCTCTTTCCATAAAGTCAAACTCAATTATTGAAACACTGGACATTTTGGTCTTTGAAGAAACTGCTTTATACTCATCTTTAGTTTCGGACAATTTAAACTCTGAAACCTTAGAGAGTCTTGCTAATTTGTTTTCTTTTTCTTTGAAACATGAATGTCCTGTGCAAATTATTATTTTTTCTTCTCTCTATCCATTTTTCAAAAAAAACTTAATCCAAAACCAGAAAATATTAGCCTGGTTCAACGAGTTTGCGAACGTCCCAATAATTTCCAAAGTTTTATCAAATTTTAATACCGAAGTTGAAAAACCACAAAATACTGGGAGAGTAAATATTAAAGACGACTTCTTGAAAAGAAAACAAGAAGCAGAAATTCTACCAAAAGATGGCGAGAGAAATATCTTAATTACATCTGCTTTGCCATATGTCAACAATGTTCCTCACTTGGGTAATGTCATTGGCTCTGTTTTATCTGCTGACACTTATGCTCGTTATGTCAAGTCTAGAAATTACAATGTTTTATTTATTGGTGGTACCGATGAATATGGTACTGCAACAGAAACAAGAGCATTGAAGGAAAACATTACCCCACAACAACTTTGTGATAAATATCACACTATTCACAGAAAGATATACGACTGGTTTGACATTGATTTTGATTTCTTTGGCAGAACAACTACTAATCAACAAACTGTGATTGCTCAAGATATTTTCAACAAATTATACAAAAATTCCTACCTTGAAGAACAAACTAATGAGCAATTATACTGCCCAGTTCATAATAAATTCTTAGCCGATAGATATGTCGAAGGTACTTGTCCTCATTGTGCTTATGAAAAAGCAAGAGGCGATCAATGCGACAAATGTGGAAAACTATTAAACCCTGAAGAATTAATTGATCCAAAATGTCAAATGGATAATGCAACACCAGAATTGAGATCAACTGACCATATTTTTTTGCAATTAGATAAATTACAAGGTGATGTGGAAAAATGGATTCACACCCAAAGTGAAAAGGGTAAATGGAGCAAAAATGCTAAAACAATTGCCAACTCATGGTTAAAAGAAGGTCTCAGAGCTTTTGCTATCACACGAGATTTAGTTTGGGGTACTCCTGTTCCTTTAAAGGGTTATGAAAACAAAGTTTTATACGTTTGGTTCGATGCCACTATCGGTTATGTTTCTATAACTGCAAACTATACTGAAAATTGGGAAAAATGGTGGAAAAATCCCAAAAATGTTCAATTGTACCAGTTTATGGGTAAAGATAATGTTTCATTTCACACCATTATCTTTCCAGCTTCCCAAATTGGTACAAGCGATCCATGGACCATGTTATATCATTTAAGTTGCACAGAATACCTACAATATGAAGGTGGTAAATTTTCAAAATCTGAAGGTGTTGGTGTCTTTGGTAATAATGCTCAGGACCTTGGTTTATCGCCCTCTGTTTGGAGATATTATTTGCTATCTGTTAGGCCAGAAAGCGCGGATTCTCAATTTTCTTGGTCAGATTTTGTTGCTCGTAATAATAACGAGTTGTTGGCCAATTTAGGTAATTTTGTCAACAGATTAATTAAATTTATCAACAAAAATTATAATGGGGTTATTCCAGATTCTGACTATAAAAATATCAATAAATATCAAGAAACTTTGAAAGAATTCAATGATTTATTGATAAATTATAATAATGAGATGGAAAATGTTCATTTAAAAAAGGGTTTGGAAGCTGCAATGGCAATATCATCAAGAGGTAATTTGTTCTTACAAGACAATAAATTGGATAACTCATTATACAAAAACGAGAAGAGCAAATGCGATGCGGTCGTTTCATTTGGTGTTAATATTATTGCAATAGTTTCTGCTATCATTTCTCCATTTATACCAGAAACTTCTGAATCAATTTTCAAACAATTAAATGTTCCATCTTTACGTATTCCAGATGAATTTCAAACTATAATATTACCTGGCCATTGTATCGCCAAGGCCCAATATTTGTTTAAACGTATTGATGAAAAGAAAATTGGTGAATGGAGGAAAAAATATAACGGTAAGCAACAATAGATAATAGTTTGATGTTTTTATTTTCTAGCTTTACTTTTATCTGAGTTTTGAATTGAGTTATATACTATATATTTTTGAGCAATAAATAATAAATACTGTTTGAGTATTCAAGGTTTTATTGAATTTCATCAATTAGATATGTTTGAATATTTGAATGTTTGTTACCAATTTATAAATTTAAAGCTTTTAATGAATTTTTTTATAGAAAACTTTCACCAGATGCTAATGCCGAAGAAGATAAAAATATTATTATTTATCTATTTGTTGGTGATACTTAATAAAAACAAGTAGAATAAAGTAGTGGTAAATTTGGATGGTCCTTTTGCCATTCTGCCAAAATGTCAAGAATTGTATCCTCAAAGGGCACTGAATCAGGAGCAATATTTTGATTTTTTTTAGCAGATTCAGCTAATCTGTTGACTAAATTTAATATACCTTTCCCACCTATCGTGGCATTCTCAGTATCATCTTTGATGTCAACGTTTATAACATGAACAATTTGGTTTAAATTCAAATTTTTGTTAAGTAAATCTTCAATGACAGCATCAAAACATTTTTCTTCACAAGTTATAATAACGTCAAAAGTCTTGGTGTTGTTTTCTTGAAATCTTTCAGGGGCAGTTTTGATCTTTCTGTTTCTATCCAACATTTTCAACACTCCATTTTGAATATATAATCGTTGGTTTTGCTTTGATAATTCTTTATATATCTGGTCGTAGGGAGTCCCAAATTTGTAAATATTTGGCTTGTCAATACTTGATCCAGGCAATCTCACAGCAGAACCAGTACCATATGAATTCACATTGTAACCAGCTTCTTTAAGAACTCTGTGAGCCTCCATTGAACTGTTAAATAACGATCCCAACTATTGTCAGTAACCTCTTTGACTTTAAAAATAAAATGTGACTTGAAATAAACACATACCGATTCTGATTTGCAGCACAGACAGTGCAGAATTTCAAGGTTGACATTGTTATGAGCTGAAGATAGTATTATTTTTGATATGATTCAATACAATTAATAAAGATAACAGAGAGACAGACTGTGAATTAACAATATTTGTAGAAGCATTTCAATTCATCGCCAGATCCCGGAAAAAAAACTTCCGTGCTTTTTTTTTAGTGTTTAACGTCATTTTTCGAAAATTACATCTTTGTTTTGGGTCTGCGAGACGAAATTGCTTATTTTTGCTTGAGAAATATACTACAACTTTTAGAAATGTATACTATTTTCTTTCTTTATTCTATAAAACATATTTATGCTATCTAACGAGTTCAGTCCCACCAATCATATGCAGTGGACTTGCTGGTTTGCTCGGTGCTATTCAAAAGATCAAAAGAATTATTCGAAAAAGTTGTCATGTTGGGTTTTTCGGCAGTTGATTCTTTTATTGAAAGATTTTTGGTTTCGCGATTTATTATTTTATCACCGTCGCTGTCAAATTTGCAAAGAACAATGTCAAATGCCAATGATTTTGCTCTGACAATGTTTAAAAACTGTTTTGATAGTTTTCTTAGCTCAATTTCGAGTTTTTTTGTGTTTCTGTAGAAATTTTTTGATAAGAAAACATAATCATTATCAGAATGCCATTTAATCACCGGGTCTTCCATAAGTTGAGAATTTTTATAGCAAGAACTTAGAGCTTTTTCAAGATCAAGAGCAGTAGAACCGAATAAACAATTTTCGATTAGAATGCCATTATACTCACCTTCGCCTTCAAGTTTAATTTCATTCTGAATTTCTTTGTTTATTTGTATTTTTTTGTCTGAGATTATGGCTTCCTCGATTAACATATCGGGTATCTTTGTCTTATCAGTAATATAAACTGAGACGAATCTATATGGTTCAGGATCTTTCGATTCTGAAAATAAGTTATAAATTTCTGCTAATCCGTGGATGAATTTTCTTTGGGGAGATTTCATAGCTGGGAAAAAAATGAATTTTTTTGCAGTTTGATTAGAGGAAGATAAAATTAAATTTTTAAAAGAGTTCTCAATTTCAAGACACCAGTTTTTCTGCTTTTCATAATTTAAAAGGATCCATTTTGGATATGGATTTACAAATAATTCTTCTGGTGGACGAGCGTTTCCATCTATAGTTTTTAAATCCAAGGCTTCAAATAACTTTCTATTTCTTTCTATTCTTTCACATTCTGAATCACAATCAATGAATTTTTGAGAACCATCACTTGGATTGTTAATCGAAGCAGTACATTTAATTTTTTTAGTTATTCTGCCACAAAAACAGTGTAGAGTGATTAATTCTGAACATGGGATATTTTCATTGCATTTATTTGGCCAATGGCATCTAGATTTATCTAAATGTTGGCAGAAAATTTTCTTTTGGTTGCATAGAGCAATACATTTTGCTGTAGTATGATCAAAATTTTGATCGCAGCATATCTTTTGGCATTTATGAGAGCAGGGTAATAATTTTCCACAGGGCAAACCACAACTAACATTGTTTTGATGACAAAATATGTTTGGAACTTGTTTTTTGCCACATTTGCAAGTTTTTGTAACAAATTTTGTGCACCCGGGACATTGAACATCATCTTGATGGCATAAATGGGAGATTTTGTGACCACAAGAGGATGGTCTATGACATTGATATTGGCAAGAGACTATTGGAAGAGAGCCACATCTAACAGGAGCAGGTATTAAGACAGTTTTACCACAAGCACATAGTAAATCATCAGAAGAACTTTCAAGGCATGGAGGACACTTTCCAGGATGATCTTGTAAGTGACAGTGATGTCTTTTACAGGAGAGCAATTTTTCGCAGGGTAGAGAGCATATGTGGATAGATTCAATGTTGTTTGCATGATCGTTATTGATGGAAAGTGAAGAACCTTTTCTAGAGATTTTTTTTTTGAGACGATCTCTATCAAAGGCGATTTTTTCATATGAGCAGCAGATGTTGTTGCATCTGTGTCTTCTGCAATTTTTCAAAGCCTGGCATTTTCTTTGGCATTTTGGTTTGTTGCCGGGTTGGGAGAAGGAACAAGGAACTAGAAAGGAATTAAAACCACAAGAGCATTTGGTCTCAATGGAGCGATAACAAGGAGAGTGGATCTGATCCAAGTGACATTTCCAGTAGCAAGTATGACCACAAGGTAATATTTTTGCACAGATATCGTTGCAAGTAGGAACCGGATCGGAGCATTTGAGTCTTTTTTTACCGAATAACAAGTCAGATATTAGATGTTTACCACATGGACAGTGAGTGAGAACCTTGGGATTTAGAATACATCGATGATAATCGGAGGAGGAGGGGTCATTTGATTGAGGATGACAATAGTTTTTAGTACATCTGTGGTCCAAATTTCCACAATCTAAGATGGTATCACAAATTTGCGAAGAGCATTGGTAAGAGCCAATCCAGGAGAAATTTTCCAGGTTAGAACATAAAATTGGAGATAGCTGATAGCATTCTTTTAAAGCAGAGTCCTTTCCACAATAGCAAGTTGTCTTTAATTTGATCTTACAGAGACCACACAAGCCAGAGTGACAAATAAGGTTATGGCGGTGAACAAGACATGGCATTAGCTGGTTGCAAGGCAATTGGCAAGACCATTGATCTTTATAGGGAGCAATCAAACAAGGATATGATTTCTGTTGAGCACCACATTTGCATTTCAAGTTAACTAGAGCAGAACAAACTTTTATATGGGGGCCTGGATGACAAGGCAAAGAACAGTTATGTGGACAGTTCTGCAATGGGAAATTACAGGATTGAGAACAGGAGTGTGGAGCAAAGATGTTTGGAGGTGGATTTTTAACTTTTTTGCACCAGCAGTAGTAGTTGGAAGGAATTTGATTGATTTTGTGGTTACAGGAAGGACATCTCCAATTGTGTCTTGAGTCAGTGGAAGAGCCTCTAATGGCCCAATCTCTGATACAATCTAGATCGTAGACTCTGTAGCAGGCAATACAGGGCCAGATCTGCGAATGGAAGTCAATTTCGCAAGTGCAAATTAAGCAAGTGTAAGTGCCATGAGCAATTTCCTTTAAAATAGAGGTGTTTAGCCCGTCATCATCAATATGGTTATTAAAATTATCTATGCTATTTTGACTGTCATCATCATCATCGCCATCATCATTATCTTCTTCTTCAGTATCATCATTATCACTGTTACCAACAGAATCCTGGATATCTCGATGCAGCTGGTAGTTGGTTGAAAAATTATCTGGGTCCAGTGTTTTAGAACAGATAGAAACTGATTCCATGAAATTTAATTGGAAAGTGCAAGAGGATATGGAATTGATGGAATTGATGGAATTTAAAGATTGCGAGTATGTTTATGACTAGTCAAGAGCAAGATTGAGAAAAAAATTTTCGTTGATTTGAAATCTGTTGCGAAGCAGCCGGATCTCTAGACTCGGTCTCTACCAATCCCTCGGCATTAGTTGCCGGTCTGCTCCCGTGGCGCTTCGAAGTCTAGCCCAGTCCCATATAAAAGGGGCTGGTGTTCCCTTCTACGCTTTTCATTCTATATACTTTTTTGCCTTAATATAGGATTCGCTACAACACAATCACCTGAAAACTTGAATAAAAGAGGTTCACGGAACAACTGAACTTGTCAGTTGTCGGCTGCCAAACACCGAACACGAATTCCAGAGTCTCATCCTGGACCAGACACAGAGCAGATCATGTGCAACGTGTGATTTGCGGCTGTTTAGGATTTCTCCTAGTTGATATATTTATAAACCAATCTAAATGTAGCACTATTGCAGTGATACAGAACGAGAAAAACCGAGAAATGTAGATTTTTGCAAGTTTATTGAGCCCTACTTGTTCAAAAAAATGGAATGAAATGCGCTTACGTTGCAAAAATGCACGTGCTGACCGATGAGTATCATACTACTGAAATATTACTAGAGAAAGTATTTAGAACGTTAGCATTTTCATGGACAACTAAATTCAAACTTTTAAGCGCAATAAATCGTAATGTTATATTCGTATTGAATTTTTAAAATGAATCAGTACAATTTTGGATGTTTTTTTTTGAAATGAAACGGAAGCAGTACGCCCAAAGCATTTTTTTCCTTACTAAAACAATTTGAAAAACATCATGTATTATATCTATTTAGTAGGTTGTCCAGAAACAAGAGACCTTGGATTGCGTAGCAACTCTAGTTGTTTTTCGGAAACACTCCCACTTCTCTTTTATTTCCATCTTGCTCGTACAGAAGAGAGGCTTTCCACGAATAATGGCGAGTGGCAACGCTTGTTATCAATATTTCTGGCGAGATGATGCTATGAACACCTTTGTATCTCTGTATATGACTACAGCTGTCGTCCCTGCTATATTCTCCTTTGAAAACATCAAATTTGATCAAATACACTCCACTTTTCCTGACTGCCAAATGACTGAAATCAAAATCAAAGGTTTTGCTGGACGAGTTGTACACTGCTGTCACTGATTTGTTTCCAATCAACACATCATCCACTGGGTTATTCAAGTCAAAAGAGCGAAACAACGTAGCAATCGCAATATAATAGTTTCCACTGTGAAATTCACTGTTTTCCTTTCCACTGAAATCTAGTTGCAATATTGTATTTGGACTCATTCGTCTTCTCGTTGCATTTCCTGATGGTCTTCCATATCTGGGGAAACTCTTAAAAGATAACATTATTTATAAATTGACAAAAAAAATTTCGTAAACAGAAAACTTACTTCTTTAAATACGGTCTTCTGTTAATCCGTAGACTAATATCCATTTTAAGCCATTTTATTGGAACAGTTTTGGGGGCTATGGTTGCTTTTAGATAATTTGCTTTATATAAGCATAAAATCTTATAGTCATAGCTATAATACAATCAGTTATTTGGTTATTTATAAATTATTATTTATGGTAGAGTAATATATATAACCATCTCAAGTAAATTTTATTTCTTTGTTTTTTTCTCTTAATTCCTTGCTGAATTCCTACTCTTTATATTGATCTTTCTATTGATCTTTCTATTAAACTTGGGGCAGTCTGTTTCAAGAACTGAAACACATAAGATAAAAGTACGATATATAACTTATACTAAGAGTGAAAACAAATGAACTTTTAATATAAAGAAAAGAAAAGAAAAGAATTAAAAGGATCTGTTACTTTCAATTAGAGTCTATATTATCAAAATATTCACTCACTGTATGAAATTTTCGAGTATCTTTTTTTATTTCGCCTTCGTCCCAATCCACACTATTTGCTCTATCCAATTCAGTGTCTTTGTAATGGGTCTCTGCAATGATATCAAATGGTAGTATCTCAACTTGGCTGTTGCCAATATCTGAAAAATTCCCATCTTCGTCTTCAAAAAGAATAGATCCTTGATTCTTATCCTCTTCTAATATGCTGGAGTGTTCGTTCATAAGATACTTGTGTAAATTCATCTTGGCCTTGGATAAAACCAACTTTTCTCTTTGAATATCTTCAAACCCATCATCCGATTCATAAAAGCTTTGATTCCCATGCTCAGTTGCAGAATCTGAATAATCAATATGATCCATCGTCGCATTATAATTATAATTATAGTTATAATTATACCCATAATCACTATTAGGATTGATTATTGTATTTCTATTATTATTATTATTATTATTATAGCTAGTATCATAGCTAGTATCATAGCTAGTATCACCGTTCAAATTATTTCGTTGAATGCTTTTACTCAAAAGATTCATAATATCATTGGCTGATCCATTGATAAGTGATGGTTGGTTATCAAAAAAATTTGTTGCATGGTCATCTGCAAAATCATTGGTATTATCATCTGCAAAAACACTCGTACGATCATTACTAAAATCAAATTCATTTCCGGTTTCTTCACCATGCAGTAATATACTATCATCAATATCAGTATTATCCGTCTCAATTCGATGGATCGTATTATCCTTTCCTTCATTAAGCTCATCATACTCATTAAGAATATTGTCTTCTGGCGATGACGCTATTCCTTCATAATTCTTTTTCTCCGGTGATGGTGCAAAATTTATATAATAATCATTCATATTCTTTGATTGAATCGATTCACTCTTTGATATCTTATTTATATTCTCAAAACTTTTGACCAATTTCATTGTAACGCTATTGCTATCATTCCCATTGTTAGTGCTTTTGCTCTTGTCACTATAAAAACTAGAATTGGCATGTTTATATTTGAACTTTATCCTTTCTGGCAATATATATTGATCGTTATTAGGAGCTCCCAAATTTATACCCAACCCAATTCCAGTCAAATTAGAGGATTGAGAAATTGAATGAAGTTGACAAAATAATTTAGAGGATGAGTTAAAAGTGGTGTTGGTAGTTGTGTTGGTATTTGTTCTGGTCGCTATATTAATATTAGAAGCTCCTGATGACATGACATCATCATATATAGTAGAAGAAGTTGACGTTTTCGATTTTTTTCTGAAATGTAATGATGGATTGGTTTTAGATATCAATGAAGCTGGTGTGGTGTTTTTAGAGGTTTTGGAAAGAATTGAGGGGGATGATAATAAAGAGTTTACTGTTTGTGTTGATGTAGAGTTGATAAAATTTCCTCGGTTTGAATTTGAACTGGAAGGATCATTAAATATAGAAGGTCGACTATTTGGTGTGGGAATATTTGCACTCTTTGAATTAGTGGAAGAAGGTGTATTATTATTACTAGTATTACTAGTATTACTAGTATTACTAGTATTATTATTATTATTATTATTATTATTATTATTATTATTATTATTATTATTATTATTATTATTATTATTATTATTATTATTATTATTATTATTANTTATTATTATTATTATTATTATTATTATTATTATTATTATTATTATTATTATTATTATTATTATTATTATTATTATTATTATTATTATTATTAATACTGTTATTGCTATTGTTATTTTTATTATCAAATTTATAGTTCCTATGACCTGCATTAAAAGAAGGTGATAATCCTTTATTTTTTAAAGGAGAGGAATTGATATTCATATGATTTCTCATATTTTTATTCGGAGAATTATTACTGCTTATTATTAATTTCGAGAGTTTTTTCTTCAATCTAGAAAACCCATTTGGTGATTTCTTAGATGGTAACTGGTTATTCTTTATTGATGGATTTGATAAAATGGTGGAATTTCCATATACAGCATTATTAGTACTAGCTGTTGAGGGTTTTGAAGCATTTTTGGTTTTGATTTGAGGAGGAGGGCTATAGTCAATTTGACTAGGAGTTGAAGCCTTTGAGGTTGAATTTGAACTAAAGTTATTTTCAGGACTGGTTATTAAAGAATAAGAGGTTTTGGAAAATTTAGAGTTTAGTGAATGGATTGATTCCTTTGATGGGGATATTTTCAAATAGTTGTTTTTATTTAATAATAATAAGTTTGAAGTCTTTCTATTAATATTAGGATTGGTTCTTGTTGTCGTTATTAGAATATTTGAGTCTGAATCAGATAGTCTTCTTGATTTATTTGCATTATTTGGTTTAATCGCAGAAGGGTTTATAAACCCATTGTTTGTCTCAATTAAATTTTCAAAGCTTCTAGACATTATGGAATCATTCAATTTAAAATTGTTATTATTAATATCGGTATTGTTACTATTAATAATAACATTGTTAATATGATTATTAATCTGATTATTAATGTGATTATTAATGTGATTATTGATGTGGTTATCAGTCTGATTACCAATCTGATTATCAATATTATTGTAAATATTATTATCAATATCGTTATAAATATTATTATTAATTTTTTTAGTTTTAAATTTATTATTAAAGGATATAAAATTTGATCTATCTTCTTCATCAAGAAAATTGAGAGAGTCGTTGAATATTTCATTTTTTATTAGATGGTCAATATTTAATCTTTGCTCGGGATTTTTAATTAATAAATTCAATATAATTTTTTTGAATCTATGAAAGTTTTTCAAATCTAGTTCCGAACTAATAGTATGAAATAATAAAGAAGAAGAATCATCAGGTAGGATCAATCTGTTTTTAATCACTTTATCAAATAATTCATATTCATTGACAGCTGGAAAGGGCAATTGATTGTAAATCAAGCAGTATAGAGTTATTCCAAGAGCCCAAGCATCTATATTATAATCGAATTTATAATTAATTTCAGTTTCATCATCGCTTAGGTGTTGTGAGTTATTTGTGGTAAAAGTTGAAGTTGAAGTTGAGATACTTAGCGAGGAAGGAGAATTTACGAGTTCTGATTTTTTGATAATTTTCTTTAAACCACATAATTCCGGAGGCAAAAAAGCAGGAGTTCCAACAGTTCTTGATAATTCTTTTTGAACCGAGATGTTGTTTAGATCATTATCGTTGTTTAGTAGGAAACTTACGCCAAAATCGCTGATTTTGAGGATATTGTTTTTATCTAGTAATAAGTTTGAGGGCTTTATATCTCTGTGAATAATTTTGTTAATTTTGAGGAAATTCAAAGCCGAATAAAGTTGTTTGAAGATGTTAATTAGATAAGGGACGTTGTGAATCGAGTTTTGAGAAATATTGGAGGAGGACATCCATTTCAATTCGCCTATGGAGCAGTACTCTAGTATGAGATAGATATTTTTATAGGAAGGGTCGTTAAAGATTTTGAATAGTTTTAAGATATTTGGATGGTTATTTGAGCATTTTTTCATTATTTTGATTTCGTTAAAGATTTTGTATTCGATTTCATTTTTTATGTTGTTGCAGTTGTTTATGTTGTATTTTTGGATTAATTTTTGGTGATTTGGGGACAATAGTTTTGGCTTTGATAGTTTTGATAGTTCTTTTATTGCTACTAGTTTGTTTAGATTTAGATCGTTACCAAGTATGACTTTGCCATATTGACCAGAACCTAATTTTTTGATGATTTCGATATCGTTTAAGATTTTTGTGTTTGAATTTGTTGATTGGTTTATGCTTTTTGTTATATTGATTTTTGAGAATTCTTGTATTGTAAGATTGTTGTTGATTATGGAGAAGTTGTTTTTGAGTATGTTTTTGTTGTTGTAGATGTTATTGTTTATTGTGTTATTATCATTAGAGATGTTGATAGAAATAGTGTTGGAAGAGTTGTTGGAGTTGATATGATGGTGGCTATTGTAGTTATGAATACTATTTAGAGAGTTTGTCATTATTAAGACAATAACGATAGAGTGAGTGAGTGAGTAGATATAATGTGTTTTATTAGTTTAATAATTGGGTATTGATATTTTTAAGGAATTAATTTTTTTTTTGTGTGTATCACTGATTTCTATTAAATAAAGGTTGATTGTTGTTTGGATTTGTTTTAGTAAAATTAGATAGATTTGATGGGCAGGTATATTACAAATTAGGATAGTTAATTGAGGTTGATAGAGATGGGAGATTGAAGGGTATAGTATAGTATAATATAAAGAGGAGTGGGCGAGATAAGGAAGAATAGAATGAGTGTTGTTATGGCGACTTAGTTTGGAGATATTTCTGAATAAAATGAAGTAGAAGTAGAAGTAGAATAGAATAAAATAAAAGAAAAGAAAAGAAAAGAAAATGGAATGAATGGAGTGGAATGAGATTGATATGATTGGATTTGATTTGGTATGATTTGATCTGATTTGATTTGATTTGATTTGATCTGGTTTTGTTTGATTTAGTTTGATTTGATTTGGTTGGGATATAAGTAATGGATACTGAGAGGATTGTTCTATGGGTTTTTTCTGGTTAATTAATAGATAAAGAGTGAATCAAGATAGAGATTAGGACAATTGAAAGATGAAATTTGATCTTATTCCTTCAACAAACAAAAGATGGAAACATTTCCTAGTGAATTGAGAGAGTTAGGAGAAAGAATGAAGCAAAATAAACTTATGGAAAACAAAAACAACTTGAACAACTTGAATAACTTGAATAACTTGAATAACTTGAATAACTTGAATAACTTGAATAACTTGAATAACTTGGGTAGAATGAGCAGAATAACAGTGGTTTGTTTATTAGAAATACTGCTAAAGTAAATAAGTTGAAAAAATGGGAACAAATGTTAGCAGAGGCTAATGCGAATAAACAAAAATAAATATCAACAAATAAGTTTTGCACAAGTTTGAATAAACACTATTGAGTGAAATTGAAAATGAAAACTGAAATTTCTTCTGAGCTGGCTCCAGGTTGGAGCACTTTGGGACTCTACACCCACAGCTTCCAGGCGTAGAAAACAGCGTCAAACTTCTGGCCAGTTCTGCAGCAGAAGAAGCAAAAACAGCAGCTCCAAACAGCAGCAGAGGCACCACAGGCACCAGAAGAAGCACTGCTGCCTTATGTGCGCCAGAGAAGTGCAAAACAAGCTGAGGTGCTGATTGGCTACAGAGACTTTCCCTCTTCTGCTGCTTCTGCTGCTTCTTCTGCTGCTTTTGCTTCTTCTGCTTCTTGTGCTGCAATTTCGAACAAAGCTCAAAGCCAGCACAGTGGAAATACAAACGTAAGTTTACGCGTGATATCGTAGCTGCACGCGTATCTGCGTTGGAACGAGCTGCGTGTGCATAACATGCATGAACCGCGTCGCTGGTTCAAAGTTGTTTTTAATCTCTTTTCATATCTTTTTTTATCTCTTTTTAATCCCTTTTCTATCTCTTTTCAATCTCTTTTCATATCTTTTTACTTTCTTTTCTTTGATTATTCCTTTACTGATTTCCCTATGTTTTCTTTTCTTTTCTTCTTTTCTTCATTCGCCCATCTGTTTACTTCTCGTTCTTCTATCTTCATTCTTTTCCCAGCATCTTTTCTAGCTGCCTGGACCTATCAAAGTACAAGTTGGGATGGCTGATAATGCTCTCTTCAAATTTCCCTTTCATACTCACCAACTGCTGTTTATGTGTGATCTCAAAGATCTTGGTGATCCCCAACATATATTCGGATCTTTGGCAATGATCCAATATCGCTGTCAAGTCGTGTTGGTCCACTATTTCATACTCTCGCTTGAGAAACTCTACTATCAGCTCATTCGACAAATCTCGCAATAAGCAACCATGGTACTCTCCTTTTGCTGGCCTGGGCTTCGAGAGTATTGTTCTGTAATCCCATGGCTTATAATTGATTCGGCTCCCTTCTAGCCCATACATATGCCGGATATTATACCTGTACTCTTTATTGAATTTCTCAACACTCATCTTGTTATTCTTTGTAAATTGTTTCATGAAAAACTTCAAATTTTCTTCGCAACTCAAACCAATTCCTTTCAAAAATAAACAGAGTTGTTGTCTCCCAATATATCTCAAATGGCTGTTCTTAACCAATGTATTGATCAAATACTTCATCTCCGGTGGGAAATGCTTTAAAATGTCCTTTGACAAAACATTATCGCTATTAATATCTCCATTCTCATTCCCATTATTCCCACCCTCTCCAAATGAAGGCTGATACTCATTGGATGAATATCCACTAGATAAATGATTCAATATAGGCAACAATCTATCATCCTCATCTAATCTAGGTAACACATGTAACGTTCTTAATAAACTTTCTTCAAGTTTTCTACTGAATTCGGATGTCAATAATGACAACTGCAATATTTGTGGAACATACCCAAATCCATCTTTAATCAATATACTTCTCGTTGGAATCAAATCAATAACTTCCTCAAATGGTAACTTAATAAAAACCTCTTTCATGAAATAACTCTCAACTAATGTCTTATTATCATTACCAACACCATTATTATTATTATTATTATTATTATTATTACTGTTACTATTATTATTATTATTATTATTAATACTATCTCCGCTGATATCATTGTTTATACTAATATTCTCTCGCTTCAAATAAAATGAAAACTCATGGTACGAAGCATTCACTAGTAATTCTCGTAATCTCATCTTCTCTTCTTTACTTATAAACTCCCAATTCAACTTCAATTTCTTCACAAATTCCTCTTTTTCAATTTGCGTCAATAAATTATACCGAATTTTAAATAACGTAGTTTCGCTTCGAATAAATCTCTCTCTCAATTCCTTTGACCTGCAAAATGCTATCCTCAAGATAAAATGCGAATATAAATCTTTTCTTCTCTCCAAAATAATCTCTTTAACATCAAAATTACTCTTGCTCTTACTCTTATTCTTAATGACATTACTATTTTTATTTGGATTTGCATTCACCTTACTCAATGGAAATAACTTCACCAATAACGGTTTAATGTTCATCTCAATCTCTTTAATATTCTGGTTTTTGCTTAAACATAGCTCAATTTCAACCAACAATTTCAACCTATCAATCGACCACGACTCAAATTCCTCAATCGTTATCTCATTCAATGGGGGATACTCATAAAATGTTAACGTGCTTTCTTTATAATTTAGTTCCAAACTTTTATCCTTATTATTTAATAATATATTATAGCTATTATCAAAATTCCTTCGGCCAGCTGTAATTCTTCTTGATCTTCTAAACATTATCCAATGTATTCACCAAAAATAGTCTTCCCTGTGAATAATAACGCTAATTATAATAGATCGAAGGTAATGATATAAATAATAGTAATAATAATTATAGTTATTGGTCTTAATATCAAAACGCATCTTTCTTTTCCACCTTCTTTTTACGTGTTTTTTCTATTTTTTGTTTTCGTGTTCGCTCCAAAAAAACCTAACGCGTATATCACGCATAAATATGCGCTACTGCATCAAACCCAAGACCCTGGTTGTTGAATCAACAATATCGTGTAGGTGCTTCTTTCCTAATCGGGAAAAATATAAACATAATCAAATCAAAAACACTTTTCAAAAGCACTACTTAGAATCAAAAAATCAACATTTTTTTGTTGTTTCATTTTTTGTCTTAATAAAAAATTCGTAAAAGGACTTATTGACTATTTCTACATCTTAAGGTTCAACTATTACTCGTCTTTATTTTTGTTTAATCTCTCTCAATTTTGGACACTTTTATATCTTCTATTGTTCTTTTAATCAATTACTTTTCTTAATCAAGAATCTTAAAATATTATAAATTTAGATTTTGTTCCTAGCTATTTGCTCAAAACTTGTCCTTATATTTATCTTCCATCCCTACATTTATCCCTACATTTGTCCCTACATTTACTCTTAACCTTTTTCTAATTTTCAATTTTTATTTCATTGAAATATGAATCTGAATAAAAAATTAGCTTGGTTGATTGAAAGAGACCAAAACATAAACTCAAGAAATTCATCTCAAAATAGCTACAACTCATCCTCTTCAATGAGTTCAATAGATTTAAATGGTTCTAATCAAAAAAATCAATTAAAAAATCTCGATACCTTTCTACCTTCTACCACTTCTGCTAATAATATCACCAATAACAATAAAGAATACACCAATAATTCTAAAAGCAATACCAACCAAACCTTTAAGAGAAACACATACAAATCAGATAACTCTTCAGCTTTCAGTTTAACACCATCTTCTGTGGCATCCTCTTTTTCGTCTTTTGATTTTGAATCACATTCATTTTTGAGCTCAAAAAACTCGCAAAAAAAAACACCAGCTCTTTCAGATTTTGATAGCGATGATGATGATGAAAATAATAACAAAAGTAATGTTGAAAACATTTTTAATTACACAAATAGTATAATCGATATCCCAATCATAACTTCCGATCCAAACATAAAACAAATCAATTGTAATACCAATGGAAATAATAATATTGATAGTAATAATAATAATAATAATAATAATAATAATAATAATAATAATAATACAAATAATCAAATAATAAAATCAACATTTGCCTTAGACTTGTCTTTGCTCTCAAATGCTATAAGCTTCATATCAAATATTAAATCTATTAAAACTATAACAACTTCATTATACTCCTTACTTTTCAATTTTTGCAAAAATTCAGACTATATTTCAACTAAAACTGAAAATAAATTACATTTACAAAGCTTTTTAGTTGGCATATTTATATCTTCTATAAGTTCTTTTCTAAGGCCAATTATATCTTATTATATACATTTGCTACTAAAATCAATTTTAAGAATACTTATGCATTTTATCATAATTGTTTTTGTTTTATTTATAATATACTATTCCGGAAAATTCTATATTAAAAGTAAGAAGACAACTTCTCACTCAATTAAAACACGAAAACAAATTAATTATTACAATAATATTCAAAACAGCCATAATAATCATAATAATCATAATGATTCTAATGATTCTAATGATTCTAATGATCCTAGTCCTGCTTCAAATCAAAAAAAGATTGTTCAATCACAAAAGCAAAAAATAACTGATAATACAGATATTGAGAAAATAAAAAAAAAAATATCTTTAAATGATCAACTAAATCAAAAAATTTCAACAGATATAAAATACACTAAATCAGGATTCTTTGATTCAAGATTAAAATCAAAGTTTGTTGATCAAGTTAGATTAAATGAAAAACTTAAGAAAATGAATTCTATAAACAACTCAAGAAACACACAATCAACATCAATACTGGCCCCCAAAATAAAATCAATACTGGCCTCCAAACTAACATCATCACCAAACTCTCCTAGAAAACTAGAAAAATCAAACTCTTTAACACCACACTCACCTAGCAGGTCACCAAATAAATCGCCCATTAGATCCCCAACGACTCTACAGGATTATTCCAGATTATCTCCTCAACAAAAAGAATATATGAATTATCAAAACACGTTGAAACATTACAATGAACAAACAGCCAAATATAATCAAAATGAAAGCTATAACGTTTCTAAAGAAAACCTTCTGAGAAGAGCCCCCTCTCCAGAAAAAAATAAAGATTATCTTGCGACACAATTAAGCAATCCATATTCAAAATTAGAAAGACAGATCAAACCTCCTAGGGAGATGCCTCAATTGTTTCAACAAAATCCTATGAATTTTCAAAATAATATAGTCCGAACTCCAACAATGATCAAAGTCTATAATCAGCAACATGATCCAACATTATCACCTAAACTGAGTAACCATTCAACTCATTCATCGTCGACATCCTCATTAGTAACCCATTCCCCTACAAGATCACCAATTACTCGACCAATATCACCAAGAAGATCTCCAAGAGCAGAACCAGCTATAAAACTACAAAAGCAAACCTTTGCCCCATTGCCAATTAAAACTTCCCACAATTCAGTTATAGATATTGAAGCATTTAATTCTGACAAGATCTTAAATCAAAGATTGATGAACATCGATAGAAACACATTTAATGATTTTAATCTGGTGCCACGTAATGATCCAAATCCAATTTCAATTAATAATTTGGCAGCAAGAAAAAACTATCAGAATTTTTCTGGAAATGCTCTAAATAGAATGGTGTAATTCAAGTATTCCTCTTTTGCTCTTCAACTTATTCTTTTTAATAATTTTTTTCTCCCACTTATAATAGTTAATTTATTTTGGTTCAATTCTTTTTTATCAAGAGTTTTTTCTTTTTTTTTCTACATTGTATTTTCCTCTATAGTATGATCATATCCTTCTCAACTCTACTTCAAAATTTTTTGCAATTGGTTATTTGTGTTATTAATAATCTGTCAAAGATTATGAAGATTCAAGAAATTGTAAAACTATTTCACTGATAATTAAAAACTAAAAACAAAATCTGGTATTCAATTATACTATTCAAAAAACAAAATAAAATAAAATAAAAAGATAAAATAAAAAGATAAAATCTTATACTTTTCGTTTCACATTTATTATTAACTTTCCATTTCACTGATCTATATTGATAGATTCCAATATTTTTTCTGGATTTTTCTGTTTTATAGGAATCAAATAATTTTTCGTTATAGTCAAAAGTAAATAAGATAAAGCAATAGGAGGTGATGATTCAAAAACAGTAACTAAAAAGTTGATATTTAATTTGCTCTTAGCTAAATCATCTAGTTTTTGATATAAATATTCCTTACCTTTATTATTATCAAAAACAAAATCAGATCTTTTGATTTTTTCAAGGTTTGACAATTGATTATTTATCCTATTATCTGCATCAGCTTCAGATAGGTGAGGATTTCTTTTTAATAATCTTTCCTTTTGAATTTTAGGTGAACAAAGTATTGATATACTATAATTGCAAATAAATCTTAAAAACCCACTTTCAAATAGTAATGGGACATCTAAAATAATTAACTGTTTAAATGTTATAAATGATAAAAATATTTTTTTCAAAATTTCAAGATAAACAAATGGGTGTGTTACTAAATTCAAGTATCTCAATTCCCTTCTATCTTTAAAAACAACCTTTCCCAACTCAGGTCTATTCAACTCTCCATTTTCCAATAATAAATCTGGAATATATTTGAAATGGCTAACAATAAGTCTGTAGGCAAATCTCCCTGGCTGCACAACTTCTCTCGCAATTAAATCAGCATCAACGATAGTAAAATTGTATTTCTCCTTGAAATACAAAGAAGCGGTTGATTTTCCTGAAGCTATACTTCCTGTTAAACCAATGATCAACATGATGAGTATTTGTTTATATTGGAGTTGTAATCAATCAATCAATCAACTCTTTCTTGATGGATGTCCCTCTCTTAAAAAAACAAATAGATCAGGTGACAAAAACAGTGAGAGGGGAGCGATTCTTGTTTTCGGATTCCAAATTCTAAAATTCGGAATTGAGAATTAATTATCTAAACAAATATATTTATTTTTGAATAAGTGTATGTATGTATAATTGGAAAGTGGGAATAAACAAGAAACATGAAAATCAATTAAACTTCCGAATAAAATAAAAAAGAAAGAACTCGTATACTAATAACATAAAAAAATAATAATGAAAAAAGAGGATAAATATAGAAGAAAAAAATAGTTGGTTTTTAAGATAAAATACTTATTTCTCTTCAACTGATTTTTTTGTTTCTTCAACTGGACCAGCAGAATCAGTTGGAGAAGAAGAGTTGTGAGATAAAACAAATTCTAATTCAGAAATGTGGTCAGAATCATCAATTTCTTGAGGAATGAATAAGTTTAATACAACACCAACAATACCAGAAATGGCATAACCAGTTTCGCAGAGTAATTGAATGGCATCAAGAAAACCAGATAAACCTCTGTTGTCACCGGAGTAGGTAAAGACGCCAGAGAACCATGTGTCAACCAAAGTAGCACCAAAACCCAAAGCTAAGGAACAGGTTAAAACGAATCTGTCTCTTCTGGATAATGGGCAAGTGGCGATAATACAGAAACCAGAAACAGCAACAGAAGTGAAAAGGAAAGTTGTCATACCACCTAAAACAGCTTTTGGAATGGCGACTAAAGCAGCAGCGAATTTGGAGAAAATACCCATGACGATTAAAAAGAAACAACAACAGTAACCGGCGGTTCTGTTGGCACATTTTGTAATTGAAATAACACCATTGTTTTGAGCAAAAGTTGAAACCGGGGTCATGGTCATTAAACCAGCAAGCATACCATTAAGACCATCAGCTAAGACACCACCTTGAATTCTTGATTCGTACAATTTACCTTCGACTTCTAATCTAGAAACATCAGAGGTTGCAGTGATATCACCAATAGCTTCCATCATTAAAACAATGAAAACAGCTAACATTGGCAAGACAGCAGGACCATAAATAGTTAATTTGAAGGTGTGAACCCAGATGAAAGTGGCAACTGGAGCAGCATCGATACCAGATCTGTCGAAATAGTTGCAGGCAGCAGCGACGATACAACCGACTAATAAACCGCAAATGACAGCACAAGATCTCATGATTGGAGAACCCCATTTTTCACAGATGATGATGGTAACGTAAACAAGGAAACCCAAACCAACAAATTCAGCAGAACCATAAGGCAAAGGATGAGGAGCAGATTCCGAAGGACAAATACTGTCGACACAGGAACTACCACCGATCCAGTTTTTGAAACCTGATTCGATTAAGGACAAACCAATTAATAAGACAACAGGACCAGTGACGATTGGAGGGAAAACTTTTTGTAGGATTTTTGCGGGCATGAAAGATAGGGCAATTTCAAGCAATGAACAGACAATTGCAGTACCAAGAATAGCACCATAACCATCAGGACAAGGCAAACTGTTTCCTTCGGCATCAACAGGACATTCACCATTTGCATACATCATTGGGATGGCTTTTGAGACAATGGTGATTGTAGCGAAAGAAGTACCAACAACTGATAATAAACCAGTACCAACATAGTAAGGAGTTTTGTAAATGTGGAATCTTGTGATTTGAATTGAGGATAAAATACCGGAAATGATAAGAGCACTGGAGACTAAATACTGGGAGACATCTTCAGGTAAATTTGCGACACCACTAATAATTAAAGGAGGAGTAACAACACCAGCCAACATGGACAAAGCGTGTTGTAAACCCAAGATCAAGGCTAAAATAACAGGCATATGAGAATCTAGACTGAAAAATGGTTGAATTTTTGCTTCACCTTTCATGAAAGGGATTTTGGGAGTAAACAAATAGGCGTAATCATAATCACCTAGTAAGCCATCCTTTGTGGTGAATTTATGGATAATTTTTTTACCGAGTCCTTGGAATTTAGATCCAGCAGTTTCACTCATTCTAAAGAATTGAAAATTATTATGTGTTTGTGTTTGTGCTTGGTTTGAGGTTTGAGAGAAAAGAAATTGAAAATTGAAAATTGAAAATTGGGAGTTGAAAATTAGAATATTCTTTTTATTTTTTTATGTTTATTTGTTTCTTGATTGATTGATTGATTTGCGTGTTTTTCAAGAATATTAAGAAATTATTTTGCGAAAAACTTTTTTTTTTTTATTTTTTTCTTTGCTTCAACTGATGGATTGTTAGTAATTGATTTGTTGATGTTAGAAGAAAAAATAAACAACTGAAGAGCAAAAGAATGGTTCAAGTGAATTTCTTATATATGAATTTCCAGGAATCCAAAAAGACAACCTCACAACGAAAGACGCACTCATATTGTTTTTTTTATCAAAAAGTAACATCAAATTCTAAATTAGCTTAAATCAGGGAAAGAAGGTTGGAAAGTGAATCTGGAAATGGACCAATGAAAAGACGAAGGGCAAACTTTTGATAAGCCCTTAGACAGCAGTAAGTGAATATCCTGTTAGGACGCAAAAAGCAACTTTGCAGCAGGAAGCCCGTTTGAGAAGGTTCTTCATGCAAAACGGCCAGATAGCGCAGGGTCCGGCACTTTGACACTGACCGGGTCACATGACCGGTGATTTGAATCTTGCCATAAGGGGTGCAGCGGGAGATAGAGCTGACAGCTTGGTGGAAAACCAAGCCCAGCGCACGAGGTGCCGAATGCAAACAGAGCTTCTGCGTCCGGATAGAACAAAGGTTTTTGCTACCAGCACGCCGACGATCAAAGACTATTTTCCAGAAGAGGCCTGCTAATGTTCTGCAGAGATTTTGTGCACAGAAGCTCCAACGCTCCAAACACTATTATCTGTAAGCCTGTGCTATCCGGAAGAGGAGCCCCGTGAGCATCTGATTGTGGAGTAGTTTTCTGTATTATCTTTGACTATCTTTGAAGTGAATGCTAACTCGCTATTTCAAAAGCAGCAGATTTTCTTGAAAGCCAGCTTGTTTACAATCATTCAGATTAAACCCACAGGTTTAGCGACTATGGCCATGTCTATTAGGGGGAGCTGGAGAACTTCTGCAGGCTAAAACTGAACTTCCGATAAGTAGCCAACACTAAAGAATCAGCTTTGGTAATCATAGGTACGATTTGTCGCTCTTGAATTCAATAAAGTTGAGTTTTGAAATTAACTCATCTATTCTACATGTTGAATGAATCGGTTGTTTCAATTGCTATAATTGTTTTTGCACAGATGCTTTGCATTTTCACTGGGAGAAAGTATTAGCTGCTCTGCTGCTCTGAGTAATTTGGTAACTCAGACCTTTTGGATGTCCAAATAGTGCCAAATACGAAAGCGATTTATTGTGATCGTGTGTTATCTGAGAGAATGCTTACTGATTTGGTTTGATTTGATTTGATTTGATTGCAATATCAATGAATTTAGAGTTTACTATAATATTTATTTTATATTTTCAAATTATTATTTTTAATGCTTTTAACTTTCTGGCATTCTTGTCATATGAGATCGATTCTCCGTATTGCTAAGAGAGATCTCGTTGACACTAAATAACGCTAATTTCTGGAAAAACTGATATTTTTCACTGTACTTTTCAGAAAATTTGGGATCAGTCTTTATCTGCTTTTTGTTATTCGCTATTAGCACAAGAACACAAAGTAGATTTGACACTAAATGCTTTAGGAAAGACTAGCTTATTGGGTTTTGCTCTTTACTTTTTGAGTTTGTCTCAATTTAAGACACAAAGAACAACAGTTGGAGGAAACTGATGATTTGATATTGGAAATACTCATTTATTCAATCGTTCAAAGGACTGGTGAAAATCTGAAAAGAAACCATAGGTTTTTCTTTTGCAAAACCCCCAATCGAAACTGTTTCCACGAATTACTTTTTGCCAAACTGAATCAATAAAAAAGTCTATCGCACTGGCTGCTCATTAAACGCTGCTTATACTCTCACTTGTTGCAATTCACGGACTTCTCCGTTTTTTTTCACTGGCACAATTTTAAGCTTTTTTAATCCAAAAGCCAATTTGAAAAATTTTCTCTTTTACTTTTGGCTTTGAGCACAGATAGAAAAACCTCATTCCCCTGCTGTTCGTATTGGGGAATCTGCTTGCTGCTTGGAGATTGCAATCACTGCTGTGCTGGATGATAGCTCAGCTGCAGTGATAAAGATTTCCTCTGTGCTCTTTTTTCGGTGTCGCCGGTCTCGTGATAGTCTTTTTGGGTTCTTATCACACGCGCCTTTTATTGGAGGGCGGATTTATGACAGCTCTCGTTTTACTTTCTCTTCATATTCGAAGGGGATCTACTTTGGCTTAAGCTTTCCGGTCTCAGTAAAACAATGCACAGCTCTATCGTGGTTATGGATAACAGTTGTGCTCTTCCTCCATTCAAGCTGAGCTGCTCGCAGAATTGAGAAACTGTTATATGTAAACGTATTACAAAAAACCAGTAAGGTAATCCTATTCAATGTAAATCATAAAAAATCAAAATCAAAATGTTAGAATAAAAACAAAAACAAAAACAAAAACAAAAACAAAAACAAAAACAAAAACAAAAACAAAAACAAAAACAAAAACAAAAACAAAAACAAAATAATAATCTTCCATAGATGGTTTGTCAATTGAATTTTTTTCCTGAAACTAAAATTATCAATAAACCATCAATTTCTTGTTATCGTTTTTAAAGAATATCCAACTCAAGTAAACCGCCAATAGAAAAGATACCACAATAGTCAACACACTGTAAAATGTAACATAAAAGCTAACGGTTCTAGAAACAATATTGTGAGCAAATGAACTAGGCAAAAAACTCTTATACGATTCTTCAAATGTGAGAGACTCGGCATAAACTTGTCTTTCCTTATTATAATAACTAGCCATATAAAATTGGAATGGAGCTGTCGCAAATAAATCAAATAATCGCGAATTAGGAGTTCTCAATATTTGCCAAATAGGATACCCAATGAAGCATATCGACAATATTATACCGACAAAACATATAGCAATCGCTGCGTTCTTTGGAACTAGATTGAACATTTTATTTTGGCTCCCTCTATCTGAATTGGAGGTTTTATTGTAATTTCGATCAGCATAAAATTGGATCAATGACCCTAAACATAAAATAATCAAAGCAGTGTATGCGAAATAAACCACAGTCAATGCAATAGTTAACCCTTGTTCAAGATCGGTGTAAAAGGATCTTATGATCATATTAATGAGATACCCAATAACGAAATAGATATTAAAAACAAACAATGAAACAAATCTCAATTCAGCAGTCTTACGGGTTCTTTGAGTCAATAACGATTGAGTTTGTATTTGCCTGTTTATTCTTTTATCTTCCTCATCCTCATCCCCATCATTGGAATTACTACCATTGCTTGTAATGGGTTTATTACTAGATTCTATAGTCTTAACTTTCTCATTTCCATCGACTCTTAATTCATCATGAAAAAATGAATTGTAATAATAATATCCTTTAAAATAACAATAACTTAGGCAGATAAATCGCAACACAGATATTCCGAATATCGAAAATCCAAACAGAACAATAGTGACAAAAAAATCATTGTTTATCATCTGATTAAAGTAATCATACACATAAAAGCAATATGATAGCTGTCCATATTGATTTAACACAAACACATTTTGTAAAAACAAAATAGCCAACACGAGCGACTTGATCGCAATCAAATTCAATGAAAACGACTGGTTTTTAGACTTATCATCAGTTGGTTTATAGCTTCGGATCTGCCAAAACAAGAAACCAACCAATATGCACACAAATCCCTCGCCATATATGACTGATGCAAAATTCGATTTAATAAACTTTGTGGGAAATTCAAAAAATGTGTACACATTTTCACCAAATGCATCAAAAAACCTTTCCGGTACTGAACCATTCATTTCATCGTTGAAATTATTAGTTTTGACAAAATACACAATTTGCAATGCAATGATAACAGACGTTAATAAAAACAAAATGACAATAAATGTATACTCAATTTTCAAATTCAAGACGGATTGGAAACTTTGAAGAGTTGAGTTTGACAATGTGAGTTTCCTCCTACTATCTGTTGATTCATTTGATGACTTTATATGATTGATATTATTGATATTGTTGTTGACGTTATGAATACGCTCAGGATTGATTTGGAACCCATTACTTGTGCCTTCACCCAACTGGTGACCTGAAGCAATGGCTAGCTTTTCATATGTGGCTTTCTTCTTATTAAGATACTTTTTGGTAGTTTTCCATTCTTGAGACAAAGACTTATTCTTTAAACCCTTTTTAAAGTTTGTTGCAACCTTGACACCAGATACAAGATTCATTAGCAATAAAAAGAAATAGAAAAAGAAAAACACCTTTAATGTAAAGAACTTGATGGGGTATTGGTGCACTGCTCTGTTTTTGAATATGGTTAGACATTCATGCAATGCAGTGAAAAAATACAATAGATGGATACACCATGTAATAAAAAACAAATTAAAATTCTCTGTTGATGCTGCATAGTCATTGACACAGAGGTATACTGGTACAAGGCATAAAAATATGACAATGTAGTAACTCATTTTGGTGAATTTGAACATGTCTATAAACAACAATAGAAACGCTGGTGACATGAATCCACTTAAGATTAAGCCAGATCGATGCAAGTTGAAAATGTTGATTAATTTCTTTTTTTCAAATGAAAAACCAACGTTGGAAGAACTCAATCGGTTGAATACGTTTCTTGCGAAAATAAAAAAGACAATGAATTGACATAGCAAAGTTAATGCGGAGATACCAATCAAGAGATAACTAAAAGCCTTAAAAACAACAGGAGTGTTACCAAATGATTTACCAAACAATCGGATTTCAGTCTCAGAAGAGTCATCAGGATTATAGACAAAGGGTATGTTTTCAAATGAAGTGGCCGTATTTGAGTATAAAACAGCAGTAAAAATTAAAATTAACGTCAAGAATATTAAAAGAAAAATAAAAAGAATATTATTTTTTTTGCTTAAGGAATGAAAAGTTAAAATAGCTTGATAGAATTTAGCATATAAAAGAATTATAGTTGGCAAGAAGATATCAAAAGTAGTCGAGACAGTATCTTCAGTTACATATTTAGTTAAATAAACAGGTTTGAATAAAAAATTATTTCGGACTTCATAAGATATATCATAATAGGTGTTTGATAAGATGATTAATTTGATTAAGATAAATAACTGAAATGGAAGAGAAACTATGATATTCGCAATTGAAATGAAACCAATAATTCTAAGAACTCTTGTCTCGCCTGCTGTTAATTGATCGACATTTTCAGATGTCGAAGGTTTATTTGGATTGTAATTGGAGTTTTCGTTGAGTGAGATTCTACTCAAATTATTTTCATTAATATTATCATGAGTATTATTGGGATGAGCAGCATCAATTCTGTTATCATCGCTATCATTATTATGAAAATTTACTTGTTCATTATCGATTCCTTGGAAGAATCTTGTTGTATCATCATCGGTATATTTTGTATCTGGAAGATTGAAAAGATCCAAATCATCGTCAAAAGGAACGTTGTCGTTCTTACTCGAATTATCTTTGTTCTTATCTTTTTCACTATCGGGAGCTTTTAAGCTGGGATCTTTTGAATGAGTTGAGCCATTTGATGCAGTTTGTTGTTGTCGCAGTGGGTCGGTGAAATCATTCATTTCATAAGCAGCTGAGTTGGCAGGAGCCATTTTAAGAGCGAAATAAAGGCCGATTTATCTGATGTGAATGTGTTAAAATAAATTATCAAGTGAACAGATTTAATAGAAAACAATAGTGGATTGAGAGAAATAATTGGTTTAAATGGGTCTGTTTTTAAAAGACTGAAAACCAGAGGATTGAGACAGAAAAATCATTGTTATCCAGCTTTTAACATTGAAGTGTATTTATAGCCTGGGAGCTGAGTGAGGAAAACAAACATTTTCATGGATCATCCAAGTTAAATTCTGCCCTCCAACTGAATAGGCCCACTACTACGGGTGCTGCAGTGCAAGCAAAGAACATGCAAGAACTAAAATACCGGATGCTTATTTTCAGCACCTCTCTTTCCATTTTTAGAATAGCTCCGAATAGAGAAAAAGCATGTGACCTAACATGCTTTTAAACACAGATACAGCCCTATCATTGGTTAAACAACAATAATTGAGAGGCTGATATTTTACAGAACCGTCTGTAGTTGTGTGTAAGGTTTTATTTCAATGCCTGCTAAAGAACCTGATTTGGCTAGTGATTTAATGCAGATTATCTTTTATATTCAAGAAAAAAGTAAAAAGTTATATGGACGAGTTGGGATTCGAACCCAAGACCTCTTGCTTGCAAGGCAAGCGCGCTACCACCTGCGCTACACGCCCGATAGTTTTTAGGAGTTTCGCGTCAAGATTTTTATAATATTTATGTGATATATTTTAGAGTATTGGAATTGATATTATTTTTTTTTTAATGTTGGGTATATATTATTTAGTATAGTTGTTTAAATAAATGGTTTTGTGTTTTATAGACCAAATGAAAATGTGTAAGTAACCGATATTGATAAAACCAAAAATGCGCCGATTGCCCAAATACCATGATACCATTTATTTACAGCACCAGTTCTGGAAAAGGAAGGAATTGGCATTATAGCTAATGATAAGAAGTTATAGTTTTTAGTTGAAAAGGGTGGATAGCGACATTTTAATAAAAACTCATTCCAAAATGGTTGCTTTACCATTGTTCTTTTATGGACAAAGGAATCGAAAGAATATTTTCCATGATAGTTTCCATAGCCCGATTGACCAATTCCACCAAAAGGAGCATTAATTACTGCAGGTTGAACTAATACATCGTTTACTATCCCAGAACCGCTTCTAATTCTTTTAAAAAAATATTCAACTTCGTTTTTGTCATCTGAAAATATATATGCAGATAATGGTGTGTCATGGTATTGAATAATTTTATCGCAGGCTTCAACCAAATTATCATATTTGACAATGGGTAAAATAGGACCAAAGATTTCATCACTCATAGTGATATCGTCCCATTTAACATTTTTCAAAACTGTTGGTTCAATGAAATTAGTTTTAGAATCGTAATGACCACCAGTGACTAATTGACCGTTACTGTTATTTAAAAGATTCATTAGCCTGTCAAAATTTTTTTGGTTAATGATATGAGCAAAGTTCTCGTCTGAAGAAGTTAAATCAGGGAAAAATTCATCTTCGATTATTAACTTGATAAAGCCTGTTGTAACTATATCATAGATTTCTGATGGCACTAACAAATAATCAACAGCAATACAGGTTTGACCACCATTTGTGAATTTACCCCATAAAATTCTTTTTAATATTGTTTTCAAATTTTTCTTCAAGTTGATGTTATTTGTAATGATTGCAGGAGATTTCCCACCTAGTTCTAAAATGACCGGGGTGAGGTTTTTTGAGGCCTTTTCGGCTACAATTCTACCAACAGTTTTTGAACCAGTGTACAATATTTTGTCAAATGGTTGATTTAATAAAGTAGTCACTTCTTCAACTGAACCATTGACAAATTTTAGAACATTTTGATCAACTCTTTCATTTAATTTTTTAATTAAAATCGAGGTGAAATGCGAGGTTAATTCGGATGGTTTTGCAATAACACAATTTCCTGCAGCAATTGCACCAATAATTGGTTGTAAAGTTAATAATAAAGGGTAATTAAATGATGAAATAATCAAAACAACACCAAGCGAAATACTTTGGATATAAACTTCTTTGGTTGAACTGAATAAAAAAAAGGGGCTTTTACTGATATATTCCGGCTTATCCCACTTTTTGAGGTTGTTAATGATATAATTTAAATCATTGAGTAAAGTAGTGTATTCTAGCAAATTTGTCTCAAAGGCTGGACGATTGAAATCTTTTATTAATGCTTGCTTGAATAGTTCAATGTTATCCTCAATTGCAAAATAAATTTGTCTTAACTGATCCAAACGATACTCAATGTCATCGAGTCTTCTGGAATGATAGAATTGATGAGATTCCTGAACAATAGTGGGAATTTCATCAATTGAAGTGTAAGGAAGCAACTCAATGGAGGAAGATGTTCCTGTAACTGTACCATCAGTGGTTTGGTTTGTCATTGGTATTTGAAGCAAATATAGCAAGAATATTGTCTTGAAAAAAACAATTGCTGAATTGCTGCTCCAGTTTTCAGCTCCCTCTTTATACAAATACTCCTTGTTTAGATTCACCATTTTGGCTTTCTGCTCTTTCTGCCGGATGCTGTTTGCTCCGGGAACCAGGGTGCGTTGATCTGTCCCCGCAATGTTAATCCGCATCCGCAATGCTGATGCACGGCTGAGTCAGCACACGTGTATGTCGAAAGCCATGTCTGCGGGTTTGAGCCATCAAAGACCACACCTGTGGGTGCTGCGCTGATCTGCTACGTGTTAAAAAGCGAGGCCGACACCCTCGAAACTACGACCAGCGGGAGTTATCTCCGCTGTCACTACCCGGCCTGTGCTTTACTGGGACATCGCTCCAAATCTTCAGAGCCGGGTCACCCCCTGCCGCTGGATTATTAATAGAGGTGCAGTTATAAAACAAATAGACAGCGCATCAACCTTCATCGCTTTCTATTAATATTTTGGTATTCTTGTTCACTGTTTTTCTGTTTTTCTAAAAATTAGTCAATCGTCCAACCTATTTAACTCTTTTCTCTTCTGCATCAATTCTTGTTGGTTTGTCTTGTTTCTCTTTTTTCAAGTAAATCTCATCTCAAGTATATCTCTTCTCTTCGATATCAATACAATATAATACTATATAGATCCAAAATGAAGTTCTCCATAAAGACTTTATCTGTTTTATTAGCCTCCATCTTATCTGTTACTTCTGCCAGCGAAGCTACTGCACCCGCCGACAGTGCTGTTGTTAAATTGACCTCAAAAAATTTCGAGTCCTTTATTGAATCTCATCCTTTAGTCTTAGCTGAATTTTTTGCTCCTTGGTGTGGTCATTGCAAAACTTTAGCTCCTGAATATGTCTCTGCTGCAGAAATCTTATCTAAAAAGGACATCCCATTAGCTCAAATTGATTGTACTGAAGACAGAGATTTATGCACTGATATTGGTATTAAAGGTTTTCCAACTTTGAAAATTTTCAAGGGTTCTTTGGAAAACCCAGCTGATTATCTAGGTGCAAGAAAATCTGATTCAATTATTAGTTATATGGTCAAACAATCTTTGCCTCCTGTTCAATTGGTCTCCACTAGTGAAAATTTAGACGAAATCTTAACTGATTCAGTTGATTCGATAGTTTTACAAATCATCAATTCTGAATCCAAAAATAATGAACAGAATCAAACTTATTATGACCTTGCTGGGGCTTTAAGAGAGAAATACACCTTTTTATCCACTTCCAATGCTGAGTTAATTAAAAAATACAATGTGAATTCAAATGCTCCAACTTATTTAGTCTATAGACCAAAGGACCCATCTGATCCTTCAATTTATAATCAAGAAAACGACAAATCAATCTCATTAGAAGATTTTATTTCAAGTGAATCTAAACCATTCTTTGGTGAAATTGATGGTTCCACTTATCAAGAGTACATGTCTTCAAAATTGCCCTTAGCTTACTACTTTTATGAAGACGCTGACGACAGAGCTAAATGGGAACCTTTTTTCTCCAAATTAGGTAAGGATCTTAGATCAAAACTAAGTTTTGTTGGTTTAGATTCGAAAAGATTTGGTAGACATGCTGAAAATTTAAACATGCCTTTACAATTCCCATTATTTGTGATTCATAACATTGAAGAAAATCTTAAATACGGTATTCAACCATCTGAATCAAAACAATTCACTGAATCCAGCATCTCAACTTTTATCGATGAATACCTTGAGGGCAAAATTGAACCAACTATAAAATCTGAAGAAATTCCTGAAGTTCAAGAAAATAATGTTTACAAATTAGTTGCAAAGACTCACAACGAATTAATTAATGATTCTAAAAAGGATATTTTTGTTAAATACTATGCTCCATGGTGTGGTCACTGCAAAAAGTTGGCTCCAATTTTTGAAGAATTAGCCGGATTATATAAAAACGATGCCGAATCGAGTGAAAAAGTTTTAATCGCTGAATTAGACGCTACTTTGAATGATGTCAACGTTGAAATTTCTGGTTATCCAACTCTTATATTGTACCCAGCTAACGATAAAGAGAATCCAATTGTTTACTCAAAAGGTAGAGATTTGGAATCTTTTATCCAATTTATCAAAGAAAGTGGTTCTAACAAAGTTGATGCATCTTTAATTGAAAATGTCGAAGAGGAAGAAGAGGAAGAAGAAGTGAAGGAAGAAGTGAAGGAAGAAGCAAAAGAGGAAAAAAAAGAGGGAAAAAAAGAAGAAGTTAAAGAGGAAATTAAGGAAGAAGTTAAAGAAGAGGTTGAAGAAGAGGTTAAAGAAGAAGCTAAAGAAGAAGCTAAGGAAGCTAAACAAACTAAACATGACGAACTTTAAGATGATTACCATTTAGTTCTATTTCCTTTATCTTTATTTTAACTTTGTATTGATTTATATATAAAATTATTTCATTTCTTCATTTGGCTTTAAAATAGTTAATATTTTCCATTATTTTACAAAAATTTTTCAAAGAAACAACTTAAAACAAAAATAAATAAGTAAATTAGTAAATAAATAAATAAATATATTTAAAATTTATTCCATGTCACTTGAGATGTGTATAGTATACTCGATTGTGAATGGTAACAAACTTCTGATTAAAATTAAGCTTAATTGTAAGTCTAAGTTGAGTTGAATTAAGTTAAGTTAAGCTAAGTATTGAAATTGAAAAAGATGACATATTTTTCATTAGAGAAAGAAAGAAGATTTTTAGATAATATAGTTTTGTATTATGTAAGTGAGTATTTTAAATAAGAAGAGAGGAAAAGAAGAAAAGTTGAGTTTGGTTGGGAGAAAATTTAAGATTTTAAATTTAAAAGGAGTAAAATTGTTGAGCAAAGAAATTATATTGAAAAAAATAAATAAAAAATAAAAAAGATAAAAATTGAAGCCAAAAAGTTTAGAGCATTTTTAAAATTTAAACGATTATTTAATTATAAAATTGAAGTGATAATAGGAGAAAGAGAAACAGAAAAAAACAAACTAGATAGATAATAGATAATGAGAAAAGTTGGATGTAATTAAATTAAATTAAATAGAAAAAAAAAAAGGTGAGTATGAGAAAGGGGAGGGGAAAAAAAAAAAAAATCTAGAATTTCCAAAAAAAATATGATGATTATATATGATATATAAGAAATTTCAAACAATTTTTTTCCTTTTCAAATTAAATAGATTATAAGTTGATTGCCGTAGAGATTTATTGTAAAAGGTTGAGATATTAAATGTAAATTATCAATGAGTAATGATTAAGAATTATTTTAAAGAGAAGGCATGAGGAGCTTCACCTTCGGGACCAATAAATTGAGGATCTCTCCATGGACCAACATCAGCCATGTATAAACCACCCTCAGCATCACTAACAGTTGATTTACCGCCGAATTTTTCAGGCAAGTTTTCAATTGGAATTTGTTTTAGTAATTCAGTTTGGTAGGTTCTACCCAAGATAAAGATTTTGTTGACGGTTACTGGGTCTAAAAAGGGTTTGAATATATTAAAGACAGTAGCAAAACCAAAGGGAGCATTGATCAAGTAGAATTTGCCCATTGTTTCAGGATAGTAATCTTGACCAATTTTGGAGGCTTCTCTAACATAAGATAAGACTTGGTAAGCAGAGGAAATGGAGATGCCCTTTAGGTCCATGATTGTGCAAGAGGTTTCAATCAAGTAGCCAGATCTTCTTGAACAAGCAGGCAAACGATATTTTTGAAAGGATTCGTATTCCCAGATCAAGTTTTTGATCATTCTTTCTTGGGTTGTAATTTTGTACATTTCAGTGATATTGACGGAGCCTAATTCTTCGATGTAAATGGGTCTGCCATCTTTATCAACCTTGTGATAGTATTGAGGATAAAAGGAGGCCACTATTGGTTTTTCAGTGTAGACAAAATCAGAGAGGATGGTGTCGACACCATTTTCTTTTCTCCAAGCCTCACAAGCTATGAACATTTGTTTGGATAACTGGACATCGAATTTTCTTGCTCTGAGGAATCTCAATAGGGTGGGATCATCGAGCCTCTTTGTGTAGTTTTCAGCTTTTAGTTGGTTTCTAAAGATGTTCAATTTGGCAGTTTGTTCATCAGAGAGGTTTCCTGGATAGCCAGTGGTATCGGATGGAGCCACTAGTTGTGGGAAGGAACTTAGGAAATCTTCTTGGGAGAGAGACATTGGAGAAAACAGGGCAGCAGAGCGAGAAGCAGAAACAGCAGAAACAGCAGAGGCAGCAAAGAGAGAACAGCACAGCGAGAAATGGCTCAACAGCTCTGTGTTATCTCTCCAAAGCTCTCAGAGCTGCGGTTTCCACGTATTGAATTCCGGGCCGGGTCACGCGTAGCACAGCGCCAGCGGAACGGGCCTCGTTGGATCGTGCTTCCGGTGGTTTTGCTTCTTCTGCTTCTTCAGGCGCTGGCGATGCTGGCGATGCTGTTCTATTGACTACATACCCTACTCTTCCTCGCCCTCGCCGTCGACGACCCTCTTGCTCTCCTTCATCAACTCGTACAACTGCACGATCTGCTCCGGACTCATCTTGTCCAACTGACTTCTGGTCAACGAGTGCTGCTTCCACTGACCATCACTGATCATCGTCAAATATTCCTGCCACGACGTCAAAAACCCCACAATTTGCAACGGGTCGCTGATGTTGCGATGTGCCCTGAACTCTTCCTTCACATACATGTCTCCTAGAAACCTCTGGCTGGCAGGCAAAAACCGGTGTGCTCGAAGAATTCGTCTGTAGAGGTACACTGGGGGTAGCAACGCAGGCCCCTCTCTCACCGGTCTTCTGGGCCGGACGTAGCGTGCCATCGATGCTCTCATGCTGATGTGCTGGTGTGTTGTTCTTGTTGTTTTTGCTGCTTCTGCTTCCTGTGGTGTCTCTTCTCTTCTCCAGCCTATGGCGCTCGCTCTATAACAAACAATCTGTCCGCGCTGTTCCTCCGCGCTCGCCAACTTCTTCCGCGCCGTCTGCAGCCGGGAAGCGTTCCGCACTAACATCCGGCACCCACCCATCCGGTGGCGACTCTTGTTCTTAACGAACGTATCCATTGCGCAAGTTTGCAAAAATGAAAGATATTGATAAATTTCACATTGGCCAAACAAATATCTTCTTTGAATCTCATTGGAAATTTTTTTCACTTTTTTTTATTTTTTTTGTTTCTTACAAATAGAGAACTTTCAGTTTTTACTTATTCATTTTTTCATTTCATTTTGGATTTAATCTTTTTTTTGTCCAGTTATTAATAACATTATCAATCTTATTGTTATTATATTATTGATTTCCCAGATTATATTTTTTTTTTTTACTCCTACTCTTACTCTTGTTATAAATATTCCATCTTCATTCGAATTCCATTCCATTCTATTGTCTGCTCCATCACTACCTGGCTTTTCATTCATATTTTTTCCCATCTCCATCTTTTCAATAAAGAAAAAAAAAGAGTTCTTTATAAACTCTTTCTCTTAATAAATAAATACACAAATATTTTGTTTATTTATTTTATTAATATAAAATAATATATTATAATATTGCAACACCTTATACTATCCTATATTATTTCAAAAAGTTGACTAAAAAAAAAAACTGCAAAAAAAACAGAAAAAACTACAAAAAGAAAGTAAGCAAACAACAATAAAGAAAGAAAAATTTTCTATATTTCTTTTATCTACTTTTATTTCTCATTACAAATCAAACAAAAAAACCAAACAAAAAAACATTTCAATAATACTAACTTACCTCCTCTCATTTTCTTTCCATGTCTTTAGTGTCTACAATTTCATACGCTTCTGCTGCCAGTAGTGCTTTGGCCACTGCCACCCAAAATCAATCGTTTTCTACTTCCAACAATGATGAGCCAAAAAATGCCTCTTCAATAAATATTGTTTCCAATAATCACTCTAATTCCACAAATATCATCACAACCACTCCAACCTCTTCAACTGCTTCCTCCACTTCACCCACTACAATTAATACATCTGATGCTAAACCATCCTCACAACCAACACCTTCAACACCTTTGAGTGACTCTTTGGACTCAAAAAAGGCCCAAATCAAATTTGCAAAACCTAATAATGACAATAATCATAGTGCAATCACTAACAATACCTCAAATAACCATAAAAAATCGAGAAAGGATAAATCCAAGAAAAATATTTCAAAAGGATCAAAAGATCCCAAAGACTCAAAAGATCCCAAAGACTCAAAAGACCCAAAAGACCCAAAAGACTCAAAAGAACTAAAGAATAAAGACTCTGGAGAACAAAAAAATAAAGGCCAAAAAGATAAAGACTCGAAATCAAAATCAAAAGAACCAATTCCTTCAGACTCAAAAGATAAAAAATCAAAAGACTCCTTCTCAATAAATATCGATTCTGATGACAAAAAGAAAAATCTAGCTCCTGCTCCTGTTCCAACAAAAAATCCCTGGGCAACTTTCTCAAAATCCTCAAACATCCCACTTATCTCTGACATTTCAAACTGGCCATCTCCTCTATCCGACAAAGATTCTACTCAACTAAATGATAATTCCAACCCAATCTCTTCCCCAATTCCAACTTCAACCTCAAATACCATAAAAACTAACGCAAAGGAAAAATGGATACCATACCATGACGCCTCTTTAATATTGCCTTCTTCAAAATCAAAATTTAAATCTTCTTCAACAAATAACCCAAGTAACCCTATAACCAAATCTTCTTCGAACAACCCAAAGAAATCTTCAAAAAATTTCAAAAAAAAATCATCTCAATCTTTAAACCCAAAACATTCCAATGGAAATGGCAATGGCAATTCTAATGGCAATTCCACTCTCAATGGAAACTCTTCTCATTCTAACAATGATGATTTTAACACCCCCAAATCAAAATCCTTGAAACACAAACAAAAAAAATACTCAAACAAACAATTTATAAATAAAAAAATATCAAATACTGATGACTCAAAATCAACTAAATCTCACAAATCATCCAATAAATCAATTGATTCTACAAACGAAAATACACTCACTACAACTACCACTACTAACAATTCAGAGCTTTCTAACCAAAATCTCGAAAATGGTAGCTCAATTCCAAATGAAAAAAATAAATCTAACCAATCTGATTTAGAAAAAAATCTTGTTAAAACTTCTCACAAAGAGCCTCATAAAGAACTCTCAAATGATCATTCTCACAACCATAACCATAGCCATAACCATACTCATACTCATACTCATACTCATACTCATAATCATAAAAATGAATCAAATCACAACGATCATTCTGAATATGAAAAATCTTCCACCAAAAATTCCTCTCACAATCCTAATCGCCACTACCATCACAATCAATATCGCCAAACTCGTCGTTTTAGTAAATCGTCAACCAACAATTATTCAAATGGTAATATAAACGGCAGCTCTACCTCTAACTCTACTTCCACTCCATCTACCAATAGTGCTGTTAATGACCCAAATGCTGATAATTTTCATCCAAATTATAAATATAATGGACAGTCAAATCATTACCGCAAAAATTCAAAATCCTATCATGATCCAATTGCTTTTGCTCTAGCCAATCCATACCCAATGAATTACATGAATGGTTATATTCCTAGTAACACAAGAAATTCAAGAAGAGACTCATTTATAAATTATTCCCAATATTATTATGCTTCATATTACACCGTTGCTTCTCCTATTATCCCAGCTTGTCTCAATCAAAGATACTCTTATGAACCATATAAACCAGAACTTTATCCTGAACCATTAAGCCTGGTAATAGCTCAAATAAGTTATTATTTTTCAATCAATAATTTGTTAAAAGATTATTATTTACGTAAGCAGATGAATTCACAAGGTTATGTTCCAATAGGCATAGTTAGTCAATTTAAAAGATTGCAAACTTTATCTGGTGGAAATAATGAATTAATCTTAGAGGCATTGGATAAATGTGAAAAGGAATTGAATATTATTGATATCAATGGGTCAAAAGTAAGAGTCCGTAATTTTTGGGCTCAATGGGTACTTCCATATGAACAAAGAGATGAACATGGAAAAGATGAGTTTGTTCAAGAGACTGTGAATGATGAAACAAAAGATAATCTTGATATAAACGCTAGTGCTAATAATGAAACTAATAATGAAACTAATAATAAAGAGAAAAAGCAACAGAATAATTTTAAAGAAGGAATTGACTCCAAGTAATGTGTGAATAAAAGTTGATTAAATTTAAAGTCATATTCTGTTTGTTTGTTTATTAGTATTTTTTTTACTTTCTCCTTCGAATGTTTATAGTTTTTAAGATATCATTTTGTTGCTTGTTTTATTTTATTTCATTTTATTTTACTTTATTTTCATTCATGTTTTTTTTATTTATTTTTTAATATTTTTTTTTTTTAAAAAAGATTTTATTTATTGAGATATTGTTTTTATTTTATTATTTTACTATTGGAAAGCTATTTTAATTTATTTTCTCTAATTTATTTCACACTTTTTTTTAAAAACTACTCTATTTTATTAATGATGTACTAAAAGGAAGAAAAAAAACCCCAAAAAAAAAAGAAAAAAACCCAAAAAAAAACCATTACAACTATAATCATAAACAATTAATTAATTAATTGAACTTCAAACCTGGAAGAATTATGAAAAGAATGTTTATAAGAATGTTTATTTTAGTTCTATTTTAATTCTATTTTATTACTATATTACTATTAATGATAGCTTTAATTAATTGCTTGAGGTTAAGAATTAAAGAGAATTTATAAAAATGATAAAGAAAAAGATATATATATATATATGTGTATATGCATGATTTAAAATTGCATTTTTTAAAGTATTGTTATATGAATTCATTGATTTTTATTACTATAATTATAAGTATTATATTAGTATTATATAGGTATTATATAAATTAATTGAATTTTTTTTTTATTTTTTTTTTTTATTTTTTTTTTTATTTTATTTTCCATTTTATTTTCCATTTTATTTTCTTATTTTCTATTTTTTGTGATAGATTATAAATGAGATTCAAAAAGGGTATTTGGAAATATTTCGATTGAATAATTATCTGGATCTTTAATAAAGGCGATATTTTTAATAAAACCTTTGTTGTATTGTAAGGACCAGGTTAGGTTTGGAAAGGTTTCGGACAATTGGCGACAATAGGATTGGGGATCGTCCATTGAGATACCGATGTGACCATAACCTTGAGGAGGGTCGTTACCGTTGTGGTAGCCCTTGAAGTTGGGATCAGATTCAGTGCCCCAGTTGTGAGTTAGTTCTAGGATAGATTGTCTTGAGGATTGTAGGTCCTTTGTGAGGGGCAAAGGAGTGTCTTTGGAGTGGTGGTAGCCTAGGAAATAAAGAGTGAATTTGGCAGATTCAAAGGATTTGGTGGATAGTAGTTTGAAGCCGAGAACGTTTTGGTAGAAGTGTAAAGATGCTTTGGGGTCCTTGACTCTAATCATGGTGTGGTTGAAGAGATAGTTTGAAGAGATGTCGAGTTCGATGGGAGCTGAAGGGGTGAGGTTGGTTGAGAGTTGGTCGAATGGAGAGACTTTGTAGTTTTGAATCAATTCAATCCAGTAGCCATCGGGATCGAGAAGAAAAGCAATGTCTCTTTGGTTGCCATCAGATAGTGTCTTTTTGAACTTGTATTTGTTGGGAAACTGTTGCAAATAGGAGCAGGTTTTGACCAAGTCGTTGACAGAAAAGCAAATGTGACCAAACCCTCTATGGGGCTCGACGTTGCCGTTGTTGAGAGAGTAGTTGGGATCGAGCTCTGTGCCGTGGTTGTGGGTTAGCTCGAGAACACCATCTTTTTTGGCCCAGTTTTGGTTGTAGGCTTTCAAAGCAGGGCGGTTGAAGGCAAGCATGTAGAGGGTGAAGCTCTTTTCGGGAAATGGAAAGGTGGAGACCAAATCAAGACCAAAGGTGTCCCTGTAGAAGGGAAGCGAGACGCTGGGGTCCTTGATCCGGAGACAGGTGTGGTTGAGGGCAAAGGAGTCGTCGAATGTAACAGGCATGGCGGCGTGGGCAATGGAAACAAAGACATTAGTAAGAGCAACTCGAGCTGATTATATGTGCCGCCCAATCGGGAAGACACGCAAGCGCACGTGAACCATCACGTGGGTCTGCGTTGCGAACGCACCCGTGACCTGCACACGCCGGCACACCGCTGCGTCTGGGCGGGGCCGAGTCGGGGAGCGGGGCTCGTGAGCTGGCTTCTTTTGGCGTCTGGAAAAAACTCCCCTTCAGTGTCGTATTTTGCAATCTTAATTTGTCTCCAGTTTGGTGTTGCTCTTCTTTTATCTTTTATCTTCCATTTGTATTCTTGTATCCCATCTCATATAAACTGCACTGGCCAGTTTTGCTTCTCCTTCTCTGATTCGCTACCATGAACTACACTTACTCTGACGACGAAGTACAAAACAACTACAGGGTACGTAATACCTTAGCTAATCGCTCCTTTCTCTATCTTCTTGATCTTCTTGCTCTTCTTTATTCTCTTTACTCTCTTTACTCTCTTTACTCTCTTCTTATTCTCTTCTATTCTACTAACCTCTTTCTCGTTCTCTAGCGATGGCAAAGACTCAGACGTGATCATGGCGACAACGCTGCTTCTCTTCCAGAGTACATCCTTCTCTCCAACTATCTCAAGGCTGTCCATCAGCAGCAGTCTCTCGACAATGGCTCCCTCAACCTCCACTCCCTCCAGAACAATATCAATCCCAACGTAAATCCCAATCTCAATCCCAACATCAACAACCCCAACCTTAATGCCTCCATCAGCAATTCCTCCCTCAACTCCTTGAACAACTCCAGTATCGCTTTCACCAACATCAACAATAACATCAACAATAACAACAACAATAACTCCTTTTTGCAACAGAACTTGATCAATAACCAGCTAAACCATCTCAACAACCCTATCATCAACCAACCCCAGTTGCAAAACAACAACGATCACATAAATAACAACTCCATCCCTCAAAACAATAACCAGTTGTTAAATCAGTCCCAGCTAATAATATTCAATGCCCAGTTCAATGCCTTCAAATTTCTTGCCAAACAACAAGTTCCTCCTCCAGAAGTTCAGAAGGTTTTGGCTACTCATTACTCGGCCATAACGAGAATTCAAAATCAGCAAATCCATTTAAATCAACAAAACAAACTCCAAATCCAAAACCAACAGCCCCAATCCATTAATCAAAATATCAATCAAAATATCAATCAAAATATCAATCAAAATATTAATCAAAATATTAATCAAAATATCAACCCAAACATTAACCAAAACATTAACCAAAACATATCTCAGATTAATCAACCTATACCTCAAATCCAAAATCTATCTCAATTACAACAACTACAACTATCCCTACAATCTTCTAATCCAAATCAACCCCAATTACAAAATATTCAAAATATCCAAAATATCCAAAATATTCAAAACCTCCAAAGTATCCAAAATATTCAAAACTTACAAAATCTACAAAATATTCAAAACTTGCAAAACCAACCTCAAAATCAGCCCCAAAATCCACCCCAAATTATTAGCCAAAATCAATCTCAACCCCAATCTCAATCTCAAATTATAAACCAAAACTTACAAAGCCAATCTCCAATAACCCAAAACCCTTCGCAAATCCAAATACAATCTCAGATTATTAACAAAAACCTACTCAAAACTCCCTCTTTAAAACAAAGAACCCCAAGATCAAAATCAAAAAAATTACCTTCAAATTCTCCTGCCCCCATATCCTCTTCAAAAAAAAACTCAAGAGCAAACCTGCCTTCAACTTTAATCCACCATCAACACTCACATTCTCATTTACAATCTCAAAATATATCAAATATCCAAAATATCCCAAACATCCAAAACTTATCTCAACTACATCACTTGAAAACCTTACAACAACTCAAAAAGAGGCCAACCTTCCCCGAAAAACTCTCCCTACCAACTGAAGTATCAAAACTAAAAAAATTATATCCTTCCTCTGACATCAAAGCTGTCAACGATCCAAACGCCTTTGTTGATTGCTTCAATCTTCCTCCAACTTTAACCTTCATCGATGCAAAAATCCCCTACAATTTCATCTTCCCAAATACAAAACTAAGATCAAGTGTTCCCTCTCTAGCGCCTGATGCCCTATCCTTTTTAAACCCAAAAGACGCTCACGACATTAAAGAATCTTACACATACCTACAAATAGAAAAATCTATCCATTTACTCAAAAACTCAATCAAATCATCCTCAAATCATCCCTCCCTATCTCTCAATGATCAAATCGACCTACTAGCTCTAAATCTACTAAATCACCAAAAACAACTAAGAGGAAAACTACTATCTTTTAGCTGGTACCAAAGATCTCTACTAACAAACACTCATCCAAATTTCCTAGCCAAATCAAGAAAACTATCAATCAATGACTCTATCAAAACTTCCCAAATTCACATCCTAAACCAAAAAAATCACAAAAAACATCTTCAAAACTTCAAACTAGAACAGTCTCAATCAAAAATGAACAAAATAACTTCCTTAATCAATATCAAATCAATCAAAAAACAAAATAAATTTAAAAAATTGAAAAATAAAATCATAAATTTTCACATTGCTTTTGAAAGAGAAACAATTCGAAGAATCGAAAGAAATGCAAAACAACGTCTATTAGCTCTAAAAGCTAATAACGCTGAAGTCTATATCAAATTATTAGACGAATCAAAAGATAGCAGAATCACTCATCTTCTACGACAAACTAATTCCTTCTTATCAACTCTTAGTAACGCCGTCAAATCTCAACAAAAAGAAACTCACGAACTAAGTATAAAAGCTGGCCATAAAATTGAAACTGATGAAGAATTTAAAAAACAATTTGGCGACGATGCCGATAGTGGTGATTTAGATTATTATAATGTTGCCCATCGAGTTCATGAAAGTATTACAAAACAACCCTCCATTCTTGTCGGCGGTACTCTAAAAGAATACCAAATTAAAGGTTTGCAATGGATGGTTTCCTTATTCAATAATCATCTCAACGGTATTCTCGCTGATGAAATGGGTCTAGGTAAAACTATTCAAACAATATCTCTAATTACTTATTTAATGGAGTTTAAAAAAATTCCCGGCCCTTTTTTAGTTATCGTTCCTCTCTCAACTCTAACAAATTGGAATTTGGAATTCGAAAAATGGGCTCCTTCTGTTAAAAAAATCACCTATAAAGGAACTCCAACACAAAGAAAAAAAATGCATGACGAAATTAAAAGAAAAGATTTTCAAGTATTACTAACAACTTTTGAATACATCATTAAAGATAAAAATCTTTTGGGAAAAATTCCCTGGGTTCATATGATTATCGATGAAGGTCATAGAATGAAAAATGCTCAAAGTAAATTATCCTTTACTTTGTCAAACTATTATCACACTGACTATAGACTAATTTTAACCGGTACTCCATTACAAAACAATTTACCTGAATTATGGGCTTTATTGAATTTTGTTTTGCCTAAAGTTTTCAACTCTGAAAAATCATTTGATGAATGGTTTAATACCCCCTTTGCCAGTGCAGGAGGTAATGATAGATTGGATTTATCTGAAGAAGAAACTTTATTGATTATTAGAAGATTGCATAAAGTTTTAAGACCATTTCTTTTAAGAAGATTGAAAAAAGATGTTGAAAAAGACTTGCCTAATAAAGTCGAAAAAGTTATAAAATGTAAAATGAGTGCCATCCAAGTTAAACTCTATCAGCAAATGCTTAATCATCATTCTTTATTTATTATGGATAAAAATACTAATAAATTGGCACCAATTAGAGGATTGAATAATCCAATCATGCAACTAAGAAAAATTTGTAATCACCCTTTTGTGTTTAATGATATTGAAACTGCAATAAATCCTAGTAGAAACATTGAAAACTCCATTTGGAGAGTCGCCGGAAAATTTGAATTACTAGATAGAATTCTACCCAAGTTTAAAGCTAGAAACCATAGAGTCTTGATGTTTTTTCAAATGACTCAAGTTATTGATATCATGGTAGATTACCTCGACTATGTTGGCATAAAACATTTAAGATTAGACGGATCCACAAAGTCTGATGAAAGGCAAGAAATGCTCAAACTATTCAATGCTCCCAACTCGGAATATTTTGCATTTCTTCTTTCCACCAGAGCAGGAGGTTTAGGGCTAAATTTGCAAACCGCCGATACTGTTATTATTTTTGACACTGATTGGAATCCTCACCAGGATTTACAAGCCCAAGATAGAGCTCATAGAATTGGTCAAAAAAACGAAGTTAGAATATTGAGGTTGATCACTGAAGATTCAGTTGAAGAAATGATTTTGGATAGAGCTCATCAAAAATTAGACATTGATGGAAAAGTTATTCAAGCAGGTAAATTTGATAATAAATCCACAGTAGAAGAGCAAGAAGCATTGTTAAGGCAATTATTAGAAGCAGAGGAAGCAAAGAAAAAGGATTCAGTTGAAAATGAAGAATTGACTGAAGAGGAGCTTAATGAAATTCTTGCCAGAACAGAAGAGGAAAAAGAACTATTTGCCAAAATGGACCAAGAAAGAAAGAAAAACTGGATTGAAAACTATGGTTCACTACCTAGATTGTATGCTGAAAACGAGTTACCTGGCTTTTTCAACGCTGAAATTCCAAGAGAGAAAGAAAAAACAGAACTTATTTTAGGAAAAAGAATTAAAGCTAAAATATCTTACAAAGATGAATCTGAAATTGATTGGTTAAAATCAAATGATTTAATTAATGAAGGTGCAGATATTAAAGAAATAGAAGCAGAGCTTGAAGCAGATACTTTTGTAGACGTTCCAGAAATTGTTGCAGAAGTTAAAATACCAAAGAAAAGAGGTAGAAAACCCAAGAAACTTCTTGAGGCAATGGCAGCAGCAGTAGCATCCAACGGCAGCGTATCAATCAAAGCTGAAAATGAAACTGAAAGTGGAATTGAAAACGAAAACAACGAATTACTTTCTCTCGAATCACCAAGAAAGCGAAAACTATCCAATGCTCCAGATTCATCGCCTGTTTTCACCGCAGGAAAAAAAATAAAATCAGAGAATCCCATCTTCAGTTTAGGAAGAGGTAGAGGTCGTGGAAGAGGGCGTGGAAGAGGTAGAGGCAGAGGTAGAGGCAGAGGGGGCTTAAAAGGTGTTGTTTCTACCCGACCTTCATCAGGCGAAGCTATGAAGCTCTCTACTGAAGAACGAATTAAATTAACCCATAAATTAAGACAATTGTTTCATACTGTGGATAATCTTAAAAATGAGGAAGGAAGAGAATTAACTGAACTATTCAAGAAAAAGCCTTCCAGGAGGTTATATCCCAATTATTATATGATTATTCGAAATCCTATTTCATTGAAAGAAATAAAGGAAAAAATATCTAGTTTTTCGTATTTCTCATTATCAGGTATACTTGATGATATAAAATTAATGTGTGCAAATGCTAAGGCCTTTAATCAAGAAGGTTCTATTGTTTTCAATGATTCCATTTCATTGGAAAAAGCAGCGATCGATAGATATAATGAATTAATGGCGGAAGATGCGCCTCTGTCCAGAGAGTAGTATACTATTAAATTATCCAATTGATAAAGTTTTTTTTTTTGTACCTTTTTGTTTGTTGTTAACTATTTTTTATTTTGTGGTTTTCTTTATAAAAATTATTTTCTTTATTTTTTTGATTTATTTGGCTCTTAATTTTGTGGTTTAAAAATTGTATATATAGATTCATTTAAATAATTTAGTTTTGAATGCTAATTATTTTTAGTTCATCTTATTCTTTGCATGTAGTTTGGAGGTTTAAACCACTTTATTGGTTAATTTCATTAGTTTCACTTTTAATACGGCATATCCAATCATCCTATAAATGATAATAACAAAGACCAAAACCAATAGGAAAACTTTGTAGTTTCTTTCAAGTCTATATATACGCAAGACATCTGCACCATTATTGAATATACAACTACCATCACTACTCATTCCCTCACCATTCCGGCAAGTAAAATGAGGCTCGTTAATGAAAACCAAATTTGTGACTGCCATGATTGCATAGTTCAAAGGACTGAGCCAATTGATTCCATTCAAAAACCCAGGCATATCCAAGGACATTATCCCAGCCATGAAAGTAGCAATCGATAAAAATACTGAAATCACATTAACAGCAAAACCAACGTGGTTGAATATTGTATTAACGATTATCCCTAGTGATTCACCACAATTAACAATCATCCACGATACATAAACCAAAGCAAGAAATACATCTACTTGATAAGGCAATCCAATAACAAAAACCATAAAAACAGCATATATTACTGAGGAAAATAGCTCAAAAGGTAACTCTAATGTAAGGTAAGATAAAAAAAAAGCCGATACACCATAAACATTGTCTTTATACTCCTTATAAAAAAAATCTCTTTCATTGGGATAACTTGATACATTATTTAACATTCCGATGAAATACAAGGGAGTTATTTCTTGCAACAACCCTAATCTATTGGTTACTCCAATATAATCATTAGATAACCTGGCAAAAAACAATGCAGTGATAATACCGATTCCAGCAACTTGGGATATTCTTGCAAAGAAGGCATTCTTATCCCTAATAACAGTTAAAGACTGTCTTTTTAGAAGAACAAAATAAGCATTAAAGAACTTAGATCGCTGAACCAAAAAGACCCCAAAAACAGAAAAAAGATCTAACTCCTTTTTGAAGTCGCTATCTGAAAGAATCAGATCATCTTTTGTGTTATTTTCCCATGATTTAATCAAAAATTCTGTCCTTTGCTTTGTTTCTATCTCTAAATCTTCTTTCTGATAATTTATTCCAATTAAATCTAGAACATAGTCAGTAACGTTGGTGAATTGAGGACAAAAAAAGCCTAAATTCTTAAAATACTCCATCATCGAATTGGGGTTTCCATTGTATATTACTTTTCCCCCATTATTATCAATACTTTTAGACAAAACTAGAATCGAACCAAAAGTCTTGAACAAATCATATCTGGGTTGATGAATGGTCAAAATTATTGTTTTGTTCTCATTCTTAGCTAAATGATCCAAAAACAATAGGATATAAAGGGCACTAAAAGAATCAAGTCCTGAAGTTGGCTCGTCCAATAATAGTATTTTAGGATCATTTAGAAGTTGAATTCCAATAGAAACTCTTCTCTTTTCTCCCCCAGATATCCCTTTTAAAAATTCTGAGCCAATTGGGGTATTTGCACAATCTTTTAAACCGAGTTTCATAATAATTTCTTCTACTTTCTTATCTCGAATTTCTTTGGAAAGATTTGATAGTCTCAAATCAGCAGCAAATTTTAATGTTTCTTTCACAGTTAATGTTGGCAATAAGCTGTCGTCATCTTGATAGACATAAGAACAAATTGAATTTACCAACTTATTATTCTCAGTCACTTTATACTTATTGAAGAAAATGTCTCCAGAGTATGAATACTTGTTAATAAAATCGGAAGACAATTTTCCAGAGAGCAATGTAAGCAAAGATGATTTTCCTGAACCGGATGGGCCCATGATTACATTAATTTTTCCAGGTAAAAATTTGCAGCTAATAGAATTCAATATGTTTTTGGTCTTCGGATTTTTGTCTCTGAATTTAAATGATAGAGTTCGAACAGAAACTGCTAAACAAATTTTTTCTAATGATACAATTATATCATCATTTTTTTTCAACTTGTCAAACCCTGTTTCAGTGAATGCATTGGCGTCTCCAATTTGATTTGTATCTTTGTTTATTAGTTCATCTTTGGTTCCTTTTAGGTTGACTAATTTATTGCTTCCTCGCTGTTTCGATAATGAAACATCTACTTTCTTGATTTTTAAGACCACGCAGGCCATGATATAATAGCCTACGCCCCAGCAAAGTAAAATTAAAATAGGAATGGCTATCCAGTTTTCGTTAAAGCCTAAAGTGTTTAAAATATACTTTCCCGTATAAGGTTGGCAATTCTGAACAACATTTTCTGGCAAATTTTCATAATAACCACTTTGTAATTGATCAGAGACAGGACAATCACCCAAATATCCACTAAATTCGTTGGAGATTGCAGCACCAAACCCATACCAGACATAGGCAATATACTTAGTCCATCGAACATACACTGGCATTGTTTTGGCGTTGACAAAAAACCCACACGCAAATGATTGCAAGGTAAAATTGAAGTTGGCAATTAACGAGGCAATAGGAAACTCTCTAGATATTGATGTGCAAAGCAATGCTGATCCCATTGCAATGAAATGATTTAGTGTGTTGATTGAAAGATAAATAAAATAAGAATCAGCTTGGATATGAAGCCCAAACATAAAAAAAGTTATTGTAGAAAACAAAAAAGGAATAGCAATTCCTTCAGTTAGAAAATGAGCAAAAATTCTAGAAAGAACAAATCCTAATATTGAAACGCAGTTTTCCATTTTTTCTCTGTCAAATATTTTTATATCTAAAACACAGAGTCTATATGTTTCAAATAAAAGCATAAGATAACCTTGGAGACCAACGGCAGTATAAATTGCACTTGTTTTGGTTCTAATTCCAGTTAGTGAATCGCCTGGTTTAAGAAAAACCCAACCACATATAATACTCAACAATATTGCTTCTAATATAAGTGAAAGCTGTGTTATTGGATCTCTTAATGATAGCAAAAAAGTCCTTTTTGTTAAAACAGATATTTCTCTCAAGAATCCTGCTTTTTGAATTGTTTGATTTGGATCAACATTGTAAGTTGACTCATTTGGTACAAATGGTGCCTCCTCAACAATTTTGTCATTAGAATTAAATAAAGCTTTTTGTTCAAATAATTTCCATTGTTCAACTAAAAAAGAAAGCCTTTCTCGTGTTTTTTTTTCATCAACTGGATTTCTCTTATCAACACTGATTGAATCAATCAAGTAATCTGGTATATTTGAGTTTTTGGGAGGTTGGAAGCCCAAATTTTGAAAATAACTTAGGATATCTGTTGAATGAATAGAGTCATTAGACTCATTTCTGAGATTATCTTTAACGATAGAGTTATTTGATATTCCTAATAGTCCTTTATAACAATATACAGGATAGCCCTCTGATAGTAAACAAATGTAATCAAATTCCTCAAATATATCAGCTCTTGGTTGATGAAGACTCATTATTATTGTTCTTCCACTTTTTGATAGTTTTTTTAATGTTAGTATTACTTGCAAAGCAGAAAAAGAATCTAACCCAGTCGTTGGCTCATCTAAAAATAATAAGGAAGGGTTGGAAAGCAACTGGATTCCAATCGAAAGTCGTCTTTTTTCACCACCAGATAATCCTTTATGAGCTGAGTTTCCAACCAAAGTATTAGCGCAATCTTTTAATCCCAACTCAAGAATAATTTGATTTACAAATTTTTTTCTTTCTGCTTGAGATATAGATGAAGTTAATCTTAAATCAGCAGCATATTGAAGAGTTTCAATTGCTGTTAAATCGGATAGCAAGATGTCTTGCTGAATAACGTAGGAATGGTTGATTGAGGAAAAATTAAAAATGTTATCATAATCATCAGCATAAATTATCTTTCCTGTCTGAATTAAATTTGAAGTTGTTCTATTTGATAAGATGTTTAGCAAAGTAGTTTTCCCAGAGCCTGAACCACCTAATATTGCCATTAAGCTGCCACTGGGTAACTGAAAAGACACATTTTTTATTAATTCCACAGGATCTTTTCCCTTTTTTGTTTTAGCTGAAACAGTCAAATCCGTTACAGAAACATTTACTTTTTTAATATTCCAATTTTGAGAAGACCATATAGGAATCAATGACATCTTAACAACAAAAATATAAAAGAGAAAACCAAGTTGTAGAGGAATAAATGTCCAAGTAGTAAAGAATTAGAAGTCTTTTGGAGGTAACTGATCATAATGTTAACGCTATTTTGTAAACTATATCGGCATAAAATAAACTTGTATCTGAATATACAACCAACAAATGAAAGCAAAATAAGTCAAAGCGCTAAACCTTAATGGAATAGAATTATCTTCAGGCTTCCAGTAAGAGATTTCGTCTGATTGGGCTACACAGTTTTTAATTGCGAACGTTTATTCGTTAATCGTTTATTTTCTACCTAAAATCCCCAACAGTCATTTGTTAGCAATAACGGACAAATTAAAAAACCCCAAAAAGCTGAGAAAAACATGGCAGAATCATAATATTGAAACAACTCAGATTTTATCTTGTTCTTTAGGTTACGGAGCTTAGATGTTTTTGCAAAATAAACAGTTAGTAATAGAAAAACCCAGACTGAATTCTTTCCGCCGAAGCCGTTAGGCTATGTATTTCAAACTAACAAAAATATGTAAAATCGCTGTAAACATGAGCAACCATCCAAATCCACACTTTGTTTGGGTTTGCAGCAGAAAATATAAAGCCGAAACCCACTTGATGTGGGGGCATTTTCTTAAAATGATAGTTCCCATAAAACCTATATCTTTCACAATTTGCTCTTTTCGATAACTAAAGCTCTTAAGTGATTACAATCAAAAAGCAGTATGTCATCACGGACCAAAAAACTCTCGTAAAATGAGCAGAAAATAAAAGCAGCAGATGATTAGTCCGTTGGTTTAAGTTTTTGGCAGATAGTCTGCAAGATCAAGAATCTGCTAATGCAAACCTGCAGTTGTATGTAGGCTAATTGCTTTTTTTTATTGTTCAGTTCATCTAAAGCGAACCCTTTATTAATGGCAGTCAGGTTTATTAAATTTTTTTACATTATAGATTTGCTATACTAATATTATTTATTAAAATTAATAAATATTCAAATAAAATCTATTTCAGATATGAAAAAATATTTACTTTAACCGAAATTAATTCATTAGAAATTATTTTGTTATAATAACTTTATTTTTTATGTTTATTTTATTAGAATACACAATAAATATTGAATATAAAATTTTAGAAATATTGATAAACTATACAATAAAACAAACAAAATTTAGCGTTATGATTACCCAATAAGTTTACAACTATAACTTAGGTTTTAATTTTTTATCTTCCATGTCAGGTTTATCATTTAATGTCCACTCATTTACCCTTTTTAAAATTTCAGCATAATTCTTGCCAAATGACCAATCGAAAGATCCAAAACTAGATAAAATCTGATTTTTAATATTTCTTTTAGATCTCAAGCCTTCTTTTAATCCATTCAAGTCATCAAGATCATACTTCAAAGATTTAAGTTTATTGTCCCAACTAAATATATTATGTAACATCCATTTATCAAATTTAAAATTTTTATCACCAGTCTCTAAAAATAACAATTCGTCAGGTAATTCAAAATCTTTTGGATCATCTATATTATTTATTTTGTAATTTTCATCGGCTTTGATTCCTTCAACAAGCTCCTTGGTAAATCTTCCCAATACAGGAAAAAACTTGAATGCATGACCTGATCCTCCAGTTGTGACAATCAAGTTTTTAGTATTAGGAACATAATCAAATAAAAAATCATTATTAATTGTGTCTGTGTACCATAGCAATCTTGTTGCAATTATTTTCACTCTTGGTTCGAGAACTAGATCGGGGCATGCAATAGTCAAAAACTTTTTAATTTGTTTTAAATTATATTTAACAATTCTTTTTTCAAAAAATGGGCCAGAATTTGAAGTGAGTGGGATTGAAACAACTCTATCATCGTCATTATTATTAGAATTTTTGACAATTTGAGGATTTGTATATTTGATTTGACGAGTCAAAATTTTAATGATTCCTTTCTCTGGTTTTTTTAAATTTGTTTTAAAGCCAGTAATAGTATCATCTTGTATCCCTTTTCCATAATTTTCGTACAAATAACAAGGAAATAAACCAAACCCTCCAAGATACTCTTTTTCCCTTGAATGACCCATTTTCCAACTAACAATTGGAAAATTTTCAGGAGAATACTTGTGAATTAGGTCTTGTCTTTCTTGGGGAACTTCTAATACAACAACAGTTCCAGAAGTGGCTTCATTGATTCCATCTAATTGAGGAATAAATTTTGTTGACCATGGACCAGCAGCCATAATAACCAAATCACCTTTGTATTTTAATTTATCTTTGGTAATAATACCTGTTACTAAAGAAGGATCAATCTTTGAGTAAACTAGCTCTTGAATAAAACCCTTTTCATTTCCTAAAATAAATTTGACGTTGAGTTTTTCACACAAATATTTACAATAAATACAAGCATTTGAAGCATAAAGGAGACCACCAGTTGAGTCTAAAACACCACTCAAGTACTTGACTTTGTTTCTTTCCTTCAACCCTAATGGGTCAAGCTTCTTAAACCAGCCAGTTGCTTTTGCTCTTTTAATGTCGTCTTTATTATTCAAGTCATATTGAGTGGCTCTTAAATTTTCTCTGGAAAAACTTTTAAGATTTTCTTTTTCTTCTGGTGGATTACCAGGAACATCATCCAACCTTAAAATGCCACATCTTTCAAAAATCTTCGGATTTGAATTGAACTGATTTAATAATTCTTTTGGAATATTAAATTTAACTTGTTTATTCCAATTTTCCCAGATTTCACTAGCTTCAAAAGCCAATTTTTGATAATGAATTTTATCAGCATAAAAAATTCTAAAATATTTATTAATATCAGCGGAAGCCGTATCTGCTCCCTCCAAAAAGGTATAATTAATTTGATTAAAATCGAGGCGATCGAAAACTTTGATATTTCTATAACCGGCTTCAGCTAGATGAAGAGCAGATGATAAACCGAAAATACCTGCACCAATTATGATGATTTTAGAATCCTTAGAGAAGGGTTTTTCCATATTATAACGACCTTGTTAATTTAATAGAAGCTCAAAAACAGAAAAAATAAAATCAACTTTTTCTGTGATCGATATTTGCCGATTAATTTATAGCCTACTAATTGAGAATAACTATACTAGTATTTCAAAACCAATAGAAAATAATTTTTTTAAAAGCCAATTAAAAGAAAAGAAGTAATAAGTATTTCACATGTCTGTAACAAGTAAAGTCAGTTAATAAAATTAAATTGACAAATCAAAACAGTGAAATTCATCAACAATTATTACCATTATTTTTTAAACATAGTTATCAAAAAAATAAGAGTCTAAAGAATTCTTAAAAGTGAAATTCCGATATTTGAGTAACAAAAAGATAATATTCGTTGAATTGTATTGAGACATTAAAGAAGTATTGAGTTCGATAGCCGACCCCAAAAAGGAAAGTCCTACGGCTTATCTCATCAATTAGTCATCTTTGTTTGAGCCATATGAAGAAATACAATTTTTTTGTTTTGTTCTTCAAACTTTTTGAAGAATAAAACAAGGGATTAAAAGGTACAAAATGGAAGCACAAATGCTTTGCTTTTCACTCTAGTAACTTTGAAAATTACAAAGTAAAACATAAGGAACATTCACTTTCAACAACAACACAGTGCAAAATTGATATGCCAGAATTTTTGCTTAGTCAACGTATTGCAGTTATCACAATTTATTCAGTGCATGATTTATTAATTTCTGATTGTGTATTTTCTATCTACTCAAATGATTTACTCACTTTTCATCCATTTACCACTAAGATTATGTCCCCACTCAAATATAACTTAACTAGATAAAAGGCGTTAATTAGCTTAAAATTTAAATTTCAGTTTTCTTTAATTTCCATGTTTATACCAAACTTTTCCATTAAACTTTGGGTTTAATTTTTTCTTAATACTTTTTAGTCTAATAATTATGAATTTGAACGTTTTTCTGTTGTTTGTTTGTTTGTTGTACAAATTTTTGTTATTTCATTTCACATAAATTTGTTCCTTTGCAGACACAATATAGTTTGCAATACACACACATTAAATACAAAAAAATAACCTGGTTACTCTATAGTTCAAGCATCATCAATTTGGCAAAACTGAGAGTTGTGCTTATGGTGCAATCTGAGAAAGAGCACTTAATAGCTTTTTTTCCAGAATGCCTGATAGTACATGTATTTTCTTTCTCAATAAGAGTGTATTTATCGACTGAACAGACTGAACACAGAAAGCTTAATTCCCAGCACAAAAGTCTTAAACCGTGTGTTCATGCAGGGAATAAGCTCCATTTAAACTTCCAAGAACATGTTTTTGTGAACACACCGTCCCGTTAAAAAAGATTGGATCGTAGCATTGTGATAGCGGGACACAAAGAAAAAGTTTGGCTTGGGTGAAAAGAAAGAACCAAAAACAGACTTACTGCAAAAACACTCACTGCAAAAGAGCATTGAGCAGAGAATCAGCAAAACAATTCATTTATAAGGTTATGATCTCGATTTTGAAATAACATAAATGAAATAGCGTATAGTTGTAGATGAACTGAGCTATATCTCTTGATTATTTCTCTTTTTTTTCGCTAAATTTCATACTATAAAGCATCAAACTAGGTAATTCAACTTGAAAACAGAAAATGTGGAAATCAAATAATTGATTTAATACTTTTATATAAAATAAAAGTAGTAAAACAATTAATAAAAGAACTACTGGATAAATTTATTTGAACTAAAGTTCAAAACTATGCGTTAATTGCATTACAAAAATTGATGTTCTACCACTGAGACTTTTCTTTAATCTAAAAATAATCAAGGATTTTAATCATATCTCAGTTGAAAACAACTTGCATGTTATTGAATTAATATACTTTTTGAAGTTTTATACTTATTAAGGAATTTTTTGTTTGAAATAGGTGATATTAGAGGCAGTAATGGTTGGCACAAAAAATACTAGCTACTATTCAATTAAATACGATATTCAAAGAATCTTTTGAATTGGAATTGAAATTAGACCTAGAACTGGAATTTGATTTGTAAAAATTTTTGTTGTTTAATTAGATAATGCCAAATTTACTTTTCTGCTTCAAAAATAATATAACGATTATTGATTGGAAATTATCAAATTATGAACTTATCAGTGACTTTGATTGAACTCACATTTGAGGCGGATTATCTCATAATTCTATTCAATAGTTATCGGATATTTTTAAGCTTTAAATATTTTACTACAGACTTAAAAGTTGAGAAATTAATTAGAATTTGAAATTGCATGGTTGAACCTATTTTCTCAATCCTATAATTTGTCACATATAGTATTGTGGAAAACCAACAATATTAATCACAGATCCGATCACTAGCCCAGCAAAACTAATTTAAAACAAGTCCCCCAAACCAGCTTAGCTCAAAAATAGAAACCTAGAACTTCCATTTAATACATCCATTTATCAATAGTTCTTGATGATCTTTTTACATTTAATCGTCGATGCAACTTCTTTGTTATTGTGATCACCGAAAATATATTTCCAAAATCCCGTCCAATCAGATCAAAGACCAGCAAATCGCTTTTCGACATAACCCAATATCTAATCAACACTGTATACTCGTCTCAAAAAATAAGACACTGGTTAACTGTATATTTTGTTTTAAGGCTGCCTTGGCTAATAAATCTCTTATCTTATTCATGGCTCTTACTGGGTTTTTTTAAGTCAACACAACTATGTTGCGAATTTTTAATTATCTCAAAGACTATACTTAGAGACCAAGCAATAGAATATCATAATTTGAACCCTTTGGGCAACAAAACTCTCAAAACAATGTATTCTATAATGTTCATTTTCAGCTATATTTTCCAACGAGATAACATTTTCAAGTGTTAAAATTTGGTTATCAGTGCTCAAATAATTCAAATTCAAACAACTCATTCAAAAACCTTTAAGATTCTGAAATGGATAGATGATAATTAAACTGTTTGTTCTTTGCTTATATAAATACCTCTAGTTAATCTCTAATTCAAAGAGTTAGTTTTTTTTATAGCTCCAATAATATTATTCTAGCTGAATAATACCACTGTTTTTTTGTTTTTTTTTGGCTTTTACACATACTTAAAGCTTAGGTTTAATATCATTAATTTTTAAAACTTAAAATGGTGGCAGAAATTGATGAAAAATTAATAGCAGAAGTTGATGCAAACCACATCAACTCTCTGGATGATTTGGAACAGGACCAAGCAATAAAATGTGTTGTTTCTTTACATGGTAGAAAGATCAATTTTAGAGCAAAAGATATGGATGAAGCTATGCAATATGCCGAAGAGTCCAAAGGGATTGATTACACTGAAGAAGAAGATAGAAAGCTTGTCAGAAAACTAGATTGGTATATTTTACCTTTGGTAGTTGCTTTAATGTCTTGTCAATTGATGGATAAGACAACAAACTCTTATGCTTCGATTATGGGTTTGAAAGATGATTTGAAAATGGTTGGTGATCAATATTCATGGGTTGGTTCATCCTTTTATTTTGGTTATTTATTTGCTCAATTTCCTATTAACTACCTTTTACAAAGATTTCCCCTATCAAAAACACTAGGCATTGTAGTTTTTATTTGGGGTGTTATCTTAATGTGTCATGCTGCTTGTTACTCATATGCCCCATTTATTGTTTGTCGTGTTTTATTAGGTTGTTGTGAAGCTTCTATGGATCCTGCCTATATTCTTTTAACCTCACAATACTGGAAAAAAAGCGAACACTTTATGAGAACTGGTATTTGGTTTGGATTTCAAGGTTTTGGTACAATTTTAGGCGCGGGTATTTCTTATGGTTTAGCAACTCATAAAGATAGCTACTCTCTACCTGCTTGGAGATTATTATACATTATCACTGGTGTAATTACTATTTTCCTTGCTATTATCTCTATCTTTCATGTTCCTGATATTCCAACAAAGGCTTGGTTTTTAAATGAAAGAGAAAAAATGATTGTTGTTGATAGAATCAGAGACAATCAACAAGGCTTCAAAACCAAAGCTTTCAAATTATACCAAGTCAAGGAAGCATTTCTTGATACCAAAACATACCTATTGTTTGTCTATTTCTTTACTTATGGTTTAGCAAATGGTGGATTTAATAACTTTGGTTCAATTCTATTGCATGAAGATTTTGGTTTTAGCTCAACTACTGCACTATTGATGAACATGCCTGGTGGTGCTATTGATATCATTTTCCCTCCAATTTTTTCCTACTTGGATATCTATGTTCTTCACAGTAGAATGGCTGTAGCCGAGATTACAACTGGTATATCTTTAACAGGTATTTGTATGCTAGCATTTTGCGATAAGAAAGCTCCTCGATTGGTTGGTTATTACTGTTTCTATGTTGCGACTGTTACATTTGCCATTTTAGCATCCAATGTTTCTTCCAACGTTGCAGGTTATACCAAAAAAATTATTGTAAATGCAGTATTCTTAATTGGTTATGCCACTGGCAATATTTGTGGTCCTCAGACTTTTATAACTTCACAGGGACCAAGCTACTATGGTGCCAAAACGGCTATGGTTGTTGGTTTCACTACTGCGTTTATTGTTATTGGTATTATGTGGGCTATGGATTTCTTTGAAAATAAAAAAAGAGACAAGATTAAAGCTGAACTTGGTGAAAAGTATGTCAAAGTTGAAAATTCAGAATTTTTAGATTTGACTGATAAAGAAAACCCAGAGTTTAGATACTCTCTTTGAATTTCCATCTTTTTATTTTGGCGTTTATTAGACTTTCTGAAATCATTTTACTTTCACTTTCACTTTTATTTTTTATTTCATGATTATATATAAAAATATAAAGATGCAATCAATTTTTATTGTCAATCAAAAAGGAATAGTTCAGTTTATTCAAAAAGAACAACGTGGTTTAACAATAGCATTCAACATTCAACATTCAACATTAAAATTTTATCAATGGTTTTCCAAATTTTTTTAATTCATGTTGTTTATTGTACTTTTTGTTACTATTATAGGTATTCCAAGTATTATAACCCCAGTTGCTTTGAGTGGAGAAAGTACTAGTGTCCCAATCATTAAGTGGATATCCATTTTTTAATCTATTTACTAAATCAGGATTAGATATAAATGGAGTTCCAATACCTATCAAAGTTCTTTCATCTTTGTCCTTTGCCAAATCTTTTTTTAGTAAATCATATTCTGGTTCGTCCCAGTAATATGCATTAGTTCTTATAACTATTCCTTTCCAATGTTTCAAGCACCAATCATTCAGAACTAACCTATCCAAAGGTTTGTTGAATTTTTTGTAATCATTAGGACCACCGTTAATATGAGACTCAATCATTGAAATATAAGCAATTTTTTTTCCATTATCTGCCATTTTTTGTAGTTTCTTAAGAATATAAACATATTGGTCAATTAATATTTGAGGATTTGGATGATGCAAACCTGGCATTCCACCACCAGTACTCCAAGGAGATAATCTAAGCCCAATTTTATCGTAACCAATTTTTTCACCAATTCCACCGATAATTTCGAAAAGTAATCTTGAACGATTCACAATGTCTGAACCTCCATATAAGTCATCCCTTTTATTAGAAACTTCTTGAAGAAATTGATCTAGTAAGTAGCCATAGCATGAATGGATTTCGATTCCATCAGCACCAGCTTTATCACAACAATTTATAGATGCCTGGATAAAATTGTCTTTTATTTTATATATTTCTTCAATAGTTAGTTCTTTTAGTTCGTTGCCTGATCTCTTTGCTAGTTCTAAATAATCATTGAAATATATTTTGGATGGTGCTTTATATTCTATTCCCTTTTCTTTTAATAATTTTGGGTTGGCTAATCTCCCAATTCCCCAGAGTTGAATAAAAATAAAAGACTTGTTCTGATGGACTTTCTGAACAATCATCTTCCAGGATTTTATTTGATCACTAGAATAAATACCAGGAATATATGGTTCTCCACCAACTTCTTTAGAGACCAAAGTAGCTTCAGCTATTATCAATGTGCCAGGATATTTTGATCTATCATTGTAATTGGTTAGCATTAAATCAGTTGGAACAGCATCTCTACCAACTCTGTTTCTAGTTAGAGGAGCCATTACTATTCGATGTTGCAAATTGATTTCATTTCCAAAACTTATTGGCTTGAATAAAACAGTATCTTCAAACATTATCCTATAATCATTTAACAAATTAGCTAGATTACAATGTGGTTGTCAGTGATTCCAAAAAACAAACAATTGCAAAAAAAAGAAATTAATAGTGGTAGTTATATTCAAATTTCTAACCCTATTGGCCACATTGCAAAGTGATTTATGGGATTAAAGTATTTTTTATCACTAACCTTCTGTACAATTTAAACTGTTAGAAAGTTCACACTCTTGTGAACACTTGATCAATGCAAAAGACTCAATTGTGTATCATTTCCATCTCCATCCTGTTCTTCAAAAACATACAACAGTTCAGCATTGAAGTTTGAGACAGATTTGATTCTTTCAAATGGATTACAAAGCTTTTTGCGCTCTAAAAATGCATAAAGCAGCAAATCCCCCTCAATAACCGATATCCATTTGCTAGAATTCGCTAGACTTCAGCAGGGTGTTTGTGAAAGAAAGCGAACTGCGTCCCAAATACCAGCATGAGCCCACAGCTCTCAGTGTATATATTTGATTTACTAGCACCATCAATGTTAAAGAGACTATATATTAGTCAAGAACTGTATATATATTTTGTCAAAATCAAATGAACCACAAACCAATAGTCAGATAGAACTAGATAACTAATTTGGTTATATAAGTCAAATAGGAATCTCTGCTATACAACTCAGCCTCGGTAATAATAGCCTTGATGCTTGTTGAAATCGTCGTATCTCTTGATACCACTTTCTACTTCTAGAGCTAATTCAACGTTTCAATTGTTGATCGTCTCTAAGGCAAACAAGATTACATTGTTGCATCTATTGATTTTATAAGAGACCTTTTACTTAGCTCAGGTTTCAGGCTCTTTATGGATAGTTGGTCATTTTTGCTTATAGCCCTAATTATTCTATTGAAAATAGGCATTTTGATTTTGATTTTGGTTTTGATTTTTATTTCAATTAAATAAATTTTTTTCAGTTAAATGAGCTTTTTCTGTTCTGTGGTTAATTTGTTACTGTTGTTCAGTTTAATTCAGTAAGTAAGTTGAACAATGTTGGTCACGTTGTTGAATGTTTTTTTCTCAATGCAAAATGATTTTTCACATCTCAGACTTTTTGGAACATCTGTGCGAATCGCTTATTCCATCCGTACGTTGCTCATCCGTATGTTACCTATCCGTACATCGGATACGGATAACGCTTGCTATAAATAGTCCGACACGTCCGCTCGCTAAACGAAAATGTTGTAGCAAATCCATGATAATATATTAAGGTAGAGAAGTATATAAAAAAAGAAACAACCATCAAGCGCTCCCAGCCCCCTTTTTATAGGGGACTGGGTTACATCCCAGAGGGTAACGAGAGCAGACCGGCAACAGATGCCGGTAGACCGGTAGTAATCCAATTGGGACATCCGGCTGCCTCACAACACTATAGCTTTTACCAAAAACGGCATGAATAATTTTTGCATTTTCAAGTTCTTGAACTGAAATAATGTTAATATTAGGTGGCGGAGAATCTAATATCGATTCGTATATGAAATTGGTTGTAGCTCTGGTGTTAAAAAGAAGGGAAGCATCTCTTCCATCGTTAGTTGATAAAATAATATCACTGTTGGTTGAAGTTGCTAAAGCATCATCGCAAAGCATTTTACGGAATGCTTCTGTTGCGAGGCAGTCGGATATTCCAATTGGATCACTATAACAATAAATTCACTACAACAAGGTTGAGACCGAAACTAGAGATCCAGCCACTTTAAAACAAATAATACCATCAGTTAGTTGGATTACATGTCCCAGATAGGAACCAAAGAGTTGCTTACAAACGGCTTTCTAATTCGGTCAATTTCCAAAACCGGAAGGGAATGATATGTGAGGAACTTTACAGAGTGATGCATGAGTAACTGTTGAAAGTGTTACCAGAATTTCCATATAATTATCTTCAAAAATTTACTCAACATAACCAAACAATTCCTTATTACTCTCAATCCAGAAACTGTACCCCAAATAACCCAAAGAACCACTACAATTAATATTTCTAGTAGTTTGTATCCTATACACATCATAATTTCATTAATATAATCACTTTCATTCATTAGATCATTTTTGTTACTGTTTGTTTTCTTTGCTTTTTTTGCAACTTTTATCTCTCCCTTAAATTCTTCAGAGTTATAACCTGGGTAGAACCCAAAATTAGTGGTAGATAATATATTATTTTCGATTATTTCATTAATTTCTTTTACCCTTTTACTTAGTGATGTATTTATTTCAACAATCATTCTATCCGAATTCGATAAAATAACATCTAACAGTGGGTTGAGTTTATTCAAAAATTTAGTTTTGATCAGATCTAATTTAGCAATTTTATAGCTCAAATTCAAATCATTGTTTGGGATTATAGTTTTTTTGATTTTTTGCGAATCATTGTTAATCAAATTAAATTTATCATTAATTAAATTTTTTTTAAGAAGCCTTTTCAATAGCTTTTCTTCAACATCCGCATGATTAAAGCACACTTTGAAATTTCCATTAATACATTTAAAATCTTTCACAAATTCGTTTAACTGAAAGTTAATACTTGGACCAATATATGGTTTTTCATTGTTTAATTTTGTAGATTTGTTATAATTGTTATGTTTTTTAGCCAATACTTCAAAATTATGATTAAATAATAATGATTTTGAATTTTTCAAACTCATTGGCCTTTCAACAATATTCAGTAAATGGCTTTTATGAGCCGCACTTTCACCCTCATTTGAGTAATGACTTTGATTTCTATCTTTGAAGTCAACACCAGCAGCATCTATTTCGGTAACAATAAGGTTAGCATTAGAATCATTAAAATTGATCTTTGTATTGTTGTTCATAATAGTAGTTTTCAAAAAAGATGGTTGGTTTTCTCTCTCATGTTCATAATTATGATAGTGCAGTGGCATTGAATTTAAATTGATGTTTAATGATACAATATTAGTTTCTTTATTATCAATCAAATTTGTTCCAGATGACTTTTTTTGTTGAGAAATATTGTCGTTTGATTGAATGGGAAGACTTGAATGAGAACATTCAATGGTAATATCTTTATCATTATTTTCTTTGTATAAGTGTTTAAAGATATCATTTTTATTTTCTAAATGACTATCACTGAAATCACTTTCTGATGGAAAATTATTAACAGGTTTGCATTTTATTAAAGGGTTTGAATTAAAAAAGTTTTCTGATTCGATTCTTTTTTTGTGAGATTTAATTGAAGGCAAATTGTCAAATTTTGATTTCAGAGTTGAATTTGGAGAATTTGATTTGTTAAACCGAATAATAGAGTTGAACTGAGAGGATGAGTTTGAGTTAGACAATGAAGATATAGAATTGTTAGAATTATATGATTTGTTACTTTTTGAATTTTTTATAATTGGTAGGTTTAAATTTGAAAAGCCAAAAGGATGATATTCCAACTGAACTTCTTTGTAGTGAATATCAATTGATGGAAATAGTAAATTACCAGTTGAATTTTTTAAAAGATTCAAATGGGAGTTTCTCCACATAAAATCTAGAATAATTTCAAACAATTGAATTTCCCACAAAAATTGATTTGATTGATAAATTTTAATACTTTTGGATAGCTTTTTCTTAGCTTGATTGTTTACGGAATTATCACTATATTCAATATTTGATTGGTTGGTTTGCGCATTCTTAGTTTGATTTGAATAACGTTTTGATAAGAAAGTGGAAGGTAGAGGTATCTTTTTGATTTTAAAGCTTAATTTGATATACTGGCCCAATTGTTTTAACTGATTGATTTCAGTGGATTGATTGAATTGATTGGTTTGATATTCAATTAAAGAGTGTCTTACTAATCTATTTCGAATTATTTGAAGTGGATTATAAACTTTTATCAAGTCAAGATTACAGTTATAGTCATTAATTAAATTTTCTACTGGAAAACATTGATAGTTTTCAATATAAGTATAATATAAGGATAGGTAGTTTTTAACCAATCTTGCTCTTTTGAATGTGTTTTTGCTAATGGTTAAACTTTTATTATTGCTATTCTTACAACTTTTATTATTGGACTTCTTACTTTTATATTTGCTATCATATTTGCTATCATTCGAGTTGTTTGAAGAAGTAATATTATGAATTATAGTGTTGATTGTTTGAGTAAAGCCCACTGGATTAAATCTTAATAAATTGGTGTCTGTATCATAAGAGCTTTTGTCATTAGTGTTATTGATGCTTCCATAAAGAGAGCCAGTAACACCATAATTAAGATCCTCGGTATCAATGTCACCATCGCTGTCAGCAATATCCAAATAAAGATCATGATTTGAAAACCTATTAGTGAGTAAATTTGCTCTAGTGTCCACAAAAGAACTGGATATTTTGTTAAACTGAGAAATATTTTCTTTTGAATAGTACTCGTTGTCGTTATTCTGGGTATTATTAGCTGTAGTGTTCTTGGTTACATCAGTGTTAACATTCTGGTTGTCATATCGAGAGGGATAGAGAGAAAAGCTTTCGTCAGTACTCTGGTTCAGATATTTCGAAAAGGGATTGTTTGAAAAAGAAAAATCAGAGGAAACAGAAAAGTTATTGGAGGTCATTCCAGTGATATAAAAAGAAGAGAAGGCGCTTCTGGTACAGATTCTGGCGATGTTGGCGCTGCTTGTGCTGAGAGAAGAGGTTGCTCTTTTGAAGAAGCTTCAACAGTCTCCGTCCCACGGACTGCCACCGAAAGCACGGAATTTTGCTGCCACTTAGGCCGAGGTTGTCGGTTTGTAGTCCGGCAATGGGACTACAAAATAATTACGGGAGAATCGATCCGAAAAATTAGTGTACAAACAATAGATAAAAGAAATAAAGACCAGTGATAAAACAAACAGACAATTAGCAAGTGGATGAAAAAACTAAAAACGAGCAGATAAGGTATAACAAAATTAAAGTCCAAAAAACAAGCGTCGCAAAACACCAAACAACCCTATTAGAATTTCAATAGCGATTTTTCACTGATTATCAGGGTTTGCTACTTTCAATTGAGGCCTTGAATATTCATCAGGTGGGAGGCTACCTAGGGAGTTTCTACTACTGTATTCATCTGTAGGCATGTTGTGAGAATTTCCAACAATTCCTGCATTTGCTCTGGGGTCGGAAAATGGATCTACAAAAGTAAACTCGTTGGGATTGTTGTTGAAACCGTTATGAAAATCTGGAGAGACATTATTATTGTTATGATTATAATTCAGACTGCCATTATTATTATTAGCAATTGGGCTGTTGTTGAAATTATTATTATTTTGAGGCACAAAATTATCATTAACAAAATTTATATTGTTATTATTATTATTGTTGTTATTGTTGTTGTTGTTGTTATTATTATTGAAATTATCGTTGATAATCATGTCTTTTCCATTATTCATTGTATTATTAGGGATGTTATTATTAGAAGTGTTAAGATTGTGATTGTGATTGATATTGTTGTTATTAAAATTCGATGGGGGTGGAGGAGGTAATATGATTCCATCATCATCATCAGCTCCAAGACGATTATTGTCACTTCGCTTTATTGTTGCAATAATATTGGCATCGGCATCTATAAGTTCTTTATCCTTTTGTCTTCTTCTCCTAATAAAATATATTGCACACAAGATGGCAGCAAGAGCTACGACTCCCCCACAGACACCTCCAACGATAGGACCAATTAATTTAGATTTAGAACTACCGCTATCGTTTTCATCAGATACTGTGGTCACAATGGAGGTTGTTATTGAAGTTTTCGAGTAAGTAACATAAACGACTTGGGTTCCACCTGAGGTGGTTATCTGGGTAGTCAAAAAATAAACTGTAGATTGAGAATTAGACGTCAGTATTTCATTTTCTGAAACATCTGGTGATTCTGAATCTGTGCTTGTATCCGTTGAAGTATCACTAGTGGAAGTGATCGTCGAAGTATCAGAAGAAGCTTCAGCAGATAAATCACCATATATCTCAAAAGAATCTGAACCACCACATGTAATCGTCCCATATCCAGTACATGGACTGGTGCATGTGCCATCAGCAGATATAGATGGACCACTATTTCCACAATAGCACTGGTTGCCATTCGTGAGAGCATAAAAAGGATAATCCTGACATTGCTGTTCACAGTAACTTGGAGTTTGATAAGTGTAGGTTCCTCTCGAAACGTAGCCAGAAGGTAAAGAAGAATAGCACCCTAAACCAGAGTAGGTATAAACAGCAAAAGAAAAATTAAACAAGTTTAATAAAATAAATGCCGATATTAGCCTTGTAAAATCAAATTTAACTTTGTATGGAACTAAATGAAAGCACAGCATTTTCCTTTGATATTTAGACAAAAAATCCAAAGGAATAGATAGTTGATTAGAAAGATCAGATTGAAAAGATATTGGAATTATGCAAGAGAATATTTGGTGCTAGAGATGCTGTTGGTTTGGATCTGGTAAGTCAGAAAAATAAAAAAAAACAAAATATAATAATTCTAAAGCAAAACGTTGCAAAACGTTGCAAAATTTAATTTTTAGATAAAACAAGGAACAGAATCAGCTTCTATTAACCATAAGATAATTATGGGTAAAGGATAAAAGTGGGTGGATGAAACGTACAATGTATGTGTATTGATCCAAAAAACAAAACGGAAAAACAGACAGGACAAAAATAAAGAACAATCAGCTAAGATATTCTCAACCCAGTAACCTTTAACAACAGAAACCACAATAGACAAGTGGATGAAACAGCAGACAATCAGAGCTAATACAACAACCTGAAGCAGTTAAGAATAGAAAATCAGTGATGCAAAACGAAGAGTAAAAAAGACCCAGCAGGAAAAGCAACTTGACACTCTCCTCTTAGACGAAAGATGTCGTCTTTTCGTACCTGAAACACGCGGGTGTATGCGTGAAAACGCGGGTTGTATTAAGCTGTCTTAGAGCGTCCACGTGCGTCTACGTGCCATAAAGCATGTCTGTCGTTACCCGGCTTTTTGGATGCCTAAGCCCAATAGTTCACGAAGCCTATTATTGTATGTTTCCAGCTTCCTTATTTTCCAGTTAGGAGGAATTTTACATCAAGTTTTTTATTACTGACCTGAAAAATTAATGCTGTCCCTTCAGAATTCCTTTACATAAATATTACATTTCTTTTGCCCATTACACAGCTTTGTCAAGAAGATAGTTCGTTGCTGCTTCCAAATCTCCTTTATATTTTTTTAAAGATCGAATTGCTTCGTCTTTTGGAAACCCCATTCCAATCAACTCTTGTACAGAAAATTCTTCTTCTGCGCTTCCAAGCTCTTTGTTCACTTTTCCATTAAAGCTTGTTTTCAAATTGGAAGGGATGTCGGATTTCGGATCTCTCGAAAATCCTCCAACAAAATCACTGTTTTCATTTTTGCGGCCTCCATTATTCAAACTATTGCTTCTTACTGTGCTTATTATGGAATTGTTCAAACCAGCACTCTTTTCAACACCTGGTTCATTATCCAATCCCATGAATAGTTGGTCCCACTCATTATTGGACATATTATTCTTAGTAGTAATCCCAACAGAGTCTGCAGCTGGCTTTTTAGCCTCGTGTGCTACATTTTCATAAAAATCATCTGAAAAATCACTAAATCCCCTTTTTGTAACTTCATTCTTAAAAAATTCATTTTCATCGTCATCGCTCTCTTCAAGTTTGGCTTTCTCTAATCCCTTAAACTCGTCTTGAAACAAATCCGTTTTGCTATCTGTTTTTTTTTTGTCAATACCAACAGTTTTATTATCCTCATTTGAAAAATCAAAGAATGAGCTAGAAAACTCCTCAGAAAATCCCACTGGCTTTACAGAGTTATTTCCAAGAGGATGTTGATCAAAAATCGAATCAAAATCATCAAATGCTGTCTTAATACCTTCCTCAGACTCTTTTGATTTTAGGTCTTTTTCAACAATAGTCGGTTGCATGTTGTTAAATGCATGGTCAAAATCAGATCCAAAATTGGGATTAAAGTCAAAATCATTCTTGTTTTTACTGTCATTCACAGAATTACCAAACAAGTCACTTTTCAAAACTGCGTTCTTTTCAGAAGGGATTTCGGGGGAAGAGAAATTCTTATCAGCTTTATTTACTTCTGTAAATGATTTATCAAACTCCAACGAATCGGTTTTTATAGTATTTTTTGGTTTTTCAGTTGGAGTGATCGTTAAATCTGAAAATTGCTGTTCAAAACCATCAACTTCCTTAATATTAGGAATAGGTTTTGTGTGCTTGTCCGAAATTGAATTTGAAAAAAAAGCATCCTTGCCTGATTTATCAAAATTATCATTCATGGGTGTTTTGAATACACTTTGGTCGTCATCTGAGCTGGAATAATCATCGCCATTCTCCAACTCTTGAATTGGGGGAAACTCTTCGTCAAATTTAAAATTGGAAGATTTCAACCCATCAAATTTACTGCCACTCTGTTTCGACATATTTTCCACGTTTGAAGTTAACAGATCATTGTTGGCTGGATTTTCTTGATTTTTCTTAGTTTTATCATCTGAAATGTCTTTCAAACCAACAATCTCGTATGAATCTTCACTTGATGACCCAGTTGTGTGGTTTTTAATGGTAGCAGGTTGCGGAGTAGACATAGGGTTAATATGTGAAATCTCCATCTCTTGCTCAAATCCTCTGGGGTGCCTTTCAGGCAAAGTATCTGAAGTGCTTTCCGATTTTTTCTCAATTGTACTAGAAGCAGAACTAGACCTGCTATTTGTGTCATCATCTCGAACTGACATAGGTGCGTTGTTTTGAATAGAGGAAGTGATTGATTCAGGTCTGGGGAAAGGCAAACTAATAACTGGGTTAACTGCGCTTATTTGTGTTGTCACCATATCAGATGGAAGAGGAGAAGTAACTGAAGATCTGGGACTTTGATTGCAATTACTCATAGAGTTTTGATACGTAGTGTTTGAAACTAATGAGCTATCTTTTTTATCAACTGAGCCATCAAGATCTTTTTTATTCAAATCTGGAAATTGATTCTCAAAATCAGTTTTAGAAGAAAATGAATTGTCATTTTTTTCATTGACTGGTTTATTAATATCATCAGCATCCTCCATATTATTTAATTTAAAAGTGTTCTTTGGAATTCCTTCGTTATTATATGAGTTATTTGAATCTTTGTTTGATCCTAGTAAATCAAAAAATGGATTGGTGCTGGACATAGTGGTAGCAGCAGGCGTAATTTGATGTTTATCAAAGCCGGATCTATTTGCTGATGACAAGTCTATATCATTATCTCTCTCAATAGTATTATAAAAGGTGGAAGCTAAAATTGAAGATGATTCAGATTCAACTAGTTTATTACTCAAAATATCTTTTTCACCGGGCGCAATCACTGTATCACCTATAAAACCAGGGTTTATGGTTTCAATAGAAACATCGTTCTGACTACTAACACCTCTAGCTTTATTTTCCAAAATTTTGGTGGCTTCAAACTCCTTATCTAAATCTTTGTCTAAATTTTCATACTCTTTTCTGTTATTAACCACTTTATCCCGATTGACTTCAATCTGTCTTTCTTGAACAAAATTAAATTGTTTTTGTTCTGATAATTTTTTTTTCAATGTATTAATTTGTTCAACCAAATCGTCACTTTCAGCAGTCAAGGATCCTAACTGTTCACGGAAAACTGCACTTTCTTTCTGAGTCTCATTGTATTCTACCTGTAAATTCTCAAGTTCAATTTGATTTGAATGATATTTGGTTTGCAAGTCATTTAATTCTTGAGTTAGTAGATCATTTTCCTTTTTGGCATCAAACAAGAGTGATTTTACTTGATTACTTCTATTTAATTCTTCGTTATATATTTGACGCAATTTATTAATTTGATCTTGCAAACGAGATTTATTATCAACAGCCTCAGTTAATTCAGTTGCAGCAATTTGGTTTTTTTGTTCCAATTCTCTAGTTTGATTGGAAACAGATTTTAATTGATTGGTTAGGTTGGCAACTTCTAAATTTACATTTGTGAGTTGACGAGACAAATCCTTATTTGTTTCTTCAGCCTTCGAAAGTGATTTTTCGGCTTCTTCAACCGCTGTGCGTTGATTTTGGTTTCTAATAGAACTGGATAAATCAAGAGCGTTGATGTTTGGATCTAATGAAGGTTTTTGATTTGGAGGTGGTGGGGGAGCCCTTCGGTTATAATCAATACTTTTTGAAGTTGGATCGTCCTCACTTTCATCACTGTCTTCTAGCAACAAAGAGGGAGATTCGGAGAATTTTTTGTTCCCGCTAGTAAATTGCTGTTGCAACTGTTGACCAAACCGAGATGATGGAGTAAATTTTTGAAAAGTTGTTGCTGATCTGGCAACAGGAGGAGGTGGGGGTTTTTGCTGGGCAGGTTGAGTGAAAAGAGAGCCAGCTCTAGCAATCTTTGAAGATTGTGTAGAGTTTGAAGCAAGATCAATGGAGTTTTCTGGAAGCGGTGGAACGGGTATTGGTTTGTTTGGTATTGATTCTGGTGTGCCAAAAATATCAACTAAATCATTCATCGAGCTGCCCTGACCTGTAGTTAAAGGTGTTTGAATTGATGAAGAAGGAGCAGCAAAGATATCACTATTTTGAGGTTGCAATGTTAAATTTTGAAGATGAGAGTGTGAAGGGTCATTCTTAATACTTGATATTAAGGATTGAGGAATGGAGTCAATGGTTAAATTCGCACCTCTTAATCGTCTTTGAGTGAGAAACAAAGCTACAGAAAATTCTAGAAGTGAAAAATAGCCAGTATTTTTTAGATCGGATAAATCCCAAATTTTAGCTAAATCTTCTTTGGGTAGTTTAGAGCTACCTAGAAATGTGGCAACTTGGGTAGGAGACAATAAATTTTTTTTTTCCTTATCCAACTTGTTAAATATAGAATCAAATTGAACTCTTTGCTGAGGGGTAATTGCCCATTCGGATATTGTGGTGGTAGAACCAGTAGAATTATATGACAATGGAAAATTACCGGTGAGATTTTGAGAAACAGTAGTCAAAGAAGACGAAGCTGAAATGGTAGGCTTTCTTGAGGGTAAAGTAGGAGGTATGGTTTGTTGAGAGAGCAAGTTCTGTTGTTGTTTGTTTGAGCTTAAAACCAGATTTATTTTTAGCCACATTTCATTAGGAATTGAGGTTGGAACTTGTTTGATTAATCCAGTTAAAAAGGAATTGATTAAAAACATAGACAGAATGAATTCTTCTTTAGTTAAGGTGCCTTTATTTCCTCTATCAACTATGTTCCAAATTTGGCCCAAAACAATATTAGGAATATTTGATTTCAAAAAAATAGATCTAGCTTGCATACCAGATATCAAATGAGAGTGATTTGGAACAAGATTGTCAAAAAGTTGAGAGTATTGAAGGATTTCTTCATTGGATATTGTGAGAGATGTAGATAATGAGGAAGAGAGATTATTACTAGTGATTGGATTAAAAGAGTTGCCAGTGGCAGCAGGAGAAATAACAGAGTTTTTTTTGGCGCCATTAAAACGAGCTACAGGACCGGCAATGTTTGCTAAAGAAGGAGACAATTTTTTACCACTTTGGACATGAGCGATTAATCTCATTGCAACGATAAAATCGGTTTGTGTTAAAAAGCCATTGTTGTCTTTATCAGCAATCTGCCAAATTTTGCCTAAAGTGACGGGTGATAAGGAAGAATTCTCAAAAGTAGATCTCGCAACTTCTCCAGTAACAATTCCTAAGGTTTCAGGATCCAAGGACTTGAATATCTTTGAATATGCGATTTTTTCTTCTGCAGTCAAAGGTTGTTGGATAGAGGACATGGTAATGAAGAACCGGTAAACTAAAAGAGCAAAGTTAAAACAGTAGAGAGTACGATAGAAAGAAAATCAAAACAATAACCAAAAAACTAAAACCAAAAGATCAATCTAATCTAATCAGGAAAGTAAAGGAAATTTGAAACAAAAACAACAATTCTATGAGCATAAACTGAAGTAATGTTACTGTTTTTGTTGCTGGATATTCAAGAGAGAGATTAAATAGCTAAACAGCGATGGATGAGTGTTCAATCCAAAGAGATGTTGAGTCGCGACTTTCAGAATCGCTAAGAAACAAAGTGGCCATGTGACTGAGATGCTGTATTTGGGATGGGTCCAACACCTCCGAGGGTACAGCCATGGATTCAAGACCAACCGGAAGTAGAATAGGGGGATGAGCTATCTATTTACAAAAACATGAACATTATCCGCGCAGGGGTTGTTGAAAGAGGACTGGATATAGGGCGTGAGTAAAAGGGGGCTGGTTCCAGCAGAGACCCCCTGCGTTTTTCAAAGGCGCCTTTCAGCAAGTTCGTTTTCCAATCCCTTGACAGCTTTCCAAAGAGATTTGTATTCTCCATCGCTGGGATTTCCACAACATGCGTACCTGATTTTGCACTCATCGTCAACCAAGTATATGTATCCTGTAACAAAGTTCTTCAACCAAAGATCTGCTGCAATAGCCGTCGTAAAGTTTTTCTTGTTAACTAAAAGATACTTGTTCCATCTTTCTTCTGGTAGAGATTTTTTAATTATCCTTTTGTTTATCAAATTGATGAGCAACTTTTTTAGGGCCGAGTTGTAAATACTGAGATCCACAATCTGACAGTTGGGATATTCATTTTTGAAAACAGTTTCGTAGGTTGATTTATTTAGAAATGTGTCATTTTTGGAGTTTTCATTTTCATTTATAAATCGAAAATACGTTTGTGTTACTTCGTCTCCAATTACAGAAGAGTACACCCTGACTATCGATATTTGACCCTTCAACAAACTCGTGGTACAAACGTCTTGATTACTGAGAGACTCTCCATATATATTGGGAAAGTACAAAGCTTTTTCTCTTTTGAAATACGATATCGGTGACTTGAAGATTTTCCCATTGGTTTTACGAAACACATGCAAATCATATATTTCACTATTTTTAATTTCTTTCATAATGTCTTCTCTTTCCAATTTTTTCTTGTCCTTGTCGAAAAACTGGTTGACAGTCAAATTTTCCAACTTTTTATTTTCTTCGATTTTGGGAGCTTTGATCTGGCCAATTGGTTTATCCACTGCCAACACTTTGAATTGTCCAGGAGTTGAATCTTTAATACTTTTCAAGCTGCTAACAAAACTGTTTGGGGAGGAGGAAAAGCATCTTAACCTCGATGCATTTAGGGTGTTTGATCTCTGTACAATTTCTCTGTGGAAGCTTGACCAAATAGCATACTGCTGTACATAGTTTCGGCTTATAATCCAGCTCATTTTGAGAGTAGATTTTGTCAACTGCAAGCCCTAGTAGCTAACTCGCCTTGTCTTCATCTACTGCTTTCTCTCTGGCTTTTTTGATCTTAGGAAAGCCAATCAGTTGAAGAGAGATGGTGCACGTGCAGCGGATGTGATTGATGCTCCAGCTCTGGTCTGGCCGAATATCTCTGATGAGACATCTCCTCCAACGCCCATCACTGCTTTGCGTCTTCTGAAAAAACTAGCCCTAGGCCTGCTTTTCGCCAGCACCAGATCTTTTTGAAATCATCAAACCCAACATCGCCATCCACCAAATAGATAAACAGCATGCTCGGCTCCAGTGCTTCCAATCCTCCTCCACCCCCAGCAGATAGCTATATGCTTTTCGACGTCACATGCCCACGTACGATTGCTTTGTCTGTTCCATCATCAAGATATAAATTCCAACAATTTCTCACCAACCCCTTACTTCCTCTCCTAATCGCTAATTGATTGGTTATACCACTTTCATTCTGTTGATATATTCAATCTATTACACATCTGTGTGTTTTTACTTTTGCAATCTCCTTGAACATTGTCCAATGGCCAGTTACGCTCATTTAATTCCAACGTAAGTCAATTTCATTTCAGATCACTGCCATTTATTCACTTTTTACTAATTTTCTCAATCAATCAATTTTTTAATCAATTGTTCTCTTCTTAGTGCTGATTTTGCTCTAATCGGTTTGGCTGTTATGGGTCAAAATTTGATCCTTAACGCTGCTGACCATGGTTTTACTGTTGTCGCTTACAACAGAACTGTATCCAAAGTTGATCTTTTCTTGCAAAATGAAGCCAAGGGTAAATCCATCATCGGCGTTCATTCAATTCCTGAATTAATTGCTAATTTGAAAAAACCAAGAAGAATCATGTTATTGGTCAAAGCTGGCTTTGCTGTCGATGCGTTCATTAATCAACTTTTACCTTATTTAGATCAAGGTGACATCATTATCGATGGTGGTAACTCTCATTTCCCCGATTCCAATAGAAGATACGCTGAATTAAAAGAAAAGGGCATTTTATTTGTTGGTTCTGGTGTCTCTGGTGGTGAAGAAGGTGCAAGATATGGTCCTTCTTTGATGCCTGGTGGTCATGAAGATGCCTGGCCACATCTTAAAAACATTTTCCAATCAATTGCCGCCAAATCTGATGGTGAACCTTGTTGTGATTGGGTAGGCCCTGCTGGCGCTGGTCATTACGTCAAAATGGTACACAATGGTATCGAATACGGCGATATGCAATTGATCTGTGAAGCTTACGATATCATGAAAAGAGTCGCCAAATTCACTGATAAAGAAATCGGTAACGTCTTTGCCAAATGGAATACTGGTGTTTTAGACTCATTCTTGATCGAAATCACAAGAGACATCTTATTATATGATGACGTGGATGGCACTCCATTAGTCGAAAAGATCATGGATACTGCTGGTCAAAAGGGTACCGGAAAATGGACTGCTATTAACGCTCTAGATCTAGGTATGCCTGTCACTTTGATCGGTGAAGCTGTCTTTTCAAGATGTTTATCTGCTATCAAAACAGAAAGAGTTAAAGCTTCAACTCTTTTAACTGGCCCACCAATCCCAGACGGCATTGTAACTCCAGAAAATAAAGACCAATTTGTTGATGATTTAGAACAAGCCTTATATGCTTCCAAAATCATCTCCTACACTCAGGGTTTCATGTTGATTAGAGAAGCCGCTAAGGAATACGGCTGGAAATTGAACAATCCTGCCATTGCCTTGATGTGGAGAGGCGGTTGTATCATCAGATCTGTCTTTTTGGCTGAAATTACAAAAGCTTTTAGAGAAACCCCAGATTTGGAAAACTTGCTTTTCAATCAATTTTTCAAATCTGCTATTGAAAAAGCCCAAGCTGGCTGGAGAAAGACCTTGGTCTTAGGTATTCAATACGGTATTCCAACTCCTGCTTTCTCAACTGCTTTGGCATTTTACGATGGTTACAGATCTGCTCGTTTGCCAGCTAATTTATTACAGGCTCAAAGAGATTACTTTGGTGCTCATACTTTCAAGGTCTTACCAGAAGCTGCATCTGATAACTTGCCATTAGGTGAAGATATTCACATCAACTGGACCGGTCGTGGCGGTAATATTTCTGCTTCCACTTATATTGCTTAGGATTCTTTTGATATATATATATATCTAATTTTTATTTTTCAATATATTTACTAATTTAACCGAATACAATCAAAAGAACGCTTGCTTCAAGAAGCAGTTTCATAAAACCGGGTAATTTGAAAAAAAAATATATTTTTCAGTTTCATAACGACACTAAAAAAAATTTTTAAAATTCATCCTTCATCTTTTGGCCCAAATATTAATTCTTCTGAAAATGTCCATTAAAAAATTGAAAAATAATATAGAACTTCCCACTAAACATGAAGCAGCTGACATAATTCGTAAGAGAAAAAATGATTCCGAAGTTTCAGCTTCGAAAACTGAAACCCAGGAGGAAGAAAAGCAAGAGCTTGAAAATTTAATGAATCAGATTAAAGAATCAGATCTTGATCAGTCTGATCTTGAATCAAATTATTTTTCAGAATCATCGATAGAATCGGAATCAGAATCAGATATACAATCAGAATCAGAACCAAATTCAAAGGAATCCAAACAAAATAATGATGATGTAGATTCCTATTCGGATTCATCTGATGAGGAACAAAATTTCAATACTATTGGCAACATTCCTTTATCAGCTTATGATGAATATCCACATATTGGATACGATATTAATGGGAAAAGAATTATGAGACCTGCTCAAGGCTCTGCATTGAATCAGTTACTCGATTCAATAGACTTGCCTGAAGGTTGGACAGGTCTATTGGACAAAAACACCGGCTCATCTTTAAAATTGACAGATGAAGAATTACAATTGATTAAAAAAATACAGAAAAATGAAAATGTCGATGAACATATGGATCCTTATGAACCTACAATCGAATGGTTTTCAAGCAAAACCCAAATCATGCCAATAACTGGCGTTCCTGAACCAAAGAGACGTTTTATCCCATCCAAGCACGAAGCAAAAAGAGTGATGAAAATAGTGAGAGCAATTAGAAATGGATTTATCTTAACTCCTAAACAAGTGAGGGAATTGAAAGAAAAAGAAAAAGAACAAGAAAATAACTATGATTTGTGGGGAGATGGATTAGGAGAAAACAAAGATCATATAATGAATTTAAGAGCTCCAAAATTGCCACCTCCAACCAATGAAGAAAGTTATAATCCTCCGGAAGAATATTTGATGACTAAAGAAGAGCAAGATGCATGGCTAAATATGGATCCAGAAGACAGAGATAAAAATTTCTTTCCCAAAAAATATGGTGCTTTGAGAAAAGTTCCTGGGTACAGTGAAAGTTTAAGGGAAAGGTTTGAAAGATCTTTGGACTTATATTTAGCTCCAAGAGTCCGTAAAAATAAGTTGAATATTGATCCAGAATCGTTAATTCCCGAATTGCCTTCACCAAAAGATCTAAGACCATTTCCAATATTTTGTTCAACTATATTTACTGGTCATAAAGATAAAATAAGGACGATTTCTATTGACCCGACAGGATTATGGTTAGCAACAGGTTCAGACGACGGAAGTGTGCGAATTTGGGAAATATTGACTGGAAGAGAAGTCTATAAAATTGAACTTGTGCCAAAAGAAGATTTAAACGAGACGCACATTGAATCATTAGAATGGAATCCAAATCAAGAGGCAGTTATTTTAGCTATAGCAGTAGGAGAAACTATTTATTTGATTGTTCCTCCAATCTTTGGATTTGGTTTAGAAAACAAGAGTAAATTATTAATTGAGCAGGGCTACGGTTACCAGAAATTCGGACTGCAAAATAAAACTCATCATATTGGTATTAATGATAGTAAACAAGAAAATAAAGATGACAATGAAGAAGAGCGAGATGATGATGAAGATGATGAAGATGATGAAGATGAAAATGAGAATAATGGTGAGAGTAGCAGCAAACAACTCGGAAAACAAGTTGGAAAATGGGTTAAACCAAATAAAATACAGGAATCTTTGGGGGTTTCTATTGTGGTTAATACATCAAAAGTGATAAAAAGGTTGTCATGGCATAGAAAAGGTGATTATTTTGTTACAGTTTCTCCTCAAGGAGCCAACAAGTCAGTCATAATTCATCAATTATCAAAACATTATTCTCAAACTCCATTTAATAAAAGTAAAGGTATAATAATGGATGCTAAATTTCATCCAATTAAACCTGAGTTATTTGTTGTTTCTCAAAGATATGTTAGGATTTATGACTTGGCTAAACAAGTTTTGTTCAAAAAATTGCTTCCAGGGGCAAGATGGTTGAATAGCATTGACATTCATCCTGGAGGAGATAATTTAATTGCATCATCATTTGATAAAAGAGTATTATGGCATGATTTAGAGTTGTCTAATACACCATATAAAACATTACGATATCATGAAAAGGCAGTTAGAAGTATTAAATTCCATAAAGGGGGTTTACCACTATTTGCATCTAGTAGTGATGATGGAAGCATACATATATTTCATGGAATGGTTTATGATGATTTGATGACGAATCCATTGCTAGTTCCGTTAAAGAAGCTCAAAGGACATAAAATAAAGAATTCATTGGGTGTCTTGGATTTAATTTGGCATCCTAAGGAAGCGTGGTTATTTAGTGCTGGGGCAGATGGTGCAGCTAGATTGTGGACTACGTAGTTTTATTAATATTAAAACGGATAAGCTTAAGTTTTATTGCTGGATTGTCTTTTTTGTTGTTTTTGTTCATTTTGTTGATTTGACAACTAAATGTTTGGTAATATCATGTAGTTTTTAATTGCATCAACATTTATTAAAGTTTAAGGGTGAACTAAAAAATAAAAAAATAAAGATTAGAAGATTAGAGGATCAAAAACTAAAAAATAGAAAATAGAAAATAGAAAATGAAAAATAAAGTGAAACAAAGTAAAAAACACTTGTATAAATAAGACCTAATTAACAGAAAATTCAAATGAAAATTCAAATGAAAATTTAAAATAAAAAAACATAAAGGGAAAAAACACATTAAGAACATTTTAACAGAATAAAAATTGAATATTTTATATATATAATGTAGTATATAATATAATTAACTAAAATAAAGAATCAAGTTTAAAATTGAATTTTTCAGGATTGAAATCCCACTCAGGATAGTCGATTTTTTTCTTTTCTAATGAAATATCATTCTTGATATTACTATTGATTTGATTGGTATTGTTATTTAATTGGTTAAAGGAATAACCTAGTTCATTATTGGAATTGAAATGAGAAGAGTTGGAATAAACAAAATAACAAAAGACAGCAAAAGCAAGTAAAGAATGAGCTTTTAAAAATACCTCAATTATAATCTTGAAGTTTTTGTTTTGTAAATAAATTTCATTATCATAATAAAATTTGATTAAAATTGAGTAGATGCTCAAGACGTAGTAAAGATAGCAGATGTATATCAATATATTGTTGTTGTTGGAGTTATTATTTTTGATGTATTTGGTTTTATAGAGTTGATAAAGGATAGTAATTGAGATGACAGAGATTATACAGTAATTAGTAATATTTGAAGGTGTAAATATGTAATTTTTCAAAAGATCCTCGTATTTTGTGTAATAATGAGATAAATAGGCAATTGGATCCAAGGCATAAGAAATCATTTTGGTTTGTTTCAAGTAGTATAGCTAACAAATTAGATTGCAATAAATTGAGCAACTTACAATAGAACAATAAGAAACCGACGAAAAGACAGGAAAAACATTGCTTTATATACTGTTTTTAGGCTCCACAGCTAGGAAACTCAGTTGAAGAAAGATATCATGTTTCTACAAAAATTCAGATACAACTCCTCTACGATTGCAAGAAAATTGTACACTTTTCCAGCTCTCAATGATGGCTCTTCGATGGATATACCTCTAAACACACCTGGGTTCCTTTCACATGCAAATACAACGTCGTTTGTACCCGAGACTCTGGATGTTACCCGGTGCTAAGCACTCAGTCTTTTTGGCTGTAGATGAGTGGCCGGGTAAGTACTGCTTCTGCAGGACGGAATGCAATGCAAACCTTGTTGCAGGTGTCTGCGATTTGCAGCTACTGTCTGCACATCTCTGTGTGGGTGGAAAGAGCTTCCGGAGCGTGAGTTTGAAGGCGGGTTCGATTTCTGCCGGGAGTCATTTTCATTGCTTTTTCTGGCTATTTTTCGAAACCCATTTTTGGTGCTTTTGCAACAGGCGATGAATCACCAAAGCCCTCCAGCTGCACAAGACGATATTCATAACTTAGCAGTTCTACGATGGCAACACAGTCAGATCAAGACAGTTATTTGCAAGATGCTCAGAAGACCCATTATATTATTTATCCACAGAAGCTCAACCAGAAAAAGCTGGTCGCTAACAGATCTGCTGCTGCTAGCTCCATGTCTGATGCTGATTCTCCCTTTTTCACCATAAATCCCAATAACAATATCAAAAAATTGATTTATCCCTTGAACTATCAGAATCAAATATTATTTTCAAATGATCATAGATATTTTTTGCCTTTACCACAAGAGTTTGACTCAATTGACTTTACTGATTTAAGGCAGTCAAATTTTACTGTTTGTTGGCAAATCTTTGACCAGAAACTATCAGATCTTTTAACTGATCATAATAATTCATTGTTTGTTCGTATCAAAGCACATCTATTCAAAAACTTGGAATACAAAACAAACTCTAAATTAAACACTTTGTTAATTTTGAATGGTAATTCGAATACTAATCTATTTCCTGATTTGCAAGATTTTATAGATAATTTGAACAATAACTCGATTTCTAATACTGAAAAAAATGCAAATTATATATTTGATTTGATTGAAATTGACTCTTCATTAACCTATAATATAAAACTATTGTTAAATCATATAATTTTAAATCTAATCAACAAAAATGACAAATTATTCGAATCTGTGAGAAATAAATTTGATAATAACACTGAAAAATATATCAACGCTGATACTGACTACGATGCTCTTGAAGATGAATTTAAAGATAAAGATTTTAATTTTGATTACAATTCAGATTTTGAGTTTGATTACGATTTTCTATCAACTATATCCAGCACTCTATATTATAAAAGAAACCGTAAATTAATTTTATACTTTAATGATTCCCAAAATTTAGATCAATCAACTTTATTGGTTTTTTTTAATTTTATCAACAATTCCTCATTTTTAAAAAATTACATTGAAATTTTTATAAACATTTCAACTTCTTTATCAATTTTCAATAGCTTCATTTCTTCATCTATCTTATCTCTTTTGGATTTCTCCTTTTTAAAATTATCTCAAAACTCCAATTCTCTAATTGAAAATATTTTATCTTCTCTACTATTGAATCCTATTATAACTCATGATATTATTGAATTCAATAAATCAAAAAAAATCACAAAAAAAGAACTGTATTCCGCCAATTTAACTAAAGGAAATCCAATTTCAAACTTAAATTTCTTGTTATTTGGCCCTTATCTCATGAATTTATTAAAGGATCGACACAACAACTCCTTGATTTCAATCAACTCATTTGTGTCAACTATCAAATATTCAATTCTTTGCTATTTTTATAATAATCCCTTGTCAATTTTCTTCAATTCTCATGATCTAAATTTGAATGAAAATCATTTAATCACTTTAAAAAATTTACTCTCTTTTAAATCTTTTATCAATAATATATTGAAAAATCAGTTGTTCTTTAAAGACAAAAAAAAATTGCATAATTTGATTGAAAAAAACTTGGAAGTACCTCAAACAAATAAAAATACAAAAAAATTAAGTGCCAATCAACTATATTTTAAAAATTATTTTGTTCCTTTTGCTTTGGCAAAATTTAAAATCAATATGATAAACTTTTTAGACACACTTGATATTTTAGTTCTTACTCAAAAAATAATTATTGCAAATAGCACGTTTAAAGAACAAACAAATCAGAGAATAATTGATTATATTAGCCAAAACTCTTTAGCCGACTCTCCGATTAAAAAAAATGTTTCAAACTATCGAATTTCTTCGGCCCAAAAATCTCCTAAACATTTTACATTTTTATCCAAAACTGATCTATACTCTAAAATTTTAACTGGCACTTTATTAAAGACTGATTTTTTAGATCAATTGATCTCCAATCTTAAACATTTATTACCTCATTTTTTAACCAAACTTTTTAAACTTTTGAAATCTTATAACACCAACTCACTAAATAAGAAATCTTTATATTTTAAAGATATAACCGAATTTAAATTTGAAGATAACTATATCTTAAATTTATTTTATAAAAAATTGAAAACTGAAATTGGCAATGATATCAAAAATTTTGATGTTAACGGCATATATTTTTACCCAATTAATATTTGTAATAATCCTGACAATAATAATGATGAAAATTTAAATGATGGATTAGAAAATTTGCCTATTCAGGGAAAATTTGCTTTCTCCACAATTATACATAACTTAGTTGAGTGTTTTGATAAGTTTTTACTTGATCCATTTTATTTAGTGAAAAGTGAAGTAGAATTAGACGATAACCAAGTTCTATTCCTTGAGAATATTATTGGTTCAAATTATTTGTCTAATTTTTATGATGATTTATTATTTAATGAGGTTTTCACTATCAAAGACCATAAAATTGTTGAAAGCTCTATTTTTCCTCCAGCTAGAAATTTCATCGAAGATGCTTTGATAAATCCCAAAAGCTATTTATTTAATAGTAAAGCCGCTGTCCCAAATAAAACTGATTTATTGGAAGACAAGAATGATTTCTTATATGAAGTATCATCCGAGGAAGAACAAGATTTGGAAATTTTTCAAGATATTACTAGAAAAAGGAAATCCTCCGATGCTAGAAGATCTTTGAAAAATAGTATTGATAAACAAATCAATCCTTTAAAGCAGCTCTCAAAAATTTCAGACCCATTAATTTCGGAAATGTATCGATTATACATCGAAGCACCCATCAATATTAATGTTTATGATTTTTATCAAGCCTTTAAATCGACCCTTTCTCAACCCAAATATCTAGCTAATATTTCGAACGCGTTGGATCAACCTGAAATTTCAAATATTATTTTAGATGAAACAATTGTAAAAGATCTTCGTGTATATCTAGATATCAATAACAATACGAAGCTAGTAGACAAAACAAATGATGAAACAAATGTAGATAATGATTTGAAATGGGAAAAAATAACGCTTGCATGGTTTTTACAGGTTTTGGAAGAAATCAAAAACACAGGATTAATTGGTACAAATAGAAAGAATGTTGAAATTGTTAAAAAACTAGTATGGAAAGGATTATGAAATTCCCATGGTACTTAGGTTAAAAAACATTACATCAAAAGATTTAAATTATTTGACATTGTCTAACTTAATAAACAATTTCAATTAGCGTTTACTATAATTTTTTGTTATTTGTTAAGTTTAGCATACTCTCTCAAATCATTTTTGTTTTTCGTCAAAAGTTCCTTCAATAAAAATCCAGCTACATTTTCATCTTCAAAATAGCTTACGTGAGAGCCGATGGCTGAAATGATTGAAATATCAAAATAACCTTCCGATAAAGCATAGTCAACCCTTCCAGAATAGTTACACCCTTTCATGATATCAAAAGAATCTTTACTTATTTTCACTTTATTTGATTTTTTTTCATCAAAATCTTCTTTTTGTTCTTTCTTCTCAACTGTACTCCCAAACTTCAACTCTAAAGCATTGGCTGCTTTTTCCACAAATTTTTCACTTATATTGGTAATACTTTCTAGTTGTTGTTTTATTGAATCTAAAGGATTATCTAACAAATTGGGAATAGAGCAAGGCATAAATTCCGAGTAGGTTCGTGAAATTAAAGGCTCAACTCTATAGGCAACAGGATCAGAAGGGTGAAATATATTATAATAGTTATTGCATCTGGGAAGTGACATAATATTTTCTGTATTGTCTAGATTATAAATTTGTCTTGATCCTATTTTTTTTCTCTTAATCAAATTAAAAAGACCGGTAGGTGAACCAAGAGCAAAAAAATTGTCAACTGGGAAATTTAATTTCCCTTGATTATTTTTGTTTTCCAATTGTTCTGGTTGTTTAGATAATATCTCAAAAGTTATAGCTGAACCTAGTGAATGACCAATAATACTCACTTTCCCTTTAAATTTTGGATTGTATTTCGAGTATAGATCATAAATTCTATTTGCTTCGGTAGTAACTTCGTTCAATATTGCGTTGAAATAAAAAGGATCATAATAAAGTAAAACGTCCAAAAGTACATCACCAACTAGATCTCTAATTTGCTTGACTCCACCAATGGAAATGTCACTTAATGAAGGAAGTTTTAAATCTTTTTTTGCAGATTCAAAATCTATTTTGTGTCTCCAGAAAATTGGCAAAACTTGAATCCTACAATTGTGTTTCATTTCGCTTATCAATCTTTCGTCCATACTCTCATTTTCAGAATATTTTTCATAGTTTGGATAAGCTATTTCTTGAAACTGAGGGTTCTTAGAATAGACTCTCTTCAATGATTTTCTCAATACATTAATTGTATGAACAAAGTTAATGTACTGATATCTGGTCCCAAGAAGTTGACCGATTCCATGAACGCAAAGAATTAAATGATCTACTTCCCTGTCATTACAATCATATGGGTTATGACATTCTTTATCATCATTATAATCGGATTCAATCTCTACCCTCATTGCTTCAGTCAACTTTTCATCTTCTTGAACTTCGTTCAATTCTTCAGTTTCTTTTTTCTTGGAGATATTATTTGTTTGAATAATATTGGAAAATTTAGAAAAAACAGATAAATATTCATTTTCAAATATTTCGGGAATCTTCGTTACCTTTTGGTCTAAATTTTGATTAGAATCTTCTGTTGGCTTCAGCTCTCCAATACTTTTTGAAGAGTTGGTACTCATGGAATCATGAGGTTTTTTAATATTTGCGTAGCCTCTATAAATAATTTTAATGTCCGAAAAAGTTGGGATGTTTAAGGATAATGATTTCACTATATTTAGTTGAATTTTACTTAAAAAAGATTTATCGGGCAATAAGCAAGCAGTTGTTGAATTTAAAAATAAGATATATCTTCCAAAAATTTTAATTTCATTGTCAGAGAGATTTTCTAAGGGAAACAAGTTTGATTTCTCTAAATTATCAAAATCAGCACTATTTTCTCTCTTATAGGGTTTGATAGAAAGATAAGCATCTTCTAATTGAGCTGAGATTTTTGGATTGAAGGGGGAACCCTCAGAATCAAACCAAGTACCTCTTCTTACTTCATAAATAGGGCCATCCCAGTATATAGGACCCATTTTGATTAAGTGATGATTATTACCATTGGAGTCGGAAGTTTGGGTGCCAAAATCCACTTTAAATAGATTATCTTCATTTACTGTGACAATTGAGGAGTCCAGATGACCTTTACCTGATTTCAACAAATTAAAAGTTTTCTCTAAATTTATAGAATCATTATCTGAAAATAAAATAAAATTTTTAGGTTGTTGGGTCTGTTTATAATTATAATATTTTGGTTTTGTGATTGGAATATCAGTTGCGTATAACCATTTAGGGTCAATTTTCGGAATAGATTTTGAAGTTAAAACAAAAGAGCAAGTTGCAAAAAGTCTGAACTGAAAGCGACCAGTCAAACTGAAAGAAGATTTAATCATTTAAGTATGTTTTTAATGTTGGTATTAATCTTTTATGATTATATTTCGCCTATGATCAAGATGCTGTGGATTATTGAAATGTCTTTATCTATTTAAGCACACGTGCAGCAACGTCGGAACCTTTCTATCCGCTGCTGTTTTGATATGATTGGCTGCTGGTTTACAGCCTTTCAAGTGATTAACTGCTAGATTTGATATATGAGAAACACAAACCAAGTATTCATATATGTTTTGGAGTGTGTTGAGAGTTGGTTTTTCACAGAGGCGTCAAATTTGAGTAGCAAATCGGCGATAACAATGTTCTGTTTGACTATTGAACAAATCCCATTATCACAACTAAATAATTAAATTGGAAATTATTACCCTAAACATCTATTGAATAAAAATTGGATTACATGATAATTCAATGCCAGTTTTGTTTTGAACATTCTCGAGTGTTAAAAATAGAAATCCTTTCATCAAAGGTTGGACCTGAAAAGATTCTGAAAGAAGATATTGATAATATTATTCTGGTATTAAACAATTTAAAGAATATAGGAGGAGCTGATTAAGTGGTGAGCTATTGGCAGTGACTATCTTGATGATAATCATGATAATTGAAGTGGCTGTTAGGAGCAAGGAAGAAAGAGAAAGATCCTCTAACTCGTTGCTAAGATAAACAATAAAGTAGAGGAAAAAATTCGATAGATTTTATCAAGCAATTTTTTGATAAGGAATGCAGAAGCTCTTTTTTGAAGGCTTTTGGCTAGTGAGGTGTTACTGCGAATTTAAGTTGGTTTAGATTGTTGCTGATGCATATTCCTGCTTGTACTCACCGTCATTTCTACCAGAGACCTGCAATAACTGGATATGGCAAGAGATAGTCAATTTGAAAACCAGGCGTGAGTGCTACTTGCACAGAAAGCACCTAAAGTTTTATCAATATCAAAAGTCGAAAATCGGATTGGATTGAATTGAAAAAGATATAACTGAATGGGGCCAATCTTACATTTTAAAAGAATTTATTTGATTAAATATTACGTTTATCAATTCTGAAAACCTGAGAAACCGGTGTGCTACTTTCAAATTGTAACTGTTGTTTTGTTTTAGTCTGATTAGACATAAAATGGATATTGCAACAGGCTGGTGTTTTTGTTGTTGTTGTGAGAATAAAAAGATTACATTACTATAGTGAACAATGCTTGATATTCATGTTTTCACATCACTGATAGCTAGCAGTCTAGTTGAAAGCTTTGTAGCATTTCAGCGATTTATTGTTATAATACCAAGTTGATTTAGAGTGTGTGATATTTTCAACTGTAATATTACCAAAATTATTTTTTGGAAAAACAAGCGCACCAAGTTTTTTTGATATCCCAGCTAAAATTTCGTAGGTCGATATTTAATAAAAAGAAAAATTGTTATTTGAATTCTAAGTTTTCGCACTTGGTAATAGTAGCGCACCACTTTCACCAATAGAAACCCTTTCCCAGCAGACTCCAAGCCAAAGCAGAATCCATTCTTTGCTTAAAATTTTCTCCTCTGTATGCTCTTGACAGTTTTGCTTTCTGTTGACAACAAGAAAGATTAAAACACTCAACTCGCAATTTGGATTGTGGTTCAAGAGCTGCCCACATCATTTCTTGTTTGGATTCAGGCAGTTTTCAGAATCTGCGTCACACGGCATTCTGCTGTCCCACTTTTTGAGAGACACACGTGCAGTAGTACACTCCCTGCATGAATGGTATTGTATAGTAGAGGTTTCGGAATATATTGTTTTGGCTGCTGCATACAGCGGCGTCTTCTGCAGGCAGGCATCAGTGGTATTTCTGATTTTGGCCAATCATAGCTCATGCTGGTCTTTAGTTTGACTGTGCTATGCACTCACTTATAAGAGCTTATATCTCATGTTCCTACCCAACTCCTATCTCATGTGTTTTGTTTTCTCCCTCTCCTGATATTTGTTTTTTTGGTCTTTTCCTGATTATACTTCTGGGCTTTTGGCTTTAATCTTAGTTTCTTTTCATTGTTGTCTCCTGCCCTGCAATTCTATTCGTCTTGTTTCCAGCTTCGGCATGCTGAATCTCTACACCTTGCTGATTTTTCCAATATTTTTATTTTTTGATCGGCCATACAAGTCTTTAATTCGTACCATTCACAGTCACTTTTTCGCATTAATTCAATTTTCTATCGCTCAGAAACTTGCTACTTCAGTCGATCAGAATCGTCACCACCATTTTTTGCTTTATTTTTCACTCATCTTATATATATATATATATATACTACAGTTTATTCCTGAGTTGTTGTTATAAAGGTTGGTTTCTCATTTTAATGCAAGAAAATAAGCTTTTTATAAAGTACTAGTGTTTTCTTAGTCAGTCATTTTGTTAATTATTTGTTACCAATTAATTAAATCTTTTGATACCTCTTTTTATCACTCTCTTTTTGTTTTCCTTTTTCATTTTATAATAAAATGAATTTTGATCATGATTCAGATCCAAAGTACCATCAAAATGTCGACTTAAATAGAAGAAACTCCTTCAATTCCTATTATCGTACAGATTTCGATAATAATTCAATATCCGATCTAGATAGACGTTCAAGCAACTCTTTGAATCACCCCCAAAAAGCCCCAAGTATAATATCAATTACAAACAACGTTTCAACAGTTGGAAATTCTCGAAGTGAAAGTGACGATAATCGTGATACTCGTAACAATCGCGATAATCGTTCAATAGATACCACTAGTACTGCTTCAACCCTATATCGTCAGGTTTCATATGAGCTACACCAAGTCACTTCAAAACAGCCATTGGCTATAACAGAGGGTCATAAATTAGTTCATACCTTAAAATATTACGATTTGGCATCTGTAACCTTTTCGGGATCAATTGGTAGTGGTATTATGATTACAAGTGCAACCGCTTTGAGAAATGGTGGACCAGGTTCAATGCTTATTTGTTTTTTAATTATGACCTTTTGTTGCTACACTGTTTTATGCGCCTTGTGCGAAATGGCAACCTATATCCCTCTTCCTGATGCCTTCAGTGGTTATGGTACAAGATATGTAGACCCTGCTTTTGGTTTTGCAACTGGTTATGCTTATTTTTTCAAGTATTTAGTTTTAGCTCCTTCTCAAATGAGTGCTGCTTCTGCTGCCATTCAATACTGGGTTCATAGGGATACTATCAATCCTGCTGTTTGGATCTCCATCTTATTGGTCCTTGATGTTTCTTCCAACTATTTGGGTGTCAATCATTATGCCACTGTTATGAGGGCGTTTTCCATCATCAAAGTGGTTATTTTATTTGGAATGATTATCTTTTCTTTCACTTTAGCAATGGGTGGTGGCCCAAATCATGATAGAACAGGCTTTAGATATTGGAGAGACCCTGGGGCTTTTGCTTCTTATAAAACTCTTTCTGGTGATTCTGGAAGGTTTGCAGGATTTTTGGCTACTTTACTACCATGTATCTACACTCTTATCGGTTTGGAAGTTTATGGTATTGCCTTGGGTGAAACAGCTTCTCCAATGAGAAGAAATATCCACAAAGCTCATAAACTCATTTTCTCAATTATTCCCCCATTTTATTGCACTTTAGCCTTATTGCTCGGTATGATAATTTCTCACGATGATCCCAATCTTATCAAATCTCTTACAACCTCAAGTAATAATGCTGCTTCTTCAGCCTTTGTCATTGCTATTAAAAATGCAGGAATTCCTATTCTACCTCACATAATGAACGCTTGCATCTTAATCTTTGTCTTTTCGGCTTCAAACACTGAACTTTATATAGCTATTCGTGCTTTATATGGTTTATCAGTTTCTGGTATGGCTCCCACTATTTTCTCAAAGACTAATCAAAGAGGTGTTCCAATCTATTCCCTAGCATTTTGCAGTACTTTTGCTCTTCTTGGTTATATGAATGCTGGTACCTCATCCAAAATCATTTTTGGCTATTTTGTCAATGTTGTCACTGTTTTCGGTCTAACCACTTGGATAAGTATCCTAATATCTCATTTAAAATTCACAAATGCAGTAAAAGCACAAGGGATTGAAAGAGAAAGCGAAATGTATTTTGTTGCTCCTTTTGCCCCATATGCTTCCTATGTCACTCTTACTATTGTCATTATATTAATTCTCATCAAAAACTATACAGTTTTCCTTGACTATGCCAAGTATAAAACTTTTGACTATAAAACCTTCATATCGGGCTATATTGGCATCCCAATTTTCTTTGGGTTATATTTTTGTTATAAGTTTTACCATAAAACTGAAATCATACGTTCCGAAGAGGTTGATTTGTTTTTTTATAAAGACGTTATTGATGCAGAAGAGGAAGCTTACTTTAGAAAACAAAAATCCGAAGAGTAAACTTTTTTGTTTGTGCTATATCTTTTGCATCTTTTTATCAAGTTCAACTTTCAACTTATATGTACATCAGTTCTTTTTAACCACAAGCAATCTTGTTTTTTGTTTATTCATAAATTTATTTCTTATTGTCGTTGCATTATACGTTGTTTTTTGTTATTTCTATTTCTGATTGAAGTGTGTTTTTTTTGAACCTTTACATAAGTTCAATTCAAACTATTTTGTTAATACCAAAACCATTTTTCTGTTAAACTTTGAAGTTTTGTTTTTAGATATTGGTATTTCTCACAAAATCCCAGAATTTAGAACTTTAAACCTAATTTCTTATCTGATTATCTACATACCTGATTATATTTTTGTTCTGGCGTTGATATTGATATTGGTGTTGATATTGTATTATGACTTTCTACATTCAAGACATCTTAATAAAGAAGTGCATATTTAAATAAATTTGTTGGGAAAAAGATGAGATTTTAAAGTTTAGCGTATTCATTATTTATTTCTCATCTATTAGTTGTTGTATATTATCTATATTCAAAAGAATTCTATAATTTATTTAAAGTTGTGTGTCATATTTCTGTTAGACACAGTACTTTTCAGATTTTAAAAAGTCAACACACTCTTCGATGATATTTTCATAAGAGATCTTATCATCTCTAATAGCAGAAAATTGCAAACACATTCCACTGTCTTTAGTTGTAATGATACTTAGTTTAAGATTGCATCTAGTTGAACCAAGACTTTGGCTGCCTGCCATATCATCTATTCTCCAGTTGTTGTCATTTTTAAGAGCAGTGCTTGTAATGTATTTATCAAAGTCCACCAAACCAACATTTGATATCTGAAGAGTGCTCTCTCTCGGTCTTCCTAAACCGGTTTTGAAGACATTTTCTCTTTTTGTGAATTTCATTATAGCCATATGATTTACTGGATCTCTTCCTTTGCAAATTTCTCTTACTTTGTCATTTGATTGTTTAACATAATCCCAATTAAATTTGTTATCATTTTTAATAAATTGATCAGTTTGAACCAAGTAATCAACTTGCAAGGCATAACAACCCCAAGCGTTATCCGGATTTTGGACTAAATTTTTGTTCATATAAAATCTTCTGGCATCCATTGCTAAGAAAGTTCTAAAGGAGTCATAATGATAGCCGATATCGTCTTTTTTGACGATACCACTTTTGATATTTGATTGAAGGTGTTTGTTTAAAATCAAATAAAAGGCGATTTCTATGAAGGGAGTGATGGTGACGCTATTCTTTCTGCAATTGATTTTAATAGTTTCAACAACTTTAGGATCTAGGCGTTTTAGTTTAAAGATGATTTGATTTTTTGGAACCGGTTGGGCGAGGGTATAACCAGTCCAAGAATTAGGAACTGGACCACCAAAGATTTTATAATCTCTTAGATTTTTTGGTGCAAAGTATTTGAATAGATCCTTTACAGCAAAGAAAATGGGAGAGTTGCAATCTTCAATTGCAGTGTCAAGACCTAGGGGCATATTTTTGAGAAAAATATGGTCATTTGATAAATCAAAGAGGATTTCATCTTTATAAGAATTGAAGTCGAAGTCGGAATCGGAACTGGGATCGGAACTGGATTTTGTGTTTGGATTGGAATCGGAATTTTTTTGCGAATTGGTAGAATTCAGAGAATCGGCATCAAATTTTATTAAATTCGTCAAGATTTCCCTGAATAATAAAAGATGAGAGCCACCATCAAAGATGATATGGTTACCAGCACAAATCAAATGATGGAAATTGTTTAGGAGATACAATTTGAATAAGGGAGTGCGGTTATTAAAGTCAAAAAAGGTTTTGTCAACTTCGGCTAATAGTTGATCATTGATATGATTTATGGAGGAGAATTTGATATCAACAACATCTTTCAATCTAATTAATTTTAAAGGAGCAAAACTTGGCTGATTTTCGTTGATTTTAAGTGATTTAACAACAGTTAAAACTAAGGCAGAATTGTCCAAGAAACACTGTCTTAAAACTTTGACTAATAAAGGATAGCGAATTTTGTTTGAAAAATTTGCAGTGCAAACAGTATTGTTATAAAGGTTCATGTTGTTTCTGATATAATAAAAGTCCTCATAAAAATCTTCAAAAATAGAAAAAAGAAAGATCAATAGAAACAACCTCCAAAATAGAGGTAAATTGAAAATGGTTAGTTGGATTGTTAGAATGAGACTTCAAGACACTATTGGTAAAATCATATTTAAACAAAGAAAGAAACAGAAAAATAAATATAAAAAAAATAAGCGTAACACTACTCACCAATAGGTCTGGTAAAATTTGAAGCAAGATTGAGATAATCTTCATCAAAAGTGATCAAATTCTGGGTATCCATTGTGTCGAGTAATTTAAAGATGATAATATATATTGCAGCAGGAAAAAAAACAAAATGATACAGGATATAGGAAAAGAGTGAGAATAAAAAGAGAGAGGTATGAGGATATTTATACAAAGGGATTTATAATCAGATAAGTGATATAATTAATCAGGAAGATAAATTTGGGCAAACCTCAATGATTTGATTCGTTTGTTTAACTGAATGTGCTCAAAAGTTCCCATTGGGATACGAGCAGAAAGCAAAATTGAGTAGTATTTGGAGATGGAGCGAAAAAAGAGAAGAAAGAAAGGAAGTGGTAGATTAATACAAAAATGCAGAGATACATTTATACATCAGTACCTCAACACATAGTAGAAACACAAAAGTGTAAACTTGGAAGATTGGAAAAGCATAACCTTATATTAAAGACGCCGAAATAAGGTTTGCGTGTGCCGGAAGCGCTCTGCAGTGACCGGCGGCAAAATAGGTTCAGCTTCGGCAAAATGCCGCATCCGAACCCAAGGAGAGCGTGAGAAAAAGATTCTTCGTGTTTTCGTGCAATATTGCCTGTTCCAGCACAAGCAAGTCAGAACAGCCAATAGAGCACTGCACATAACAGCATAAACTTGCATAAGATGCCTTGCTGGTGCTTTGATTCCTGGAAAACCGCAGTGCACCGCGCGGTTCGATGGCAAAGCACAAAAAGAATTTGCCAAATTAAGCAATTGCGGAGATAAAATTCTTCGAGTGGCCGGACTGCTCGTACAACTCAGAACCAATTGTCTGCAGTAAGCGGCGTCGTGCCGTGGGACCGAAACCTTGCCGATCGATGAGGAAAAGCTGACTTCGGTGGGCCAAAAGGCCCCAGAGTGGCATTTTAACCGTGGTCCAAGCGTGGGAGTGAAACTGTTCACCATACTGGTTTTGAGCATGAATTGGAATTAAGGTGCCACTGGATAGCTAGTCTTACTTTTAGTCTTTACTTTATTTCAAGCGAGTTTCTCTGGCTTTTCCTTTTGTATTTTATGGGAATTTATGGGAGTTTATGGGAGTTTATGGGTATTTTATGGGTATTTTATGAATATTTTACTAGAGTTGTATTAGTGTTGTATTAATTGGATGTGGCCGAGCTATAAAAGATACTCATTGGTTATTTATAGATAACCGGATGTCTTAGTATCTGCAAAAGAAGATAATAATATTGCTGTAACGAGGGAAAAAAAGATGATTAACCGAATGATAATAAATATGGTGGTGATTCTGATAACATGGATTATCGCAAAGATTGTAAAACAATAAAAATGATTGGATGAATATGCAATTTAAGATTTTAAACCCATTGGAGAATCTCGATACTTGCTACAACAACAAAGATGGTGGTAGGTAAAGTTAATACAACGTAGCCCCAAAACAACACACCTGCCATTTCTTTCTCGTATATTTGGTTGATTTGACAAATTTGAGATAGTTGAATAGCCGGGGGAGCTATTGTTAATAAATTGGCAACTATTAGAAAGATTGGATCGTCAAGGATGGATACTGGCAAATATTTTACACACATTGCAATGAAGGGTAGTAATAATAATGGTGGGATGATCATTCTAGAGAGTAGAGAAGCAACGATTAGTTTATTGTGATGAGGGGATGCAGGTTGAACTTCGTTGGATGGACATAAATTAGCACCCAAGACAACTAGCAATAGAGGGATGGAGACTTCTCCTAGTTGTGTGATGGCAAGGGATATGGTGTTTTGAACGAAACCGTCATTTTGGTAAAATTCGTCTTGAATAGGTTTGAAAAGCGCGACAATGACAGCAAAAAGCATTGCATATAATGGAGGGTTCATAAATTCTAGAAAGGAGTAAAATAAATTTTGGAAAAAGTAGCCGATTTTTCGGATCACTGAAGGATTTGTGTTGTCATTAGAATAAAGAATGACACTGTTGTCATTGTAGTTTGGAGAGTCCATTTCATTATTATTATTATTATTATTATTATTATTATTATTATTATTATTATTATTAGGGTTATCTGAATAAATGCTATTGTTTAAGACGGAATCAATATTATTATTAAAAGTATTTGTGTAATTGGGATTTACGGCATATGGATTGTAATCGGGGGAATCAAATGGATTGTCATTTCTTTCATTTATAAGAGAGGTGTTTTCAGTTACCGGCGTGTTGACAAAGTATTGATGGCGAGACTGGGCTCTTGATAAAGATGGATGAACAAAAGAGAAAGTGGTTGATTTGGAAGAAATCGAATATCTTCTTCTGTTGTCATTAACCATTTGTTTGACTAGATTTTCGTGAGACATGCAGTTTAGATCTCGGTAAATCTCATTGTGGTCTCTTTTTTTTAATAGAATATTATAACCCCAAGACCACCTTAAAACCTGGCCCAACTGTTGAAAAATAACCAAGTAAAGTAGACCTCTACCAGCAATTTTGTCAGCATTGTCGTCTTTGATGAATGAATCCCATTTCAAGTCAGGCAAAGTGTAAGCTAGAGCGAGTGTCAAGGAAACAGGCAAGGAGTTGGAGTTCCCAAAGACAGACATTGCAATAACGTAATTTGTTTCAGGAGCATTGAAGGCATAACAATAAGAGACCAATTTGGAAGAAGCAACGGATATAGCAGTTGAGATAGCATAGAAAGCTGGAATTATTGCCAACTCGGCGAGAGTCTTGAAGGATAGTTGAGGGGCGAGTTTTGCAAAGATCAAACATGGAGTGAACAAATCAATATTTAGCTGCGATATATTTAACTGGGCAGTGGGATTCAACAAATTGACCTTTGCAGCAATGAACCCAGCCAAACAAACGAGGACGACTTCAAAGATAGCCTGGAAAGTTAAAAAGGCGATTTGGATGTAGGAAAGTTCTTCAAACATTTTGAAAGGATGGTGGAAAAGCAAAAAATAAGCAAAGAAGAGAAAGGAGCCATGGTGGCAACGCCCAAGTAGAGACAAAGGGAGTGTTTAAATAGGCGAGCTCTGGCATTTTGTTGCTGTTCTTTTCACGACCCAAAAGCACCTCTTCCACCATTTTTGAGTGGAGCACCTTGCGAGCCCAAAGCCAGGCCAACACGTGTGCTGAGAATTGTGTTTTTGGAGGGGTTGGACAACCATGGCGAGCGTCGCAGCGTGGCAGCTCCCGCACACACAGGGCTTATACATCATCCAAGGAGTTCCGGCAATTGCTCTTGCGGACGCAGCCGCCATCAGTCGTCTATTGCTGGAAATGGCGAAACGCGCTGGGCACCGGTCCTCGGCGCGCTTTGCGTTCTGCTCGCGCCTATATATAGCGCTGCTATTTATACTGCTGCAGTGCATCACCACAATGCAATACAATACAATATAATAGACTAGACCCTACAGCCTAATCCCACTCGCTCTTCACCAACACACAGTACATAATACAAAACTCTCCATAGAAATATACAATAGAAAGCAACCATCAACAAACTCCATTTCGCTCTATCTTCTGGACCCTTTACCTTCTCTCGCTTGCTCTGTCCCTCCCTTCGCCATGAAACTTTTTCTCTTCCTTCTGCTCTTCCTATCTTCAATAATACCTGCGTTATGCAAAAGATCTCTTACTGCTTCCTCGCTAGTGACATGTATGGATAGTTCCCAGCTCAGTGCTTCCAAATTCAACGTCGTATTCAATCCAGATGACAACTCTTTGCACTACGACCTAGATCTCTCCTCCGAAATAGATGGCTATGTTCAGGCTTTAATTCAGGTCTATGCATATGGCTTTGAGATCATCAGAAATGATCTAGACCTCTGCTCTTTGGATTTGAAACAGTTTTGTCCATTATATCCTGGCCCTGTTGATATTGATTCAGTAAACTACATCGACCTCGACTTGGCTAACCAGATTCCAAACATTGCTTACACTGTTCCAGATATTGATGCCTTTCTAAGACTAACCGTTACCAACAATAATGGCACTCAGATAGCCTGTATTCAAGCCAGTTTCTCTAATGGTAAATCCGTTTCTCATGTTGCTGTAAAATGGGTAACTGCCGGTATTGCAGGTTTGGGCTTACTAGTCTCTGCTTTGCTCTCGTGTTTTGGCAACTCAAATGCTGCTTCTCACATCTCATCAAACGCTTTATCTCTCTTCACCTATTTTCAAAGTGTTGTTATTGTGACAATGCTACATGTTGACCAGCTCCCCCCAATTGCTTCCGCCTGGTCCCAAAATTTATCTTGGTCAATGGGTCTAATTAATATCAAATTCATGCAAGACATCTTTAGATGGTATGTTCAATCAACAGGTGGCTCTCCAACAACCTACTTCTCCTCAGAAGCCATCTCCATTTTGGTTCAAAGAGCCTACAACTTGATTAAAAAAAGATCAAAAACTATCGTTCTTTATGGCAATTCTCATCTTCTAATCTTTAGAGGTATCAAGAGAGTCGGCTATCTAGCGGGCATTGAAACCTCTTCAATCGTTGTAACTGGTTTTACCTTTTTCATTGTCTGTGCCTATGTCTTGATTGTTATTTCCATCTTGGCTAAACTCATTCTAAAACTAAGATCAAACATTCTAAAGGGCTCCCTATCAAAATATATCTACATTGGTTTTGCTCAATTAACCATCTTCTCTCTCTGGGAATTCACTGAAAGAGACTCAACTGCAATTGTTGTTTTAGCTGCTTTGTTTTTATTCACTGCCATTGCAATCCTCTACTATGCTTGCTACAGAACTCTATATTTTGGTCGCATGGGTATTATCAACAACAAAAACCCAGCTTCAAATTTATATGGTGATGAAAACGTTTTAAACAAATATGGCTTTTTCTACACCATGTACAATGCTAAAACCTATTGGTGGAGCTCAGTTCATTTGATTCACATAACCATCAAATGCATTTTCATCGCCTTGTGCCAGAAATATGGTAAAGTCCAAACTTTAGTCGTCTTCATTAACGACTTGATTTATTTTATTGCTTTAATCTACTATAAACCATTTCTAGATAAGCCAACTAACATTTTAAATATCTTGATAATGACCGTTACAACTTTAAATTCCTTCCTTTTTTTGTTTTTCTCAAACTTATTCCACCAGCCTGCTGCTGTTGGTTCAATTATGGGCTGGGTTTTTTTCATTTTAAATGCTGCTTTTTCTTTAATTTTATTGATTTGGGTCATTTTCTACTCTTCCTTGGCTATCTTCTCAAAAAACCCCGATTCCAGATTCCAGCCCGCTAAAGATGACAGAAGATCCTTCCAAAAGAGAAATTCCCTAACTTCAAACTCGATTATGAGTCTTAAAGATGATGACAACAATGACAAACCCGCCGAGTTATTAGCCTTGGGTACCACCGCTAAAGATCATCAACTTAACTGGGACACAGATTTAAAGAGAGCTTCTCAATTATCCTATGATTCTCTATCTAAAAATTATAATAACAGCTCCAACTATAACAGTGACAATAGCAACACCAACAGCAATCCTAACAGCAACATCAACAGCCCTATTGATAACAACATCGATGCCTATATTAATAGCAACAACAATCCCAACCTTTATAACGATATGTACAATAAATACTAATACTCACTATAATTAGAAACTCACTCATCTCACTTAGACTGCATCTTGAATACATTCTCATTCTCATTCACATCTTCATATACGTCCAAACCTAGTTCTATTTCATCTTCTCTTTTTCCTTTTTTTCTATTTTTTTTCTTTTTTGATTTTTTTATCTACTATACTCTAATCGGTTCTTTAATCCAACTCTTGGTGCTTTTAATATTTTTTTAAAACTCTTTTTATATTCTTTCTTTCTCTGATTCCATTTTCTGTTTGTTACACTTTGTTTTCACTTTCTCCCAAGGTTCCTATTACCAAAATGAAATTTTAATCGCTAATAGACATTATCTTCAAAGACTGCACAACCTTCTCTGTAGCCCATTGCCATGGCACAGGCACCTGTATGCAGATAGCTGTGTCTATACTCTCACATGCACCGCCGATCGCCGCCAGCGACAGAAAACCGATTTGCCTCTGAAGGTTCCCCTAATCTCATCCTGATCTTTATACTTCTTTCTTCATCTCTCATCTCTTCTTTGCTTCTTTGCTTCTTTGATTTTTTGCAGCCCAAGTTTTGTTTAACAGTATTATTCGATTGTTGTTTATACTGCTTATCATTTCTAGTTGCATTTTGACTACCTGTTGTTTAAACATAAAGCCATAAAGCCATATACCCACCTCAATAATGTCTACCTGGTTTTCCTCCAACAGTGTGGATATCACCTCTTATTTAAATGAAGCCTGCTCTGAATCCATTCCAAATGGCGATATCGATTTCCCCAAGGCTCTAGAACTAGTTGATTTAATCAAAGCAAAAAAAATCAAATCAAAGGACTTCCTTAAAAGCTTTGAACAAAAATTGGTTGCAAATAAAAATCCCAATAACCAAATTTCTTTACTAAATTTAGTCGACTTGTTGATTAAAAATTGTGGCATCAATTTCTCCTTGGAGATTTTCAATTCAAATCAATCAAATACCTCCAGTGACAATGAATCAAGCTCAATAATTAGAAGCTCTTTATTAAATAAATTGTTATTCTTACTTCATAATAACAATATCAATAAGTTTGTTAAAGACAAAATCTTGGAAATGATTCAAAACTGGAAAATTTTATTCAAAAATAATAATAATTTAAATAACTCCATCATACAAGTTTATAATCAATTGAAATTTGAAAATTTTAAATTTCCCTCATCAACCCAATCCCAAGTTTTAAATGACACATTTTTAGATTCAAGAGTTCCTCCAGACTGGGTTGATTCAGATTCCTGTATGATATGTTTTAATAATTTTACAACATTTACAAGAAAACATCATTGTAGAAGCTGTGGAGGAGTATTTTGTCAATCTCACTCATCCAAAAATTTGCCCTTGCCTTCAATCGGTATAACTGAACCGGCTAGGGTTTGCGATTCATGTTTTGATCAAATTAAATCAAAGACTAAATCAAAAAGTAAAAAGAAAGCCCCGATTTCAATTTCGAATCCAATTATTAATCCCAATTCAAGCTCAAATTCAAATATAAATTTGCGGTCAAGATATTCTAACAGTAAAGATGCCCCTATTGACGATGAAGAGGTTGATGATTTGAAGAGAGCAATTAAATTATCTTTGCAAGAGTCAAATAAAAACCAGTCCACTAGATATTCTTCACCGCCATATAATTCAGTGTCAAATAAAGTCAGTAGCAATACTGGTGATCGACCAGTTGTCTTTGAAACGAATGACGATAGTGATTTAGATGAAGATATGAAAAAGGCAATTGCTGCTAGTTTACGCGATGCAGAAGAGGAGAAACTTAGAAGAGAAAAAAAAGAAAATTTGCAAAAACAACAATTGGGTTCAAATTTACAATCAAATAACTACCAAAATGATGGTTATAATAATAGTAATAATCATAATAATTATAATACTTATAGTAGTAATGGTTATGTTGGATTTGATGCAAATGCGTACAGATCAAATAGTGCCATTGAAAATGATAATACAATATCAAATGCAAACATAAACACCTCTAGCAATGAAGGAACTGATCAAATACGAAAAATATCTAATGAAAGAGTAAACGTTAAGGATGAAGAGAATATTCATTTGTTTTCTAAATTGGTTGAAAACCAACAGTTAAGACCAGAGAACATTTTAGAAGATCACGAATTACAGTCGTTATATTCAAACATAATTAAAGTAAGACCTAAATTAACTAAGAATCTCAATGATGATTTGACTAAATATGAACAATTTGTTGATATGCATAATAAAATTGGAACAATAATGAGATTATATGATTCATTATTGGAAAGAAGATTAGCAGGAGTTTATAGAAGAAACTCTTTTAATAACCAACAACAAAAACAAGCGCAACAACAATTGCAGCAACAGCAACAGCAACAGCAACAGCAACAGCAACAACAATTTCAGCAACAGCAACCTAATTTTCAAGAAAACCAATATTCTCAACTGTCGTTATCACAAATAGAGTGCCAACAAACAAATAATAGTTCAAATTATCAAGAACAGTACTTGGAAAGTTATCAAGATCAGTATACAAAAAATCCAGAAAGACAAGTTAATCAAAATCAAACAAATAACTTTTCAGAGCAAGAAGCGGTTCAGTCTCAGGAAACATCCCAATTGAATAATAGATCAGGATCTCATCAAAATGGATTTAATGATTCTAACGCCAATGGAAGAATACCTGTGAATGCATCAGAACCTCCAGAATATCATACAACTGGATTTGAATATCATAATGAACCATCGGCCCCAGCATATGAGAGTCCAATCACTAATAATTTTCCGAAAACTGTTGCAAAACCAGCATCTAGTTATTTACAAGATCTTGCCTTTCCTACGCCAGCCGAAGAAGAAGAGAGCAAAATAAAAAATAAGGTGTTGCTGCCTGCAAGTCAGCTATTCATGGCACCCGTCAGCGATGGCATTGATTACTCAAGGGTGTCTGCCATCAGTAGAACTGCTTCCAACCAGGAATACCAACAAAAGCAGAACGAGGCTCCACAGAGCCACGAGGCCAACAGAGAAAACCTGCAGCACTACTCAGCTTCCAATGGGCCCTTGAATCTGTCCATCTTCCCTGCAGTTCCAACTGCACCTGTGGAACAGCACCAGTCAAACCAGCGAGGTAGGTACAGTGCCAGGGAAGAGGCGCCATTGATCGAGTTGTGAAGGTGAAGGTGCTGGTGCTTCCGGTGCTGGATGAGATGCAACATATGGTGCTGAATAGACAACTGGAACCCGGATATCTGTCCGCTGTAAGTCTGTTTAACCGCACCGTATCCGTTCTCTGCTCCGGTAAACCCGTGGTGGGCGGACCGGATTGGGCTCGTCTAGAGCTCGACTGTTCGGATCACCAAATAATCAATACTGCTTCAACAACAACAACACAACCTTCTGGTTTTACAGTGCAATATGGCAGATCAGAACCTCTGTGCCTGGTGTGGTCTAATCTGGCAAGTGCCAGTTACTCTTTGAAACCCATTGGGACCTTTTGAGACAAGAAGCTGCTCCCAATCCATCTGTTTTCCATTCCTCTCTGTCTGATAGTCCAGGTCTTTCCTTACTGGGGATTAGTTCTCATCTAGTTTAATCCAGTACCAACTAAACATACAGACTGGCAGGCAAAAAGTTTAATCTGCTTGTTGGCATTAGACAAAGTTATTTATATGTTCATTCATCAGTTGAATTTATCGTCTGTTCTTTTTTTTTCCTTTTTTTTCCCTTGAATTCTGGCTAATATATTTCCTCCATTTGAATATATTATTAATACATCACTTTACTCTAGCATAGCTTATTTAATAATTGCTAATAGCTTTCTATTCTTTCATTCAAGTGCTTTGCAGTCTAACTGGTCGCCTTTTTTTTAAAGCAAGACCCATTTATTTATAATGGATAAAAATTCAGCAAACTCGTCTCCTACTCGTTATATTCCTGGCCATTTCCCCAATATCAATCACAATTCAGACAATGATTCAAACCATTTGAATCCCAATACAAGCTCTGTTCCAAATTTAAACTATTCAACTTCATCTCTTAATTCAAATTATAATCAGTTTCCCAAATATATTCCTGCACAAACAACAGATAAAATGAATAATAACAATAATAATAATAATAATAATAATAGTAATAGTAATGACAATGAAGAAAGTGAAGATGACAGTATATTGACTGAAATCAAAAATCCTTCTTTCTTGCCCAAGACGCCAGAAAATAAAAACCCAGCTCACTATATCAATCCTCTTTCTCAAAATGAAGATCTACCTTCTTCCAGCTCTTCAGAGTTTTCCTTCAAACCCCCAAAATTAATAACAAAACCCTCTGTTACATCTCTTGAAAAAGCAGCTTCTTCTCAAGATCTTGATTCCTTACACTCTTCTGTTCATTCTCAACTAGCAGTTCCGTTTAACAATACTTCATCTTTAGAATCCGTCAAAAATAAAAATTTACCTAACCAATCTTCTTATATTTCAATCAATAAAAAGGATATTCCTTCTAAATTATCCCAGCAAAATTTAGCAACAACTTCAAGTTCTCTGGATCTTCAAACTCCTACAGATCCTGTTCTAAGATCCGATGAATCAATTTCAACAGAAAGATCCTCCGATCTAGAGGCAATAGAATTAGCTGATAACGGATTTGCTCCTTTTCCTTCAAATCCTAATGTCAACATAACCAAAAACTCCTCTGATTCAAATGGTTCCTCCTCAGATAATGAATCTTATGATAATAATCAAGATGATCGTTTTTCTTTTGCATCTTCTGTTAATCATTCAGTCAACTATGACAACCGTAGAGAAGTCGTTCAAAATGATTCTTCGTCTGTGTCCTCCTATGAATCGTCATTCGATGAACAAAAAAATTCTCAATTCTATTCTCCACTGAACCCTCCCCCTCAACCAGTCCCTCAACCAGTTCCTCAACCGGTTTCTCAACCTCAATTCCAACCTCAATTCCAACCTCAACCCCAAAATCAATTCCAACCTCAACCCCAAAATCAATTCCAACCTCAACCCCAAAATCAATTCCAATCTCAATTTCAGAACCAAAACCAAATTCCAATTCTAAATCCCAACCAAATTCCAGTTTTAAATCAAAACCAAGTTCCAATTCAAAATTTAAACCACCCATCTAGTCGTACTTTACCTCAAATTCCCGTTCTTGCCCATCCTCAACCTTCCCAAACTTTTTATCAATCTCCTTTCGCTTCTACACATGAAATCGATTTTAATTCTCCTCACGTTATAAATGATGCCGATGATGATCCTGTCAATTTCGATGATCCTATACCTAATGATTCATTTTTAAAAGTCAAAGATTCCCCTCCTCATAGTCCAAATAGATATCCAACAACCACAACTGCTTTTAACATTCCTACAGGTATTTCGACTGCTGTTGAAAAGGACAAAATTGAAAAAGAATTGAAACAAAGCGGCACCCAACTTAAAAGATCTTCAACTAAAAAAATCAAATTAGCCACTTCTGGTGGAAATTTGGTATTGGATTGCCCAATTTCTGAAGATTTATTAGAAAAGTATACTGGTGAAAATGGTAAACCTCCAACTAGTCATGAATTTGGTTCCATGAGATATCAAGCTGTTACATGTGAACCAGACCAGTTTGAAGATCAAAATTATCAATTAAGACCGAACTTATACACAAAAGAAAGAGAAACAGAGCTATTAATTGCAATCACAATGTACAATGAAGAAGAATACTTGTTGGCAAAGACATTAAAGGGTGTTTTTCAAAATATTATCCATTTAAGCAATTTGAAAAATTCAGAGGTTTGGGGTGAAAATTCATGGAAGAAAATAGTTGTTTGTATTATTTCAGATGGTAGATCAAAAATTAATCCAAAGAGTCAAGCATTGTTGGCTAGTCTAGGTGTTTTTCAAACTGGTTTAGCAAAAAATAAAGTTGGCAAAAAGGATGTTAAACTTCATCTATATGAACATACTACAATGCTAGGTATTAGATCTACAGAAGAAAATAATATCACCTTTGTTAGATTTGGTATACCTATTCAATTGATGTTTTGTTTAAAAGAGAAAAATCAACAGAAAATTAATTCACATAGATGGTGTTTTCAAGCATTTTGCAAGGTTTTACAACCAAATGTGATTGTTTTGCTTGATGCAGGAACACAGCCTTCAGAAACATCCATTTATCATCTTTGGAATGAATTTTATTTAAACGATAATGTTGGTGGAGCATGCGGAGAAATCAAAGTTGCATTGGGTAGAAAATGGAAAAATCTATTAAACCCCTTGATTGCAGCACAAAATTTTGAGTATAAGATTTCTAATATATTGGATAAACCAATGGAAAGTGTATTTGGATACATTTCTGTTCTACCAGGTGCATTCTCAGCATATCGATACAAAGCATTGCTAAATGATCCTGTAACGAAAAAAGGGCCATTGGATTCATATTTCAAAAAAGAAATGATGGAAAAACATAATATTTCTGCTGGTTTTTTTGATCAAAACATGTATTTGGCCGAAGACAGGATACTTTGTTTTGAATTGGTATTTAAAAATGAAAAATTATGTTATTATGAAGACCCAGATGGTCGTCCGACCGATACTAGAATTGGGTGGGTATCAAAATATGTCAAATCAGCAAAAGCAGAAACAGATACACCAGCAAGCGCTGCTGATTTAACTAAACAAAGGAGAAGATGGCTTAATGGATCATTCTTTGCAGCTGTGTTTGCAGTTACTCATTTTTATAAAATTTGGACAAGTAGTCATAGTTTTTCCAGAAAGCTCATTATCCAGATAGAAATGATATATCAATTGATTTCATTAATTATTTCATGGTTCGCGATTGGAAGTTTTTTTTTGATTTTTCGAATTTTAACATCAAGTCTTGAAGATTATTTCTCGGGAGCAGATATACTAGGAGGAATATTTTTATGGTTTTATTTGGCTTGCTTAGCAGTGACAGTCATTTTAAGTTTTGGAAATAGACCCGATGGAACTAGAAGGGTTTATACAGTTATGTTTTTATTCTATGGGATATTAATGGTGTATACTATGTTTGCATCGATTTATTTGTCAGTCAAATCAATCCAGGACTTTGAGTTGGCTAGGAACTTTAACAACTTGGTATTTGAAAACTCGAGGTTTAGAGATTTAGTTGTTTCAATGTCATGTACAATAGCACTTTTTTATTTTGCAAGTTTTGTTTACTTTGAACCATGGCATATGTTTACCTGTTTTATCCAATACATGGTAATATCACCAGTTTACATGAATATTTTGAATATATATGCATTTGTTAATATGCATGATATCAGTTGGGGTACAAGAGAAGAGGCAGATAAAACTGACTTAGGCAAAGTGTCAGTTTTAGGAAAGGAAAAAATCAAAAAGAATAAGGACAATGTTGATGAAGAATATATTGTGGCATTAGAGTTGCCATCATCAAGAGAAGATGTGCGTAAGGAGTATATGAAGAATCACTACATTTTAAATGAAAAAGTGGAAAAGAAAAAAATAGTGAACAAAGAAGAAGAAAGAAAAGATTATTATGCGTTGGTGAGAAGTGGCATACTAGTGCTATGGACCTTCACAAATGTGGTGATAGTTGTGGTTGTTTTGACCCAAGATGGATTCACCAGTGGAGCCAATTTGGAAAACATTGAAAGAAAAAGAAGTGAAATATTTTTGACGGTTATTTTGTGGTTAGTGGCATTTATGACAGGATTTCGGTTTTTAGGCAGTATGTTGTATCTCGTTTTCAGAATGTTCAAGCAGTGGGAGTATTGGACAGTGAAAAGAGAGTTGAGATACCGATCCAATGACAAGGAGCTAGGGTATTAGCTGGGTAGTAGGGTTTTTATTGTTGATTGCTAATTTTAATTGCTAATTTTTAATTGTTTTTATTTTATATTTTATATTTATATTTATATTTTTTTATATTCCGGATTATTTTTGCAGTTTCGGCAAACGGAAATCCACATCGAGTAATTCTCCCGGCATAGTTCCGACAACCGGTTTCCGACTCTCTCACGTGGTGTGAAATTTCTGAGAAGGCGAAAAAAAAAAGCGACGAAAACCTCCTGAGCTATTTTCTTCTTCTTCTTCTTCTTCTTCTTCTTCAGCTTCTTCTCTGCCTCCATCAACAAGAAGCAGAGCCTCACTTGCTTGCCTTTCAGCTTTTACTCTGAGCGTTTATCTTCAGAATAGCACCAGATGTATCATAATAAGACCCTCGACCATTTTGCTTTCTTTTAAAATGACGACTTATTATGCCACTCAATCAACTTCAACTTTGATTTCTTCCTTTAGTCAAAATTCCAGTCAGCTATCCAGTAATAACTCTTCCAATGTTACTTCTGTTTCGAATTCTTCTTCCAATATCAACATTGGTGGTTCCATTGCTAGTGCAAATGACCCAATCACAGGCGTTTCTTCCTTTTCTAACAAAGTTGACATGTCTTCCCACTCGACTCCCAAGACTTTGACCCCAAATGGCTATTCTCTATCAAATTCAACTTCCAGCTCGAACTCAGTTTTGAATCTGGTCTCAAATTCAAGCTTAGTTTCTCCTTTAACCTCGTCTTTAAAAAACTACAGCCTGAATTTCAATTCAAATACCAATTCAAATTTGACTTTGAATGCTAATTTGTTAACTAATTCAAATGGGGCTCTTGTTAATACAAATACAAATTCAAATGCGAATGCAGATGCAGATGCAAATAATTCAAATAAAAGCTCTTTTTATTATCAGTACCAGATTATTGATAAGGCTCTACTCAATTATAAATCAAAATCTTATGCAAATTCCTATTATTACAGCAGAAATAGAGTGGTTTCATCTTCTCATTCTCACAGTAATAACAATAATAACAACAATAATAATAGTACTAACAATAATCACAATAATAATAACAGATTCAACCCTCAAAGAGTAGCTAGAAGAGCTGTATCCACTCCTTTTTTTAATCTTTCTTCATCTAACAATTCTAGTACAAGCAATAACTTTACTTTAAATACCAAAAAAAGTTATAACATGCTAAACTATAATTATAATAATAATAATAATAATAATAATAATAATAATAATAATAATAGCAATAATAACAACAGTAACAATAATAATAGTAATTATAATAATACTTACAATTCTAATTCTAATTCTAATTCTAATTCTAATTACAATAATTATAATAACATCAATAACGTTAATAGCAGTAGTAATAGTAGTAGTAATAACAACAATATTAACAATTTTGGTAACTTCACAAATTTTAACAGTTTCAATTCAAATTCTAATTCAATTTATAATTCCAATTCCAATTCCAATTCAAAGACAATAAATTTTTCAATGCCCACTTTTAATGATTCTTCAAATTATAATTCTCAACAACGTTCTCCACTAACTTATTTTGCTCAGCCAAATATTATCAATAATTCAAATTCAAATTACCAATCGAATTCTCAGACTTCTAGTCCTACACCTTCTGTTTCTTCAATGAATTTATTGACAAACCAAAACACTTCTCCTTCTTTGATATCTTTATCAACTCCTCATTCCTCCTCTTCTTCAGCTTCTTCTAATCTTTTGCAGCAAAATAATACCGGCCCTTTATTAAGTAATTCAAATAATTTCAACCATAATTCGGCCAACATTAATGAGGATAGTAATAATATTCCTACCTTAGAACAATTATCACAACAATATAGCTCAATGACTCCCTTGAATATCACATCAACCCTTCAGCAACCTTCAACTGAGTATTATAACTTGGGTGGTTTTACCAATAATCATAAGTCTTTGAGGAACTCAAATTCTTTGGAAAACATTTTGCAAAGGCCAAGCTCAGTTAACTCCAATCATAACTTCAATTCGAATAATCATAGCATTTGGAGTAATAATAATTTTAGCAATAGTAGTGGTAATTTAACACTATCTTCAACTTTGGTGAACAATACAATAACAACACCAACTCAAAAAACATTTTTATCCAACAATAATAACAGCGTCAACAACTTTAGTAATACTAATAGTAGCAATAGAAAATTCGGTTCTTTTGGTGCAACGAGTAATGATATTGATCCAATGTCAAGCTCTGCTTATTTCTGATGTTACTGATTGATCTGTTTTGAGTTTCAATACTATTTATGTTCTAAGCACTATGTATCCTTTCGTTATATTTTATCTTTCACTTGATATCATCTTTTTATTATTCAAAAAGGTTTTAATTTTATTTTTTGTCTAGTTCTTTTTCTCTCAAATTACTTTACATTTCTATATCCTTATATTTTTATATTTATCTTCTCATTTTCATATTTCTCTACTTTAAATCTTTATAACTTATTACTTTTATAACTTATTACTTTTATAACTTTTATTTATTTTTTATTTATTTTTTATTTGTTTTTTATTTATTTTTTCCCATTATTTGTGGTGTCTTTATTGTGTTTCTTTAAAAAGAGATTGTGGAGTTTTCAGGTAAATTTGTGAAATATTATTGCTAAAACTTTTTGATAAACTATAGAAAAGAATGCTGAACAGTTGTACTCTAGCCCCAAGAGTGCCTGTTCTCCAGCACATATTGGTTGGTGTGGTGGATATCTTGATGGGCATATCTTTACGCATGCAACCTTCTATTTCATTTACATCTGGTAGTTTATGTCTTTATACAGCCTATAATCAGTACAGCAAATATATTAAGTATTATAATAACCATTTCTTTCTCGCTCAAAAAAAGCTCAGACGGTTGAGGCTCCTTTTCTGCTCTTCTTCGTCTTTCTTCAGAGAAACAGCCTCCAGCCCACCTTCGATAAGCTGAAACAATTGCTTTCCTGTGTTCGAGCAACACCTCTTCGTTCTTTGGTTTTATCGTTGCTTCGTCTGTCACGCTGGTCACTGGTTCTTTTGCTGCTTCTTTTGCTGCTTTCCTCTTTCTCTGTTCCATTCTCCTTTCGCAGCTTATACCACAAAATGGGGTTGTTCTCTGATAACCATCCTTATACCTCTGTCACTGTTACCATCGACCAGCTCTGCGATTCTTCTGATTCCAAGTTTGAGCCTGAGATTCAGTTGGCTGAGCTCTTGACCTCAATCAAAATCCAGTCTGCCTTCGGATCTGTAGAGGCTGCCAGAGCCATCAGAAGAAAACTCAAGTATGGCAGCTCTACCCAGAAGATGAGAGCCTTGATCTTGTTGGAGTTGTTGGTTTCCAATGGGGGCTCGCCCTTGACTCCCTTGTACAACGATCAGAAGCTTATAGACCAGTTGATCAAGATGATGAACTCTAGTTCAAATACCAACTCCAGCTCCAATACCAACAGTTTGAATCCTAAAATTAAAAAGAAATTGTATCTCTTGAGTTATGGCTGGCACAATGAGTTCAAAAATGATCCTAGCTATAGGGGTATATCTTCAATCTACAATTATTTGCCCAAAAATATCAAAATAAAAGATAGTTCATCTACAAAGAAGCAGATTCCAAAGTTTATGGATGATGAGGCTGATCTATCTGCCACTACTCCCTTTAATGAAGCTCTCCAAAACTCCAGTACCAACTCATCGTCAAATACAACATCGAACATAAATTCCGATACTTCTTACTCAAGACCTTCGTCAGCACCTCCTTCTAAATCATCACCTAAACCTAAAACTTTAGCTGATTTACAAAAGCAATTCAACATCCCCAAGATCAACATTCAGAAAGAAAGACCCAAAATTCAAAGTTTGATATCTGAAGCGTCAATTTCCTCAACTTCTTTGAAAAACTCTCTATCTTCAATTAATCGAAATAAAGGCGAATTATCCATAGATAATGAAAGAGCGACATTAAATTTTGAAAAATGTAGACAAATCAGAAGAAAAATTTTAAGATGGTTACAAGTTGTTGAAAATGATGAAGAGCTACTAGGTAGTTTGATCAGTTGCAACGAAGAGTTGGTAGATGCGTTACAAAAATATACTGATTTTGGTTCTTTCAATGAAAACTCAATTGCCAAGTCAAAATCTGTCCCAAATGATACTGAATCCGATAGCGAAAGTGATTATAATGGTGACAATAATGGCAACGACAGGTTTTCAGTTAGTGGGAAAAGAGCTCCACCTCCACCTCCACCACCTTCAGCTTCCAAAAACAAAATTGATAGTTCTGATGATGAAAATTTTGATCAATTAAGTGATTCAGATAATGAAAATCCATTTGATGATTCTTATAAGCTTCATAATTAATTAGTAATTTTATTTATCTATTTATTTTTATTTTTATTTTTATTTTTATTTTTATTTTTATTTTTATTTTTATTTTTATTTTTATTTTAGTTTCTATAAATTTTTTAGTGTTCTAACAGCTTGATTTTTTTTATTGTACGATAAATTTATATTTAAGTAGCTAATTTAGTTTGTTTTTAGTTTTTAATGATATCTCATATAATATTTCTTACTGAAAAGTATAAAAGTCAAATAAAAGTCAAATGAAAGTCCAGTAAAAGCTAAATAAAAGTTAAAGAAAAGTTGAAGAAAAGAAAAAGAAAAGTTAAAGGTATTAAATAAAAATGAATACATAATAAAAAGAAACCCGAATCAAGAATAAAACCACTATACTAATAAAACCAACGAAATAAGCGTATTGAATATATAAAAACCAGGTATTGAAGATGAAGGAAAATAAAAAATAATTCAAGTTAGAAAAAGTGCAATCTAAAAAAATAAATTCAATGAAAGATAGTATGTGAATCGGTTACAAGATATTTATAAACATCAAAGTTGCAATAAGGACAGTTTTTCTTAAATTCATCATAACTTTGAAAATGTTTTATATCAATATCATTAAAAAGCCATTTTTTAATACATTTGGAGTGATAAATATGAGAACATGGTAGGCATGTCATTTTGCTCATTAAAGAGAAATTTTCTAAACATATTGAACAAAGATCAGCATCATCTTTATAATTGTCATATTCATCCTTATTTTTTGATTTACTGAAGATACCATTAATAGTATATTTATTTTTATTATTGTTATTATCATTATTGTTATTATCATTATTGTTGTCATTGTTGTTGTCATTATTGTTGTCACTATTGTTGTCATTATCAGATTTTTCTTTGATTTTGAAAATTTTATGAGCCTGATTTAAACCTTTGATTTTCAAACCCTTAAAAGTGGACTTAACCATTTTCAAATTATTAGAATTAAAACAATTAATAAGATCACTTTTTTTGTGTTGGTGTTTTAGTTTTTTGTTTGAATTATTACGAGTTTTATACTTATAATAAAATATAGACAGTATATTTTTATCAAAATTTTTTCGGTATTTTATAAATCCCTGCTTATAATCAATTGAATTGAACTCATCCTCCAAGTCGTTGAAATCAAACATTCGATTGATTAGAATATGGTGTCTTATTTCATCATCAGCAGGTATATCCCTCTGAGGAGGTGGCAAGTTTGCTTCTTCAACCAAGTTTTCCCATGTTTCAATTCTTTGATTTAAAGACTTGAAATCAAATAGATATTCTCTAGCAAAAAATGAGAACAAAGCCAAAATCAAGGTTATCTTCAAAACAGATAAAATGAAAAAAATGAATTCACCAAACATTTTGCTGGATGAACTTTAAACTATTGTAACTCTTGATTTTATGCTCCATATACACTTTTCAGCAAAACAGCGATGATTTTGACTATAGCCCCTCTCCTGCTTTTTTCTTTTGGTTTGATTGCAGTATTTTTGTTGCTTTGATTGTAGTATTTGGTTTTTATATCGTTTTGATATTCTGAATCAGCTTTGTCACTGAACCGGATCACCCTCCTTGATTTCAACTCCACGCCACACAAAAATGGGCAGAAAAATGGGACAGGACCGTGTTTCGCTAGATTGGAGCCCTATCTTTGGCCCTATTTTTATTTCTACCCGCTCAGAAATTGGCTTGAATCTGAGGAAAGAAACCATACCACTGGTAAAATAGGGCTCGTTGACCAGGTGCTGTCTAGATATGATTATCCACGAATATGGACATAATCGGAACATACAGATAAAGGTAACTACTGTACAGAAGCACACATTGAGACCACAACTGTGGGGATGTTGAATTTTATATTTATAAATCATGCATTTGGTGTTTATTTGAATTTATATTTCTGAAAAAAATCTTGAATCTGAGTCTTAGTTTTGTTTTTTCGATGCCTTAACCAGCATTTTTCTTCTGTTCGTGATTAATTTAGCAAAAATGAAACCGAAAGATAATACCATGACAATTGATGTCACAATTCTCACAATACTAATGTCATTGAATTTTGGAACAGGAAGAGAATATTCATCCACCAAATACCCACCTTCTGTAAGTGTTTCTGCACTGTGTGTGGTTTCATTGACAGCACCTGATTTTAAATGAAAAAATATTGTGTTATCTGTAAAAAATGATTCGTAATTCAATTCTGATTTCAAATCCAACGGATTCCTCTTGCTATAGGTCTTTTGGTATTTTTCAACTAATTCTTCATAATCAGAAACTTTTAAATTATCATTTTGTTCGGCATAAAATTTATTTAATTTATCAATTGATAACTCACAAGCCCAAAAGACCTCTGGTTTTTTCATAAAGTGCTTATTTGAATTCGAGCTATTTAATGATGGTTCCAAATATCTGAAATGAAGCGGTATCTCAATGCTGTTTTTTTTATTAATATCTGCCTGAAACAACCCAATAGATCCCCATTTGTCAATGCTATAAACTGGTTTTTCTAAATCGCTTTCTCCCCACAATCCAACTAATTTATAATTTTCTTTCTTAGAATTTTCAACTAATTGATACTTGTCAAAAAAAATCTCTTTGTTAGTTTCATAATATAAAAATAATTCACAGTCAAATATCTCTTTATTCATAGGCGCTTCATTAGAAAAGTCGCTAATTATAACATGATGTTTCTCATTCAATCCATTAGGCTGTTTGAAAAATGATTCAAAATTTTGTTCTCTGTAAAATTTGTGACGTGGTTCAATACTGACCATTGTCTTTCTAACTTTCTTAATGCCCTTTTCTGGAAAATTTTTATTAAAATCATCAATTTTCAAATTATCTATAAATCCCAATAAAACTAAATCTTGATACTTGATTGATAATTTTTTATCAATTGAAAAAACTCCCAATTCTTTATCAATGTATTCTGAGATCATAATCATAGAATTAAAATTAATTCTAGGCCAGTATAAGGTAATAACCATATTGTTTTTGTCTTTAAATTTTCCATTATACTCAATTGAAAAACTGCTGATGGATAACAAATCCCTATTAAGTTTAGTTAAGCAATACTGTTTTTTACGATCAGATGATATTTGATTATCATAATCACAAATTAAATTAGAAATGAATTTTGAAATTTCAGTTGGAACTTCAAAATTATTATCTTCGTGGTACTGAAAACTTAAAGGTGTTTGGATGAAATTTTCAATAGATATATTTTTATTGTTATCAATGAAATTAAACAACTCATCAAAAGATGTGCTAGCATTAGCGCCATCTTTGGGTTTTAAGTAATAATTTAATCCCGATGGAATATTTTTCGAAAACACTTCTGAATTCTTCGATGTTTCGTCAAAAGAGCTCCATTCAATCGAAAATTTGTCAATACCACTCAATTTACTTAAATCGATTAGACTTGATGGAATAACAAATCTATCTTGCCTCTCGTACTCCCCATTTGGAACAAACCACTTGTTTTCTGATAAAACCAAACCCTCAAGAGGATCGTTTATATTAATTTTCTTATCGCCTTTATCATCAACCAACAATGTGATTCTTTGCTTGATTGTAGACATCTTTGTATTGCTAATTGACAAATAACAATGTTGTGTTGTAGCCACTTATTTTCTCAAAACTGTTATTCCCACGATCGTGCGCATCCTGCTAGTTGAGGGTTATTGAAATATACATTTAACACGGGTTTGTTTGGCAAGGTTCTATTACCAGATTACAACATATACTTATAAAATACGATACTAATACATTTACTATAATTATAACTATACTAATTATATTGCATATAACGGCTTGTGGAGCTAAACTTGATATTTCCCTTGATGACTTTTTCAACTGCTGCAAGAAAATCTTTTTCAGTTGCAACTTTTCTTCTTGCTCTTATCGCAAACATACCGGCTTCTGTGCAAACAGATCTTAATTCAGCCCCAGTAGAGTTTGGACACAATCTACTTATCAATTCCCATCTTATATCTCTTTCACAGCTCATTGACTTGGAGTGAATCTTGAAAATACTAGTTCTTCCTTCTAAGTCAGGCAAGCTGAACTCAACTTTTCTATCAATTCTGCCTGGCCTCAATAAAGCAGGATCTAAAGTGTTTGGTCTATTTGTCGCAAACATAACCTTTATGTTGCCTCTTGCATCAAATCCATCTAATTGAGTAATTAACTCCAACATAGTTCTTTGAACTTCATTATCACCACCAGCACCATCATCGAATCTTACACCACCTATAGCATCAATTTCATCAAAAAAGATGATAGATGCATTATTAGTTCTTGCCATCTCAAATAACTCTCTGATCATTCTTGCACCTTCACCCACATACTTTTGAACCAATTCAGAACCAATAACACGAATGAAAGTGGCATCAGTTCTATTTGCAACAGCTCTAGCACACAAAGTTTTACCAGTACCTGGGGGACCGTACAATAATATACCCTTTGGTGGGTCAATCCCAAGAGTAACAAAACGATCACTGGATAAAAGAGGTAACTCAACCACTTCTTTCAACTTTTCGATTTGCTCTTTACAGCCTCCAATGTCACTATAGGTTACATCGGGTTTTTCTTCAACAGTCATCATTGTTACTGAAGGATCAATTTTTGGTGGTAAAGGCAACATAATTTCATACTTGGTTCTATCCACACCAACTCTCATTCCCTCTTCTATATCGGTCGGAGAAACTTTTTCGCCTAAACCAACAACAAATTTTGCAATCTGTTTTAAGTTTATAACATATTTTGTCTTTTCGGTATTTGAAGTATTATTATTACCAAAAACTCCGCCTAAAGCTGAGCTAAATAAATTATTAGCAGTGGTGGAGTTTGGATTAGCAAAATTAAATCTGTTGGAAGAACCAGTATTATTATCAGTGTTATTAGCATCGGCACTATTAGTATTACTATTATCAGCACTAGAAGAAGGTTTGATAATTTTTGTACATCTTGCAACGTGTAATGGAGGATCATCACTCATTCTTTGGTTATCTGCCATGATATCCCATAGATGAGGAGGAGCCAAACCGGTGTCGCTTTCTTTCACGCCAACCTTTTCTTTTATTAAATCTTCAATGTCTTTAAGGTCCTTCTCTATTTTTTTCAAATTGGTTGCGTATGGAGCCAACCCATATGTTTTCAATACCTGAATATCGTCATCTGTCAATGGCACAATTTTTGCTTGTTTTTTCGAGTTTTCTGCGTCATCCTCATCAGGAACATAATTATATTTTTCCCAATTTTCATTGATTCTAGGCATTGATGAGTGGTAACTAATTTATAAAAAGTGAATAGAAACTATTTGGCCGTTAATTGACAATTTTTCTGAAATAACTACTTGCTGTGCTGACAATTTTGGTGAATTAGAGGTGGGAGGCAAATGGAAGAAAGTATCTTAGTGGTTGAATCAGGGTAACTGAAAGATCCAGAGAGACGGATGCCATGCGCACCGAGCAGTATTTGCTATAAAGTACAGCTACATGTATCGGCTTTTCAATTCGGCTTTTGATCGTTTTGACTATTTATTGTAAGGTGTTTATGACTGTCTTATGACTGTCCTCTTCTTTGAACATTCTTTCTAGGTTTCCATATTTTTCCTCCCTTTCCTGGGTTTGTATCCCAGCTGATAAATGGAATGCTGGATACTTTTTTGTTTTCTAATTCTTGATTTCTCTTATCTATTAAAATTCTTGGACAAATTTCATGAGAAGATAATTCAGTTCTACCTTTTATCAATACAAACTGGAATTTCTTTTCTTCTGAAATGCACTTTATTCTTTCAATTAATTCATTAGGCATATATATATTAATGTACTTTTTTTCAATGTTTATTGAATGAACAGCAGCTAGCCCTAAAAACAGGACTGTACTCAAATCGTGGGAATCCAGTTGGAAAAATGATGAAGGAATATTAATTGGCTCATTTTTTTTTTTGATAAAATAGTTAAAACTATCAGTTATAGATTGGTTTGACACACAATAGATGCTTGAAACTGAACCATCTAAAATCAAGTTGGAACAGTTTTCTTCAACATTAATTCCAAAATCATTTAATAGGCTATAGCCGAAAATACCCTGGAATTGATTTATGCTTTTGGAAAAATCGGAATAATAGGATATTTTGTATGGTGAATTAAAAATCAATGGCTCAAAATTGAAGCTTTTTTCCTTGATTTTATGAAAATAAGATGCTAATTTAAATGTTCGATATTGTGTTGAAGTTATTTTGCATTTATTATTGGAACTTAAAAAGATACCATTTACTCTCAAGATCCTAGACAGATTTGGAATGTTTATTGAGCTTAAGCCTCTGTGGTCGGTTACCTGTTTTTCCTGTTTATCATGGTTTTCAGTACAATTTTCCTTAAAAAACTCTTCCAATTCATAGTTTCCCTCATTCTTGCCAGATTCATTTGAAAAATAAACGATGTGAGTTGGATTGATTATACTGACAATTTTATTTAAAATTTCGAAGCCATAGCCTTTAATATAGCCTGGGGTATTTATTAATAAAGGTATATCAAGATTGTAATGTTCTTTATTGTAATAATCAAATAAATTTTTAATTAGATAATAGTATCTAGAAAGGTTGTCTAGAGGGGAATTAAAGCCAAAATACTCATTTTTCAACAGTAAATCATCGCTCAAATTATATGATAGATTAGATAAGCCAATTATAGGAGAGTGATGTGTTGAATAAGATAATGAGTCTATGTAAGAGAAAATGGGCTGGCCTGGATCAATATCTAGAATTGATACGGGATTCTCAGTTGAAATTGAAATCTCTGAATGCAAGAAATGGTTGAGTAAATTCAATAGAAAAGTTGATTTACCGGAGTTTTTTGAGCCAATTACTAAAACTTTTGGAACAATACTGATAAAATTGATTTGATTGTAAAAATTGGTCAAACTATTAATCGAGTCCAACATTGAATTAGATATTGAAATAGTTGATAAATAATTTGAAGAGGATCTTTTGGATTGCCATGAATATAAAATTGGAATAAATGAGTAGCCCAAAAAAGATTTCAAAAAGGGATTGTTATTAATCAAGTTGAATTCGCTGTTATCAGATCCATTGTTGTTTTTATCGCTACTATTATTACTATTACTGTAATTTTTGAACGATTTTAATAGAAAACTAGGAGAGTAAAATATGTCATTCATAAATGGAAATAGAAATTCATTAGAAGTTTCTAGACCTGTAAATAGATTTTTTACTTTAATGATCGTGACGAACTTAGAAGCATTGAAAAAGTGATAATTATCAGTTGGCATATCAACAATAGCATTTGATTTATTAGAGCCTTGAGCTGAGTAAATTATAGAGAGAGAGTTAGAGATTGGTTGATAAATATCATATACTTTATTAGGAGAGGAATCATAAATAATATTATTAACAGTTATTGCACCTTTGAGAACGATCAACGAAAACTGACCTTTAAAGATTATAGATTGGCCAACTTTTAAAGCAATTGTTACAGAATCATCCTCAAATATCACATTATCGCCATTGGGAATATAATTAGATAAAGCAATGGAATCATCATTGTTGTCGATATAATTGATACTTTTCAACAATGGTCTATTTGATTTTAGAGATTTCGGTGATTTTGAGACCTTGACTGGTTTTGATTCATTCAGCTGGCTTAAATTTTCATCTTTATTTTGAATAATAGTGCTATCAATCACAGCTAAGGGACCTGACTCATCAGTGACTGGGAATTCAAAATCACTTCCAGAATCATCAGATTGGCTGCTATCATCGTTTATCTCTTCATCAGAGGAATACTGTTGATAAATCAAAGTATTAACATCGGCTTCGGACTTAATTAATCTCAACGATGCAAAAGCACTGACTGTGGATTTAGTAAATAAATTATGTTAATATATGGTTTTGCACACTGGAATATAATAAATTCATCAATAGTTTCATACCATTGTGGGACATTTTATATTTTATCCACCATAACAGGTTGGAGCCAACTCAAAAACATGAAAAAAAAATGGGTTAAAAAATAAGCATCCATAGCAGTGAATTTGGGCAACGCGTGTAAATGCACATGTATACTGATAGTCGCCGATATATTCAGTGACCACCAGTGTGGGTTCCTCAAGCCAGCAACCAATCACATTTTTTTTTTTACCAATGGATTTTCACCTGATTTTACTTTTTCAGCATGTTGGCTGGAATATATTAGCTGATATCACAAAGCTTCTGGATATCATTCATTTCTTTGATAGTTTTTTCCAATAAATTGCAACAAGCTCTGGTTTTTGATTGATTTCTGATCGAACTTTTGTTAATTCTGGATTTTACCTCTTCTATACACATTTTTCACAATATACAACAATGACTATCACTGGCCCTTTAACTACTGTTGGTTTTGATGCTCGTTTCCCAAATCAAAATCAAACTAAACACTGTTGGCAATCTTATGTTGACTACCACAAATGTATTAATGCTAAAGGAGAAGATTTTGCTCCATGTCAGATTTTCTGGAGAACCTACACTTCATTATGTCCTGTTGCATGGGTTGAAAGATGGGACGATCAAAGAGACAGTGGTACTTTCCCAGCCAATTTGAATCCTTAAGCTATGTTTAATATTATATCTTTGTTTAATTGTTTTGATTTTATTTAGTATTTCAGAATCTACTATGTTTAAAATTAAAATTAAATTTGTGGTATCCATAATTCTATTTATTTTTATCTTTATTTTTCACTATTCCGTTTTACCTTTTGATATTATTAAATAATAAATGCATAAAATATTCAATAATGTTTTTAATTGAAATTTCATATTATCAATATACAAGTCTAACATTACAATCAAATAGCCAAAAAAATAACAACAAAAACAGATATATAAAAAAAATAGACAGTTGCAAAATATTGTTCTTTATTTATTCAAGTTTTTGTATAAGAATATCAAACATCCCAACAACAAAAAAAAATGCAAAACAAAATATGTATTTAACCTCTTTATATTGTAATCAAATTTATATAATTGATTATAATTACTAAAAAAATCACAGAAATGAATAAAAACTAAAGCTATTAAAGCTGTTTTTTTGTATATTGTCTCAAATCACTCAGTAATTGTCAAGTTTTCCCATTTATCAGAAACTTTTTTATAAAATTTAGTTTCAAAATAATGATAATTAGTTTTAATTGATATTGCTTCAACTCTGCCTTGTAGAGAAACAATCGTAAGTTTAGTATATGTGTTATCGGGAATCGTCTTGATAACTTCCAAAAACTTTTGAAATGTTAATGTTTCAATCTCATTGACCTCAATGATAAATACATTTAAATACAATCCACCTTGAATGGCTGGCGACCAGTATGAATTTGATGAGACAAACACCTCACTAGGTAGATTTAAGGAGATTTGTCTAACTGAATGGAATGGTTTTTGAATGGAAGCTCCACACCATGAAATGACTTCTTTTGTCTCTTGAACTTCTGTTGTTTTCAATTTCAATGTTTTTTCAGTCCCATTACGAACAATGGTAAATTCAACATCATCATTCTCAAACACATCTAAATCTGATAATTTAGTGATGAGCTTCTTATTAATTTCAAGTAAAATATCCCCTACTTGTAACTTGGGACTTGAGTCATTCTTTCTGAATTGTTGACATGAAACTGATGAGACTTGCAAAAACTGAAAGTTTTCACTATGAGAATCTTCCAATTTTTTGATCCATTTTTTTGAAACCCCTTGATATCTGGCGTCGGCAATTAATAATTGTCCAAATACGGCATCAATGATTCGAACTTTGGGAACCTTTCCAATTTCTTCATTTTGAAAAAAATTAATAATTCTTGAAAAATTTGTAATGTCAATACCGTTTTGGAGTAGATCTGTATCAACTCCTAAGAAATTCAACCAAATGCATCTAATTGTACCATCTGAATCTGTTAAAATACCAAAATCTACATTGTCACCTAGTGCAGTGTCAATTTTTATTGACTCAAAGTTTGTTGCTTTATAACGTGGCATTTCAAAATCCATTGGCATTTTAGTTTGAAGAATGTCAGTGACTTTAGTTGGAACTGCACGAAGGTCGTTATAATCATAACCAATTAAAAATAGGTTATCTCCTTTCTTTAATGGTTTTTCACTAAATTTTGGAGTTTTAATTGGGGCTAAAACTAGGGAAGGATCAAATTTTAAAATAGAGTAATTATATGTTGGATGTAAAAAGACAACTTGTGCTTCAAGAACAATAGAATTTGCAATTATAACAAAAACCCTTAGCATATCATGGGGAACATAATACCTTGAAGCTAAGACATAACCCTTTTGAGCATCAATTATAAGTCCCATACCATATTTTGGATTAAAAGCATACCCGTCAATAACAGCAGGGAAATTGGTATATAATTTGACAAAAGATCTGGATAGGGTACTTAAATTTGGATCGCTAAATGGAAAATCGATAAATTTAGCATCTAATGGTTCTTTTTGATTTTCAGATTCCAGTTCTGGTGCAGGAAAACTAGTGAAATCCCATAAACCAGTTGAATCATTTCTGACAGCCAATTTGATATCTTTATACCATTTTCTATCGATTGAGACGGTATCAATGCAGGGGTTGTTTAAATTACTGACATGTCTGATGGAGAAGGGAATGACCGAATTGTGAGGAATATCTTTCAAGACATTGAGAAAATCATCAACATTATTTAATGGAACGTTATTAAAAGAATCAATTATCCAGCCAGTGTTTGGTTCGGGATCGAAACATCCACCAATTTCAGCAGCATAGACTCCTCTGACAGGAATGCCTTTTAATCTTGCAATTTGGTAGGATAAGTTATTAAAAACGGAACCAAAAGCAGATATGTATTTGCTTGGAGTAATTGAGTGTAAATCTTGGACTTTGCAAGTAATTTTAACATTTTTGTTGCCTCTTTGAACAACAATTTTGATTTTTTTATTAATATTGTCATCAAGGATTTGATCGATTGGAATGAAAGTTGAAATCGGAGAATCATTAATAGAGATTAGAGTATCGCCTTCTTTAATCTTGTTGAAAGCAGGGCCATTTGGTAAGACAGTGGAAGCAACTAACAAACTTGTGATATCTGGGAAAACAGCTCTCATCTTTGATTCAGCATCCGAAGACAAACCTAGCCTTGAACATTCGTCGAAGGGTTTTAGCAACCAAGTGGTTTGGATTGTGCCTCGAGTAATTGGCTCGTTTTTTTTAATACATTTAAGAGCTCTTAAGATTCTGTTCAAAGGTAAAAAAAAATTGGTTGCAGCAGAAGTTGAGCCACCAGCTTGTAGGGCTACGACATTTCCTGTTATATCAATAACAGGAGAACCACTCGAACCACTGGAACTGCTAGTAGCAGCTTGGATATAATTTGTGTTGAAGTCATTATAACCAAAGGCGTATTCCGGGGTATTTCTGTCGAGCTTGGAAATAAAACCACTTAAAATACTTAGTTGTTCGCCATTATCATTACCAACAACTCTAATTTCCAACCCAACTTTGGCCAAGTCAGGTCTTAATATCAAAGAAACCAAAGGAGAAATGTACTTTATCTCTTTTGGATTAAACTTCAAAAAGCCAAAATCGTGGATCGGATCTCTATAAATAGGAATTAAGGGAATCTCCTCATTGTTATAGAAGATAGCATAACCAACAAAGGGACCAGGACCAACAACGTGTCTGTTGGTTAGAATTATACCTAGTTCTGCATCAACAATAAAACCAGTAGCTTCTGAACAACTTCGAGATTCTGTATCAAAGGCCTCAACTTGAAGGAACTTAATGGAGACAACCGACTTGACAATTCTCTCGATGGTGGATTGCCATTGAGTGGTCTCATTAGCAACTAGGGTGATATTTTCAGGAGGAGGGAAGGCTCTGGTTAATTTTTTGGCTGGATGTTTCAGTAAAGTGTCCAAAGTGGTAGCTCTTTTGAAGATAGGAGGTTTGGGAGCAGCAGCCGAAGAGGGATGATCCTTTGAGATTTCGCTTGAGCCGAAGAGCTTGAAATACTGCTTGATGCCTTCCATTGGTGTATGAAAACTGAGCAAGATGATAAACAGAAAGAGAGGAACAACAGAAGGTATGAATTGAACCAACAGAGGAAAACGAACGATGGTAGCAATGATATCTCAGAAATAAACCACAGCTTTAGCTCTGGAAGCCTACCCTTTAGGCAAACCCCAAAGCAAAACTGTCCAGCAACATGGAATTGGGCTGAGTCTCGTTTTCTACAGGCCTCCACAGAGGACAGCAGATGCCTGAGCCGGATCTGTCCCGCTTCCGGAGGGTGCTCTGCATACCTACATGGTGATGCGTACAAACCATCTGCGTGGGTCCAATGTTTTGCTATTTCTGAGCTGGTGAAGAGGTTCTTTTTTTGGCCACTGCTTCTCAAAGTGCTTCTTCAACTGCCTGAAAGAAGGCGATTTACTTCTGCAATTACTCACAGCGCTAGCACTTCCATCCTGAGACGATGGACCTATGCCAGCCTTTTGTCTACTGTGGAGTTTGTTTCAAGACGCCTGCCAGCAACGAGCCCAACAGCCTTCTATTGACCTCCTGTGCTCATTTGCTATGTCTAGACCATATCTCGGTCAATGGTATTTATCAACTTTCAATGGCAGACCAATGATTTGAAATCAAGCTACTAATGCGTTTGCAATGTTGCTGTTTCCATTCTCTGGGTCAGAGATCAAAAGGGCCAATGCCGATATGTTGGAGAAACAAAAGATAACTTGTCCTGTTTGTCAAAGTTCAAATATTTCAATAAAAAGGTTATCCAACAATTTGCCTGACGAAATCAAATCATATTTTCAGCCGATTCCACAACAGTTTGAGTCTTTATTTTCAACCATTCAATTTCAGTATTATAGTATGAACGATTACATAATTTACTGTAAAAATTTCATCGAAAAACTCAATCTTAAAATTGACAAACAAAGACAGTTATTATATACAGCAAAATCAGAAATAAATCAATTGGAATTGATTAAAAAGGATTATAGTACTCTAAAGGATGATTATAAACTTTTAAAATTGGAAAATCAAAAACTACAAAAAAATATCGACCAGCTTAATAGACTTGGCCATAACCGTAATAAAGATCAGACGATTGGTCTATCATTATTAGATGGCAATGATAATGACAATAATAATGATAATGATGAGGATATATCCATAATTGATAAAGCTGACAAAAATTTTAACTCAACGACCGATAATGGCCAATCTTTTATTAGAAAAATGAAAGAATCTTCTTCTTTAAGAAGACCAATAAATTTATTATTTCCACCACCTCAAACAGTGAAATTAGATGATGGTGATAATCATAATCATAATCATAATCATAATATTAATATTAATAATATTAATAGTATTAATAAAAGACGGAAAACCCTTCAAATTGCTGAATCAACTAATATTGATCAAACTAATAATTTTTATAAATATAAATATCAAAATAACAATTTAAACAATAATCATTCAAATTACATTTCAAGCGTTGGAAGCCTAACCTATTCTTCTCATGAATCCTCATTAATAAACAGCACTACTAACAATTTAAATCATTCAAATCACTCAAATAACAATAACAATAGCAATAGCAATAGCAATAGCAATAATAATAAAAGACTGGGATTAAATAACCCTGCAAGAATGTACTTGTTAAGTTCAAAATCTAGTTCAAGGTCTGGAGGTTCAATTACTCCGACAAGCAATGAAAGTAATATAAACAACATTAACAATATAAATATAAATAATGATAATATCTTCAACTCTCATAGAAATGCTTTAAGCAAAAGATCTTCAACAATTCAAGTAGCCTCCAGATTATCTGCTCATATGAAAATCGGTAATCGGGCTGGTTCTTCTCAAATTCTTAATCGAAATACAACTTATAAAAACAATTATGATAATAATAATAATAACAGTAATATTGCTAAAAATAAAACTAAAGGAAATAAAGCTAATTCTTCATTATTCAGCAAAAGATCGAGCAATAAGAGAATGTTATCGAGATTGTCATAAAAACATGATCAAAAAAAATAAAAAAGTATAACTAAATTCAATTTTAAAAATAAAAATTTTTCCTGTTTCTTAATAAAGCTCACCAGAGTATAATCAGATAGTCATTTCCTCATGTTTATTCTTATATCCTAATATATTTCCAATTCTCATTCTAATTTTGAATTTTTATTTATTAATAATATTTATTAAAAATATTTAAAATTTCTCTTTAGCCATTGCTAGACTGAATATGGATTTTAAAATAATAAAAAAAAAAATCACACGTCAAAATCAAACAAAAAAAATTTAAAAGAACAGCGGATATAACTATTGAAATTTAGATTAGATTAAAATAGCTTTTGATATTTTAAATCAACTTGTATTAAATTAAATTATGATGAATAGAATTACTCTTCAGCCTTTCTTCTTTCGGCTTGAGCAGCATACCATGCTTCTCTTGTTTCAACTGCGTTTTGGTGGAAACCCCACCACCAATAAGAAGCACCGGCGGATCCAATAACTGCAAAAACGAAAGGTTAGTAGAGACCCTAGACGCAGAAAAAGAATGAAGCAAAAAAGAATGGAGCAAAAAAGAACATACCAAAGGCTAAACCAATGTCAACGATCATACGCTTTTTGAGAGTACCTGTGATAGGAGCAATTGGCATTGTGAAGGACGAGGAATATAAAGACAGTATGGCAATACCAGAGGGAAACAGTGCAGCAACAGGTTGGCGATGGTGCTGGTGCTGGAGAAGAAGCAGAGCTGGCTGGAGCTGAGATATAAGAGAGGCCTGTACCACGTGATTACATGCCAGCCAATCACAGGCCGCAGGAATAATCGGTGGTGAAAAGTCGTGCGATTGGAGGGTAAGCGGCCTTTGAGTTGTGGAAGAGAGAGAGATATTTATTGCTCGAGCTTCTTCTGTGGCCTCTATTCTCGACCTCTCCAACTCTCCTGCTCATACCTCCAAGATGCTTAGTAGACAATCTGCCCAAACTGCTCGTGTATTAGCCCAAAGAAGAGCCTTCACCTCCACTGCCCTCAAAAATGGTGCTCACTTCAAGGAAGGTGTTTACTCAAATTTGCCCTTCAAGGTCCACAACAGAAAGATCCCTTTTGCTGTAATTCACTTTGGTTTTTTTGGCTTGGGTTTTGCTATTCCCTTTATTGCCTGTGCATGGCAATTACACAAATCTGGTTGATTTACTAGTTGTCATTTATGTCTGCCTGGTTTATTTATTCAATTCTATATTCTTTTAACCGCTTTATACTTATAGTGAAATTCAGTTAATCCCTTTACCTTTTATTCTGTTACCTGTCCATCAATAATAAATTAAATTTTCAAAACAACAAACAAAGATAATCCAATGATTTCAGGAAAAACTCGAATTTATTGCAGAGCTTTTATTTATTTGTAGAATATTCAATTCTTATATTCTCAAAATAACATCCTCTGAAACTAATAACGTATGTAGCCTAATACACAGCCTTATTTGTCAATATTCCTTATCCAGATTTTCCTCCAGATCATCATCATCATCGTCATCATCATCATCATCATCATCATCATCCAGCTCTTCTTCCAGTTCTTCATCTGATGAAACTTCCTCTCCTACTTTTTTTAGCCTTGATTTATATATTTTGTTTTTCTCATCTAAATCTGACATGACTAACATAAGATCATCCAATTCACCTTTTGGAACCATTGTTTGACTCATTTTAGCCAATTTCTCTTCCAATTCTTTTAATTTGTCTTCCAATAATACGTTTTTTTTTTGAATATTTTCGCACTGCTCTGTTGCCAACTTTTTCTGACTTTGAGCCTCACTTTCTTTTTTTTGTAATTGCAAAATCTCAAGATTAGTATTTTTACTAGCCTCTTCTTTATCTTTTTTCAATTGTTCAAATTTCTCAACATATTTATCCTTTTCTTTATTAGCTTCTTTTATTTTTTTTTGTAAGTTAAGACTTTCTTCTCGAATTGTCACAGATTCTGAACTCTTGTTTTGAAGTTCACCTTTAATTTTTTCCAACTCCAACTCTAATTTTTTCTCTATTTCAAGATAAGACATAATTTCCTTATCTTTTGTTTCATTTGTTTTCTTGATTTTATCAATTTCCTCTTTTAATCTGTTTATAACATTCAAATTTTCTTGTTTTTCTACTTTTATTTTAGTGATATCGCTTGACAATTTAACAATTTTATTATTTACCTCTTGAATCTCCCCTGTCAAATGATCATTTTTAAAACCCATTTCTTTTTTCTCTTCTTCCAAGACTTTTACATTTGTTTTTTGAGATTCTTCACTCTTCTTCAACTCTTTCTCTAATTCGCTTATTTTTTCAGTGTATCCGTTAATTAAACTCTCAGGATCCTCTTTTGCCGCTAACAATCTTTCCTCAGTAATTTCTTTGCTTTTCTTACTTAAATCTTGTTTCAACTCTTCAATCTCACCTTTTAAACTATCAACTTCTTTTAATATTTCTTTATTTTCTTTTTCAATTTTTTCTTTATCTTTTCTTAATTTTTTTTCATTTTTATTTATTTTTTCATTTAGTTTGATTTTATCCTCTTCGCTTTTCTCTAGATCCTTTTTGAGAGCATTTAAATGTTCAATCTCCTCAATTAACATATTTTCTGCATTTTCCTTCTCTCTTTTTAATGACAGACTTGAATCTTTATATAAGTTTAACTCAGATTTTAATTCATCTATACTTAAACTCATTTTCTTTATGCCTTTTTCTTTCTTATTTAACTCTATTTTTAAAACTTCAAGACGATCGTTTAATCTCTTATTTGCAGAAACTTTTTCTTCCAAGGATTTTTTCAAAAAATCAATTTCTTTGCCTAAAGTGCTGCTTTCATTAGCCGAATTGTTTTTCAATTTTTCTTGTTCTTCCTTGATTTCATCAATAACATCATTAAGTTCACTAATTTTACCTTCATAACCCCTTTCAATTGAACGTTGATTTTCTATAGTTTCATCTAATTTTCCTTCGCTTGTTATTTTTTCTTGATTAATCTTAGACAATTCCAATTCCAAAACAGAATTTCTTTCTTTTTCTTTGGATAAATTGCTAACAAATTTATCACTTAAAGTTTTTAATGAATTATATTCTTTTTTCAATTCCTCATTATTTTTAGCAATTTCATTTCCCCTGGTTTTTAATTTTGCAATTGTATCCTCAAAATCAGTTGTGATATCCCTTTGTAATTCTTCACTCTCCTTTGTCTTAACTGCAATTTGATTGGACAAGTTAGCAATTTTTTCATTTAATTTTTCCTTCTCTAAACTATATCTAATATTCTCATCATTTATTAAATCATATTCCTTGGAAATAGAACTCAACTTTTCTTCAAGAGCTTTGATTTCTTTTTCAAAAGAAATTTTGGTACTACTAATAACTTTTTCGTTTTTTTCCCTTTCATTAATAAATTTAATTTTTAGATTTTCATTCTCAGTTTTTAAACTGTTAACTTGTTCATTATATTTTTCTAAAGATTCCAATAACTGTTTAATATAATTACCAGCATTGTTAAATTTTTCTTCCATTGTTTTAAGATTTGACTCGCATATTAATTTTTCAGCTGAAATTTTATTCAATTTATTTTTTGCATCATTGAATTCATTTGAAATTTTAGAAAGTTCTTGAATTTTGGAATTATATAGATTGTTTAAGTTTTTAAGCTCCCTTTCACTATTGATCTTTATTTGGTTTAACTCGCTTTCCAAGTTGTTACTTTTTCTATCAAAATCGTTTCTTTCTCTTGATAATTTGAATAATTCTCTCGACATTTTGTTTATTCCGTCCTCATTTTTCATTTTAACAGCTTCCAACGCCTTTAAACTATCTATCATTTTGCTTTTTTCACTCTCAAGAATATTTAATCTTGATTGACATTTATTCAATTCATACTGGTAATTTGAACAGGTTTCTTCCAAAGAAATTTTTATTTTTTTCAATTCTTCTATATCCTTAGCATTTGATTTTAAATTTTTACTTAAAGAATCATTTCTGTTTTTATATTCGGTTAGCTCAGATGATGTGGTTAAAAATTTTTGTGATAACTCCTCTAACTCTTCTGATAAATTATTAATTTTTGATTCATCTTCGATTTTTATTTGTTTGTTCTGGTCTTGCATGCTTTTAAAAGTATCCTTTAAATAATTATATTGCATCGATAGTTCATCAAATTTCTCAAATGATAGCTTTCCAATTGGTTCAAAGTCAGGATTTTTGTTAAATGATAACTTAATTCTTGAAAAATTTTCTTTAACTAGATTAATATATGATATGTCAAAATATATCTCAGGTAAACCGGTTGAATCTTTCGGTGGTCTGAAAATCATTTCTTCATCGAAATCTTTAAATTTGCTTAAATTCTTAAATTTTGTTAATTGTAATAAATAAGAATCTTTACCTATAGTTTTTGTTAAAAGATTAAAAAGATCAGTTCTGGATAAAGAGCCTTTTTTCAGTGCATTCGAAGAGGAGTCGTATATAATACCCAAAAATACACAAATCATTCCATTTACTATATCATTTCCATCACCTTGATTAGAAGAAAAGTAAGTAATCAAAAATCTAGTTACACTACCATCTTGAAGAAAATCTGAAATAGCATTAAGGTCTTCATATAACCATATAGAAAGCAACATCAAATAACTAATGGCAATGCGAGGATCTTTTAACATTGAATCAGTAGACAAGTTTGTCACTAGAAGTTCAGCCATTGATTGAATACAAGTCAAAACTTCTTCATCGTTCTCAACGTTTCCAGTCGTCAACAGCAGAGCAATTTCTTTGATTTCATTTGAATCTTCAAAAAGGTATATTAAAATAACTGCTGAAAACCAAATTTTATAAGGATTTAACGCAGCAGAAGAGTCATAGTCTATTAATGAAACGAAGATATTACCTTTTGGAACAGAATTAGCCAGATGTTTTGATAAAATATGGGATTCTTGATTATCAAAGGCTACTGTTTGATTGTTTACAGCAGATAGAATTTCTAAATGATCTGAAGAATTTCTGCCAACTTCAACAAAGCTTGAAGTATCAGTTGAATTAGATTTATGGGGAGATTCTTTTATATGGTGGTAAGTATCTTCTCCTTCCAAAATTTTAGTTTCTGAATTTGACAGGCCAGAAGGGTTTTCTGCTGAAACAATACCATCATTCATATGTTCAATGGTGCTGTTTAAGTTTGAATTTGATGATTTTTCAGGTCGTTGGTTCAATACAGTTGAAGGACTGCTATCAACTTGATTTTGATTATCTAATTTATCTGTAGTTACAACATTTTCAACCTCTTTATTTGAGGTTTCAGGGATTTCATTTATTTTTTTATAAGAGGAAATTTGATCCTCAATGAATGATTTTTTGGCTTCAAAGTTATTTTTAAAGTAGGCTTGTAAAACAAAACAACTAGATACTCTTATGTCAAATATGTGAACTGAATTAGAAAAGAGAGACCAATTAAGAAGAGCTAGGGTGACAGGAATTAAAGTATTAAATCTAGATTGCAATTGTGGAGGCAAACTTGGATCTAAGTAAGGCACATCAATTTTGGAAAATTCGTATTGAATCGTTTCATTGGAATTGATTATTGCAGCAATTGTTAATAAAGCAGTTGACCTAATTTTATTGGGTATTAATGAAGAAAAAACTAATTTTAGTGTCAACATCAAAATATCATTCTGAAAAAGAATTAATTGATATTGAAAGGTTGATTCATTATTTTGTTCAGCAACAAAAATTTTGCAAATTTCAAGTGTTGAAATTAAATTTTGAATCCATTGTTCCTTCCAATTAATTGATGTTTTTTGAGTAGACAAAGATTGATCTAATAGCATTGAAAACTTGGGAATACAATTTGTTTCTAAGAATAATTTTTGATTAGAAGCATTGAAACTTAGCAAATTGGTCAACAAGGAAAGTGAATCTTGAACAACAATTGAGCCAAAAATGCCACCTTCAGTAAAAATTATTTGAAATAATTTTTCAAATGTATTCTGAAAAGCTACCAATTTTTGTATATTATAGTTTTTGTTGACTAAAGCCATTAGCAATAAAATAGATTCGTTTCTTATTAGATCATGAGGATCATCCAAGGTTTGAATTAAAGTTGAAATGGCTAAAGGAGAAGCCAATATAGATTCTTTTGTTTTCAATGGCCTTGTGGCTATAAGAGCTTGCAACACTTGTAAAGTATATAAGGTCGTGTAAAAATTATTTTGGTCTTCAATGATTGATACCAACAAGTCAATAATACTTCTTGAATCCCCTAGTAGATTATTTTTATCATTTTCATTTCCAGAAGTGATTCTATTATGAACATCAGTGTTAGTACCATCTCTATTGTTATTTTCTTTGGTGCTACTAAAAGAAATTTCATGAGGCTGGGTTAATTCATCAGCTATCCATAAAGAAAATTGATCAAAGATTTGGGGGATTTCTTTTTTTAAAAGAGAAGGAGATGGATATTTACCATTATTTATTCTGGACTGGTCAGATAGGTTGAAAGATCGGGAGGTAGTAAAATCATGGTTAGTTTCACCTCTTATAAATAAAATAAGTAAAGTTTCTAAAATCGCCTTCACTATTTCTAAGTCTAGGATGTCCTTTCTTAGAGTTGATATCAAACCATGCAAACCATTAGCTATAACAGATTCTCTATATTGGCGACTGAAACCTTTTAAAGACAAAACAGCAGCTCTTCTATCAGCTACCAAAGTTGAATTATTCAATCTATCGCAAATCGTTGGAATTGCTTCTTGTGCTGACTGAGTTTTAGGACCAGAAGATAATAAACCAGAAAACAAATCCATGATAAAATCTAATGTAGCATTATACCAGTGTATATAAAAACGCAAATGGAAAAGAAAAAAAGGCCAACTAAGTATAATTTTGTCCTTCGCTTGGAGTTATTCTACTAAAGTTGACAGCAATTTCCCTAAACGGTCGCAGATATAATCACACGTTCAACGGAACACAGCCGATGGATGCGGCTTTTCTCTTCATAATTAACAGAGCTGACAACTACAAGTGAATTTACTCAAAGAGAATGTATTAAATCAATTGGTTCGAAAATCTAGATTGTTTTCTAGAATAAAAGAATGCAAAAATTCAAATTGGTAGCAATTTGAAAGAAGAATTGTAAGTTATCTCATTGCCCATCGTCCCTGAAAAAATAACGTGGAAAAAAAATTTAAATATATAAATAGATCATGATAAGATAAGATAAAATAAAATAAAATAAAATAAAACAAAATAAAACAAAATAAAATATTTGAGCATATATAATTTAGAAATAATTTTTAACAGCGAAATTATTAAACTTATAATCATCAAAATGCTATGATAATTGCAAAGCTAACCAAGAAATGCTAATAAAATAAACACCAAGGTATTAAAGCCATAAGATAACTTTGTTGCACCATCTGTAAATGTATGAGAAATCTCAGGTGGAGTTCTAGTTCCTGTTGTTGAAGATCTTGTTGTTGGAGATGGTTTACTGCAAATTTCACCACCATCAGTTCCTGTTGTAGTACATTCCCATTCTGTGCTAGTTGTAGTATCAGTATCGGTTTCAGTTTTGGTACTGGTTTTGGTGCATTCATATTCACCATCATCATCAACAGAGGAGCATTCAGGAGGCTCTGTTGGTTCATCTGTTGGTTCATCTGTTGGTTCATCTGTTGGTTCATCAGTAGGTTCTCCAGTTGGTTCATCAGTAGGTTCTCCAGTTGGTTCATCTGTTGGTTCATCTGT